GCCCGCGGCCGGGCGCGCCCCGGCGGCCCCCCCCCCCCCGCCCCCGCCCCGCCCCCCCCCCCCCCCCCCCCCCCGGGGGGGGTGAGTGGGTGGATGGGTCGGCGAGCCCCTTTCCCCTTAGGAAGGACTCGGGGCGGTGTCGTGAATCGGATCAGGAAGCTCTGTCGCCCGGAGAGTGGTAATCGGGATGACGGCGGGGACACTGAGAGTAGGTTGCCCCCTTTGCGTGGCGGTGGGTGATAGATGCTGACTGCCTGTGGTAGAAGTTTCGAAGCTGTTACTGATCGAGCATGTCCTTCGTTCTGGCTGGCGCCGCGAATCGTGGCAGGTCGTCGGGCGGTATATCCAATACTGGTATTAAGACAGTAAGCCGCTTCAGCCGCTGAATCAGCTTCCTTGTCGCCGCATCAAAATTATTCGTGTGTTTCTTTTCTTGTCGTCTATTGCGGTGAGTTGTTGCGTTTGCGACACATCCTTGGCTTATTATCGGTTGACAACGTCAGGCCCCGAGGTCTGGGATCCGCTAAGCCTAATTCGGCACACCACCTTTCTATTCTGCCCATCACGTGCGTCCCCCATCTAAAATTCAAGATTGGACTAAGTGGGAGCTTTGGAGCTATGACTACTTGACCTAACGAGCAACTCATCCCATCAATCTCACGACCCGTGTTCCCAACAATTGAGTGACCAACCCAACTCCTCGACCCCGACCTCAACCTCTCCCCATCCTCCAGAGACAAAGAAAGGGAAATAAAAGCCATGGGCCTCTTGGACTACTTCCGCAACGAGTCCGACCGGCGCGCCGACGAGGTGCGCTCCGGCGCCGTGGCCCCGTCCCGCACCGAGCGGCAGCGCTGCTACGTGGCCCGCGACGCCTACTTTGCCTGCCTCGACGCGAACGGCATAGTCGACGCCCTCAAGGACGAGAAGGGCGCCGCCAAGGCCTGCGGTCGCCAGGGCGCCGAGTTTGAGAAGGATTGCGCCGCCCAGTGGGTGAGTTTTGAAATCCCAGGCTGGGATGGGGTTTTCTTTTTTTACAACGAGTTATGTATAGGCTAGGCAACTCTTTTCTGACGTGTATGGAACAGGTTACATACTTTAAGAAATGGCGCGTGCAAGAGATCCAGAAACAGGCGAGACTGAAGGAGTTGGAAGCACAAGGTGCCAACAAGATGGATATCCAGAGTGACTTCTCAAAGCGGTGAGCGGGCGAGATGTATGGCGGATATGACAGCGTACTAGTAAGAGGAAGAGGTGTGATGATAAGTGTGGAACCATTCACTGTATATAATATACGGCATGCATGACGGCGTTAGGAGGGCATAAGGGTTATATAGGTCGTCACCACTTTTTGACAAACATCCGGTGCCTCGTGAGGTTCCCGAAACAGACGGACAAAAGGGTGTCTCCCGACACATGTTGTGCTGGGCGTATCCACCATCCAATAATGTCTATAAAGGTATCTCGGCAGCAGATATGTACAAACGTATTGAACTCCGTCCTTGCCGTGCCTCGCGCGTCCCCCAAGGCCGTCATCACCCTAGATTCCTTCGAGGACAGGGAAGGACCCCCCAGCTAGTACTATTCGAGTCTTTATCTTCAACCTGGCAGCCCAGTAAAGCTATCGGCCCACTGCCCGAGACAGGAGGGTCTATGTGCAAGAAAGCCGTCATTCACAGCAAACGGCCTTGCAGTCTATGCCAGACATAGGAAACGATGATCCAACTGCGACAAGACTGAATATTGAACAAAGAAACGTTTGACGAGGGAAGAACGGAGGGGGAAAAAAAAGGAAGAAGACTAAAGTTTATGCTGTCGATGCGATAGTGGTATCATGTCTTGCTTGCTAGGGTTGATGGTAGAAAAAAAGAGAAAATGAAAAGCCGTGCGTGGTTGTGCCGGGCACAGGAGGTCGTCCTAATCAATACCTCTCCTTCCCAATGTATGACAACTGTGTTCTCCCAAGGTAACCCCAGGTCATGTATGCTCTTTTCCAGTTGTGAGGTTCTCCAGGTCCACCTCAGAGTATCTCCTGACACTTGATAGGGAGAGAGACGCGCTCAAACATTGGCATCTTCTCCCCATTTGGTGCCTCTCGCGGGAGAAAATCTGATTCCCAGCTTGTATCTCGGATTTGGCAGGAAGCTCTCCTAAGACACTTCGTGCGTCCAAGCGTCGTCCCTCGGCAGTGGTGGCAATGCCTTGTCGAGACTGTCGCGACCGATGATCTGAGAGCGGCCATGCAGTGACCCTTGAGACCCTTGGGACCCAGTGGTCCTCTTCAACGCGTGTCCGTTAAATGCCTCCCCCGTGACTCCGTATCCACTGTCAGCACTCTGCGGCTTCAAGTACGTTCCCTTGCCGTATCCAGTTTTTGGCGGTGTTGGGGGCCCCCTACCCACACCGGGGTTCCGTTGAGCTCCCAGGAGTGGATTCCCGAAGCCAGCCTCCCTTTCCTCGCCGTCCTTCGCAGGAGTCAGGGGCCGTCCGTCGCTTTCTACTGTCGCTAGACTACTAACATGGCTATTCCGGCTTTGCGCTGCGGTCGAGAGCCCCTCAGTCGCCTCCTCCACCACTGGTAAGATTGCTGCTTGAGATGCGCTTGTTGTGGATTCATGACGCTCGCTGCGCGTTGCGCTAGACCCCGGGCCGGGTTTCGAAGAGCCAGATCTCGCTGCCGCCGCGGCCGCGGCTGCCGCTGTTGCGACGGCAGTCTTCAGAACGCGATCGGGAACGTAGTCTTCGTGTGCACCATTCATCTCGGTACTGTGCGCCTCGTACATCGCACGCCTAACCGTTACGTCGGCTTGGGGTAATCTGTGACTTGAGGGTAGCGTAGAGGATGGCGAGGAGGGCTGCAGGTTTAGTATCGGTGTGGCGTTCGTTGTCGAGTGAGGAGCGGTAGGGCTACTCTGAGGACCCACGCGCTCTCTCTCGTTACTGGCAGCTGCAGCCGCCGCTGCAGCCTGGTCCCTTTCCTGGGCCTCTCTGGCCGCCTCCTCGGCAGACATAGTGACACCAGAGATGAAGTTCATGAATCGCTCGCCATATTCCTGCGGCGGAAGCGCAGATATCTTCGTGCTATCACTCGACAGCCCTTTCCAGAAATGCTCGATTTTCTTTATGATTCCATACTGGGCAAGGGTCAGCTCGCGTCCGACAGGGGCATTTTTCACACACGACTTACATGGGTGAGGCAGTCAATGACACCAAGGTAGTAGATCTCGTCGGCGGGCGAACCGTCTTCATGAGTTGCCCTAAAGCCGCCATCGTCTTGGTTGAAGACAAAACCTGGCCTGTTATGACCTTCGTCGAGCTCGTCGGGCATTCGGCTGCTGCTCTGGCCCATTGGAATGGGTCTCTCGGACTTAATCATCTGCCTTAACTCTCTCGCTTTCCGCTGGTTCTCCAACTTGGACGGAGTCCTCATCAGAACTGACTGGGGGTCGTACTCCTCTGGGACATCCCCGCCAGGGTTGAAGATCTGCAGTGTTTTGTCCCGCAAATTCTCTTCGTTGCCTCTTTGGCGATCGTGGATGCCAATAAGGAGAGAGTAGTCCATGATTTGGAGTCTTTGAAGCAGCCCCACGTCCTTCTGGAGCTGGTCCAGGAAGAGCCTCTTCTTCTCCAGGGCCAGTTCCACACGTCGTCGCCGCCGGAGCCAGTTTAGGTCCTTCAGGGTAGCCCTTGGGTTCTTGTCGAGATCATCTTCGATGAAATCCCTGCCAACGGTGGAACCCTTTAGGTCGAAGGTCTGGTGGATATCTCGGTGCGGGGGGAAGAGGTTGTTCATGATGACGAAATGAATCTTCTTTCCGTATGGCATTTTGACTCTATGCAGGCCGTAAAACTGAGAGAGCAGGGTGTTCGGGTTATCGGTGACATGCTGATAGTAGTCCTTGAGGATCTTGCGGAGGAATTTGTGTTCCGAGCGATGGATCGTTTTGATGATATACTTGTAGTCTCGGGAAAAGTAGAAGAAGCTCCCGCTCTTGCCGGGAGAACCAAGCTCGGAGAGTATATATTTACCGGTCAACGACATAAGATAGTCGGCAGGGTCGAGGCGAAAGAGAGCACGGAGGTGACGGAAGACCCATGGGGCATAGTCTTTGAACTTGAAGTCATACTTTGCCGAAGGGACAAGCTCATTTCCGGCGCTATAAAAGTCAGAGACATCACAGCTAAGGGCGTAAAGGATGCAACTCACATATCGAAAGTAGACTTCTGCTTGGCCTCGAAGTCAGCGTCAGTTAATGGGCGATCGAGTTTGGCGTTCGTTCGGGACACTGAGACTCTGATGCCGGTCAACATATTATAAGCTGTGACCCAATTGGCATGCGACTCGTCGACTTTGATCCCCACTAGGACCCTATCGTCGTCCTCTCGCTCAACCCGCTTCCTCTTGCTTGCTCGTTTTGCCCTGTATGCCTCGGCCCAACGGAGAGCGTCCTCGTCTGGCACGATCTCATCGCGGGGTATATCAGAATGCAGCGAGCGTGTGTTCCTCCTAGCAAGGCTCAGCGATGTTCTTCGCGCCCCAGCCACGGCAGTCGTCACAGCAGCTGTGGGCGAAAATCTGCCGCTCGCAAAAGCCGAATCGACCCCATCTCTTGAACCGCGAGCTGGTGCGGCCCTGGGTACTTCTAGTGTGTGACGCTGCTTTAGACCAGAGCCGGGGGGGCCGTGCAAAGCACCGGAGGAGCTAGGAGTCGCTGCTGTAGAACCTAAGGCGGGAGACGAAAATCGGTGCGGTGAGTGTTGCAATGATTGGTTGGCATCCGGGTTCGTCGTTGTGGGCAGTGCGGATGACATACTGAGGGAAGCAAGGTTGGCGTGTAGAGCATTGGGGGGACTGGCCGCAGATGTCGATGCAGAGCTGTCGACCGTACGAATATCCCCCTTATGCACCGGCTGCATGTACATCTCTATGGGCGACTGTTGTATAGAGCCGCCGGTTCCGGAGCTGACTGAGGCTCGGGAGTTTCGCGAATGTGCATCTCTGGGGCTCGACGGTGGAGGGTCGGCGTCTTTTGATAGCCTCGAAGGAGGGGGTGGATGAAGCGACCGGTCGGGCAGGGTCAGGGTCGTGTTTGCGTGGCCATTCGGCAACGGCAGCTCCTTGTCGCCCGAGGAGCCGTCGGTCACACCGTTCATTCCTCCACCATGAGTTCCTTCGGATAAGTGGTTCATGGTGGGAGGGCCAAAGCGCTCTCCATTCAGCTGGGGCTGGGGCTGGGGCTGGGGTTCGGAGAGGTCTGATGTCTGTGTTGAGTGTGTCGAGCTCTCATAAAAGCTGTCATTTGTGGTGGATTGCGATTGTGATGCGAGAAGGATGTGCCCATTGGCCTTCTCGTCCGAGAGACCGTACTGGAGAGACGGATCGAGGTGGACGATAGCTGAAGACTGGGAATAGACAGGCGAGTTCTCGCTGTTGATGAAAGAGGGCATTTCGGGAGCCAAATGCATGAAATTGGTACAGGATGGGCGCTATTCGGTCGGGAACTAGTTCTGTCTACTGGCGTGCAGCGGAGGAGGACATGCTCAGGAAAGCCGTGTCGAAGTCGAGATCGAGGTCGAGGTCGAGGTCGAGGCCGAGGCTGATGACGAGGCGTGCAGCTGTTACCACTGCTGGGCCGGAGAAGGAGACCGGATGGCTGCCACAGCCAACTGTGGAAGGTGCAGCGGCAAGGACGGCGATTCGATTCAGCACTGTCGGCATCGCATCGCAGGCCCGGCAGACATGGTTCGCAGCGAAAGCTTGGGAGGACTGAGGAGGGAGAGACGGCGATTTGCGGAGTCGGGGTTGGACTGAATGAAGGGCCAGCTCGTTTTGGCTGAAGAGCGGGAAATTGGGAGTCGTTGGCAACCAGGGGAGCGAAGCGTGGGAAGGTGGAGGTGCCACGCCAGGCTGTGGCAGCTGGACGTGGGGCCAACGCGAAAGGTATCCATCCGTAGTTCCGTACATGTACGCATGTGACCCGACCCAAGTTAGTGCGCAATTCGGTGTAGGGGAGCGTTCCAGGGTCCTGCCAGCTTGGCTCTGTAGCGGATCCCGACCGACTGGAAGTGCAGTTACCGTGGCGCCCACTACTGTGTAGGTACTCTGCAAATCCTGACTGCTCACAAACAGCACAAGCCTACGAAGTTCGAAGTAACTCTTCGGATACCTACCCCATTCAATAATTGCTTAATGATAATTGCCCGCCTTCTATCCCTACCTCTCTTTCCATCTTTCTGTCTTCTCCCTTTCCGTGGTTATTTCTCGTTTTGTCTTATTAGGGGCCGAGGGGCTTGGGAGATTAGGTAGCTGCAAGGAAGCTCAGCCAGGATTTTCAGTGTCCAAGTCTAAACAAAGGGAGGTCTGAGAGTTGAGATTCCCCAAGTAGTGTAGATCCAAACAGGCCGATGAGGTCATTGTCCATGGAGGCAGGCCCTAATTTGCGAGCATTATGGGCTAGGCTGTATCAGTACCTTCAAAATAGTACCGTCGTAAATGTTACAGCAACTTGCGAAGTTCCGACTGCCAAACTAGAGTTCAATCTTTGAGTATCTATGGTAGGCTTCGTAGGTATTCCACTACGTGTGCGCGTAACAGTCAACAGCCATTAGAAACGGAAAGGGTCATTCGATTTCCAACCCTGAAGGACCACAGCACAACTTTTGCCCAGGCTTCTCCTTCGGAGTCGAGAACGCCAATGGAACGTAAACGTGGCAGTGCAAAGGTTTTATCTGCTACATGCCGTCCCGTCTGCCCCACCATTTGTCTGACGCAAACAGAGGCTGCTTACATCGAGTGGTGATGGCTTTGGTATCACAGCCGGGCAGCGAGTCGTGTGTCCCACCACATTGTGATCTCCTCACATGGTCGCATTTCGGACAAAGCCATCAGGGTCCGTAGCTAGCAGCGGCGGTTTCTCACCCGGACTCTTCCCGTTCCGGTACTGCCACAGCCTACTCAGATCCTTGACCTTCATCTTCGCGCCTGGAGGTTTCCCCCGGCACGCCCGGCTCCTGTACCGCCCCCTCGGCTCCACGGGACTTCCCCCACCGGCGTGGACCTCTACCTCTACCTCTACCTCTACTTCGACATCTGGCCCGGTGCCCAGCCAACTTAGCTCCATCGCCTCCCTCGCCATGTCCAGCTCGCTTCCTTCCGCTCCAACCACGACCTCGCTCTCCATGAACTCATTCTCGCCTTCCCCGTCGGCGCACCCAACGTAGCCCCCGGCCCGCTCATCCCTCGCTGGCAGACCCGTGGCCGGGTCTCGGGCCAGTGGGAACATGCCGTCAAGATAGTGCTGGCACAGCTGGTGGCCGCCGCGCGCCGACGTGCGGGCAAAGACGCGGCCGATGAAGCGCGGCAGGATGGGCGAGCCCCGAGCCGATGTCGCGAAGTGCAGGACCCCCCACAGTGCGACGAAGTCGGTAGTGTGGGCATAGTGCTCGATGTGGCCGATGGCGCGGTACGACACCGACGCCGGGTTGGTGGACGAGGTCTCGCTGCGGAGGGCGAAGTGTGAGGGCTGGTCACGGACAGGGGCAGGGGCGGGTCCTGCCGCTGCCGCTGCCGAGTTATCGCCGTCCGATCCCTCGGGCGGCGGCGAGGTGGGCGTTGGTGGGCGAGACGAGGCGTGCCCATTGCCATCGGCCGTGTGAGATGCGTCGACAGATGCCAAGGCCGGGTTCCTCATCGCTTGTGCTTGAGCGCCAACGTACCGGTGCGGGTTATTGAAGTGGTTGGCCGCATTCCCAAAGGTGTAGACCTCTAGCTTGCATAGCAAGTCCTGGGGGAGCTCTTGCAGTAACCAGTCGAGGATGAGGCTGCCTTCGATTCCGCCCTGCGAGTGCAGGATGAAGATAACTTTGGAGTACTTGGGGTTGTACAACTTCTCCTTGATGATGCTATAGCAGACGCGAACATCTGAAGTTGCGTAACCGAGACTACGTTGGACTAGGCATTCCACAATGTCTAAGAAGATGCCATTTCTACAGAGTGGTGAGAAACAGCGTCCAAAGGGTTCATCTGGGTTTTCTTCTCACGTCTTGTTATGGATTCCAAGTACCGGTCGCTTGAACGTGAGTGCCAGCCGATTGAGGTTGTTCTTCATCCAGTGCTCCCTTTTGTCTGATGGTTAGTTTGGACGCTGAGAGGTGCCTCGTATCAAGAGGGCATTCTACTTGCCCAACAGCGACACCGTTGATGAATATCCACTGCTCGTGGTCGTGCTCTGGTAACTCGGGGGCATATTGAGGGTCGGAATGGTACTCGGTTTCCTTGCCGTTCAGGAAGGTGCAGAGGCCATAGTTGACGAGAGTAAACAGGGCTATTCCCAGGGCGACGGTCCACAGTGGGAACAAGACGGCGAAGGGTAGGGAGAGAAGAAAGGCAAGTTGCAATACGCAGAGTATGAAGTGGATGGCAATACAAAAGATGTTCTGGTGGGTGAAAGACAGCTCGTCAAGCTCACCCGAGTCAGACGGCGTGATGGGGAGCAGGATGAATGGAATGGCCCAAGCAAAGGTGAAGAAATAGTAGACATCAAATGCCAGCAACTTCCAAGGCATGTCGGTATAGCTGTAGTTGATGACAGACTTGCCGCCGATTTGAGACCCGAAGAACAGGGTCGAGTTAGGAATAATCCTTGCCGGCTCCGCCCTCCAGGGAGCCGTGAACGTCCTTCCGACGGATCGAGGCCTGGTAGCCATTGCGAGTGAAGCTACTGGCCATATGTAGGATGTATCGGGATGGAGAGGCCACTCTGGGGGAGATAAGGGGGAAACCGGTTGCGAGAGGGCGAGAGGGGGAGGGAGGGAGAGGAGAGCTGGTTGGAATCCCTAGGTTTTTGAACCAGGAGAAAGGATCGGAATTGCCTCTTCCTCACATGGGTGAGGACTCTACCCACCTGTACCACCAGGCAGGTACGACTAAGAAGGAGGTTCGAAGTGTAGATCGTGGACGGGCACATGCCATTTGGTGTGTCGCGTGGCACACACAAAAGGCTGAGTCCAATCGTTCAGTCCCCAGTGACCCTAATCAAGTCACCTTATTCGTAGAAGGCGCTACCTGGCGAATCGGGCACCTGCAGCCCCTGTCCCCTGATTATTTAGGTTTGCGTGCACAGTCCGTGGCCTCCTCTCTGATAAATATAACCCAGGTTTGCCAGGTAAGCGAGTGCTGATCAAGCGCACCGCCTCGGTCTCCCTGATGCCTCGCCACCTCGTAGGGCTGAAATGCATACCATGTACATGTACTGCCTCTACGACGACCGCTTCACAATCTCGCTAATGGCCTGGTCAACGCCAGACGCAACCACAGTGGGCTGTATTCCGCCGATAACATCACCCAGCCGATCAATCCATCCTTTACCTGCTCGATCAACCCAGGCTGACTCGAGGCCCGCGGCCTTTGCCCCAATGGCGTCGAAGGGATTCGCAGTGACGACCCATATTTCTCGCACTCTCCCATCCTTGCCAACCTTGCTCGACAGGTCATCATAGACTCGCCTGTCCGGCTTGAACACCTTTAGTCCGTCAACGGTGATGAGTCCATTGAAGACCCCGGCGTAAGGCTCCAAGTCGGGCGATGTCTCAACCGAGGCCTTGGCCATGTCGTCGGTCCCGTTGGTGAAGATGTAAGCTTCAATAGACTGGTTGTCCGCCACGGCCCTCAAAGCAGATGGGATCTCGGGGAAGACGTGGAGTGAGTCATACGCCGTCATGAGCTGGTCTGCGTCACCCGGCGCCAACGACAAGCCCGACTCGGCCACGGCATGCTGCAGCGCTCCTCGAGTGATGTCGCTAAACGACCGGTATATGCCTGGACGTTGTCAGATTAGTAGGACCTAACGAACGCAGCGCGCCGAGGCTCTTCTAGACCCGGGCCTTCCCAGTTCCCCCTTACCTACCCATGCTATTGATTCGCCATGTATACTCTAACTGGTAGCGGCGCCACAGCGTTGCTACTGACGCCGCTTTATCCTCGTCGAAGAGCTTCGCGAGTTCTTCGGCAATTGACTCGGTTGAGAGGAGGGTCCCGTAAAGGTCGAATGCGACGATTGTCTTGTTCCCCAACATTGTCACTTCGATTTAGTCACGTCGTTCGCACTTCTAACTATGCCCTTTCTAGCTCGCCGGACCCTGCCACGGAAGAGTCAGGTATCTTAATTATTGCGGGGAAGCTTTGCTGCGATCTACCTGATCTTGGGAACCACCTACTTATATATTAGACTCAGGTGCTTCCCGCACACCGGACCGGGTCTCGCCGACCAGACGTCATCGGCACTTGCAGCGGTCCATTTCCACTTTTTGTCTTGTTCTCTTCCGTTCTCACTACCTGGGTAATAAGGTACGTGCCATGGTCCACCCGCAAGAGGGGAAATACGCCAAGAACTACGAACAGTTCCAAGATGCCCTCTCAGCCGTCCTGATCGAGAAGATCTCGAGGCCGCGGGCCCAGCCCAAGCGCCGTGCCAAATCGAGCAAGAAAGGACCGCCAGTCGAACCCTCAAGCGAGGCCGACAGCAACGGGCCGGAGACGGACGCCGAAGAGCTCGGCGAGTTCATCGACTACATTGCGTCCGAAATATTCTCCTCTCTACCGGAGGACCTGCAGGGCCTAGAGCACCACGTCTGGGCCTCATCCCCCGCTTTGCAGGAGCGGTACGCCCTCCCGCTGGCGGCGGACTTCGTCTCCTCGGCAGTCCTCCCGGCCCTGGACCCTTCGATTGCCGACTCCCTCCTCGCCTACGGTATCATCACCGTTCCGCCCTCCGCGACACCCGACGACGCCCAGTCCAGCACGACCGCCCTCCTGGCGCCGGTTCTGACCTCGTACGTCGCGGCTGCCGCCGCCTCCCCGCCTCCCCCGATCTCGACGAAGGCGCAGACGACGTGCTGCGAGATCTGCGGCCGCGACTGGGTCAACCTGTCGTACCACCACCTGATCCCGCGCATGGTTCACGCCAAGGCGGTCAAGCGTGGCTGGCACCGCCAGGATGAGCTACAGAACGTCGCCTGGCTGTGTGGCGCCTGCCACCGCTTCGTCCACCGCTTCGCCTCCCACGAGGACCTCGCCCGCCGCTACCACACCGTCGAGCTGCTGATGCAGCAGGCCAAGATCGTCGCGTTCGCCCAGTGGGTCGGGAGGCTGCGCTGGAAGGGGGGCTCGACGCGCGGGGGGAGGCGGACTGGTTAGTGGAGCGGAGGAAGAGAGGGAGCAGCGACGGGGAAAGACGGTGGGAGATCTCCCCCCCGTATGTCCTTGGCCTAGTTCTCCCTCGTTATAAGCCAGCATACATGCCTATTTACAGACAGAAATTCATTCCATTCGCGTCAATCATCAGTACAAGCATGGTCCGAAGCCCGACCGACCCTGCCCATGTTCCAGATTCGAGCATCCTGACTCCACATGTTCCCATCCCACGCCCTTTCATATTCCCCCGCAGGAAAGGGGGGGAAACCCTCCCCGCTATGTTGAGCCCCTCCCGGTGGTCTCAGGGTGGTTCATATCTCCTCTCGGGACAACATCCTCCCCACCACGCGGCCCCAGAAGCGCCCGGGTATCCTCCTCGCTCGCCGCCCGCCGCCGCCCCATCTGCGCCCCTCCGTCGACGCCGTCGACGTCGTCGCCGCCTCGGACCGTCTCGTCGTCGTCGTCGTCGTCGTCGTCGCCGTCCTCAGGCACAGCCACGAGACCATGCTCGCTATCCCTCCGGGCCACCTCCCCACCGGCATCCGGCGTCGAAGCATGGACCACGCCGGCGCCCACGAAGCTGGCCGAGCGCACCACCATGCGGCCTGCCGGCGCCGGTGGAGCCCCCGAGCCCCAGCCGAAGTCGGCGCCTACGGCGGCTAGGCCCGCGCCGCCGCTGTTGCTACTGCCCAGCGGCATCATCATCGACGAGTGTCGGCGCGAGTGGAGGTAGCCGTCGTAGAGGGTATCGCGCTGGTGGCTGTACGGCTCGCTGCTGCCGTGGCCGCCGGATGTGGTTGTTGTTGTTATTGTTGTTGACCTCGACAGGCCCGCGCCGGTCTGGGAGGCGTACGGGACGCTCGGGTAGGCGCTCGTCACCGAGACGGATCGCCGCTTGTTGGTCGCGGAGATGCGGACGTGGTTGCCCATCTCTGTGTCGTCGCCGCCGTCGCGGAAGCCGTAGGGCTTGACGTTGGCGGTTAGGTGGTAGTCGTCGTACCGACGTAGGCGGCGGAAGGTGATGACGGAGTAGGTGAAGGTGACGAGGGTCGCGGCACTAGGGCGGGGGCGCGTGTGTGTGTCAGTAAGTATGCCAGGGGCAGATGATCCCCGTATCGGGATGCTGCTATGCGGGAACGGGCTGGCTCACAGGAGACCGCAGTCAATGGCAAGGCCGATGATGGAGTAGTTTTGGTCGCTCCGGCGGATGTAGACGAAAATGTCGAGGCCGAGGGTGGCAAAGGCGCACGTCAGCTTGAGGACGTGTGTGCAGACCATCGAGAAGGGCGTCAAGGCTTCAGACACTGTCTTGGCGATCTCGACGGTGTTGAGCACCAGAGTCAGCAAGGAGAGGCCGACATTCGTACACTCCCAGCTACAGGGGCAGCGGCTGTCAGTCCCTCTGCTTCCCACCAGGGGGGCAATCCTTAGGGGGCGGGACTTACACGAGCTCCACCATGGGGAGACTGCCGGCCTTGTCTTTCTCTTCCCAATGTCTTATCGTCTGGGATAGCCGGTACGAGAAGGTGCCTATCAAGGCCAAAAGCATCGTTATCTGTGCGATCCAGAAGGGGATGAGGAGCTTGAGCAGCCAGCCGGCCCGCTCGAACTGAGCCTGATCCCGATGGCTCGCCATGTCGCCAAATCCTTCCCGTAGTAAGGTCTTACTACCACACGGAATTTGGGAGCGAGATATAGATGGCTCACAGTTGCGGCCGTTATTGCCTTATACGCCAGAACAACTGGGTCTTCATAGCCTCGGCGATGAGCGAAGGAATGAGGCTCTGGCGGGCGGCCATGGCTCCGGACCGGACCAGGTGCTATATATAAACTAGGTCCCGGAGATTCGGGTCTGTTTCGCTGTTCATGGCGAACGAGCGGAGACGGTGGAACCGAGAGCAGGCAACACACAGACAACCCACAAAGAATGCCTAGGACAGATGCACTAGTTCCTTTCATCTGGGCATGGTGTGATGCTGTACCCAGCCACGATGGTTTCATTGGCGGAAAGGCTCATTGAATTGCCTTGTGGATAACCGATATCCAACTACGGATTGCTGCGCGAGCTGGTCCCTCATAAACATCCCTTTTGGGGGTTGGCGTGCTTGCTAGGGGCGTTGCGGCTGAGCCACCTACCTTGTTCATCCTTCAGCTTATTCTTGGAGTGGAGGCTTCCTGGTTCCCCCGTTTCACACAAAGTTCAACGGAGTTGTTCTTGACTACATTTATAAACTTCACCTCGATTTTTTGTCGAATTTCTCGGCCTTCCAGCTGCCAAAACCAAAATAATTATAATTGTGTTTTGGGGGACTGTTGAAGCATCATCAGATCTGCGTGGGGCTTCCCTGTAAGCCGGGCATATTTAGCTTCACCCCCTGGTCTCTCCCCGCCTTGTCTACTACTGCGGTAGTGTATATGGAAGTTAAGATTAGTTTCTTTGGTGGAGTTGCATCTGAAGTCAGCCCAGTTGTATGGAGGGAGTCCGTGGCTTAATTGCCTCCGCCTTATTATAGTATAGGTGTGGCTCCAGGGCTGAAGCTGATGGGATTTTGCAGTTTGCGAAGAGCTTGCCAAGCAATCTTGGTGGATGCACGAGAATGTTTGTTAATTGCTTCCGTGCACTTTGAGCGGTCTCTCCTTGTACATGTGTTACTGTTTCGGCTTCTGCCAATATGGATTCTTCTGCAGCTAGGAAGTGTTGGAAATGCTAGAAATGCCTGGTCAGGGCCGGCAAGGATTTCGTAATAGACCTTGTCAGTGGTAGACGTCTTATATCCATAACCTGTGTCAAAACGATCAAAGCTGATCTGATTGAGTAGTCAGGGCCAAGATCGCCCGACCAAGTTAATTGGCAAGAACAACGATATCTTCTCTCGCAGGGGCCCTCCGTTGAGGTATTTGGGAACTAGCCACAAATCAAGAAATACCCTTAAGCCGTGCTTTTGCTGCCACACCCTCAGGTGAGAGGAATGACATGACGAAGCAGCACTAGCAACCAAGGCAACTTTGACGGTGGCCGTGTAATGATCCAACAACACCGCCTAGAAGGTAAACCTGGAACCATAATTAAGACTTCGGGTTTAAATATCAACCGAAACTGTCCTGCAAGCCGCAGAAGTCGACACATGTGCGAACAAGGCATCGGTAGACGAATCCGTCACTTGGCGCCCAGACGGGAGAAAAGCATCGTTTGCCAACTACCATGAATTTATTTAGTATACAAGGCTACCTTCATACCAATGCGTCTGGGATGCCTGGTCATCCCATTCCCGTGATGGGATATTCAGAAACAGAAAAGGCGAAAAGAAATTCATAGTTCAACCTTCGAACTGAGCAGACCCCCCCCCCAACCCCCCGCGCCCCCTTTTTTAAGCTCTCGGTGTCTCCCTCATTATCGCTCTCAACACCGTCGACGCCCGCCTCTCACCTTCAACTACCGACCTCTCCACCGCCCGCTCCAGGCTGCTCATACCTCCCCCTCAGCGCGTCGACCTCCCTCTGCAGCGCATCCAGATCCGCCAGTATGTCGTTCGCAGCGGAATGATCCGCGGCTTCTTCCGCGCCCGCCTCGCCCTCCTCCCTCACCACCTCTACCCCCGGTTCCTCCACCACCGCCCCGCCAAGGACCCGGACGCCATCCACACTCGTCCTCCGCCCCGGCCCGTCGGCCCCGTCTCTGCTGCCGCCCCTTGACCTCTTCGGAGGCGGTGGCGGTGGCGGTATAGACCCGGACCCGGCCGCGCCACCGTCCTTTTCGCGGCCGACGCGCCTCGACGTCGCGTCGAAGCTCGACACGCTGGCCGGGCGGCCAGACGAGCGGACCGACTGGTTCCGCGCCGGAGGGGGCGGCGGCGGGGATAGCTTTGTCGGCCCATGTCCGTGACTGCTGGTGCTATTGGTGAGGACTGCCGTGCCTGTACCGGCCGCTGCGGAGGGTGTGCTGGCGCTGGGGGCAGAGCTAACGGCGTCAGCGATGTTGCCATGTCGCGGATGGGGCGATGACAGCTCCAGATCGGGTAGCGTTGGGCTTGTGGCGCTGTTACTGGATGCGATGCTGGAAAAGCTGAGGGCCGAGGGCGAGGTGAAGGATGCGGATTGGCGGGATCCGTGGTTCGGCCGCCGGGGCGGCGGTGGGACTGGAGCGTGAATGCTGACGCGGAGGCTGGAGGAACGAGATCGTGTCGAGTCTACAGAAGAGCGCCGCGCAGTGTCGGGTTCATCACCACTCGGGGCCACAGCTGTCATTGTAGCGTTGGGTCTCGCCGCTATAGACGCCTTGCTTTCTATCCTGGCGTGAGGATTCCTCCTAGGCGGGGGCGCTGGTTTTCTTGACGCTTGAGGCAACGTTGCTGCCGATGTCGAATTAGAGGCATTTGGGGGGGTCGGTGGTCGGGGAGGCGGTAGCACAGCTGCGTCTGGGTCAGGGATTGGCTCGGGCACTTTTCCGGCTGCCTCCTTGTCGAAGATACTTTCAGGATCCTCGTCCAGGGAACTCCGTGCAGGAGCTGGTGGAAGGGGTTTGTTCACGTCTGAAGGTGTGGATGGACGTTGTTTCGGCGGTGATGTTCCAGGAGAAGAACTCGGGCCAGCGCGGCTGGGTGAGGATGGTTGAAGTATGCCTCCAGGAACCTGGCCGGCATTCCTATTTGATTGATTCAAATCAACCCCTATAAGTTTCCCATGGCGAGAGCTTGGAGGCCGAGGTTTCTTCCTCAAAGTCGACGGTGCCGGCTGGGTTTTGGCCAGCGGCTCACTAACCAAACCAAGCTGATCATCATCTCCAGGATCGGAGTTTTCATGTGAGGTTCGTGGAGTCTCCTGCGGGTGGGTAGTCTCAAATACGGACTGCCGTGAAATAGACGATGCGTCAGTGGTGCTGGCACCGTCGCCGGTAGGTGCCGGTGGGTTTGCTGTCTGGGGACCGGCGGCTGTCCCAGTTGCGGCCCCCAGGCCAGTCAGAAGCAGCTTCCTGAAGGCCTCCACGTCAAGGGAGCCCTTTCCTCCAGATGAGGGGTTTTCCAACTGGGGCCGGTATGTGGGATTCTGTCCTCTGTCCTCTAGTGTCTTCTGGAACGGATTTGCTGGAGGTCTATGCGACGACAGCGGTGGTGTTCCTATCTGGCCTATCTGTCCTTCCTCCGAGAGGCTTAGAGGCGACGGGGCGCCCTTGAACGGATCCTCGCCCTCTTCTTCTTCTTCTTCTCCTTCATCGCTGCTAGTGCTGCTCTCTTCTTCACCCTTGCCGCCTAGGGGATATGTATCTGGCGCACTCGATGACGATTCTGGCGACGATGGTGGGGGTGACTGCACGCGCACCTTCTTAACCACCTTTGGCTTCTGGAAACTCGTCGAGGGCGGCGGCTGGGATGAGTGGGGGAGAGCTTGGAGCTGGCTTCGGAAGTAGTCGCTGGAGGGCAGAGGCGCAGGAGGGCCTGAAAGATCGACCGAGGCCGGGAGCGGTGATGATCCGGGAGCCCCGGGCTGCCCAGGCGGGGGCGGGGCACCAGAGCCTGGAGCTTTGCGGCGGAATGGGTTGTTGGAACCGAAAGGAGTCTCGGGCATTGTGTCGGATGAGGGACAAGAGGGTGAGAGGGCGAGTTAACTAGCTGGCGATATCTGGTCTATCGTTGCCTACAGATATATTCCACCCATTGTCACCGAGTGTAGGGACTCCTGGGATGTCGATGAGGAGGTGGTGGAGCAGGCAGGACGCGGCCCAGAAGTCGGATTGGGAGCAACCAAGTCTCACGCCAAACTGGTGGGGGACAAAGAAGAAGCAATGATGGCACAGGAGACAGTTCAGAGGAAACGATGCCGCCGACAGGATTTCTCTCACCTGTTCGTGACCTTGAGTACACGCAAGAGTCAATAAGGCAGCGCAATGACTGGTCGATTAGCGATCACGTCGTCCAACGTGCTTATCGAGGGCCGCCGTAATTACGCCGTAACCGCTAAGCCTACACGTGACCACTTATCCCCGCACCGGAGACCCCCCCACGTGACGGTGAAATCCGCAGGCGCGAGCCTGATAAGTGCCGAAGATAAGTTTTTGACTGCTTATTCGGCCGCCTCCCTCCCTTACAACTATACTATACTGCTATACAGCCCCCGGAACCGCGATCTACAGCATGTCGACAGGAGACCTTTACCTAGCCGCCGACGAGAGGGCCCGCGCCGCGCGCCGTGCGGGGCTCCAGGCGAAGAAGGACGAGCAGCTGGCGAATACAGCGTGGAGCTACGCGTCAAAACAGCGCGAGTGGAAGGTAAGTGTATATATATATATATATATATACACGTATACATGCCCTAGCTGACCTTTCCCTTCTAGAAGTGGTGCCTTGCGCCCCGTATAGCTATAGACGGGTCTTCCTACAGCTGGCCTGACGGGGAGCTTGTGACCCCTGACAAGCTGGCAGCATGGCTCAGCGAGGATATCCTCCTCCGGCGCGTCAAGACCCCTGCAGGCCAGAGGCACCCGCAGCTGCGCAGTGCAGCTGGGCAGCTACGCAGGGAGCAGGACGACGCGGCTGCCCTGACTAAGGCAAAGACCCTAGCTGCAGACCTTCAGTTGCCGCTAGCTGAAGCTGCCGAGCTGCTTGCAGACGACCGCAAAGACTATATAGCCCCTGCCAGCCTTACACCTACAAGAGGCGTACAGCCAGACCTAGACCCAGAAGTGCCAGCAGAACCATTACTTACGCAGGGTACAGTCGACGCCTATATTGCGGCTGTAATTAAGCTCTGGCAGGTCCAGGTAGCCCACAGCAACCGTAATACGGAGAACCCCCACAGCGCTGCAGTCCGTAGCTTCCTTGAGCAGCGTGGGCGGCAGCGCGGCCGGCTAGACCAGGAGTCCTTCCAGGACCGCGGGAAAGAAGGGATTCAGGCTGGCTATTCGCCTAAGGAGTGGCTCCGTATACAGGACCTCCTACTCGGCGGCACTGCACTACTCCTGCAAAACCTACGTACCTGTGTGGACCTACTCTTTGGCCACTACTACCTCCTGCGCGGCGAGAACCGGCGGAAAATGGAGCTGGCTGACCTGTCCCTTCTTGACTACCCTGCTTCTGAAGGCCCTACACCCTGCAGCTGCCTTGTAAGCCTGCTGCAAGACAGCAAGCTGAATAAGACAGCGCGGAAGGAATTTATGGGCGCCCTCTGCCACAAGGACCCCCTCCTCTGTATGCAGGGAGCTCTCGCACAGCTTTTCTTCTAGCGGTGGCATATTGCAAGCAAGGCGCTGCCGTCCTTCCGGCGCCGGCAGGACTGGTACCATATTAAAGTCCTTGTTGGCCAGGACCGTGAGCAGGAGATTTCATACGCTACGCAGCTTCAGGAGACGTGGCGTATATTTGGCGCCGCCAGGCTAGTCTCAGCAAAGAAGACGCACCTCCCGCGAAGGGTAGGCGCGCAGGATGCCGAGACCTACGGCACCTCCTTAGCGCAGATCTCGCAGGCAGGCTGCTGGAACCAAAGTGTGCTTGTAAAGGCCTACCTTACACACCTGCCCTGGCAGTTCATGCAGGTTGTAGCAGGCTTCTCAAGCACAGCTGGCGACTACTACCTCCCCCGCGCAGCCCATAAGCCGCCGCAGCAGCTGCAGAAGCAGCTCTAGCCGTGGATTGAGGAGTGGGAGCCACGCTTTGCAGCCCATGCGTGCCGGGAGGGCTGGGCAGAGGGGGGGCTTGACAAGGATGACTTAGCTGCTGACGGCTTTATCAAGCTTCTCCAGCACCTGCGGAAAGTCCTGCTCCAAGACTTAGCAGTCTTACAGCCGCGCTACCCGTCCCTACCTTTCTTTGCGCACGCGCTGTTCCACGGGCCTGACTAGGATGCCTTTGCCCACGCAGTACAGGCAGACGCTGTCGCTGGCGAGCCGCAAAGCTTACTCCTGCAGCATGCACTGCCAGAGCTAAGCTCCATCCTGGAGAGTATGCGCAAGGCAGTCCTTTATAACAGTACACGCCTTGCAGGCCAGCTTGACGGGCGGCTTGGGGAGCTCCAGGGCAGCTTTGAAAGCCAGCTGCAAGGTCTACGCGGAAGCCTCGACACGCTAATCCAGGGCCGTATCCCAATCACCCTAACCAGCTACTTCAGGCCGCCGCCGCCGCAGGACCCTACTTTGGCAGTGACGACTGTGCCGGCAGTGCCAGGGCTAGTCAGTGCAGCAGGGTTAGCCGACCCTGCCGCAGCTTCTACGCCTAGCATAAGCACGCCTATATACGTAGCACTGGCTAAGGCGTATACAGTGGCAGATACCTGGCGCGAGTGGAAGGAAGGGCTTGGTGGCCGGCCGGCTATACAGTCGCTAGAGGAGACGTGGGGGAGTAGCTGGCGGCCAGGCAACGCAGTACGGGTCCAATTCTGCCGTCGGAAAGTTATCTGGGATGCTATACAGGGCCGTGTAGCCGGCAGGGCAAGTGAGGAGGAGGCTGTCGCTGAGCTTGAGCTCCTGCGCGCCGGCCGAAGTCTAAACCGGCTTGTTGATAACCTTAAGCAGCGCCGGCAGCACGGGCAGAGGGCCCGTAGTAGTACGCCTGCCGGCCGCGGGCAGGGCCGGGCACGGCGCTTCCAGCTGTTTGGGAGGCGTGGTGGGCTGCAGAGACATGCTGTAGCTACATAGTCTGCCTTAGGAGCCTCCGTTAGGGAGCCCTATACAGGCCAATATAATATATATAACACGATACCATTTTTGTGATTCTAGGAGCTATATATGTGCATGTGCAGGGTAGGCTTTACGCAACGTAATTGTGTAAGTCGGCGGCTGGGCGGGCGGCCGGGCGGGCGGTGTGTGTGGGCACTAATTTGTAAGACTTATCATTTGGCCTATCTGTAATCACGGCCAATTTCGCGTAATTACTCAGCAAAAGCCACCCTCGATAAGTTCTGCTTATCGGAGTGCACGAGCCAACAAGGAGCGCCCGCAGCGGAGCTTCCACCCTACAGTACGGATGTACGTAGGCATCTTATCAGATTCCCACTCAAGGTACGGAATATTAAGCTGCGAAGCTACCTATTCTATCGGAACATCCTGGTCTCGGAAGGAGCTCAACCAAAACTCTCGAGATACATAAGCCTAATTAATGCTAGTGCATTTAATTGAAAGTCGATTATTCGTAGATTAGGCTTTGGTGCGTGGTTCTGCCTTGCTGCTCTTTCCATGGAGAACAAAAATCCTCGTGATAGAGTTAAATCCAGCATCGGTACTACCCACCCCTGCATACGCATACCTTAAGGAGAAAAGGGGCGGGTCCCATACGCGCCAAGTTACGGAGTAATTCTGCCAAAATCTTTCACAGTAAAAGACCGGTGTGAGATGTAAACAAAGCAAATACACACGAACCTGTCGCGACTTGCAAAACGCTTGGCGGGAAAAACAGGCAGTCAAAACGGCGAGTCAAAACATACAAAGCACAACGCAGGTCACAGTGATATTCGTTCGGTCTTCAGTCGTCATAACACAGAACCATCCAGCCATTGGTATAATTACAGTTTCCCTCTCATACCACCCACGCAGCTCGCGCCAATGCTCCATGATCGAATCGGACCATCCGGCGTTATGGAAGTCCATGGTCTCGGCTTCCGTCTATGCAAGAACCATTAACATGCCCATGATGCCAGCCAACGTCCGCCAATCATTCCGGTCCAGAAGCAAGATACAATAGCCAGTGCAAAAAAAGATACCCTGCGCGACGGCTGATTTCGCGTGCCGTTTTCCCCAGATTCCCTTGAAACCCTGAACGCCATCCGGAAAAAGAAGGTCATCACATCCCACAGTGGAGAAGGCCAGACAGCGAATAATGCTGCCGGGTCACGAGTCTCTATGCCCGTCTGGTTTCCTACTCTTTCTTCGCCGCAGACCTCTTGGCTGGCGCCGCTGTCCTCTTGCGTGGCGCCGCCGGCTTAGCAGCCGTCTTTGCAACCCGGCCCGACTTGGTCTTGGTCAGAACAGTCGGCTTATCCACAACGGCAGGAGCCTAAATGATGGTGAGATTGACAATGAGAAAACGTGTTGTAGAGCCATGACTTACGGTCGTCTTCTTGGGGGCGGCCTTCTTGGGGGCGGCTGCCTTTTTCTCCTTGGTCTCCTTCTTAGGCACAGCCTTCTTGGGAGCGGCAGCCTTCTTGGGAGCGGCTTCCTTCTTGGGAGCAGCCTCCTTCTTAGGAGCAGCCTTCTTTGGCGCGGCTGGCTTGGCAGCCTTCTTCGCCAACTTGGTACCACCGGAAGCACCTACATGCGGGTAAGTATCACAGAGAAAGGATGGCTCGAGGCCACGAATGGGATGAGGGAGAGAAACTTACCCTTTGGTTGCTCGAAGATGCCCTTCTCAACGCCACTCTTCAATGCCTTGTTGAAAAGCGAATCGAACATGTTGTCCGTGGCATGGATGGCGTTGTTAGCACGAACATATTTCTTGAGGGATTGCCGGCTATCGGACCAGATTAGCTACAGGACATGGGGCGAAGGTAGGGGCGCATAAGGATGGCGAAAATGAGCGGGGCTGGTCAATAAATAATAATAAATAAAAGGTTCTTACCTCGATCCGTTGCGGTTCTTGAGCTGTAAAATTGATTCATGTCAGCATTGTGACTCTCGGGTCTTGGATGGAAGTCAAGTTGGCGTCGAAGCATCAATGGGCATCACGAGGGGTCGCCTCGTCACGCGCCCATCGACGAAGTGGCCCCTAAACACTAAATGCGCCGGAAGGAGAGAAAAAAAAGTGAAATACCGCAACGATGGCATCGGTGATCATGTCCTGGAGCTTGTTAGCAAGAGATACGCGATCAAAAAAGCTCGGGTCCGGGTTGCATACCTGATACGAAGCGTGGGTGCTTGGCTTGGACTTGGAGGCAGCAGCGCCCTCAGATTTGGTTTCGGTCTTCTTGGGAGGCATTGTGAATTAGATGTGGCGGTGCTTAAATCGTGTTTTGATGATGGAAATTCGGGAGAAAAGTCGCGACGGCTGGAATCTACGGTCAAGAAGGGTCGGAAACAGAAGAAGGTTGCCCGGGCGGGCGCGCTGGCCGGGGGAGGGCTTGTTTATATGTGAAGGCGGGGGTCGCGGCAATCAGCACAATCACTCGAGGCAGGAGGAAGGGCAACCCAATGAACAAAAACCCACATGTATAGATACCTCGCTGGCAGTAGTAAAATAGCTAGACAGCACGTATCTATTACCTGGCTGCGCTGGCAATAATAAGCTTTCGCACTGCGGACCAGGCTACATGTGGCCCGAGCTCCCCCCTAGAGCGCCATCTGGAAATCGCTTGCAGGCATGGAGCTTGCACCTCGACCGGGGGGTATCACTGGCTGGAGCTCCCCACTCCAGGTGTGGCGGACGTTTTGTCACGCAGCCAATCCCAGCTGCCCATCTGTTCTCCCGCACTGCCACACGAGCCCAAACCTGGACCCCACCCACGCACTTGCCCGCTTTGGGTCACTGTTACTGATTTACACTAGCGCGTGTCTCGAGCCGTCGACGGGTTCTCTAACAAAATCAGAAATTCCAAAATGATCGCGCACGTCACCTATTTTCTGATTGGCCAGCGTCCAACAACAAGTCATCCGCTTTGTACCCCCCAGGACCTCAATCATGCGCACCCCGCCGCCTCCCTCTCTGATCGCCAGGTCGCTGACCTCCCCAATCCCTCGAGCTCTTCCCTCTCTTCTCCCCCCTCCTCTGCTGGCCTCTTGCGCCAATGCGACTAGTCGATTGCCTGCTGCTTGAAGTCACCAGATGAGACACTTGTAAGGGGCTAATTGGGCTTGGCTCTGAGCGACCTGTTTTGACAGAACCTTTGATCCATTTTGCAACCGAGATGCGACGAGTTTTGATAACAGTTGGATCGCTTTGGGCGAAGATGGATCGATACTTGCTGGCGCATTCGACATGGCGCTCTCCCAACCCCCGGTTGGCAATATAATTTCATGGGATACCCTTTCTCTCAATTTTCGGCCTTCGATCCCTTGCATTTTCGGCAGACGTGCATCTCTCTGGCCCGAGTTATTTGCGGTCCCATTCCAAGTCTCATTTCAGGGGTTTCCGCCATTTCAATTGCATCCCAAATTGAAGTTATCCGCACCTCGGCCCAGCTGATCGCACCTCACTTTCACCTCCACCTTCGCTTTCACATAACCCGTTTACAGAAGCGAGTCAGTCTCGCAAGCGCTCTCTTTCTCCCTCTATGTCTCAATTTTTTATTTCTCTCCAATAATATTTCGAGTTTCCCGAAAACTCCAAACAGGCATTTGAGTCTTGCATCATTTTCACGTCACATCGGACCAGGGTCGAAGCTGGTCCTGCTGTCCATCGCACCACAACACCGAGAACCATGAGACGGTTCCGCGCTGAGCGGTGAAGCTCAGGCAGAAGATCTGCCTGTCCACTGTCTGTCACTGACAAACGGGACACGCGCCTCTTGGGGCAAGGGACAGACCCAGACTCCAGTTCTCACTGCTTGATCCCCGCCCAACCACCTCCGGTCCTCGCCTTCCAACTCTCATGCCCAGCGATCTGATTATGACTCACCATCATTTACGGCGGGTGGCTAGGCAACAACAGCACAGTGATGGTCAGGTGGCCCATTACTGCTGGATTTTTTTGGCAGTTTGGGTGGGGAGAATTCCTTCAACTATTTGGCACGCGTTGCCCGTGGTATGGAACAATGATGACGGTAGTACCATCATCCTCGGAAACCCCAAAGGTTCAACATTGCCTACAATGCTCTACCTATTCATGTTTAGACCAAGTCCCAGGCGCTATATTCGTCCTTCACGCCCAAGTGGGGGGTTATCGACGTTATGCCCGACTCTGCCTACCTTCGACATGTGGCGACGCAGGCGACTACCTTTTCTCCCCTCATGTTGCCGCCAAGTCTCGACGATGAAGCTTTAACGCATGTTCGCGCTCTTTGTAGTTGAGGCGGCAACGTGATGGCAAGGAGGCGGTCGATTGTCGCTCGCCCACGCCATGCTATTTCTATTCGAGCCCCGTCCTTAGACTTGCTAAAGGCGGCTCACAATTACTCAACCAGCTTTACCAAAGCACATGCTCCGACTTCATCTTTGGCACCGTTGCATGGCTGAAATCGGTTCAGAGACATGGTAAAAAGCTCTGTACCTGTACCTGACCTGCTCGATATATATATATCGAATTGATCACCTGCCGACACTCATCCTTTGCGTCCTAGTTGGCAATTCATCTGGGGTTTCAGCACGTAGCACGTTTGCTGGCGTCTTTGAACCTCGCTGCAATCCTTATACCTTTCTCGGCCGGACTTCGACGTGATGGTGAGAGGAGAGTGATGGGGCTGCAAACTTGTTGTGAGATTCGCCGTGGGAGACTGCCCTACATAACCAGATATGCCAAAGCTGAAGCTTAGCTCTATTCAAGGACACCTATACCACTCCTCGGCCGATAGCAAGAACGATACGACGGAGTGCCAGCGCGCAAGTATGATAAGCATGCCATTAAAAGCCCCGTTGATCAGCTTGGCTGCCCTGTCCCTGATACGGGCGATGACATTGGGCACCCTGCTGAATACCCGTCATTCTCTACAACTACATAAACGTGTAAACCGCCACAGTAGTACCCGTAACGTGGGCAAGAAAGGTGGGCAAGCAAGGCCAATTACACTCGAACAATAGAGATGGATTGCTCACCATATTTGCTTTCATTCTAGTGGCCTGGCCTCGTTGTGTCGTTTCCATAATACCATTGTATCTTTCGAGTTCCAGTTGCTGCTTCAACGTTGGTCATTCCTTTTGATAACACGATATATGTATCATTGTTCTTGATGTTACCACCTGCAGGGCCCAAACTTTGGATAGGGATCATCGACAACAGGGTAGCAACGTTAATCACCCTACGAAGTATCAGTCCCGGAAGATTTGCTCAGGTTGCCTGAATCCATCTCTCATGGAACCAATCCTTATCGGCTCTGACCACATTGGAATGCATTCAGTTTCTCCATGATGCGGCACTGGGGTGTTCCCAGACTCTCCCAAGACAAAGCTTCCCCCACAACAGAACTCGATACACGTGAACCTGCCCCTGTCGCAAACCCCCCAGGTTACATGTGCGTGCGACGACTCAGTTTACGGCTCTTCGGCAACGCACGATAGAGGGGTTGCGTGTTCCCTTCCCTTCCTCCCTCCCACCTCCGCTCTGCACTCTCTCGATGGAGAAATCGATATAGAAACTGCGCGGTGTCATCTTGAGGGTCCGGTCACCCAGCTCGAATCCAGGCGGTGAAGACTTGCCCGAGTCATATATCTGCTGTTGCGTCATGCCACTCGCTGTCTGTCCTATTCTACGACAGCTGTCCAATGATACGATACGTGACGAATATGGCTTCGGAGGCGTCTATATTCCATGTCTGTCTATGTACTCCTCTGCGCCCCGGCAATATCTATGTACAGTAGTGCTGCTCTTCATGTGGCTGAGCCAGAATGCCTGGACAAGCAAGAAATTCAGGCAAGCAAGCAAGCAAGCAGTCTCGCGGTATTTTGAAATAGCGTATGTATGTGCAATGCAAACTCCATCATCCGTCCCGGTCCAGCGTATGCATGTCCTCCGATAATTTGCTTCGCAACTGAAGAATGTGCCCGTAGGCTTTTCCCGTCCCGCTCAAGCTTCTCTACCATCCGCAAAAAAACGCCATGCCATGCAAATAAGATACGATAACAGGCCGATGCAGTCAAAGTCATTCTAACGGCAGACAAGAGAGAGAGCGGCATTTCGTCCCCTTCCCTCAATCTCCTTCACATCCCCGGGTAGAAAAGGCCAGCTACAGGGCTTTCTCTGACGGATCCGGAGCAGACCCTCATCCCCAGTCGTGGATCTCTCGTTCTTCCCGTCGTTCTTCTCGTCCCTTCTCTGAGTCGCCTGAGACGCCGTGATGCAGTATCCTGCATCTAATCCTGCAGTCTTAGATGCAGAACTTCTTGTCCAAGACCTGCAAGGCGCGTGCGTCCTCTAAGAATTGTCGCTTCTGTTGAGACTGCGACATCCCTGCGATGCTGCTGCCTGAGGGCCCCATACCAGCTCTCGGGGAGCTATTGGCGCTGTTGTTTCCCGGGTTTGCGCTGTTTGGTTCCGAATTTACTGGTGTGGGATGCAGTAGCAAGGCCGAGAGGCTGGCCTTGTTGGTGTTGGGGGGGGCGCCGATGACGCCGCTCACTTCCGAGTGCGAGCTCCGTGGCGGAGATACGGACAAACCTCTAGGCGGCGGAGTAGCCATAGACGGCGCGTTCTGTGATTGGCTGGGCGCCGGAAGCGGCCCTTGTACATTCCTTGAGCCAGCACCTGCGAGTCGCGGATCAACGTAAGCCGCCTCCCTTGCCTGCGGCTGCAGGTGTCTTGAGCCTGGAGAATCAAGAGGACCAACCCTCGGTTGGTGCGCAGCATACATGTGAGACGCCAATGGCATGCCAGCCTTTGGTTGGGGAGGGCCGGTTGCTTGCGGTGGTGGCAGAGGTGTTCGATCGTAGTGCGGGTTCGTCGGCGCCGTAGGGTATATGGATTGCTGAGGCGGCGGATAGTGAGGGTGTTGGGGGTGCTGGGGGTGTTGGGGATGCTGAGGGCGCTGCGAGTGCTGAGGGCGCTGAGAGTGCTGAGGGTGCTGGGGGTGCTGAGAATGCTGAGAGTGCTGAGCATGCTGAGGGTGCTGAGGGTGCTGAGGGTGCTGAGGGTGCTGAGGGTGCTGAGGGTGCTGAGGGTGCTGAGGATGATGAGGGTTCTGAGGAGGCTGGGCATGTTGGGCATGCTGAGAGTGTTGGGCATGCTGGGGATGGTGAGGATGGTTAGGCGGAGGTGGTAGGTGAGGCGGGGGGTGAGTCTGGGGGTATGCCGAGACCGTGTAATGTCCGTGGCTGTAGGGCGGTGTCGCTACGGGCGAGGGGGGCCAAGAATAACCTGGCTGGACGTACTGTGGCGGATAAGCCTGAGGCGGCGGCGGCGGTTGTTGTGGTGGTGCTGCTTGGTGTTGCGGCGCAACGTAAGGTGGTTGTTGCATGGGTGTCCGCGTGAGAGCTGGCACCGGGGTCTCGTTCATGCTCGACTCTGGGTACATGCCCTTGACCGGCACGATGTGTCGCAGCGATGGATCTGTGCTAGGCTGAGGCAGGTCTGGTTGGCCCGGATGCGGCCTCGAGTAGTAGGAGATCAGATGCAGGTGCTGCCCGGTCGAAGTAGTGATGCTGAAGGACTGCTTCATAAGCCCATCCGCTTTGTATCTGTACCCATCCGGCTCTCCCTCGTCATGGTCCTCGTCGCTACCGCGGCCAGAGTCGGGGGTTTTACCAGTACCTCTCCTGCTGCCCCCAAAACCGCTTCCTCGCTTGCCCTCCATCTCCCGATAGGTGAGGAAACTACCGGAGACGCGGCTGGCACTCCACGATTTCCCGTCGGTCCATCGCCGCATTCCCGCTTCCCGCTCGTCCCAAACGAAAACTGAGCCCGACCTGATAGATTGGCGTTCCTTCTCCGATAACCTTCGCTGGACTCGGGGTAATAGACCCAACCGGCAAGCTTCGAAGAGCTTGATGGCGTCTGCGGGGGTCCGCACGAAGCCGTAGTACGTTTCCATCATCGGAGTTGACTGTCTCCGATTCCGTGGAAGATTTCAATTAAGCGTTGGGACCGGATGTAAACAGGAATTGGACGTCAATCCGATGACTGGAGCTCAGCTTCTCTTTAACCGAATGACGGATAAGTTGCACTCGGGCCCTCTTTCGAAGCCAATGCAGACAGCTCCACCATTCAAACTTCCCAGGACGGCGTCGAGCTGTTCGATATCATTAATTTCCTGTACAGATCGGGGCGGAATGTGTCGCCCCACCCACCGTGTCGCAGGAACTCTGCAACCCAGATCGACCCGTGGTTGGGAGAACCTGAACAAAAAAGGCAAGTGTAGTCGAGAGGTGGCCACACTGGGGACAACCTGAGACGTCTCGACAAGGGTTGGGTGGAGATCTGGCGCTCTTGGAAATCTGTTACGTTAGCCTCCCAAGATCGAACAGTCGAGAAAGAAAGTTTTGCAGCAAAGGAACAGAAGCTTAACCCAGGCAAGGTTTGCTGATGCGTGCTTGATGTGCGGCGCATGAACAACAAGTCTGGCAATCCTTGGTGGGCAAGCCTCAGATCATGCGGGCGAAAGGGCAGGCTTGCGGAACGCCCAGGGTATGAAATCCAACAAATGTAGCACAGGCGGGGCAACCTATGCCAAGAGCAGCATTACACACAAGGTACAGCTTAGACTTCGTCCACGCACTTGCAAGTGGGCAAAAAAAGGTCTCGTCTGGTTCCAAGGCATTCTGGTGCAGTCATGCCTAATAAGAGCCTTTCGATCGCGTTCCGTCTGAGCCAGATCAACTAAACCTTGCCGGCTCCGTTTTCCTGGAAATCGATGCAATAATTGGGACGACTGTAGAACAGACGTCGGCTGCCACTGGCAAATGCGTTCATCAACCGATCGCTCCTCTCTCCGACTCTACTCGGTCTTTGTAATCGATGGTCCCCCTCCATCTCGAGTTTTGAAGCCGCGGACGGGGAAGCCCTTGGCAATGCCTGCGATGTCCCAACACTTACCAGTGAATGTGTATGTATGTATGCATGTTCGGCATAATAGCAAAGGCAAGGACGGTGATTTTCGCACAATGAATCAATCGACCGAAACAAGTAAATGAACCCACCCAGAACAGTTGTGGGTATCGTCAAGACCCCAAGGCGAATGCGTTTTAGTTGTGTAGAAGAAGGATACGAATCGGAGCCGACCTGTTCCTATCAGAGTTTGGGGGGCGGAAACAAGAGAGATGGTAGCAAGTCAGGTGCATAACAGAGCGTGTTGGGTAAGTCTGCTGCGGCAGAGTCGTCGAGGCTTGCGTACGGAGGAGACGGGGACTACGCCTTTGGGCGGGTGGCAGTTGAGGTCTCGGATGTGGGCGTGCTTTTGGAGGCGGAGTGTGGGCTTTCGACAAGAAAAGATAGATGCAGAAGGTGCAGGCGGATGGAGCACCAAGCTTGATATTTTAGCTCTGTGGTAGCGTACCTACCTATATTTCCACAGCCCTCTTTTTCCCCATCCAGAATTGAGGACGTTTAAAGTTTTGACCGGGACCCCCTTGCACGAAGAATGGTACGGATACTTTGTCTTGACTTTGTCCAAGCTGGCATAGTGCCCCTGTCAATTAAGCTGCCACAGGGTGACGACGTGCCTGTGGGTACTAGAAAGTGGAAATAATGGAAGCCGCAAGCCCCGCTGCTACACCAAGACAGAGGGGGGTTATCGAACTGGGGTCTTGATCCATTTCTCGTACGATGTAGGTACCTAGGCATGTACTGTACTGTACCTCCCTAGTAGGTAGGTAGTTCCCTTGGTACCTACACTAGTGAGATAAGTTCCATGATATGCAATAACACGGGTACCTAGTGTACATTTGTCAGCGACCCTCCCTGCTGGAGGTACAGATTGTAGACTCTCTATTCCAAAGGGACATCCAAGAAAAAAAGATGAGAGAGGGCAAAAATAGCCAGAGGAATGCGAGCGGAAAGCCGCGACGGTTGCCCGAAAAAAGTCTAACCCACCATGCAGTATAACGAGAGCCCTAGTACTGGCCATATACTGCACAATAGCGAGCTAAGAACAGAGGCCTATTTGGCCCCGATATCACTCCGGTCAACATCCGTCTGGCGTGGAGGATAGGTACTTGCCCCAGTTGCCCTAGTTGCAGAGTATCTAGGTATTGTTCCGGTCCTTCTCCGTCGTATCCGGCTCCGCTCCTTCGGCGCACGTGTCTTGAAAATTGAGGCTGTTCTAGGCAACCTTAATTCAAGAGGTTCCGGCCCAGTCCGCGGGTGGTCCTGGCGTGTGGTGGCGTCTGGCTCATACTACGTAGAGCTGACTTGACTATTGGAAGTTAGCTGGGTTGGCGGTGAGGAAGAAGCAAATAACTAGGTAATTTACCTCACGCCTTATCGAGAACCTGGGGGCAGGAAACTCTCTTCGTGTACTGCGTAGTATACCCCGTGAGGGCTGACATCAGAAGAGATTTGGAAGCAGCTAAGTGAGCATCGTGACTCGAGAGTCGCTGGGAACCAAGCAAAATGGCGCAGTCCCTCTGACTAATGGTAGGGAGGATGGAAGGTGCCCACGATGGAGGGAATGGATTGTGGGGCGAGCGGCTTGGCTCTGTGCGCATACACTGTCTTGAGAAGTATACATATATGCGCTTACACGGGCATTAGGTACAGTACCTACTGTGATCGAGCCCATGTTCAAGCTTATTTTACGCCCCCGCTCAATACTTCGCTAGTCACTGCCAAGTCATGTTGGCCACTTCTGTTCTGGGCAATGGGTTTTTACCAAAGTAAGTTGCCTGGGCGTACCAATCTGGACATCTCGCCAGTGGCCAATTGCTCAGCGGCGCCCATGGGTCAATGCATTCTGCTCGCCTTTCTGGAGCGCCGAGCGAACACGCACCTCGGGTTGGAAGCGAGTTTCCTTCCCAAAAGGTGATGTCTACTAATAAGCGAAAGGGGTGAGGGAGGAATGGATCGGCCATATGGTGTGCTGGTGTGCCCTTCATGGAGTGACGGAATGTGGGTTAGTAAAACCCGCCCCTATCAACTTGGAACCTTATTGTCTATGGATGGTTAGACAAGCATCTTCCTGCATCAATTCGGTGATCCTTCGGTCTCTTCTCCCATATCGTTATATTGTATGTGTGGATCAACAGCAAGCGCGAGATCGTCGACGACGTACACCTGCTGGGGCAAAAATCCGGCGAGAGTGGTTGACTCTTTGTCAGGGTCCAGAAGAATGGCCGACAGGGTCGTCAAGTCGCACACGCGATTGTGCAACGCCTGGGATGATGCACTTGTTATGCTGTGCAGCCAGGGACTCGAGACCAATTTCTCAGGTTTTCTCAACTAATTTTGGCACAGTTTCCCCATCTGGTTTCGACTTGTCGCGCGTCAACGTCGTGCACAACGTCAACGGATCTTCCGTTGCCGTCGCGTAGCACCCGTCGTCTCATTCCTATTTGGGCCTGGCCAGGTAGGCCATGGGATCCATAGCCCCCAACTCCCAGCGACGTCATCTCCGAAACGCCAGGACAATCCTGTCATCCGGAAACTAAATCTGCCCTGCTACCGTACATACCTACTTGTGCTATGTAATAAATGCTGACGAGGGGCGGCTCTCTCCGTTGTCCAGCTACTCGCCTCGGCTCCGAAAGGCGATAGGCTCCACCAATTATGGCAATCAGCTCCGAAAGACGGCCTAACAACTTCGCTAATACGTAGGTAATAACCGGGTTGCCGCTGATCACGTCTAGTGTATATCCGCATTTAATTCCGTGTACTATAGGAGGGAGTTTCGTGGATGGGGCGGTCGCACTGATGTGCGGTTGGTGCGGCGTCGAGTTGGCCAGAGTGAGATTGGACAGATTGCAAACTTTTCTCTTGGCAACATTTAAGCATGATTTTAAGCGTTGTCGTCTCATTAAATCCATGTACCCTTTCCAGCTAGGCACTCGCCAACCTATAGCCATCCCGGTTAATAGAGGATGACTACTTAGTATGCCTGCCCGTGTCGTCAGCATTGGCAACCTCGGTAGGCACATACACCTAGTAGGGTACAGGTATGGACTTGGTGGGACATGACTCGCACCCAGTAAGGTACCTGGGTACCCTGCTAGGCCCCCAGAATAATACACATTACACAAGCATCACTCAACGGGACGTTCCCGAACTTCCCGTGTTCACCGTGGCGGAATCCAATCACAGCATCTGTCTTGGCGGCATGTATTTTGTAATAGGTCCGTCTTGTGCTGCCCTGCAGGTGCGCATGTATGTCTATCGTCGTCAAGTGCCAACGGACGATAGTCGGCACGACCAATACATAGGTAATTACACAGGAGTTACCAGCCCACCTTGGTGGTCTATCTTCCATGAAGCTGACTCGAGTGGGACAAGAGCCCAGATGGTGCAAGAATGAAGGTCACACCAGCCTGCACACCCAGGGTACAACATACGATCAAGCAGTGTCGACATTTACCGGCGTCTCAGTGCAGGCTAGCTACCTATTTGTCGTAGCACAAATTGTCTGACCAACATGATACTCTGTACACCGCGTATAATGTCGCCGGTCTTGAATGCCTAACTAACTACATTACGGAGTGCACCATGCGCATGTAATAAGTCGGGGGGGCTTGCACAGTAGATGGTGTCCAATAGAGTAATATCTTCTCGAACATTTATTTGGCTCTGGCCTCCAATTAAGCGATACCAGAACACTGGATTGGGAACCCTCGTATGAGGGCGTTGACACACGCTCTCCCCACTACCCCCGCCCTTTGATACGAGGACCAGATGAGAGAGATATCATGGCTGCTTTGATAGGTAGACTTCCACACTATCAGACGTACTAGTGATTAGCTCTTCCAATCAACTCCGCCCGACACAAGCGTCACAAGGCCTCTCGTCCAGCCCTTCAATAATTCCGACTGTTTGTGTGATGCAAAGACAGAGTTTGGCGCGTCCGCTGTGGCGTCTAACCCGCAAAACTCTAAAACCCTCTTCGCTGCACCCCTGGATTGTACAAGTACAAAAGTGGATGCCGCTTGTCCCACGGCTACTGGGATAATTTTTCTACACTAATAATCTGTTATTTCCAGCCTATACAGAAAGTACCAACCGAACAAGGGCGAAGGGAGACCCAGTTCAATGAGATTGTGTGTTGCAACATTGTCTTTTGAGAGATTTCTAAGCAATGTCGCTAGCGTCCAATGTACACCATTTCCGGGGCTGTACTGTGTGTATCTGTACTTCCCTATGGACGTGGTTGACCAGGCTCCAGGAATCCTTCGAGAAATCCTTGACTGGCTGAGAGTACTTGATGTTGCCCTGTCTTGGCAGATAAGAAGGTACCCACCTTTTCCATGTGCACAACCGAAGTTTATGTAGGCTCCTCGGACGCCGCGAGATCCGACATCGAAATGGGCTCTGTGGTATGTAGAGCTTTTTTTTTCGCGACTACTGCTTGACTCACAACCCTACGAATTCACTGCCGAGTATTATCACAATAAAGTATATGGTAGGTAGTTGATCAAAACAAAGGGTCATCCAGGACAGAGCCGAGACAGACAACAGGTTGAAGCTGCCAGCTCATTCGCCAGTCCGAAGCATCCGTTAGCCCACGGTTCCCGGGGCAGGCAGCTAATCAGTACATGGCACACGGCGCTCTACCTTGACAGGCCGCCCCCAATTCCCAAGCAAGCTCAACTCCGCTTAAGCTTAATTCAAGGACAATTAGTGCGCAATTTAATGAGCGCCGCACACGGGCTGATTCGCCGAATTGCGCCACGCCTGCATGCGGTGTGGAGTACTTGCTGCGTCCCTTGTACAGATGAGATGAGCCAAAACGTCTTCTGTTCACAGGTACAGGATACTTTCCCCTTTTCACCCACTTAAAAGACCCCCGCCGACTCCACCCACCACGCCCTGCCAAGAAAAAAGCGAGGATTGGTTTGACCAGGTTGTGGAGCCCATCAATGATCCTCATCCGGCAATCCCATTGTAGCAAGGTCTGCTGACGCGGCCCCCAGAAACAGATGGGGAGGTGCAAAAACAAGGGCCTGCTGCTCGTGATATCTATCTATTTTCAGGGGGTTCGGCTCAACTGATCGACTTTCCTGACGGTTAACAACAAATCTTCGAATTTACAAACTCTCTCCACGAATCTGTGAGAATGTGCCGGAAGTGTGTCCGGCATCACGTGGCCCATAGCTTAGTGCACAGATACTGATTTCCGGCAGGCAAGAACGATGGAATTGTGTGCCCCATCAACCGACCCACTCCTCCCTCGTTCCGACTTTCCTTGAAACAAAGATGACGGTTGGTTTATGCGAGAACCACCCCTGTCTTTTTGCCAACCCTTTGATCGCCTGCGGATCTGCCCTCGAGAATTTCTCCATTGAGGCATGGCATGCTTCAAAACAGATTCGGATTTGCTGGGCGACGCCCTCTGCTGACGATCCTACCCGCCAGCACCCCACAGTACCAAAAATAAAATCTACTTGCGGTAGTAATTGAGCCAAGGTCATCTAAGCCCAACTGGGTAGGTATAATGGGGAGGGAGGCAAGTGGAACCGGTCGGGTACCCGGACTTTTTCTGGCTCCGACCAACAAACTTTCTCCGTGAATAAGTTCAGGTGGAGTGTCATCGATGGGTTGAGTTATGTACGGATTATAGGGTAGTCGTCTTCGCTATTACGCGAGATGCCGCATACCCCTTCGAAGTCACGTACTAAGGGCTTCCCTGGTTCGCCGCCAGTGGCAAATGCTTCTGCATGAAGAGATCGGGACTCTAGAAGCCTTCTACCGCGGCATTGACCCCTACCCCAAACCCCCATCCCACCTTAGCAGCGTTAATTATAGCTTGACACGAGGGGGGGAATAAGCATAGCCTCCCATTGTGAACGTCTTGTTGTACTCTGGAACTATTGAACAAAGCATAACTTCGATGGGACGCTAGCCGCAGATCAGTGGGAATAAGGACAGTGGATCATCCATGAAATAGAGAGATGGATATATGTATTGTACAATACATCGCAAGTACTACGTTTGTACTATGAGATGAACCACGGTAGCAACATAGTGGGGGGGATTTCGAAATGCCCAACATTGGCCCCTTGGCACGAGACAGAATGTGTCGTCGTGGGGTCTTGGCAGGCCATGGGGCGGCTTCAAGAGTCCATATCAGGCGGCTGGGCGTGGCCTCACCTGACGAAGGGCTCCGGTCTTGTCCTCCTAACGATAGGTCTCGGACAGCTTGGCCCTCTCTTGGCTCCCACCCGGGGAAGATCCAGACCTCGGGTTGATATGCGTACACGTTTGTGGGAGACAAGCATTGGGCAGTGTGTTCATCCACACGATGACTTCTCTTAAACGCATAAAATGCTCAAGCAAAAAGCCAAGCAAGTAAGTGGTAGCACGAACTTACGCCAGAAGGAGGCCTCAGGTACCTTCCATGGTTGACAAATCTCCAAACTTGCCCTTCCTGCCTTAGCTTTCGGGCAGGATGGGCCCGCGATCTCGAGACTCGTCGAAGAAACGACCCGAGATCTGCTGCAGCGATGATCAGATAATTATGGATATCCCCAGAAAACATGCTCAGAGTTGGCGCGTGTTGTGGAAAGGGAAACGGACAGCAATAAATCCCATGCGCGCCCGGTCCCGGGCCGAGACGGATGAATGCCAAGACATTACACGGCGGGAAGTGGTGGGTGTCTACTATGTGGATGGTGATGGATAAATAGGGTTACGCCGATCCTGATATTGAAAGGAGGAGGCGGGTGCGGTTCGTTGGAGGTTCGTTGGGCGTTCGTTGGAGGTTCGTCTCACTGCCCGCCCGCCAATCTCCGTGTGGTGGGCTCCGGATGTAAGGGGAATGACGGGACTCACGGGAGTACTGCCGTTGTTGTCGTCGAGCACGACTATCAAGGGGAGGAAACAAGCAATAGATGAACGGCAAGATTGTTTCTTCCCAAGATCCACGCTCAACAACAGGTGTGCATCCAATATCCCAGCCGCTATCGGCCTGTATCCGCATATTGCAAATCAACTTTAACAACGCCACAATTCCCCCAGTCTGGGTAAGGTTTCGAAGCTTGCCGTATTTGTCCAGGGACAGATGATTACGCAGTACAGGGCAAGCGCCGGCATATGTCCCTCCCCCTATATTACAACGTTACCTGTTCAGAACCCACAGCAACGCGTAGGATGACCCAGCGGTGACGAGGAGCACCACCACTCTCCCTCCCCCAGAAGAGGCATCTCGTTCGGGTATCGTTCCGAAGTCCGCGCCGATCCGTTCCCTTGGTGCCGGCCGTCATCGGCGTCGTCACCAGTAAGCAAGCACTTCGCCCCAGCTTGGTCTAGATGCCCTCCTAACTTCGCCAACGGTCCGTTTTGTCATGCAGGAGACCATCGCACGCATGCCAACCTCGCCACGGCGGGCAGGGACCGACATAAGCGAAGGTTTGCTCTTGCGCCGGGCCAAGAGCAACTGCCCTTGCTCTGTTTACTCGAGATATCTGGTGTCTCTATCAAACGCGGCCCCCAGCGGGTAGGCGCCCAGGTGACGACAGCACACCCGCTAGGTGAGTACGAGTTAATTTGCTCGGAATCTCAACCGAAGTGGCGACGCGTCCCGTACCGTTTCAACTTGCCTGATATCCCTGTCCGTGTATCTGAGTTGCGTTGTCTCACACAGTCTGTTGGATAGTTTAGTGTGTTGGAAAGAGCCTGAATGGTCGGAAACGGGTGCACGCCGAGGCAGAGAGGATGATTGTGCAAATAAGGCAAGTTGCCGTCGATTGAGCGGGTATCTTGTCTACAAGTATATTACAGACACTATGTTGTGCAGTGCGCCAGTCAGCCAGCTGGGCATCGTCGCCTACCCACCCGTTCAGCCTGATTGGGGGCCAAATGGATATTGCGAGTTTGCCGAATGCACCGAACCGTCCGGGGAGGGAGACCTGTAGGAAGCCTTCCTTTCTCCCCCACAACTCCAGCTGTGCGTAACTTGCGGTAACGTATGGCCGTAAGGGTTTTGACCAGTCGCGCAGAGGCAGGAATCCCAAGACACTTCGAGCTCTAAATGCGAGTCTCCTCTCCTGTCCCGTTCTGGATGGGACAATCTCACCTCCCCCCCCCATCTCCACATCCAGGCTAGGCATAGCTTAACGAACGCGTCATGTGAAGGGCTATACCATCCCGCCGGGCGCCATTGGAAGCTCGATGGGGAGCACTCCTCCGACATGAGATCCTTTGCTCAACAGTCACAGCGACCATGCCAACGAGGGAAGGCAACGACGTCACGGATCGTCTGCACTCCGGATAGGTAGCAAAGAAGTCGGTCAAAGCCCAATCCAAAGCCCCCGTGTGGAGGGCAGCCCCAACGACGTAGGTCTACGTACCAGTCCAGGCTGTCCCTGCTAGTACTCGTTTCGGCCATCCGTTCCGGATCACTATAAGCACCATCCAACCCTGGTGCCGCCATGCCATGAAGCTGCATGGCATCGACGAGGTTTCCTAGACGGTGCTCGCGCATGGATCCGCCAGCAATCTCGCAGAGGTCGGGGACCAGCAAGTCAAAGCACTCAACCGTAGAACCCGAGGCTCCGTCCGCGCCAGTTCCCGTGCGGATTCCGGGATCAGTAATGGCAGCACTCTGCCGCATGTAGAATGCTTTAATATCCCGGGGATAATCAGTGACGAAGACGGGTCTACTGCCTCCGACATGCTGAGCGATGTACTTCTCATGCTCGGCCTGCAAGCTCGCGCCCCACGTCGGCTTGTGTGTGAACATATCGGCTTTGGGGGCCAAAATCTTGATGGCCTCCGTGTACGTTATGCGCGGCCAGGAAGTCTGCATTATGCCCTCCCAGCGCTGCCTGACCCTGTCAGCAGGTTCAAGGTCCGAGCCGGCTTGGCCGGACCGGGAGAGGACCTCCTGGGCCAGCTTGGTTTCGTAGAGATTTGTGCTTAAAGATCGCAACATATCTTCTGCCAAATCCATAATGACACTGAGATCGTCCACAAAGCTCATCTCGGCTTCCAGCATGTAGAACTCGCTTAGATGCCTCGACGTGTCGCTCTTCTCTGCGCGAAACGTGGGAGAGAGGGTCCACACATTGCCGACTGACTGAGCCAGAGCCTCGAGATGAAGTTGGGTTGAGACTGTCAGATACTTGGGCGAGCGGAAAAATGAGCCACTTGCCTCATCATCGCTTGGGGAAGCAGTCTGGTTTGCCGAGGACACCGTGAACACCTCGCCTGCCCCCTCGCAGTCGGACGACGTGATTATGGGTGGATGTGTTTGCGTGAAGAGACGTTGGGCGAAAAACTGTGTCAGAGAGGCGATGGCGGCTGAGCGTAGCCTCAACAGTACCGAGTTATATGGCGTTCTCGGCCGCAAGTGAGGCAGAGTGCGGAGGTATTCAGGGGTCTGGTACTTCTTCTGGATGGGGAAACTCTTTGTCCGAGCTCGTTAGCCTACAGAGCTGAGGAGATTGGCCATTTACGTAGATCGCGTCGTCCATCTTACAGACGTACCTTTGCGTCAGAAGGCCCCAGGATGTCGACCTCGTTGGCATGCAGTTCATGGCTCTGTCCAGCTCCCGGGGAGGAGACCCAAGACCCCTTCAAGCGAACTGCAGCACCAACAGTCAAGCTGCAGATGGGAAAGGGTATCAGCAACAGGAACAATCAAGGAACACATATCGGGGCAATCATCCGCACCCTTCGGACCGATCTGTAGGGACGAGAGCTTGCAGAGGAGCCAGTGAGGAGCCGTCACCCAGCGACACGAAACTCTGAGACTTCATGTGTCGCACAGATCGAATGAATCCGTTGACGACCACATCGCCAACTTCGGTGCCTGGCTTCCATTCTAGTAGCGCCGCAACAGGTGTGGGAGCAAGCTGCGAGAAGGCTCGCCAGAGGCTTTTGGGATGGAGGACGAATTTGCGAATTGGCCTGGGCACCCTTGGGAGGGATACAGGTCGCATGGCTTATCGAGGAGGCCTTCCTCAACCAACTAACCGTTGGAGGCACTTGTCGGTTGGATCTTTAGTAGTTGGCGACAGAAGGTACCTACATACCCACCTCCCTAACGTGACCGTGACACACGCGACGAGATCAAAATGTCGTTAGGGGGAAGATAGTTAATCCGGAGCTCTCCTGCCTACTGCTGGACTCGCCCGATTGGCTGGAAGACATTAGACAAGGGTAGCCCATGAACCACCACCCTCCACCGTGGAGGTGATTCGTCGTCGACACAACCTATCATTGACTGACAACCTACCTGGATTGGGAAAGAAAAAACAATGTTTCTTGTCAATCATGTCCAAAGTCACCCGCGTGGACTGCCACTCACCAGATTTTCTAGGAAAAGCCACCTACCAGCGGTCGTAATGACTGTCGGGCAGGATGAAAATCCCGAAGAACCAACCCCTTTTTCAAATCACAGGACCCCTAATCCTGGGATCTCGGAACTTAAGCCAGTTAAGATTGAGGAAACCCCGAGTCAACGCCACAGATCGCTGGACTATTCGTTGGATCTTGACTCACCTAGGTACCTTCCATGTCTTTCACCTCCCTGCAGCGCCCAAGCCTAGCAAAGTATCTGGCGAATGTCTGACAGCTGTCCAGCCCGCATGAGCCCCGACTTTCTTTCCTGATGGCGTAAAATCTGGCACACAGCAGAGATCTTGTGTCACTTTCGGACGATTGCAGCAGCAGGATCAGTAGGCCTTATCCTAGCTGCTCGTCATCCCAAACTCCCAATTCGTCTCGTAAGCCACGAAGTTAGAGTAGAGTCTAGCGGTTACTCCAATGGGCCAGGTTGTTCCTGTTGGCCTAGATGTCATGTACCACAGATATGGCGAGCAAAGCGAGCTCTACTCTTTTTTCATGGCTCATATAAGCGTCCTTCGAGGGCTTGTCTTCCGTATGTCTTCGGCATAAGTGGCTGATTCCGAGTACCTGTGAAACGGCAGTCCCCGTCTCATACTCTTTGTTTTTTCTCGCCCAAAAAAGCTGCACGAGACGTCTGTTCCGATTGAAGTGACCTATCCAAGCCGAAAAGGCTATCATTCGCTCAATTTCACCGCTTATTGGGCCGTAGGAGGGCAGGGGACAACTATATATGAACCCGGCCGCTGGCTACCTGGCTACCTGGTCCCCAACTGGCTATGACAGCTGACTTCCGGCCATCTCTTCAGAACTACCGAGCAGGGCAACAGATCCCACCTTTATACATACACGACACGTCAACACCGGTCTCGTTCGCCCCCCTCCCCCCATCTGTCTCCCTCCCCTGAGACCAGAGAAGCACAAGTCAAGATGCCTTCAGGAAACACAAGGCCTTCCAAGCAGCGGCCCGCCGAGGTTGCTGCCGAGGCCAAGAAGCAGTTCATCCCGATTGTCAAGAGCAACTCGCAGTGGCAGACGTTCTCCTATCTCTACCAAGAACCCCTCTCCCAGTTGGCCTTTGTCGATCCACCCCGCACTCTTGACCCCCCTGAGTTCTGTAGGTGCAGAAGTTCTAGATGAGGCTACTTGGACGCAACAAGAAGCTGATTCCCTACAGACGTCCAGCATGGAGACCCTGTCGACACTGCTATGCAATGGGCAGCCCAGTGCGGTTCACCGGTTCCCGTGATCTGTGCAGCAAACGACAAGAGACCTGGCGGGGATTGGGAGACTGGAGTATGTGGCTACGAGGAGAGGTTGTGTCGTAGGAGCAGCCTCGCGGCCACACTCGCAATACCAGGCCCGGGGTCGCACGTAGAGGCAAACTACCCGATCCCAGTATTCGGTGCCATCTGGTCACAGCACGTCGGTAAGCATCCCCTGGTTTTAGAACCTCCCCCCCTCCCCCCGGGTGGCTTAATCCCCACCCGGAGTCCTTTTTATTTTTAAAGCCAACTCTTTGGGTTTTTACTTGAGCAGTCGTATTCCGTGGCCCCCACGACGGGTACGAGAAGCGCCCCATGGAGGACTGGAAGCCCCTCCCCGTGTGCTCCATGGCGCCCATGCGCTGGCCCAAGCTCACTCAGAACGGGACCAAGTACTCCTTCGCCAAGGAGCGGGAGATGGTCAAGGCCAAGCTCCGCGGCGCCCTGCGAGTCTGCGCGTACTACAACTGCACCGCCGTCGTCATCGGCGACTTTGGCCTCGGCAACGCGCACCGGAACCCGCCCGAGGAGCTCGCCGAGCTCTGGCGCGAGGTCTTCCTCTACGACCCAGACCTCCGCGGCCGGATCCGCCACGCGGCCTTCGTCTTCGACGATCCCAACCAGAGCACCGCGCAGCTGATCCTGGACGACATGGAGAAGAAGAGTAGGGGCCTGGGGGGAGGGGTTGGCAGCGGGAGGACCCGGTCGAAGAGCTCCAACAATACCAACCCTTCCAGCGCGTCCAGCCCTCCCCGCAGCCCTGGGGTGTCGACGGACTTTGACATATTCCACCGTGTCTTCGACAGCCAGGAGGTGCGCCGGGTGATGGGCCAGCGGGACTCGAGGTACGGCTTGGATAACCTTCTGACGGAATAGCTGCGTTGATCGCACCATCCAGGGACACAGGAGGGCAGCTGGCAGCCTGTTGCCCTCGATTGCTGGGGGGCCGGCTCCGAAGGAGGGGGTGGCGTGGCGTGGCCGCGAGGCTTGGGGTTTTCTCAAGGTAGGCGGGCGTAAAGGAGGTCAGCGGCGTCTTTGGGCTCACCGGTCAAAAGCTCGTATTACCTCTCGGTGGGTTTCCCCCCCGAAGTTGTCGTCTTGAGGCCTGGTCTGCCCCTTGCCTATCTACGACCCCGGTTCTCTTCTTTTCTTCTTTCTGATCTCTGGTTAGGTGGTTCAGATATCTAGTTCTTCTGGTTGGGCAACACCAGCAAGATGGCGTTAAAAATCACGATCTAATTTCAAAACCATCGATTTCCCCTGCGCCCCAGAGGAATGAAGGCTTGTTGGGCTGTGGATGACTGAGAAGTTATTGATTCATGGCTTGATGGTACAGTACATCGGATCCCCGCCAAGGCATGTCAGCAGTCAGCGCCGCCCACTTTGATTGGAAGTATTGGGCTAATGGCATCCGTATATGAACCCTCTCGGATGGAGTGAGTGTGCTTCTCAAAGGGAGAGGCACACATCGAGAGCGCCGATCCGCATCTTACGTCGTAGAGGGATGGGAGGTTGAAAAAGGAATTTAACAATCCTGTGTGCCACTCGAGCTGTCACCCCAATTCATAGTGTTCGTCGCTTGGATTCTGGTCGGCACGCCCTACAGAACGAGTGCTACTATCGGACCGTCCCACCCACTTGTTCAGGTTTGACGCTACAGCCCGCGGATTGATAGCCGGGGAATCCTTGTCGATGGCCCCTTTCCCCCCAATATTACAACTTCCTGAAGCCCTCGTTGGCCACCGGTCCAAAACATGGTGCCGAGAAGAATGTGATCAGTATGATTTTGGTTGCTAAGGCGGTCACGCGAAGGGTGTCGTGACCATCGATCGCTAACGGCTGGTAGGAAGGAGACCAAAGACACGGGCCGCAGTGGGAGGTTTTGTGGCTCCCGCCGAAGTGGCTTGAACATCCATGCAAGCCAGAAAGGATGCGTGAACCATACATAGGTACGGAGCAGACGAGTAATTTAAGTCAAGTCACGTCACCGAAGCCGTCAAGAACTGGCGGTATGCTGAAAAGTAACGCACTTGATTTCGTTGGAAGATTGTGATCCCGTACTCCACCATGGCGATGGAAATGGCCAGACAGCCCAACTGCCGGTCGGTTTGCTCCGGTTGACATTCCTCCCGTACGCCATGCACGGGTGAAATGCCAACGATCCATCCCGACATCTATGAATATGTCGCCGCACAATGTAGAAAATCCATGCGCAAACGGGCTCCAGTAGTAGGGGGGTTTCGGATGTCCCACAGTGGCTTATTAAACCTGCCAGCTTCCTTCTCTTCGGCGGCGGGAGAAAGGCGGCACAGCAGAACCAAAGAGAACCACCCCCCCCCCCCCCCCCCCCCCTTTGAGATTGAGATCGAGATCGGAGTACGGTAGATCGCCCATTCACGCATGTAGGTTTAGGACGAAGCCCTGGGGGAGAAGCGGGACCCTGGAGATCGGCCGCTCGTGCATTTCGTCCAGAATCTCATCCAGCCCAAGCGGCACCCATCCCTGCCCATGCATTGCATGTTGGCTGCGACTGAGCAGAAATTAAGAGATGAACCAACAGGCAACTACCCCCCCCCCCCCCCGGCGGGCAGCAGCTCCGCTCAGCTTCATCGGCGGCTGCAGCGGGGCCCACCCAGATACCCGGAAACGATCCCAGGCTAGCCATTGGGGGGAGGCTGGGGAGGATCCCAGCGGTGAGTGGCGGGATCGACACCAGGGTGGGGGCAAGAGGGGCGGCCGGCGAGATGACCTCCTTCTCGCACTGCGCCTATCATGTCGCCTCGGTGTGTCCTGACCGATGCCGCCGAACAGCGTGAGATCTGATCTGTCACCTCCCCCTCCCCTCCTTCCAGTCACCTGCGTCGGAGATGATTCGAATATTGCTGAGTGCAGGCGCCGAGGCCTTGCCCGGTGTTCCACCGACCCTCCCTGTGGCTGGATGGATTCAGCTGATCGGGGAGAGGCTTGCCGAACGACAGTCGCCGGATGAGCGGCACGTCATATATTCGTAGTAGAAATGACAGAGGGGACCAAGACACGCAGGGAGGACTATGCGGCCGGTGTGCGATGAGACCAGGGGGGATCCCTGTCGACCTGACCAGTGGACTTCGCACCATGGGATCATGAGGGCGGGGGTGAGGAGGCTAGGTTACTTAAAAATAGAGGAAAAAGCAAACCACAAAAAGGGAGGAAGAGAGAAGCTGAGGAAAAGCACATTTTGGCGCATACATGCCCGACAAGTCCCGGAGATCCAATTTGCCGCGCCAGTCTGAATTCGCAAGTGTGGAAAGTACGGTGGGAGTGTAGAAAGAAGCATCTGCCTCTCAGGTCTTCAGGCTGACAATCTACCTCGTCTAGGTACCATATCTCTGCCATGCAGTACATGATCGTTGGGGATCCTACCAGTAGGCAGTCCGTAAGCCGGTGAAGTTGGTGAAGCCTGACGCTTCACCTGAATCCTCCCTCTTCCTCTGGCCAGTCAACTGGGAGCAAACATGTTAGTCTTTCGAGCACGCGTCAAACCATGTGTAGAGAGAGAGTGTGTGAACCATGTCAACATACCTCGAGTTGCACCCCCTTGTGGATGTGGACTAGCCAGTCTACGTAGCTCTGGGCCTCGTTGTTTCGATCCTCCACCAACATGCGCGCGAATTCGTACTCTGCCCCATCAATCCCTTGCCTTGCCAACTGTATCGTTAAGCCCTTGGAGCCGCGCATTGTCCTCATGAACTCGATGATGTTGCGCACTTGTGCATTTAGATGCGTTTCGAGCATGGGGAGAGCCGACGTGTAGGCGTCTAGGCTCTGCAAGCTGGTCTTGTCCTCGCCGAACAGGTCTGCGATCAAGTTCGGCGAGGTCTGCGCGTGGAACCATAGCAGGCACTGCTGACCGTTATCCACCAGGTACACGCCGCCAGCCTCGACACGGCTAAAGGATGTCCTTATAGACGGCGGCAGCTTCAACTGGCCCGTCTCAGCATCGGGGAAGCCTTCCTCAGGTTGGAGGTTGTGGACTGGTATCATGCGGGGATAGAGGTACAGGCTGGTCTCGAGCGCACCCATTGAGCGGACCATGCGCATCTCGTGCACTCTCCGGTCTGTCGATTCGTTGCCGCCCTTGAACGCTCGGCTCTTTATCAGCCCGAGCATGTACATGCAGAACTCCTTAAGTTTCTCTGGCATGACGAGCTGGCCGGGGGGGTGTGACTGCGACAGGAAGTTCTTGCGATACGCTGCCAGGATATCGATCGTCTTCTCGGTAAGGCCTAACCGAACGTCTTTCAAGGTGCTCGAAGTCGTGGACAGCTTAGTCGCAGCCTCCTTCGCCATTATCGAGATGACGGCATCCTGGTCGACAAACTTGATGCTGTCCTTGGCATTATCGCTCACGCTTGCGATGACATTGCAGCACCGGACCCGCCGTTCACCGGACGCTGTGGTGTAAAGCAGGGCAGACTGGAAATGGACATCTAGTTTCGAGTCGAGCTTGCCGTCGTACCCGAACGTGACGCCAATGGCCTTATCGGCATCGATGATGCCAATCTCCAAGTCTGCTCCGAATGTGTGCTGTATAAAGTTCCCGTGGTAAGTCGACACCTGGAGCCCGTTCGAGCAGCGGACCTTCATGAGGGCCTGGAACCCGGTCTCTCGAGTCGCAACGTGCTTGATCTCCAGCGCGAGCTTGGAGTTATCCCTGGGCGCAACAAAGTTGGGATAGTAGAATGCCTCACCCCCCGTGGTTGAGGAGACATGCCCGATTGTTGCCATGTCTAGATAACCCCCTGATGGAGAAGCCATGAAGAAATCAACGCCGACGCCGACAGCCACCATCCGTTCAGCAACCTTCTTCCAGGCCGGGTGCTCGGTGGAGAGTAGCTTCTTGTCAGGCTCGCCTCCCGTATGCTTGCCGTCGTCTCGCAAGAAGAGCCGCCCAGGGCCCCAGGTAGGCAAGGCGGAGAGCGAGCAGATAATCTTCCCTCCCGTCTTCTCAAGTGCAGCAAGCGCCGAGTTGAGCGTGGACAGCAGCGCGGGTTCGGGATTCTTAATACTCGAGAACATAGTTGGGAGCCGGGTCAGGAGGGAGGTGATGACCGCCTTTGACTCGTAAGGGTCGACGAAGAGGCCTTCGCTCAGGGGAACGAAGGGATCCTCTATATCTGGCATGATGATCATCTGAGCCTGTTCCAGAGCCGGGCTGACATTGTAGAAGTGAATCTCCTTATCGAACGTGACAAAGCCGACTCTTGCGTTTGGAGGTATTGTCCGCTTGGCTTCGCCAGACTCATCGGTCTCGCCCTCTCCGGCCCCATATAAGGCACCCAGAATGCCATCGCAAAAGGCCTCCAAGAACCCCTTGTTATACGACTCCTGGGTGACATCAATAAGGAATAGATACCGGAGAGCAACCGGCTCCCTAGTCCAATATTCCTTGGGAACCACAAATTCAACAGTTCCCCGCGTCAATTCCGGTCGCTGGTCACGGTCAACACGTACACCTTGCGGGCTGGTTGCGCAGAAGTACTCTGGGGGGGTTTCGTTTGGATATGTGCAAAGGTTGCAGACGAAGTTGTTACCCCCAGAGCGGAACATCATGAAAGGATTGATATATGCACGGCAGCGCCGGCACCTTGGCGGCCCGGAGTCGCCAAAATCTAAAACAGGAATAGACAGTTCGCCGGGCTGGAGGGGCGCGAGGGGTTGGAGAAGGAGGCCCAGGGGAAGGCCGAGACTGTTTAAGCCCTCTGATGTTGTGGGGATATTATTCGTGGTTAAGCGGGCGAACTTTGGAGACGAGTTCCCCTGATCGAAGGCGACGAAAGATGTTGTGGCGGGAGGCGGAACGTGTCGCTCAAAGGTCGGATAGACGTTGCTAAGGAAGTATTGCTGCACCGAATCCCGGGACAGAGGTACGCTGGGCATCTCATCAGGGGACACCTTGGCTTGCCCGGATGCAGGTACAACAGTCGGCGACGGACCGGGATCCATAGAGCCGATTCTCGCGCCGAACTGGGCTGGAGACGCCTGGCTAGGGCTAAACTGAGAGTTCACGGGTGCAGGGAACTGGCTCATCTGTGGTGTGATGCCGCCTCCGAACTGCGGTTCGGCATTTAGGAAAGTTGTTGTGTTGGTGCCCGTCGGCGGGATCCCGTTGAAAGCTTGCGATGACCCTGTTGGCGCCTCCACTGCGTGATAAGCGTGACGGTCCTTCTTCTTTCTCCTTGCCGTGCCGTGGGCTGCCTCAGCGCCGAGTGACATGCCGCCCATCTGTGCTGCTAGACCTCCGTCACCCGCTGCTGGAGAGGGCTGGCCCGACAGATAGCCCGCACCCTGCGGAGGCCCATACCCCGGGGATTGCGCTTGTGTAGGAGACGGTCCCCCCATCGAAGGAGACCAGTACTGTTGCTGGCCTTGCGGTGAGGGCGCATTGTAGCCCGCGCCCTGCTGGTAGGGTTGGGAGGCAATTGCAGGTTGGAACTGCGGAGGGGCTGGTTGGTTCGTCCGATTGGGATCGTTCGGGTCCAGCTGTTCGCCCTGGCCAAGGGCGTGATACATCGAGTAGTCGGTCATGTTTTTCCGCCAAGTTGGTGGAATCGGTACGTGGGGAGATAGGTGGTTTGATCTCGCGTGGGGAATGCACGTGGCTCCCCAGAAGTTCGTCACCGAAGACTTTATGCGCTTAACCTCGCTGTTCTCATAACTTGAAGCACAGAAGAATCATGACCAGCTGCCTAGAGTGTGTGGGAGTTGTGAAGGTGGAGAGGAAGGAGGGTTTATTTGCCTATGGCAATATCCAATTGCACTTTGCTGTCCTTTTTTTGGAGAAGTGGCCTTGAATTCAGGCAAGCTAGGGGTCAATCGCGCTTGCGGTGAGCTGGGAACCTAATAAGTGACACGACTTCGTTCCGGCCAATTCTTCCGGGCCCGATTTAAGGGCCCAGCCGGGTCGGGTCCATTGACAGGGGTTATAAGGTTATTCAGATTACCAAACGCGAACAATAGCAAACGGTTAGAAATAGCAGCAACCTAGCGTATGTACCTTCTTCACCTCGAGCCTTGCTTAGATCTGACTCTTTTTAAAAAGAAAGCTTGACCTATCTCAGCGCGTCTCCAAATGGTTATGACTATCAAAGTTTCCCCCCGAAACTCGACAACGTTGCCGTGACGTGGTATAAGCGACGAGCAAGAGAGACTACAGCACCTGTTTGCAGGCGCATCGCGGAATAAAAAGGAAGATCGTCAAACTCGACCTCCTTGGTGATCCAAACAAGCTTTAGCCCACCGGTCGGCCAAGTATGTTCGCTACGAGATAACCGACAAATATGTTCACCTTCTGCCCTCTTCAGGGCGCATTATCCGAGTCGACTGCGTCGCAGTCGCTCCTGGAGCTTGATGGAGGCGTCAAAGTGCTGATAGATGTCGGCTGGGATGAAACTTTCAATGTTGAGAAACTACGTGAACTAGAAAAGTACGTTGTTTCCCAAATGGATACGCACCGCAATTGCACGGACTGCTGTGCACTGTACTGGATTCCAGGAGGAACGCTGACCAGATCTTCTCTAGACAAGTCCCGACCCTCTCACTTATCCTCCTCACCCATTCGACCGTTCCCCATCTGGCCGCCTATGCCCACTGCTGCAAGAACTTCCCGCTCTTCACGCGCATACCTGTCTATGCGACACGACCAGTTATCGACCTGGGCCGAACCTTGACTCAGTCTCTCTACGCCTCGACTCCTCTCGCCGCCACTACTATATCATCCACCTCTCTGGCGGAGATTTCCTATTCTTATTCGCAGACACAAGTCTCGGATAATAGGTTTCTGTTGCAAGCACCGACCTCGGAGGAGATCACTCGATATTTCTCCCTGATACAGCCTCTCAAGTACTCCCAACCCCATCAGCCTCTACCGTCGCCCTTCTCGCCACCCCTCAACGGTCTTACGATCACTGCATATAACTCTGGGCACACTCTCGGGGGAACTATCTGGCACATCCAACACGGCTTGGAATCCATCGTCTATGCGGTGGATTGGAACCAGGCTCGAGAGAATGTCTTTGCCGGCGCTGCGTGGCTCGGTGGCGGACACGGCGGCGTAGGCGGCACAGAAGTTATCGAGCAGCTCCGCAAGCCTACTGCCCTTGTCTGCAGCAGCCGAACACCCGAGACGACCCTGGCGCGCACACGTCGCGATGAGCAGCTGTTGGAGTCTCTCAAGCTGTGCATCGGGCGGGGCGGGACAGTGCTCATACCTGTCGATTCTAGCGCTCGCGTTCTGGAACTAGCTTATTTGCTCGAACATGCTTGGCGGACTGAAGTTGCCAAGGATAATGGCAGCTTCAAGACATCCAAACTCTACCTCGCCGGGCGAAATATCAGCAGCACGATGCGGCTTGCGCGAAGTATGCTTGAGTGGATGGACGACGGCATCGTCAGGGAGTTTGAGGCCGCCGCCGACGTATCTAGGCGGCCAAATGGTAAGCCTGACGGCGGAAAAGGCAAGGAAGCGGGACCCTTCGATTTCAAATATCTTCGGCTGTTGGAACGCAAGGCCCAGATTGAGCGCATCCTAGGTTCTGAAGCGGAGGATTCCGAAACCAGGGGTAAAGTCATCCTGGCAAGTGATTCGAGTCTAGAGTGGGGATTCTCCAAGGATATCTTGAAGGCTATCGCAAGCGATGCGAGAAACTTGGTGATCCTCACAGAACGACCAAGCCTGAGTGCAGATGCCGGCCTTTCTATCGCAAGAACGTTGTGGGATTGGTGGAAGGAAAGGAGAGACGGGGTTGCGGCAGAACAGACAACCAGTGGGGACACGTTTGAGCAGGTCTACGGTGGCGGAAGGGAGCTCGAGGTTGCGCATGCGAAGCGCGAGCCCTTGCAAGGAAATGAACTTAGCGTCTACCAACAATGGCTGGCTACGCAGAGACAACTGCAAGCAACACTACAAACCGGCGGCGCCACGGCCTTGGAGTCATCAGCTGATGCCGTCGACGATGCCTCGTCTGAGTCGTCCTCGGATTCGGACGAGTCAGAAACGGAGCAGCAGGGGAAAGCTCTGAACGTCTCCACGACGATGGGACAGGCAAGCCGAAAGAAAGTCGTCCTTAAAGACGAAGACTTGGGCATCACAATCCTACTCAAGAAGAAGGGCGTCTACGACTTTGACGTCCGAGGGAAGAAGGGCAGAGAGCGGATGTTCCCGGTGGCCGTTCGGAGACGACGAAACGACGAATTCGGCGAGCTGATCCGACCGGAAGATTTCCTGAGAGCCGAAGAAAGAGAGGACGTTGACGGCCACGAGGCAGGAAACGCCGCCAAGGGGGAGCATGGCGACAACCTTGGCAAGAAGCGCAAATGGGATGATGTCGGTGCACCTGGGAAAGGAGCGACCGGCGCGAACAGGCGCCCACAATTCACCAGGCATCTGTCTGCGGACCATTTGGAAGCGGCGGCGCTACAAGACGGGCCTGGAGGAGATGAGTTAGACGACCTTGAGGACGAGGAGGAAGCTGTGGCCGGGCCATCCAAGTTGGCCATGTCTAAGGAAGCCATTACCGTCAATATGCGCATTGCTTTCGTCGACTTCAGCGGTCTCCATGACAAGCGCAGCTTGAGCATGTTGATCCCACTCATTCAGCCACGCAAACTCATTCTCGTCGCAGGCAACCAGGAAGAGACGTTCAGCCTGGCAGCGGATTGCAAGAAGCTGCTCAGTGCCCAGCTCGGAAGCACTGCGGAGAATGCAGTCGACGTCTTCACACCTGAAATCGGCGTATCAGTGGACGCGAGCGTGGACACCAATGCCTGGATTGTCAAGCTGGCCGACCCACTCGTCAAACGTCTGAAGTGGCAGAACGTGCGCGGCCTCGGAATTGTGACCATTACGGGCCTCCTGGTGCGCAGCCAGTCCGAAGGCCAGGACAACGCGGCCGGCGACGAGGAGGGCGCCAACAAGCGCTTGAAAACAGATACTGCCTCGGTTGACGGCGCAGGGCTCAAATCAACAGGGGGATCACTCGTGTCAGCAGCTCCGGTGCCGACACTCGACGTTCTCCCAATCAACCTTGCATCAGCCGTCCGCTCGGCGGCACAGCCCCTCCACGTCGGCGACCTAAGGTTGGCGGATCTGCGACGCGCTATGCAGAGCTCTGGCCACACGGCCGAGTTTCGGGGCCAAGGCACTCTCCTCGTGGACGGGTCGGTCGTGGTCCGAAAGACGGCCACTGGGCGCATTGAACTGGAGAGCATCGGCTTGCCGGTGGGTAGCGGGCCGGCAGCGGCGATGGGTGGGACTTTCTACGAGGTGAAGAGGAAAATATACGAGGGACTTGCGGTTGTTGCTGGGGCATGACCTCCCCGGCAACAACAAACGGGTTAGTTCAAGATGAAATGAACTTGCTTCCGGATTGTGTTGTAACTCCGGGAAGGGGGAATGGCCTTGTATGAAATTAAATGTGTACAAATATAGTGGTATATCTACGATGGTAAGAGGGATATGGTCGGGATAGATGGCGGACCATAGGGCCAGAATTCGGACAGCGAACGGCGTACAAATTGAAGTACGGATTACCAGTACGGATACCGATTCCATAGGCCCTGATCGACACGAAGGTTGTTAGGTGTGTAAATGATCGAAAAGGCGTCATTTTGTATTTTATTTTTCAAAGGCCAAAGATCGCCCCAACTGCTTCGCGATTCACCCTTAGAGGCCATGTTGGTTTCCCTTTCAGATACAGCAGACTGTCCTAGATTACTTTTCTTTCTCCATCTCGGCTACTCGTGCCGCCTCCTCCTCTCGCGCGCGTATCACTGCCGCAGACCTTGCCATCATCCTCTCCATAGCCCTGCGATGGCGCTCCTCAGCCGAAGCTTGATCAATTGCAGGATAGACCATAGGCAGCCTTTTGTGCCAGAAGGCCCACTTGTCCTCATGACCAATGCGCAACGGGCCCGGCCCCAGATACAAGACAGCCAGCTTGGTCTCGGGCGGCCACTTAGGGGTGGCGTCCATCTTGCCCAGGACGTCCAGGAGGGTGTCGCGCATAGCCATCAGCCACGGGTGCACGGCTGAGACATACTCGTGCACGGTGAGGAATTAGCCTTGGGTGGCGACTTGGAGGTAGGTGTCGCAGGCCCAGGGCCGCTTCTGCCCGCAGCATTCTAGCAGGTAGATAGGCGGGTCTCGGGTCTCGTCGCCAGGGCGGGGCCCTAAGCGTCTTGGGTACAGGTCAATAACGTCGGCGTCGTGACAGCCCCAGTGCTGGTCGGCCCACGCCTGCTCCCACGCGTCGATGCACTGGATGCGGACAGTGACGACGATGCCAGGGGCTCCATAAGGGACGCTTGCGAGACAGCGTGAGGAGAGCCGTCCGGGCCGAAGTACAGCTCCATGAAGGCGCCCTGCTCGTAGTATTCCGACAGCGCGACCTGGATGGCGCCCTCAAAGCGCGCCATTATTGAGCATCCAGAAGAGTCGCTTGCCGGCTGTGGTTACGGCCTGTTGAATCTCTTCGCCGCTGTCGGCGGGTGCACTGGCCGTGTCCATGGTGGAATTGGTGGGCGAATTGACAGTCGGTAGTCGGTACGGATCCCCACTCCGTAGTGGAGCATCTCCGACTCGCAGGCTTGGTTGCGGGATTAGTCATCGGCGGGCTGGGCAGATGCTCCCTTTTTATTGGTCAAGTGGTGGAAGTAAACAAAGGGACTTACACACTGGCCATGGCACGTTCAACTCTACCTAGCTGCCATTGCTACGCGTCTCCAAAGTCTACCCAACTTCAAAATAATACTGGAGGACAGGACCGCGCCTACCAGACCACTCCCACAACATATATTCTCCCTTTTGCGCACCATTGTATGTACGCCGATGGGCACGCATTCATACGCCGGAAACGCGCATTTGCATTGATACGACCACCGCCCGCCGGGAGCCGTCACCATGGTTCAACCGGGCTATGGCGGCCTCGACACGCCACAGACGAACCTTGGAGATGCGACGTACCTCAGCCGACAGCCCGATTTTGACATTTCACAAGAAGCTTCCTTCCAGTCGCCCTCGAAAGACGCGAACCTTCTACAGCAGCTCCGCAATGGCGGCCGGCCCAACCTGAGAACGCCCCGCGGCAACAGTCGCACACCCTTCACCGACAGGATGAACCTACCGGCCGGCCTGGGCGGCGCCGAGTTCACCCCCTTGCTCAAGTCCGCGACGCGGAACAGCTCGCGCCGCTTCGGGCCCGGCAAGGAGAACGGCCTGGCAACGCCCGCCTTCCTCGACAAGATCGACGAGGACCTGACGCCCATGGCCGCCGGCGAGAGCAGCGTGTACGGCGGCTCCCGCAACGCGTCGTCGTACGCGGACGCAACGCCGCTCCCGGCAGCAGCGGCGGACAGCAGCAGCATCGCGCCCACGCCCATGATCATGCGGCGGCGCGGTGCTGACGGGAAGGGGCCGCTCGAGGACGGGAATCAGCTGTCCCTGCGCGAGCAGGAGAACGTGATTGACAGGATCGAGAAAGAGAACTTTGGCCTGAAGCTGAAGATCCACTTCTTGGAGGAGGCTCTGCGCAAGGCGGGGCCGGGCTTTAGTGAGGCCGCCCTGAGGGAGAACACGGAGCTCAAGGTCGACAAGGTCACCATGCAGAGGGAACTGCAACGCTACAAGAAACACCTGACGTCGGCGGAGAGAGACCTCGAGAGCTACCGCCTGCAGATCCTGGAGGTTCAGGAAAAGGCCAAGACGAAGTATGCGAACGAAAGCCAACGCGCCGAGATGGACCGGCTCAGACGCGAGCTCGAGGAAAAAGATGCCGACATAGAGCAGCTCCGACGGAGGATCGAGGAGGAACAGAACGATCGCGATAACGTTGAAAAGTTGCACGACGACATAGTCGATCTCGAGGCGGACATTCGCCAGAAAGACCTGGTTATTGGCGAGCATGAGGACGAACTGGAGGAGCTGCGGCTCAAGCTGGAGGAGGCTGAAGAAGAGAACAAGGACGGCCAGCGTCGGATCCTCGAGCTGGAACAAAAAGGCCAGCAATCCGATGAGCTTGAAGATGCGAAGGACACAATCCAGGACTTGGATGCTATGGTACGGAAACTCGAGCAGGAAGTCGACAGGTTGAAGGAAAAGCTTCAAGATGCGGTCTCGGAGAAGGATCGCGCTCAAGACGACCTAGATGAGCTACAGGAAGAGTTGTCGAACAAGTCCATGGTTACCAAAGGCCTTTCTCGGCAGGTGGAAGAGAAAGTCTCCCGGCTACAACACGATCTGGAGAAGGTCCGCCAAGAGTATGCGGCTCTCGAGAGGGAACATGAAGCAACTAACAAGGCAACCGAAGACCTCAAGTCCAAAACAAAAGAGCTTCGTCAAGAACGAGACTCGTCAGAGCGCGTACGACAATCTCTCGCTACCAAACTCGAGGAAGTCCAGGGAGAGCTCAATGCGAGGAGCAATGAGAAGGCGCTGCTCCAGTCCCGCCATGACTCTTTGACCAACGAGTCTGCTTCGCTACAACGCGAGGTAAGCAGGCTCCAGAAGTCGATCACCGAACTGGAGGAGGGCCTCAAGCGAGAGCGGCAACATGCGTTGAATATAGAACGGGACATACGGAGCCAGTACAAGGATGAGGTCGACCGCCTCAACGACGAGATATCCGACTTGCAAGCCGAGGTTCGAGAACGAGAGAACCTGTACGACAATGACAGTGAGAAATGGGAGACGGAGCGGCACAACCTCGAATCCGAGCGGAATCGCGCTGAGGAATGCGCTGCTGGGCTCCAGAAAACCATCGACAAGTTGCGAGAGGCCGAGGGCAGCCTGTCGAACAAGGAAACCAAGCTGCAGGAGGCCATACAAAGCGAGAGCGAGCGGCACAAGAACGAGGAAGCTGTCCTTCGGCGACAAATCGAGGAGCTGCAACAAAACTTGGAATCTCGTCAACATATGCTTGAGGACCTGCGCAACGAGTTGTCGGCCGTTAGAGACGAGCTTCGACAAACTCAACTCGAGTACAAGTCCCAAAGCGAGAAGGTCGAAGCATTAGAGGACGAGGTTGAGGTGCTACAGGCGACAATCGACGAGGCATCCGAGAAAGCCAACCAGGAGCTAGAGCGTGCCAGTCACGAAGCCGCTGGCCTCAAGCAGGAGCTCAATCTACTGCGAGAAGCTGCGGAGGCTGTCCGAGCTTCGACAGCTGCTTCCGAGGAAGCATCCCGAAATACAAATGATAACCTCTTCCTCATCAAATCCGAACTGGCCAGCGCGACGGGAAGTCTAACCAAGGCCACGAAGGACAAGCAAGCGTTGCAGGATCAGCTAGCTAATATCAACCTCGAGCTGCACTCACTCAGGACTTCCTTGGCGGAAACGAAAGCAGAGCGGGACGAGCTGGAGACGGAGCTGCAGCGTGCCAAGCCGCACAACGGTGACCCCTTCCGAGTCGACCAGGAGAGGATCGAGTTGCGGACTACGAAGACGCGACTTGACAGCGAAGTTCGACGCCTCAAGGAGGAAAACAAGGCTCTCACCGAGCAGCGCCTCGCGGTCGAGAAGGCCCTGGACGACGAGATTGAGAAGGCGGCGGCTGAGGAGGAGCGCCTGAACCAGGAGATCATCCAGCTCCAGACCAGGCTTCGTCAGTCATCAGAGCCCCAGGAGCTGGCGTCGGCACGTCGCAGCATTCGCGAGCTGGAGCGCCGCATCGAGGACTACCAGAACCAACTTGCTACCTCGCACATGCCAACTGCCGGTAACAGCGGCGAGGGCAATAGCGAGTTGTCTCTGATTCGCCGCGATCTTACCGCCGCCAGAGCCAAGGAAGTTGACCTGCTCCAACGTGAGGCTTCCCAGAAGGATATCGTCAAGTCGCTCAAGCGCCAGATCTCGGAACTGGAGCGTCAAGTTCACGAAGTCCAAGTGTCACGGTTGGCATTTTCACCACCATCTGCTGGAGGCTCGGCGCAGAAAGCCGAGGTAGGCGAGTTAAGACACCAGCTGTCGTCGGCCCACCAGACTGTGCACGATCTGAAGAAGTCCCTCCGCGAAGCCGACCGTAGGGCAGCTACCCTCTCCCGTGAGCTAGAGGCTCGCGTAGAAGAAGTTGAGGAGCAGAAAGCCTCGATGGAGCAGGCCCTGGAAGACGCGCATCTTGCCGCTGATGAAGCCGCCGCAACATACGACCGCACGCTGAAGAAGTACAAGCACAAGCTGGAGAAGTACAAGCGCGAGCGCGACGAACTCGCCAATGCGCTCAGGGACCAGCAGAACCACCAGCTCACCGACCATAGCGGCGTCAGCGAGATGAGTCTCGAGGAGCGCCGCGACCTGCACGCCATGCTCCGCGAGTCCCAGACGGCGGCCGACAAGCTCGACCGCGAGGTCCGCGAGCAGCGCGAGGCCCTCGAGGAGCTGATGGCCAACGAGGCGAACCTGCGGAAGAAGCTGGAGCGGGCGAGAAGCGAGAGGGCCGCGTACCGCGCCAGCGCGGAGAAGCTGCAGCGGGACATCAAGACGCTGAAGACGGCAAAGGAGGCAGCCGAAACCGCAGCCGCCGCCAGCAGCGAGCGGGCCCTGGTTCACATCCCGCGGTCGAGGTCGTCGAAGTCGTCGCCGTCGTCCCACGCCGCAGCCGACACGGACGCCATCATCCGGGCCGCGGAAGCGGCTGAGCAGCGCCACGCCAAGGAGATCCGCGGCATGTGCATGCAGCTGGGGTGGATGCACGCACGATGGGAGCGCGAGACGCAGCTCAGAGCCGATGCCGCCTTTGCGAAACGGTACCTGCTGCTGGAGCTCCAGGTCCGGGATGCTTGGTAAGATTTATTCCCCCCCCCCCCCCAATACACATACCCCCATACCCTCTCCACCTCCCACACCCCGATATGCAGCCATGACTAACAGCAAACCCTCTTCCTCCCAAAACAGCAACAAGGCAGACCTCGTCATCCTCAACGACATCAGGGGCCAGCTCAAGAGCAAGAGCCGCCCAGCCCCAGCCCTACCCGGCCCCCCCTCCCGCCACTCGTCGAACCCCAACGGCACCGACCACCAGGACGGCGGCAAGAAGGGCCGCCGCACCAGCCCCAGCCCCATCGCCAGACTCCGGCGCGTCGGCATCGCGGTGCGCTTCGTGGTGCGCATGCAGCTCGCGGCGCGCGGGTGGGCGCAGCACGAGCGGACGCGACGGCGCCTGGCCGAGGCGGCGGGCGAGATGGAGAAGCAGGAGCGCATCAGGAGGATGCGCGACGAGTGGAGGGCGCAGATGCGGGTGGCGGTGGATGGTGGCAGCTAGCGGGGGCGTGAAAAAGATTTGGGGAGGGGGACAGGGGAAGAGGATTTCTGTGTGGGCACTGAGAGGTCGCGGGCTGAGCTGGCTGGCATTGTCCCGAGTCATCGATCTTATTTCCGTGCGCGGTGTCTGGGCATTGGACTGGATTCATGGCCTCTCTCTCGGTCGGCATAGTGGGCTTGCATCGGTTGTGTATTCAGCATCTCTCATCGTTGAAGGGGTTTCGGTACGGTTTAAGGCAGAATCACGCGATGAGTAAACTGATCGTTTGTTTGTTTTATGGAGGGACAGCCCATGGGACTGGATTCTGAAGGCGAAGGCGAAAATCTTTTGGTTTAGAAACGAGCAGACAGGTTTTTTGACTAATGAACATGTGCCCGCCCCATGAAATGGAAGGCATCCGGATGGATGGGCGACTACTAACTGCAATTTGGCCTAAGTATACCTACCGCATAAGGCATGTCATGGAAAGTCTTCGGTCAGGAATTTGTTTATTCAGCCTGCCCTGGGTTCCAAGCAACAAAGGGGTTTCCTAGGGTGACAACGCGCTATCCAATAAGTGTATCCCCATAACTTCATTATGTGTCGTTCCAGTGCATAATACCCCGCTAGGCTGTACATCATTACAATGATCGTATTTACATCACGAACAGGAGATTGGTGTCTGACAGGTAGATATGGTTAGTTTGTTCATGGGTTGAACATCGTGGCTCGCTGGGCAGGTCTCACTAAGTGGGTGGCTACAAGAGAGTTGCGGTTTCTGAGTGTACCGGGTTTGCAACTCGTCCCGAATGCTGTTGAGGAGTTGGACGTAACTCTGCTGGGGATTCTTCTTCAGAGCCGTGATGAAGGCCCACGACATGGCGCCGGTAGCTTGTGAAGCAATGGTCGCATCGGCCCTGTTAAGATGGACTGTTAGCCACACTCCCATGCAGTATACTGCCATCCAAGAAATGCCCGATGCGTGTGAAGTAGAAACAGCGAAATATACGCACGAGGTTTGGTCATCTTTACTTCCCGACAGCATGATGACATCGGCTGGGGAAGTCTTGGTAGCCATGGTCCGGTTGTAGGCGTCGTCTCCGTTGGCGGCTTTCTTGAAGAAGCCCATGATATTGTTCGCAACGCCCCCAAGGTCGCCTTGGCTGTAGGCTGAGATGGCGCCCAGAAGACCCTGCCCAGCCTCCTTCGCAAGATTGGGCTCCTTGAGTATACCCTGGGTAGAGTATATGTAGGGGAGATCCAGCGCTGTGCCAGAATGACACGAGTCGAAGATGGCGGTAAGGCGGACCCCGCCGTGCAACGGCTGTACCATGATGCGGTGCATCTCGTCATCGGTAATGTGCCCAAATTGGCGGAAATCGACGGGGTAGATGACCTCGTCATATCCGTCGGCCTCGTCTCCGTCTAGATCCTTCGTCTGGCCGCCGTGACCTAGTCTGTTCAGTATGGCGCAGATTGGCAGGTTGCATTGGATTGCTATACTCACCAGAGTAATGGAAGAATAGCGAGTCATTGGGCCGCGCTTCCTTAACCAGCCAGTGCATTGCTCGTAGGATGTTCTGCTTTGTTGGCTGGCTCATCGGGTTTTGCTGATCGTCGGTAAGGATAACCATATCCTCACGTTTGTAACCGAAATTCTCTACGAGATAGGCCGACATGTTCTTAACGTCATTGATACACCCCCTGAGCTGGCCGCGCTGGCCAAAGTAGTTGATGCCTATGAGAAGGGCCTTGCGGCGGCCAGTGCATTGGGAGTACTGGAAAGCGTAGCCCTGCGGAGCGCCGTGACCAAAATGTTGCGGCGCCGACGGTGGCGGAGGTGGACCGCTGGGGTTCCCCTGAGCATACGAGTTCGGGGTGTTTCCTGCGGCAATCAGGCCTCGGTTCATCATGTCTAGGGCGACAGGCTTCCTTACCGACTCTAGCATAGTGGTTCTGAGGTGGTCCGTTGTAGCCAGCATACTGCTGGTGTTGAGGTGGGGGAGGCTGGGGCGAGGGCTTAACAGAAAGTCAGGGCCGGAGCATTCAAATTCAGAGTCAAGGCAACACATACCTGTTGGTAACCGCCATAGGGCTGAGGCGAGGGTTGGTGATACGTGTAGCCCGGGGCTGGTTGTGGAGGGCCTTGCTGGTACGCACCGTAAGACGGCTGTGGACTGTGAGACCGTTAGAATCAAAGTTGGGAGCCGTCTGGTGTTGTCAGGGAGGTCATACGGATAAGGGTAGTTTCCGTATTGTGATTGTCCCGGCTGACCACCATATCCACCCCCACCCCCGTGATAGCCGGCACCGGGGAATCCCGACATCACAAGATGATGTCTAAAATCTGTATATAGAGAGGGAGCGCGAATCGGGTGTCCGGCAAGGCGCCGAAAACGGCCTCTCAGTGGTGAAGGGCGAAAAACTTCCCCGAGTCTGAGCTTTCGGGCTTTGTCTGGGATGCTGCGTTGCGAGGATTAAGGAAGCCGAGGTCTTTCTTGTTAGACCGAGCCGGGCAGTACGAGGTCGGAGGTGGTAAAGGTGTCGGAGGATGTGGACGGAAATACGTATCGAATGGGTTCGGGCTAATCAATCCTCTTAACGCGTTTAAGTCAGTAATGGTTGGCAGAAGCAACGAGTGGAATGGCGGTCGCGAGAGGTGAAGAGCGACAAAGGGCGTGAGGTCTGAGGGCTCAATAGACCAACAGCCGCACGGTTTGGGTGACAACACACCTGCAGGGGGGATGTTTGCCACGCTTTGAGAGGTCTCTTAAGTCGAGAAGGGTCTGGATGTTTGGGGCGCGAGCGAGGGCGTTTATTTGTTGTTGTAGGAATAACAGTTAGGTCGAGAATGAGAATCTGCTGGGCTTGTGCGAGGCGGAGCGGCGAATAGCGATGCGGGCGCTGGAAACGGTGATTGGCTCAGCTGGGGAACACCGAGAAATGATCACCAGCATGGGGTAAGGGAATGGGTGGGGCAAGTCGGCCCAAGTTACCCTTGCCATTCACCCACACAGCTGAAAACTTGGAGAAAGATTGCTAGAAGCAGAGCATCAAAGCAAGTCAAGCTGGATAAGACGCAATAAACCAATCCCATTCAGCCAGTCCTTCAGCAGAGTATGCCACTCATGGTCTACTAGTATCGTTCTGGTAATCAAGTTTAACTATCTCTAGGCAGTTGGTTACTATTAGTGTTTACTATATATAGGTACTTCGCGCGGAATGCATGCTGCTAGGTACGTCATCTCCATGTTAAATCTAGACAATCGTCGTTACCTAGTTACTGTTGTCAGCGGCCGAGGACTGTGTTACGATGCTGTCCGTTCTTACACCGGGCAAGGCAGGTGTTGTTACAAAGCATTAATGCTGAGCAACAGGCCAAAAGGTAGTGTCAGCCGCTCTTCGTCTTCAATCCGAGTTTCTTGGACTGACTGGCTGGAGCTTGGCCGATCTTCCAGAGCTTCCCGGCATTCCCACTCGACCTCGGAGATTACTCTTTGTGCGCTGTATTCTATAAGTACGGGTCTTGGTTCGCTGAAGGCCTCTTTTGACAGGAAGCCATTAACACACATTTGCGCGCGAGAAGGGCCATGTGGCGGTGAGATGTCTGCTACTTACTTTGAAGTTGGGGATCTGGGTTGCGTACTTGTTACTGCACGACGAGCTGAAATTCGATCGCCTGTCTCAGATGGAGGGCATTCTGCAGATTTAGCCGTGTCTATCAGCGCGTGGGAAATAAGCTTGTCTAGCAAGGTACGCCTTCTTCATAGTCCCATACCAATGGATCAGATATGCCATCTCAGTTCTCCCCAGGAGTTTTTTATGCCTGGGAAAGATAAGCATGACGAGTAACCCCAGCTCGTGGTCTCACACTCACTGGTCTCTGCGTATTTTTTGGTGGTACCAGCGCGGTGGTACCATGTACTGCGACTAGAACGGGTAAAGCTTCGGAGCTGACCGGACAAATAACAAGCCATAGCGAGCGCCACAATCGCTCTGGCGAAGCTGAACTCGGGGCTAGCCAATCGCGGATCGCAAGGGGGTTCAGCTTTGCATAACCCTGACACTTGCAGATGGAGCTGATATCGGCCGTCACTTGACACCGGGCAACCCCTAAATACCGCCGATAAAAGGTGACACATCCCGAAGCCAGCCCTACCCGTCCGAAGATCCTGCAGGCAGGTCTTGGGAGGAGCTAGCTTTTGAGCTGACTGCTCCTGCATGACTGGCCCGGCGTTGTGTCAATCACTTGGGTCAAAAGGGCTAACTAACCAGCAAGTGCCGTCAGTGTAAGAGTTGCGTAGTCGCCGTTTATTAGCGCAAACCTGACTCTATGAAATCCAAATGCCAATCTTTGCCGTGTTTCGTCTGGTCGTTAGAGCCCGCCATCAACATTTTCTCATGTCTGTCCCTTGGCCGAAGCGTCGGGATCCTTCGTCTACGACGTAGCCGGGACGGATTGCTTGCGTCTCTCAAGCATTTTCCATTGTCACATCTTCGCCGCCCTCGGCCTCCTCCTCCTTCCTCATAAGGTACGCCATCATGCTCCAGATCAACTGCATAGCCGCCAGGCGCTCTTCGACCTTGAAGAAGTCATACCACGGGCTCCTCCAGACCTCCAACCGACCCCAGCTCTTCGGGCCCTGTCCCTCAGCGTCCCCGGCGCCGACCGGTTCAGAATCATCCAAGCTCGCACCCTCCAGGACCTCGAGCAGCCGGTCGGGCACCCGGACCCGCAGCACGCTGATGTGGTGGAACAGGGAGCTGATGATGAACACGTCATCGTAGTCGGTGCCCGAGCGCCGCCCAATGGCCGCGTACTTGGTCTTGCTGTCCCAAGTCGGGCCGGGCGGGCGCACCCTCCTGTAGTTGTCGTACACGGGCAGGTTGCCGGATTTTTTGAGGCGCTTCGGGCCCTTGGCCATCAGGGGAACCACGTCGGTGGCGCGCGACGGCCGGCGCAGGCCCGTTGGGAGGTCGAGGCGGGGAGCTGCCGGTCCTTCGGCCGCCACCAGTGCATCGGCGGAGGGCGATTGGGGGGCCGGGGATGACGCGGCCAATGGCGTTGGCGGCTCGTCCTTGTCACCGATGGTTTGGTCGGCTCCCGACTGCATCTCAATCTCGCGGCCGATAGGGCCGCCCGGGCCGCCGCCCCAGCGCCGCTTTGTCGCCCACCAGGCGTCTTGGCCAATGCGCTTTTCGGTCTTGCCCTGCCGGGCGCGGTGCTGGGCTGTCAGGAGCGCGGCGACAAGCTCGCGGGCCAGGTCCATAATCGAGTCTTTATCCGTCGACATGTCTCCCGGAGACTCGGCCGCCGAAGCCGCAGCAGGTGACGAGGTCGGTGCTGCCGGAGCCGGGCGTAGGGGCGGAAAAGAGGTCGTGTGACGAGCACTAACTGCGGCGAGTGGGCCTTCCACGATCCCGGCACGGGCTGCCTCACGAGTCCTGGGAGTTCGGAAGATAAAGGTGCAGCCGGAAGAAAAATAAGAGCTCCGCGGCGTTGACGACGCCGAAGAACCTGACGAAGCAGGAGGGCTACCACCCGGGGATGAGGCCGGGGAGGTTATGTAGAGTCTCGGCTCGGTTCGCGGCGCCGATACATTGCATCCAAAGTCATACGCGACGAGTTTGAGGAACGCAGTCACAATATTATGCCGGTACTCTGGGGGCATCTGATTTCCAGAGGCGGTGCGGGAGAAAGTCCAGCACGTCGGAGTATCTACCGGCGCCGTTCCAGCTTCGGCGGAGTCGGAAGCTCCTGACTCGGCGGCATCTTGCTTGGCCCGCTCAGACTTGCTCACCGAAGTGTCATCCCAAAACGAGGCGAACACCTCCAGGTGGCGGAAGAACTCAAACGAATTTCCCAGACGAGCCTGGCTCTGGCCCTTGGGGGCAGCAATCCTCCGCACCGCGCGAAAAGCAGCCTCGTTGGGTATGGACAGCTCGCGCTTGCGATCTAGGTAGATTAGACATCCTGGCGACAAGTTGCCAGCATTCAGAAGTCTTCGCGTTGACTCGTTGGTTGAATGGGCTTCGTCCGGCGACAGTTGATCCCAAGCACCGAAGTCCGGGATGAATGCCGGGTCCGGGATGATATCGGCGGCGGAAGCTCCCTGGATCACGTGGACACCGAGAGCCTCGAAGTGGGCCAGACTAACCTCAGTGGGCCGGACAATGCCCTGTAGAAGGGAGGTTAAGGCCAAAGGTTGCTCTGGCCCGGGCCCATCCTGACTGTGCGCTTGGGGGTGGCAACGGGGGAAGTTGATGGGTGTTGGCGGAGGTACGTCTTGCGGGGGCTTGGCGGCGTCAACCGGAGCTGGGACTAAACACAGAGCGAGCAATCAGATGACAGCTGTCACTCTCAATCAAAATGAAAAGACTGAACGCTGTCATGGCCGACTGGACGTGACCTAACAAGCGATGTGCAGCCGATCACACAAAACGAGGGAACCGGGAAGAGGGTGATCCAGCCAAGTCCCCGCATAGCATAACATTCAGATCGGATACCGGCCCAAGATGGCTCCGGCCCAAGGACTCCCGAGCATGGACTACAAGACGCCACGAACAATAGCGCCTGGTAGAGAATTTGGCAGGTCCATGTCTTGCATAAGGGCTGGCCGGGGAGGTGGGGGAGGGGAATGAAGGGCAAAGAGCAAAAGGGGAAGGAAAGGAATCGAGGTTGGCAACTCACTGATGTGGGCGAAGCTGCCAAACATGATGGTGACGATTGAGCCCTAGATAGTTACGACTCGAACTTGGCTAGATGGACGGATGCAACGTGGTTCTCTCCAAGTCTCAATTGAGAAACCCCAGACACTCTAGTGTAATTCTTGGGAAGATGGGACAATTTCGGATCGAGCCCGAAGAGATGCTAGTCCAGCTTCTGCCACAGTGGTGTCTGTCCTCAACTCCGCTTCTGGTTTGTTCTGGCCAGCGCGCTTGGGAAGATGCAACTCTAGCCAATACCAGGTAACGAATAGCTGCACCACTACCAGACTTCGCAGGAAGAGGCGCGGGGGAAAGATGTTGGCGAACTTGTTCCTCGGTCCTTGTTTGAGGTTGGTCGTGACAGGAACTCGTCGGAGGTTGATGGTAAAGTGGCCGTGCGTTCGCCTATCCCGCTGCCATTTTTATGCAAGGCCAGCAAATCTATTCTATTTTGGTTGGGTCTCCAATTTCCTTACCCTGTCAAGACGATGCGCCATCGACCCTGAAATGAGGACCCGGAGGGAAGAGGCGAGTTTCTATCTGTACATAAGCCGTGCATTACACTTGACCACCTATCTACATTACCTAGGTGAGAGAAGGGAGTTGATGTATGGCCGTTAGATCGAACTATGCCAATCGACACTCAAACCTCTCTTCCACGCGACCAGCTCCGCGGCTCAGAGTCCAGATACAATACGCAGAAAAGCTCCTCTATAATGTCGACAATGTTGATAACTTTCGCTACCGAACAAGATTTGACTTGGCGGCCGGCTTCTGGTCATAGTCCTTGATGGAGTTTGATGTCCCGTAGATCTAGCAGGGAGAAACAAACTTAACAGAGCTAGACTTTGCAGAATAGGCCGCCGGATAGCCAGACGCCGGCCAGTTTCTTAGACCACGCTTGGCTTTTAGAAAAGTCGAGAAGCCTTCTGCATGTTGGCGGCTACGAGAGGCGGTCACACGGCTCTGAGATGAGAGAGTTTGCAAGAGTCGCCCGTCCTAGACTGCCACAGTAGAAGTAACTACCAGAGACTGAAGGTACGGAGGAGGCAAGTGATCTTTTCAGGGCAATCGCTCTACGCTCTACCACAGTAAGCCCCGTTGGGGTAGGTGCGCTGGGACGAAACTGTGCAAGGTGCCCCGCTCTGTCCATTCAGGTCCCGACTCACGTGCTTTACTCCTCAACCAAGCCTGGGAACCTGAGGCGCTTCGCCTCCCTCACCAAAGTCCTTCGAATTTCCATTGGACTTTCTGTAGGTATCTTCCTTGCATCTCTCTCATTTATTATTATTACTCTTGTTTTGCTTCTAGTCGCTTCCATTCGGAAATTCAAATAATATCCACGGGGCCGATGTTGCGTCCCTGGGAGACCCCTCCTCTGTCGTTTCCCCGCTGCTGGTGGGACGGATCAGGGGGAGACGCCAACCCACCCAAGTTTTATCGTGCCTCAAGACTGTCGCAGGACAGGGGTCCGCACATCAAAGCGCCCAAGGTCCCAGACCCTGGATGAGGCTCATGGCTGTCCCTCTCTGACATCTGTTCCCGTTGGCAGCGCAATCTAGCCAATCCCAGCCAGCCGCACCCATGTATCAAACAATGATCAGTCTTGATGCTGCCAGAGAATCAATGCCCCCCGTGGGCCCTGCAGGTTCAGCATCTCGCCCATCTCGTTCCACTCAGTGATGCAAACCAAACCTCCCTTTCGGCTCGAGGGGCGAACGGAAAGACTCTGATGGACTTCCGTCAACAACCTCCCCAGATCTTCCCTTCTCCCGTTTCTCCATTGATTTTCGTCGATTCATCCGCATCATCGTCTTCGCTGGCTCGTCTTTAGCCGCCGTCCCCTTGTGATCTTGTTGTGTTGTTCTCGTTCCTTTCCAAGGAAACTTCTTCTTTCCCCTCCTTCTCATCCAGTTCATGATCTCCCAGTGACTTCGAAGGCCCTAGAGGCCGGTTTCTTCTTTCCCTTTCCCTGGCTTGTCCTTTGTAATTTCCTCCCTCCCTCCCTCCGTTTCGCAGCGACTGGAATCGCCGAATAAGAAAGGAATTTTTTTCAAGAGTCGGGGACAGACAGGAGTCGGGCCAACATGTCGAGTGGAAACCTCGTAGGCGGGGCCTTCGTGACGACCGTCGACGGGAGGAGATGTACGGCAGTGCCGAAGCCAGGAGCGAACGTGGCGAACGCGGCCGCGAATGCGAACCCGAACGGGAACGACGACTCGTTCAACACCCAGGCGGAATCCACGGCCGCAGCACAGGACGCCGCAGAGACCGCTGCCGCGATCACGGCTACTTCTGGTACGGGCTCCACGAGTACGACGAGCTCCTCCCTGACAAGTGACACACCTGCCTCATCCACCACTTCTACCACAAGCAACACTTCCCAAGCACAGATCCAGCCCTCAGTAGTGATTGCCCCCGAGGCGCTGGTGTCGACGCCTCTTCCTGAGTCCTCCCCCGTTGCAAGCACAGCCATCCCCACATTCACAGTCGCAAGCCCCTCACAAGCATCACAAGCATTACAGACAGCATCACAGACGGCATTACCGTCTGGAATACAGACCAGTCAAGCTGATACCAGCATAATATCCACAGCCTCCGTGGCAGAAGCTCAGCCGACTCAAGGCCGAGTAACAGCTCTCTCCGATGTGAATGACCCTGCGACGTCACCAACAGGGGATGCAATTCCCCTGTTTACCACCATCGGGACGGCATCCAACGACGCAGCGGAGCAAGCCACAGATGTCGCCTCTTCAAGCAGCGGAGTCGTCAGTGCGGTACCGTCGTCGAACAACAATGCGGTGCAGTCGACTGTCGCTGTGGCCGGCGGCGTGATCGGCGGAGTGATACTCATCAGCGCCGTCGCCTTCTTCGTCTGGTGGTGGAGACGCAGGGTAATGAAGAAGCGCCGGAGCACTCTCTTGACGCCTTTGACCATCGACAACACTTTTGGACCCGGCGAAAAAGGCCCATATGTTATCAATCGCAGCAGCATCGGGCCCACGCCCATGTCAGAGAGGGTCAGAAGTGCAATTGGTTATAACGTCATGAAGATCCGCGGCCGGTTCAGCCGCATTGTGACCCGGAGCAGCACCGACGCGCCCTCGGTGAATATGAATCGTGGTAATTCACAGTTCATGGAACCCGTCAGTACTCACAGCCGTGCCAATTCTTCGGCCCTGAGCGGCAGCGCCGCCGACGTCACGTCCAAAGACCGCTTCCTCGATTGGTGGTCTCGACTGACCGCCGATGTCAGTTTCAATTGGCGGTTGAGGAACAAAAAGTCCAGCGCGAATAACCCCTTCGGTACTGCGCGCGGCTCGAGCGAGAAGAAGGCTTCTCTTACCTCGCAGCCGGACTTCCTGACCCTTCTGGGCATGGACGAACGCGAGATAGACCGGGAAGCCCAACGCCGGCGGGCCAGCGTCTCTCGCAAGAATGGCAGCGCTGGTTCTGCCGAACACTTCCTCGGAGGATTGAACCTCACCTTCGGCAGCAACAGCAACGGAAACAGCAACAGCAACCCGGATGATCCTTTCAGTGACGCAAACGCTCTGTCACGCAGCTCGGCCAAGCCAGCGCCCCTGGTGGTATCTCAGCCCAACAACCCGTTCTCGGACAGCAATGCCATCTCGGGCTCGGGCCCAACCGTGCCGAAGCCGTCAACCTACATTGCAGACATACGCCGATCGCGCAACCAGTCCGTCAGCGGTAACCCAAACTGGCCGGCAAGCACACTGGGCCGTGAGAGCGTCGCCAGCGTCGAATCATACACCGTCCGGCGCAACAACAAGTTTCGCTCCGACCCGTTCGATCTTGAGCGGCCGGAGCTGCTTGCCAGCGCCCGCCAGGCCAAGGCCAGCATGTCCAGCAGCACGGCCGGCACGGCCGGGAGCAGCGACGGAGCGCGCACGAGCCGACTGAGCGGCGGCGTGGGCACGGGAGAGCTCCGCAGGCCGCCGGGCGCGCACGCGCGCTCCGACAGCTTCAGCAGCAAGTACTCGAGCGGAGTAAGCATGGGCGACTGGAGCGACCCCGGCCCAGATGTCGGGCCCGCCGTCTCGAGGAGGGACTCCCCCGAGCGGCGCGAGAGCCCTACTCAGGCCTGGCGCAGCCGGCTCGAGAAGGACGCCGCCAAGGGGAACCGGCCAAGGAGGGACAGCGGAGGGAGCGTGAACAGTGTCGGAAAGGCTATGTGAGCATTTACGAACGCCTGGATGAAGAAGTCGCTGGCCTCTTGAAGTTCTTTGAGGTCCAAGACGTGTATGATGGGACGAGGGGACGAGGGGATGGTCCATGGCTTGCTACTACTAGCATCCAACGGGCAATTCCCTGCTGTCTCTCTTTCTCTTTTCCTTTCCTCCTTTTTTCTTTTATTTTCTATTTCATTTACCCCATTCCGTTGTCTGAACGGAAACGGGGTGGTGGATGGGTCAGCGAAAAAGGAGGGAGTTAGGTGGCGAGGTGTCAACGGTGTACGGCGCCGAGGAGTTTAATCTTGTGTTCATTCTTCTATCCGCAGGGCATCTTGGTCTTGTCCCGATTCTACCAGACCTGTCCAACTCTTCCCTGTGGCAGAGGTGTACCTTCTCACCTAATATTCTGGTTCAGCAACCGTCGCAAGACCAAACTCTCTCTTCTCTCTACGGGTCTGGACAGCGGTGGAGGTGGTTGCACTTGGTGGCCAGTGTAGATATGATACGACTGAACGTTGGGAAAAGGTGGGGGGACAAGCTTGGATGGAGATTGGGGTTACGCATATATAGTCCCCCAGGGGCGTGGTTTGGGGCCCAGCAGATGGGCATACACTCGCTTGGCAAATGTTCAATTGGTAAAGCATTTTACAAAAAAACGGCACGACTCCTCTCGGGCCATGATAATTACGTGTTGATGAGAACATGTTTCCGATAGATCCGCCCGTATCGTGTAGCGCCCGGGAGAACAACTATGACCAAACCCTTAGGTAGGTCGGCCGTCTCCCAGTCTTTGGCTGTTTCCGGAAACTGCTCTCCTGAGGCCAAGCGAGAAACATGGCGCAAAGAGTTGAATTGACTTTTTGGCTGACCTCATTTCATAGCGTCGATAGCGAATTTGATTGGCTATCCGATAATTACACTAGTGCCAAAAGCGGCCACAGAGCGCGACACGAAAAGTCGCGTGTCGCGACCCCCGACTCGCGCCAGTCACTGCGGGGTCCATGCATTCCCATTCCCCCCCCTCTGTAACGCGTAAATTGATTTGACCCCACGACACCCATGCCAATTGACAAGAACCAACCAACCAGTTTCTGGTGCTCATTGACCACACACGTTGTCTGACATGACGTGACGTCCCCCCTTTCCCAACTCCCTCCAACAACCTGCAGGTACTTGCTGCATGGGTTGCGTCCAGTACCGTAAACAAAGACCATTGTATTCCGAATCCGACCGACCCCCCTCTCAGTGCCCATTTCTCCTTGAGAGCCCGTAGTGGCGGTCCAGTCATGTTGACCGGTCAATTAGCAAGTTGCTAGCCGTGGCTGGCTGAACAAGGCAGGCAAGCAGTAAAATGAGCTGCCCTTGCAAACAAAACTCCGATTTCTCCAAACAAGATAGGACAGACACGACCCAGTAGAGGTAGGGGAACGACAAGAGAAAAAATAGAGGGAACGGAATGATTGCAGTGACATGTGTGTTGTGTATGCAAGTATAGACTGCCAGGTATCATTACATAGTAAAGTCAATGGCCACATAACGGTGGGGGGGGGACGAGGCTGGAAAAAACAGTTGCTGGACATCGACAGTGATGAGAGCACACAAGGCAATTAATGAGCAATAGGAGAAAAGGAAGAAAGAAACGGCAGAAGGAGCTCAAGGGCCAGTCAAGGAATGTCGTCAAAAGTGAGTCGCCTCCTTGCTAGACTGAGCGGTGTCTTGCCTCCATTCATCGTGGCCGGCGTCTTCCATGGCTTTTGGGCAGGACTCGGAGTCATGTGGACGAAGTCAGAGAAGTCGAAACCCAAGCCGGGGGTGTTGAGGAAGGGATTGCCTCCGCCAGGTGTGGTCATCATTGAGGACGGCAATGCGAGCTTGTTCCTGGGCGGTGGTGTGGAAGGCGGCTCCATGCGGGTCTTGGTTTGGGGGTTGTTGGCTGGCGACGGGGACGCTGCGAGGTAGAGGAGAAGGTCTACACCTTCCTCGGCCGACTTGGTTCCGGTAGCTGCGGTGCTCTGTTTATCTTTATTATTCCGGCGAGCGAGGCTGCTGCGACCTCGCATCGGCGGTGTACTAGGCGGCGATGTGCGACTATGACTCGCGCGGAAGGAATGGGCAGGAAGGAGGTCGTCGTCATCGTCGCCATCGTCGTCGTCGGAACGAGCGACGTAGTTGGGTAAATTCCGGGCATGGCCAGCCTGACGGGAACTGGCGAAGAAGGAGACATCGGGGCCGGTAGAGGTTGTAAAGTGCTGTTGCCGTCTTGGTTTTATGGGCGACGACTGGGCGAGCTGGTGATGGTCCTTCCATGTCGCATGGCTGATCGTGAAGGATCTGTGTGCGGTGGGCGACGGGCGGAATCTCTTGCTCGGGCTTGACAGCGCATGGTCGAAGGAAGCCATGTATGTGCGCTTGCGGTGGCCTGTGCTGCCATTGCTAGACCCAATTGCGTCTGAAAACAGGGGAGCCTTGAGAGGGGAGCTCATCAACATTCTCGTGGGGTAAGGGAGGTCCGAGGCACTGGAAGACGAGTCGGACAGAACGTCCCCTTCGGAAAGCCTCTTCCTCCTAATCTCCTCCTCGAATTTTGGCTCGAGGGTGTCGAGTGTGAGGTCCTCCCAGCCGTGCTTCGTCTTGAACTGTGCAAGTGCGAGACGGTTCTGTAGTCTTCGCGCCATCTAGATCAAGGTGGTGCACACTTGTTAGCATCATGGGATGATGAGGTTCGAGGGTTGTTGGGAGGCAAGGGGGGGCACATACCTTGCTGATTTCAGCCCTTTTGAGGACCTTGTCTGCTACAGCCTCTGGCTGCGTCTTCCACGGCGACGACATGTTCGCTTGCTCTGTTATCCGAGTAAGGCGGCAGATTTATTCTGGTCTCGTCTGGTTGTGGTGAGGTTGTGAGGTGGGTTTCACCGTGGGCTTGGCTAAGAGATTTGCTAGACTCGGGAGTGGCGGGCGCCAACAGGGAGTTGCAAGCGACGGCGAGGGGCCCAGATTGGCGGTCTTTGCTGACTTTGGAACTGAATTGAGGCCAAGTATATCAACGGGGGAAAACGAGGAAAGTGAAAAGGGAGAGGAGATAGAAATTGGGCAGACTCGGTACAGGTAGGAAGGAAGGGAGAGGAATCTGGCACTTTGGACTGAAGAGGAGTCGTGAGGTCCAAGAGTCTGGCTCGCAGCCTGAGAGAGCAAAATCCACTCGACATTCCTGTGGAAACCAGTCCAAGTGGGTAGCATTGGCCCGCCGACAAGCGGTGCACTGGCACTAATTTACAGGCCCAGCAAAGCAAACAGAGACCTCTTAACATCCCAGTCCAGCCCGGGTTGCAGCTTACGCCTTGCCTGAATAAGCACGACCATGACACCCCATCGACCAGGTTTCCCCGTGGTGTACCTACATGCATACATACCTACCTAGGTACATGCGTACAGAGGACATCTGCCAACTTAAGGGTACACACAGGTGCCGATTGCCCTACCTACCTCCAACAGGACGTATGACTTGATGGCTTACAGCATGAAGGCTTAGCACGGCGAGCTACTATGTAAGCTTTCCCATGATTCCAGTTGATCTGATCCATCTCGCCCAACCTCCCTCCTTTGAGAGACGGGAGTGGGTAAATGAAAACCGAAGAAGAAAAATGAACGGGATAAAAGAAAAGAATAAGAAAATAGGAGAGACTCGCACGGGCGCAAAAACGGCAGGCGGCTGAACTCGTGGATACTGGCAATCGTTGGAAACAGACTTCTTGAATTCTGGCTGCGACGAATCACATGCCGACAGCGAAGCCGTGCCGCAGAGCAATTTAGATCCCTACAAGACGGTAACGGGGCTAGGTACTCACGTACTGTACTTAGGTATTTACACACCAGTGCATCCGTCTCCAGTGCATAGCAACGGACGCGACGCTATGACGATAAGAAACCATGATCTCCATCCCTCTGTTGTTTTGTTTGTGGTACTGTTTTATAAGAGCAGTGAGCCATCATCAAACGCGGATTGGACCAACATATTCGTCTTTCCGGTGTTGGTATCAAAGGTGTCGTCCATTAAGTAGTGGACTGCATAGTAGCTTCCAGTTATCCTCGGACATCGCTTCTCGACCACGGCCAGTGGCGTTATTCGAGGTGATATCATTGGTCATGACGACAGATCCGGAAGTCTTATTTTATAGCGAATAGCTTCCTGCGATCCATCCATTCTGTGGCTGAAGCGAGAGCTCTTATCGGCGGTAGGCCAAACGCCACATGGCGTTTGCGCCATGCCTATTCGAACGGCCTTGAATACGATCTCGCCAGAAAGGGGCCGCTAATTCTCTAAGCCATTTTGTCTCCTCGTATTACGAACATGAACATGTCCCGATGAGACTTCTATCATCTATTAATTAAATCATCCACGTTCCAGGAGCTGGTCCTGTTCTGCGGCTCCTCATTCCTCCATTTCCAAGTTTCGTGGCCACTGCTTCCAAGTTTGAGTTTTTGCGGTTATAGGTACCAAGCAGTGATGGATGGGATCCTTACAACTCCAGGTCCAGGAACAAGCTGCTCCACCACCAGCCACGACTTCAACAATCTAACCAACGACGCCTTTCTGCCACAAAAGCCGCTCTTGGTAGCCTGCCGATTGCTTTCGGTATCTTTGTCAACCCGGAGGTACTAGGAGGTACTGGGAGGTACAGAATAGGCGCCAAGTGCCAATTAACAAATCCGAAGCTGTCTTCTTAGAGGGAGGAGGAGGATACGTCATCGCAACGACAAACCCGCAATAGATCCACCTCAGACCGGGGAATAATACCCTGCCTCGACTCCGACAAGCTTGCGCTGCCTACCTATCCTCCTATCTTTTACTTACAGCCACTCCTTCTTGATCACTGTCTCCTCTTAGTTGCTTTTGTCTTCATTTTTCTAGTGGCCAGTTTGCATTTGCTACCTTACCTGCCTAACACTCACTCGTCTTGGCCTCTCATGGCAATATAGCCATCATCCGTCAATTCGAACCGCGCAGAGGAACGAACCTCAAGTCGTCCTCTAGCGGATCCCTGCACCCCAAAAAACCAACCATGGCACCCTCAATCTTCAACTTTAAAAATCTACGAAGACGATCGAGAGCCAGCTTCAGGACCGACCATTCCACAGATACCTCGAGCGACGGCAGCAATGGCACGGCTCCCACCGCCGGCTCTCTAACCCCTCCATCCGTTGCTCACCAGTCCGACTCGGCTATCAATCTGCAGCTGAAGGATCAATTGGACGCTCCCGCCACCCCTGTACGACCTACTTTGCAATCAGTCACCAACGGCAGCACGAACCGGCACAGCGTTTCCGGAATGGCCGGCCTGGGGTCACCAGTCCAGGCTGGCCGGGGCCCGGCATTGCCCGTCTCGGCCTACTCTCCGCGCATTACCAACGTGTCGGATAATTCCTGGGTGAGTTAAACTGAGGTTTACTCTTGCGCCCGCTTCCCGCTCATCCGATCATCTCGGAGCTGCGCCCTTGCGCGCCGGACATCAGACAAACTAACAGTGTGCAGGTCTACCAGAAGATCCTCCTCGTGTACGGGACAATAGGCGATCCGTCGCAACAGTCTCTCAACGGGAACCTTACCATCAGCCGGCTAGACGATGGTTTCCCACCAACCTACTGGCCGGTTAACGACTCACATTTCAAGGCATTGGTTTACATGCTGCCCGGTGCCAACAGGATACGATTTGATTTCTCCAGCCCGAAGCTTGCCAACAGCGGCTCTTCTAATCCTATCCACGCCTCCTACCTCACCATCCACATGCTCAACCCGACAAACTCACCGCCCCTTCAGCTCGCCATCCTGCTCGGAAAAGACTCACCGGGCACTTTCGATGCTGTCCCCGCGCGTGTCGAGCGAGAAGGCAATGGGCTGGACACGGCGATTCGGAAGTTCCGCATGGCCGCCTACCTGTGGCAAGCCTTCACTGCGGAGCAGATGTGTCGGAATAAGTTTGGAAGACGGGTCTTCCGATTTGAGGAGGAATGGACAACAGGAACGACCAACCAGCGAGACCGTGAGTTTGGTATGATGCGTGCCGAGGCCCGCGTACATGTAATCCGCTCGACCAAGACGGTCGCAGAGCTTCGGGATTTAAACCGAGCACAGCAAAACCCCAAGGCGACCGACAAGGGTGCCCTTTACGGCATCGCTGCCGACGCCGTGAAGGACTACTTCAAACCGCTTCCGGGCCAGAAACAATACGTGTCCGTCCTCCTCTTAGACTCTCACTGGGACACAGCTTCGAGGACCATCACCGGTCATGCAGCACTGGGGGGATGCGTGGGGGACCTGCAGCTTGCCATCTTCGGGTCACACTGCCTGCAGAGCTACCCCACCAGCTTTGAGGAGGTGGTGCCCGCCTTCAATGATTGCACGCCGACCGACACCAACCATGTGGGCAATGACTGCAACGATGCTGGAAGCTCTTGGGAAGCCGCCAACATTGGAATTGGTGCTCACCTGCACGAGACGGGACATTTGCTCGGCCTACCCCACCGGGAGAGCGGAGTGATGCTCAGGGACTACGTCACTTTCAACCGGACATTTGTCACCCGCGAGGCCTACTCGACGAGGACAAAGTCAAAGGGCGGCAACGTCTCCCAGCAAGACGAGTGTACCTGGCATCGTCTAGACTGCCTGCGGTTCCGCAGCCACCAATGCTTCCGGTTGCCCAACGACCCACCGCTCAATCCCGACGACAGCGTGCAGGCGTGGCCGGTAGAGGCGGGGAATCTCTTGGTGACGGCCGCGACCGGAATCTCCTACATAGAGATCTACGGCGAAGGGGATGACGTGTGCCACACGTGGGTTGAATACCCTGCCGAGAACGGGTCCATCCAGCGCCAGCTATGCTTGACCGAGGCCGACCTGCGAAACCGGCTGCCCGAACCCAAGCGCAGAGGGATGGTCAGGGTGTCTATCAAGTCGCATGGTGGCGGCAATTTGGATATCGAGGACCTCAAGAAGTCGTGCTCGAAGGAGGCATCTTTCAAGTTGCCCAGCAACCTTCCCGGGATGGGCAAGTCGGCCTATCGGGGCAAGCAGCTCGGCCTGTCGAAGATGGAGGGGAGCCAGCCCCACGAGGTGGTGTTCACGAGCTCCGTGCGACAGGACAGGGTTCTCTCGCGCATCATCTTCTACCACGGCTTCGCCGTTGACGGGCTCGAGTTTGTCTACGACGATGGCTCTCGCCAGCTGTTTGGGAAGAGGGGAGGGAAACAGGGCGGAGATGCTTTCGATATGGGTCAGTAGTAACCTCTTTTTGGGCCGGACCGCTCCAGGAGATTGGGCACGCTAACAGAAATTGCCCTGGCTATAGATATCCGTCGAGGGGAGTACATCACCGGCTTCTTCGTCAGAGCCGGCTTCTGGATCGATGGTATCCAGGTCCTGACGAGCCTGGGGAGGAGATCTCCCATGTTTGGTAACACGCACGGCGGTTCTGCGTAAGCGTCATCCCTCCTCCTGCTGCATGCATCAGGCTTGCGAAAAAGAAAGGCGAAGAAAGTATCCGTACTAACCTTTTCCCTCCGTTCGCAGGCATTCTCTGATACCCCCTAGAGGTTACACTATCTGCGGTGTGACCGGATCCTGCGCCGCTTGGGTTGATGGCTTCTCTGTGATTATTACTAAATAAATAAAAAAGGGGTAGGGGCCGCCGTCACCATGACCATAAACGGCCAACGATTCTTGCATACGAATACGGAAATACATACCACGGGGTGTAGAGCATCTTAGGGCAGAGATGCCGGGGAAAAAAAGCAGGCAGGCTGGAAAGATGCCCTAAACATAATGCTAGTTTGTCCAAACCCCGTTCTTTTTGTTCTGCTCGGCAGGATAGGTAGTCTGTTCGGGTTTCCACTTGATACCGGAGGACTCCGGGTCCGTTACATGGGGTTGATTTGTTTTTGGCTTTTTTATGTCCAGTGGAATTGCTGGACCCTTAGGGGATAGATAATACATGGTAATCGGTGTCGGGTGGGAGGACCCATTGGAAATCGAATACAAATACGGTCTCGATACAAAGTAACGAACTTCACATCTTAGTTTGGTGCGGCAGTGGCTTGTGAGGTGTAGTTGACGTTCCATACTTGCGGGCACGAACTCAACGGCTCTGGGGAGAGACATCACGTTTCTTGGCCAGATGAGGTCCGCCCAAAACAAGTGATGACTTGCGTGTGATTCTTTACGACAGCCGAGTAGATATCTACATAATATATGCACTGTCACAGGTGGCCAATCGAGGATTCATTAATATCAAGCAAGCCAGCAGGTTTAAGAGTAAGCCACTCCACTAAGATGGAGCCAGAGTGATTTTACATTGGGCCACTTGCTATATTCGCCAGTCCCGCGGCATCGGAGGCATCTAAGACGGCCATCTAACCAATTCCAAGCGCCATTTAGTCCTCACCGTCGCTCTCGTCGCTGTCCTCCTCGTCCGCATTCTCCAGCCACTCGACAAGGACGCGACACCTCTCCTTGACGGCGCCCATGCTGTCGCCCTCGGAGGAGCGCCTATCAGCCCACCAGGCCAGGATCGCGTCTTCCTCGACGACGTCCTGGTTGTACAGCTGCTGCAGCATGGCCGCGAGGAGCGTGCCCGCCCGCGCCGCCTCCAGGCCCCTGACGCCCAGCAGCGCCTTCTGGGTGGCAAGCGCATACTCGACCTGCTCCGTCTCGGACCCGCCGATCCCGACCTCCCTGATGAACTTGACGGCGCCTCTCTTCTCCATAAATGCTCGGTCTGCCGCCTTGGTCGGCTCGAGCCCCCCGTGCTCCGCGGTCAGGAGCTCGGCGGCTCGGCGGACGAACGCGACGGCGACGGCCCGACGCATGGATTGGTCCGAGGCGTCGTTGGCGAGGCGCAGGCCCATGAACTCGAGCTTGGCCGAGTCGAAGTCTGAGGTGTCGTCGGCGCGTAGGGCGTCTAGAAGGCCGTTGACAGCGTCCACGTGGAATGCGCCGGATTTTGTGATTGCGGCGCCAGAGTCGTCCGAGGCGAACGAGGCGAACGAGGAGAGCCGGCTGCGGGTGCTCCTTGGGTCCCTTGCCTGGAGCGACGCAACTTGCGAGTCCACTTCGTCCGAGTCGGCGGAATCGTGCGAGGCGAAGGTCGATATGGAGGACGTAGAAAGGTTGAGGCCTTCGAGGGAGTAAATGAGGCCTCGTTGTAGAATCGAGGGATCACCTTCGTCCACGTTCTCCTCTTCTTCCTCGTCGTCGTCGACGAGGCCACTGTAGAGCGCACCTCTTCCAGCCTGGCCGACGAGTTCGGTGTCTGTCTCGAGGGGCTTCCCATCCTCGGCGACCAGGGAAAGCACAGGGGCTGGAGTAGTGGCTAGTTGGATTCCATCTCCCACATGGACACCAAATGAAAGAAGTGATGCCTCTGGAATGGAGGAGGCCTTCCCTACGATGACTGAGTTGCCCAGCACCGAGCGATGCACTGAAGCACCGTCTTCGATGACTACAGCATCCCAGATGTAGCTGTTCTCAATATTGACGTTCTTGCCAATCGTGCACCTCCGCCCAATTATGCTGTTTAACACAGTGCTGCCATTTCCGAGGCGTGTCCCCCTACCGATCACGGACTTCGTAATGTTGGCGTCTGGTGCAATCAGCACGCCATCCTCGAGGCACACACCTCGTTTTGACAACTTGTACGAACGGCCCACAACCAGATTGGAGTCCGGTACTAGGGGGTAGGTCCAACGGCCAAGGATATCACGACTCACAGCATCATACTGTTGGAGGTTGTGAGCTCGTGCGGCATACCCCTCGGTGAGGATTTCTGCATGTATTAGCTTTCCATTCAGTTCCCAATCTTTCAGGACACCGTGCAGGAAATTCTTCCTAGGCAACTCGTAGTCAAAACTTTCGGACCACAATGCCAGCACGTCCGGTGTGCAGATGTCGATCCCACAGTCGATCAAGTCGCTCCGGACTTCGAATTCGGCATTGTCGAGAATTGTAGGATCCAATGATAAGTAGTGATCGCTTTGCAGAGGATGCAACTCTTCATAGTGCAGGCAACGGCTAGTGGATGGCTCGACTACGAATACCGGCGTGATTCCGTGTGATTTTGTCCGGTGATCGTCCTCCCCGGCCGAACGCAAAACCATGGTCATGATGGCGTCCCTGTTGGCCTCGCGCCTCGCGCGGTGCTTCGTCAGGACGGCATCTAGGGGCACGTTGGCTACCACGTCGCCGTGGACAAGCACAAAGTCGCCACCGATTAGGCCTCGCTTGTCGAGGTCCCTTAGGAAGTCACCAACGGAATGCGCGTCTGAGACCCGGATGAAGTCGAGAGAAGAAAAAGGCGAGAGCTTGCCGGTAGGGCTCCACCTCGGGGACTCGTGGATGTAGGATTCGATTTGCTCAGTGTGGGCGCCGCAATATATAAAGACCTCCTGGACACCGTTCATGGCAAGGAATTCGAGGGTATATTCGATTAAAGGGGTATTTGCCAGCGGTAGGAGACACTGTGAGGGCGGTCAGCAGGCCCATCTCGAGGATAGGAGGCGCTGCAAAGGGAAGCAACTCACTCTTGGCTTCTCGAGTGTGAATGGCCTAAATCTATCCTGAAATGAGTCTGCTAGGATCTGATGGGAGATCACTTGTCAGCATAGGAGGCCGGGAGGATCGGCGCGGCAACATAAGAGGATCACGTACAACAGCCTGGAGGACATCTTCGGTCTTTTCCTCAGCGGCGCCCTTGGCACCCTTCTTGCCCTTGCCGGCAGCAGCGCCCTTAGCACCTTGCTTGCCTGACATGGAAGGAGTAGTCGGTGAGTAATTGGCTAAGATATTATGGCCTAGGCTAGAGTTGTCAAGCAAACCCGGCTGGTATATCGTATAACGCTCTGTCGCATTCGGAAACAAATGAGTCAAGCCTCAATTGAAGTACAAAAATTGGTGGGGTCCGTTGCCAAGCCCAAGTTACCTGCCTAGTTGGAGGGGCGGCTGAGCTTGTTCCTTATCGATAAGCAGAAACAAAGCAACTGCTCTCGATGGGACTGAGTGGCCTCAATGATATGAGGAGGCACCTCTCCTCACCACCTAGGTGACAATCAACTATGACACATGTCTCTGCCAAAGGAGCACTTATCAAAATACCGAGTCGATTCGCATCAAGTACAATTTTTCCTTCATAATACGTCAACCATGTCTATCTGCACCCTTACCTTTTACCATCTCCTGGATGCCTGATCACGTGCAACCAGCCCCATGCCTAGAGAATCAGAAACCTGCAGCTTCACAGACATCATCTCAATTAAGACTGGAAACGGACTGGCTGTCTAACTTGTCTGATTTGCGTGCCAAGACAGACAGGGTGCTCCGACACTCCCGTCAACCTGCATTCACATTTTGAGGTCCAGGCGAAGTTCAGGGATTGTGCTTGGCTCGCGGGGGCCACTGTAAATTTAAGCGGCTGCGCCGTCACAATGCGCGTTTCAACCCCTGGCGGTCCAGAACACGTCGCTTCCTCGTACCCCAAATCATTGCTGGATTGTTTCGCTGTCAGGTATTCAGGACCGAACAAGCTTAACTCACTGGCGTGGGTTCCTGCAGCAATGCCTGTTAGTCTCGGCTGGAAGCTGTCTTCCCGAGTTTCAGCCACCCTTCCTTCCTCAATTCACCCCCCATAACCAACTTCGTGATGAGGGCTGGCCAGTGACAGTCTTCGTCCGAAAGCATGGGGGCAGTCGGGATTCTCATGCATGGCGTCAAATCGTAGGGATAGTATGGTAACTCTTTGACGATCTGTTGCGCGGCTTCGTTTCGGCTGAAGCTTTGAGGCCTGTCCATCAATCACCTCCAACCCGGGATCCCCACGGCAGGAGGAGTGGTACAAATACCATTTCCCCCCAACCTGTTGGCCTCTGACTCCTGTTCTCTCCTCTTCATTCCATTCGCCTTCCTCTATTTTATTGCATTCAGGTATAACGTCTCGTCGCCGGCCGACTCTCAAAGCTAGTTCCGTCTCCCACACGAGTTGAACTCATCCCCAAACAATCCGCAAAAATGAAGTACACACTCATCAGCCTGTTCGCTCTCGTCAGCGTTGCCCTCGCCATCAGTGCTGAGGAGCACAACGGTAAGCACAGGAGATAGATATGGCTCGTGAAGATTGTACATACGGACTGACACCTGTTGTCAAGACTTCATCAAGAGACAAGCCAACGTCCAGAAGGGCGTTCCGGTAAACGTCGCCGCCATGACCGACCAAGCAGGCAACGTCATCCTCTTCGACACCAAGGGTGTGTACAAGGACGCTTCCGCCAAGGGCCTCTGAGTGCTCCTCAACCCAGCCGGAGATGGTCAAGAAATGGGGGACGAGTGGCAAGCCATGAGCCTTAATTAATGGGCGTTGGGCTAAGGACACTTCGCCTGGCTAATCCCGCCGTTGAAGTCGTCAAGAGAAGTCAGGCCGTCAAACGAGGCTCAACATGTTGTGTTACAATGGGATAGACCTTGGGATGATGGATGCAGCTGGCTTCTGCTGTGTCCTCGGGGCAGATACTTTTTTAGGAATATACCTTTTTTGCGGTCAACACGCCGCAACGTTTGCATTGCGCATCTCTCATTCCTTTACTTGTGCCAGGACAGTTTCGTCTGTCTGTGGGATACCCGTAAGCTCACCCGTAAGCTCTTGAAAGGAGGTGAACATGTATCTCTGACGAACGCGTGCCAATTCGTGTAAGTTCTTATTACATAAGCAGTCCATACATGGATATCACCTTGATGTTGACCTCAACCACCGCCATCACTCAAGATATGGGATGACTCTCTGTAGCTGGTAACAAAAGAAGGACCGGCCACAACACCAATTGTGAATCCAGTTTCCGTCATCATCAATCTGGCCTTTCACGCACCTGTCTCTTGTGGTCACCTGCTCATATCCGACAACCAAACAACAAAAGAAACACAGCTTGCCCGTTGGCCGACAACTCTACAACTCTACAACTACAACACCCAACAATAAGTAACAATAATAAACGAACAAAAAAAGAAAAAAGAAAGCCACAACACCCATCTCCTCATAAAACCAATGGCCCACCTCCCCCCTAACGCAGCAATATTCTCCCCCAGCGTGGCCCGCGCCGCCGCCAGCGCCGCCAAGGACTGGAACTTTGTCGACAGCTGGCTGGCCGCGCGGTTCCGAGGCCGGGCCCCGCCGCCCTTTGAGCGCAACCCAGACACCCTGCGCGCCCTCCTCGCCTTGGTGGCCCTCAACGAGCCCGCAGACGAGGAGCGCGACCTGCTCGCCCGCGCCGAAGCCTGCGCCCTCCGCGACGCCGAGGCCTGGGATGCGGCACGGGACCGGGACCGGGACCGGGATCGGGATGTCGAGACTGATCCCTCCGCCCCCTCCTCCGCCGCCAACCTCCTCGACGACGTCCTCGACGCCATAGAGGACAGCCTCTCTCGCGACGGCCGCTCCGCTCTAGACGCCCTCGCCAGCACGGCAGTCGAGCTGGGCATCGCGTACCCAGACGCGCCCTCGCTAGCCTCATCGCTATCTCGCCTGCAATCCCAGACCCTGGAGCTCGACCGCGCCGCCGGGCGGGTCGCCTCCCTCCGGCGGCACGTCGACGCCTCGACGACGCGGGCGCACGCCCTCGCCTCGGAGCTCCGCGGGGAGGCCTACCGCTCCCCCGCCGACCTGGCGCGGAACAATCTCGACGTGCAGCGGGCGCTCAAGGCCGCGGCCGCGCGCCTGCCCGAGCTGGAGGACCGCGTCGCCTCGCTCGCCGCCGCCGTGGGCGGCGGCCCGAGCCCCACGGTCGAGCAGGTCCGCCGCGAGGAGGTCGAGTACCTGGATCTGCTCGCCCTGCGCAACGAACTGGACGCCAGGGTCAGGTCGTTCCGCGGCCTGCCCCCCGACACCGACGCCGCGCGCCGGGAGCTGGAGAGCCTGCGCGACGAGCTCGCGCGTATCACCCAGCGGAGAGACGCCGTCTTTGAAGGCCTCGTCGAGCGGGAGACGCCGAGGAAACCGACGCGATGATTGGCACGTGTTGGTACCAATACACGTGCTTGTTGGCAAGCCAGGTCAAGACCGGGATTAATAAGTCTACATTACGTTCCAAATATTACTAGGACTATGTATGCTACACTTGATAGATCGACAATCGCCTGGGATAGCGCTATTGTTGATTCCGCTTTCCTCGCCCCGAAACCGCCCCTCCGAGTCTCCCGAATTGCCTCCCCAGCCCCGATCGCGGCTTCACAACAGGCGCGGCGGGTGCTGGCGGATCCTTCGCAGGCATGGGCTGGCTTGCCGGGGGACGAGACGCATCCTTTGCCTTCATCTCGAGCCCGTCGCTAAGGCGCAGATCGCCAACTCCAAAAGTCGGCCCGTGGTCGAGGTCGCCTCCTGGCCGCTGGGCCCGTCTTGCTCGTTCTTGGACGCTGCGGAACTTCTCCAAGAGCTCGTTCCAGCGAATAATGCCATCCTCGCGGCCGCCCTTGAGTCTGTTAGGTCTATCAAAGCTCGAACTACCTGGCGTCGTCGCATTGCTATGTGTCAAGCTGTCAGTGTCTGAGTTATATTTCTCGCAGGAATGGGTGGGTGAGAGAGTAGGCGATTGCCTTCGAGGGTGAGGCGCGTGAGGAGCAAGGGAAACGACGTACGGTCTGGGCGCGATGTGCAAATATCCTATCGAGCTCACGCTATTGAGGCGGTTCTTGAGGGCTGCGAATGCGGATGATTGGGGGAGGAGCATCAGGAGACCATAGAGACATTTATAAAGATGTGGGTATCTTTCTGGCTCGAGGAGTTGCAAACGCAGGTCTACCAGCGTGCCCGTTAGCATCTAAGGCGGTAGCTGAGAATGAATTCGGTCAAACTGAACCTACATGTAAATACGGGCGATTCGAGAAGCTGGACCAGCTTGTCGATCTGGATCAGGATATTGACCGTCATCTCAAGATCAGCGCTAGAAGCACGTTAGTAATCCAACGAGCCGTGTGACGCAAAGGAGGGGGCTGCCAGACAATATCAGAAGAAGGTTATATGCTTGTTCGTAAGCCTGGGCAAGCAGGCACAGTGAGAACGTAGCAACGGCATTATAGCACCATGACCGAAAAAGTGCCACGAAGAAGGTTTGGCCGTCCTGAAGGTTCATGATTAGCCTTATTGTGCCTGGGAAGGGTAGGCCGGGATGGACGTATGGGAGAGAGGGAGGGGCGAGGCTCACCTTCGTTTCTAGGTTCCTAAGTCGCTTGCGCAGCTCAGACAGCTCTGGTGCGGTGATGAGGTTATTGTTGAGATTCTGCACCATTATGCTAGCAAACTCGACATCTTCCTCCTTTTCAATGCAGTCGGCAAGGGTTCTATAGATGCGCTCGGCACTAAGGCTGACACAGAGCTGGCGGATGATAAGGTTACCCCGTGTCTCAAGCAGCTTCCTGTCAGTAGCGAAGAGCTGGAGGAGGTTAACCATGAAGTTTGTGAAGTAATCGTCTTCACTGTTTCTCGAGATCTGCGAAAGGAGCTGTAAGTCCTTTGTGACGACGGCCTCTGCGGGATCTGAGAGAGTCTTGAGCAAGGCCGGAAAAGTGCCATCATTGAAGGCCAACACTTTACGGGGAGCTTTGCGATGCAGCATAATCAGCCACGTCAACGCAGCTACACGAGTGGCCTCGTGGTCGTTCAAGAAAAGCAAGGTCAGCGAGTTGACGGCGGCTGCGTAATCAAGGTCGGCCTCCGTGTGAGCAGAAGGCGCCGGTGATGGTTGTCTTGGGATGGCCCTGCCTTGGGCGGGTGTAGGACTCCGCACCTCGAGCTCCTTGGAACTTGACAACGAGGCTCGATTGCTCGACACGCCTTCCGGACCGGGTATCCGCGACAAATGCTGCATAGTGGGAAGCCCCGGTTCGTCGGAAAGCGAGACGACATAATCCATGAGTGAGGTGTTGACTCTCCCGGCTGCCTGGCGTATCGACTCGACACCGCTAGCCATCGCTGGCAGCAGATGAGCGAGTATTTTGGGCGTGAAGGGAAGCACCTCTTCGGGGCAGATATCGAGAAACTCGACAATCCAGCGCAGGGACTCGAGCAAACCGTCCTCCTCTACATTGTTTCAGCAAACATGCATCTGGCGTTCCAATGGGATAAGTCAATCAAGCGGCGGCATACCTAAGGGGGAGTCGAGGGTGGCGGTCAATATCTCGAGGATTGCCTTGTAGTTGATCTGCACATCTTGTCCAGGGACCCAGTCATCCTCACTACTCGCATCGTCCTCTTCGTCCGCGGCAGCTGAATCGACCTCGTCCCCTTCTTCAAGTGCCGGCTGCACGCTACCGCTGTCGAGGGAGTCCTCTCGCTTGCGCTTCCCATCGCCCTTGGACTTCTTACTCTCAGCAATCCCCTTCTTGACACGAGATATGCGTTTGATCTCGTTCAAGAACCTATCCAGGCAACCCTGGGTTGCAACATGGACGTCTCTGTTGGCATCGCTCAGAAACCTTAGCAGTCCACCGAGGAACTCGGGCAGATAGGTCACAAGCTCCAGGTCCGGGATGGAGTCCAGCAGGACAATCCAGCCAACCAAAAAGGTTCTGGCGAATGGGTTGAGAGCGTACATGCGCTCCTTCAAGAGCGGTATGAAGCGCTTCAAGGAGAAAGCGGTGGGAAGGTCGACCTGACGATCGTCGCTATGCTCCTTATCACCGGCAGCGTCATGGGCACTCTGGACCGACTCCAAGACAGAGACATAGGTGGCGGCCGACTCCGATACAATGTCCTTGATGAGCCGATCGAGGAGCTCGGCACCATTCTTTACCGACAGCTCCGAATCTGCGCCCAACTGCAGCGGAGGGTCGACGAGTGAGCCGGGCGGAACCCTTAGAGGCAGTGCAGGAGCGGGAAATACGTACCTTGCAAAGGGCATCGAAGATGTGGTTGAAGTAGATTAGTATTTCTCCCTTCGCAACCTTTGCGATGTTGTACATGGCCTCGCATGCATAGTACCTAACTCGGGCATCGTGGTCGGCAAAGCAGGCGAGTACGGGAGGCACAATAACGTTGAGATATCTCGGTAGTTCCTGGGTGGCAAGGACAGTGAGTGAGTGAGTACAGTGCATCGCATGTGATGACGCGGCTTGGTATAGTATGGGGACACGGTGTTATACGGACGGGGGAAGCACACGCGGAGAAAGAAGAGGGCGAACATGCGAGCGCAACAGCAACAGCGAGGGTAAGGCGGAGGCGGGGCCGAGAAGAATGGAGACTTACGGAGCCGAGGGCAATAGCCGCAGCGGCTAGCCCTATCAGTCCGCCATTCCGGGCATGAGGTTGGTGGACGGCGTAAGCATATTCATTGCAGAGCTGGTCGATGATAGCCTGGACCCTTGCGTAGTCCTTGGCGGTCACCAGGTCACGAATGGCCCGTTCAAGTCTACAGCCCGATGTGAGTACGAATGTCCAATGACTGGGGTTTTCAAAACGATCACATACTCGAGGGCGCCATGCTTCCGCTTATCATAAAGCTTGTCGTTGAGAGCGCGCTGGATGTTGGTATCCATGTCGATATGCTTTATACGTCCAGAAGGGCATACTGCATAGGGAAGACTTCAGTTCAATGACGGCTCATTCATACAAGGAACCGGGGAATGGCAGAGCCGGCGAAGTCAAGTCTCGACTCTCAACATGGAAGTCTAACAGCGACCGAGAGTATATTCGAGGGAAGAAAACAGCCAGCGAAGAAGTTGAACCAGATGCTGAAGAGCTGCCGCCGTATAACTCGAATGTATTCTCAATCAGCTAACCAACGATGAGAAGGTCGGGTATTGAGAGCGCTCTTTAACAAGCCAGGTTAGCGGACGACGAGCCCGGCTGGATGCTTGTGTGTGTAGTGGAGTTGTGGATGTGGATCGCAGCTTCTCCAATTCAGCACTCCACTGGAAGATGCTGCAACTTTCCCCACGTGAGAGCGCCTTGTCTAGCCGCAGTAGCGGCACTGATAGCTGCTAGCGCCGTGCATCCCTTGGACTCACTCGACTGCAAAGTGTAGGTACTTTAGGTACCGAGTTGCCCATTACATCATTGAGGCTAAAGCTCTCGTGGGCCAAACAAGTTTGGACAGCACCTGAGTAGCTTCACTTATTCTCCTTCTACCTTAGAAGGTAGCTTCCGAGCCGTTGCCGCCCGCGCCTCCATCCCGTCATGGATTCCGTCCCATCCATTATACACTAGATTTAATGTGGGCGCTGAGCCGCAACACCCCCAAGACACAATGGGAACTGGAAGTTGGAAGCTGGAACAGCAACAGCCGTAAAACTTCAAAGGACTGTGTAAACGATCACCCATCACACATACGTCTTGCATCGCCAAGAGACCAGGCAAAAAGTGTCTAGCAAAAAAAATTTTGCCAAAAATTTACCACCATAAACTATCTCCCCCGTTCTCCTAACCCCGTATCACTTCTGTGAGCCGCCCCCTCCACCCTCTTTCCGACTGTCATTACCGTTCTTCCCATCCTTCTTGCCGGACTTGCCCGGTCCGCTCTCCTTGTTCTGCCGGGCCGCGACGGAAGCCCGCCTCGCGAATTCGTCCTATTTGGCCCGCGGGTGAGCGAGCCAGTTCACCTCGGCGCAACTCAGGAACTGAGGTGGACCCCCTAGTATATATGTACAGTACCTTGTCTCCCCTGGCCCTGCGAATCCTCTCCGCCGCTGCCTCGTCCATCTTCCCTCTGCCCATGTTTCCTGGTGGGTGGCTTGCTTCTTTTGGTGGCCAAGCTCGGCTGAGCTCAGACGACGTCTTGGGGAGATGGCTGCTTGGCCGAGCGCAGCACGGTCGAGATCGGTGGAAGCTGGGAGGGGCAAAGAAGACGGTGAAGGAACTAACTCTCGGGGTTGACTCAGAGTCAGCCCAGTCAAAGGTTGTGAGAGCAGAGTATCTCGTCTGATACCCCCATCACCAGACGAGGGGATTGTTCTAGGCCTTATACACATTTCACTCGAAACGGCCCCCTGTGACAGAGCGAGGCACTGCTTTCTTTTCCCAATTTATTTGCTCTCTTCCCCGGGAGGGGATGACGATAAGCTGCTAAGATACGCTCTCCCACACCCCCCAGCCCGCCAATCTACATGCGAATATGTGTGGCTTCTAGTGTCGATCTATGTGCATCCTGTATCCTTAAGAGGCATGGTTAAGTCCCAGCTCTGCGGGATGGAAACAAGATTGCCTGCCGGCCTGCATCTGACCACACATGCCCGTAACCTGTTTCGAATACCGAAGGCCTGGGCATCGGCTGATGGAGTCTCTCTTGGGAGGGCTCGGGCCGCGACTGAGGAGTTTGTTTGCGCGAGTTGCCCAACCCCCCCACGCTACTCACTTCCTCCACCCCGTGTCTTCCGTCGGGGTGCGCGGAGAAGGAGCAAAAAAAGCAAGTTGGGATTATGCAATGTACCGGAGCTCAGGGTGACGATGGCAGGGGTTTGGTCCCCAGGGGGCGGCTCAGATCGTCAGATGTCACGTCCCCGGAAGCGAGCGACCTGCAAGCCAGAAACAACACCTTGCTGAGAGAAGGGGTGGGATAGTCCGCGTTTCCCCCCATCTCATTCCAAATCTATCGTGGCTTAGTCCTGGCTGTGGAGAGGATGGCTGAACCGGGTACTGGGATCACACTGGCAGCCTTTGGATCTAGAGGCTAGCTAGCGTTCGGAGAGAGACTACATTGGTGTTTCATCCTTATAATATCGGTACCCTTCGCCAACGCGTCAACTACATAGAGTGGGTAGGTAGTATTTACCGTACATATAATCCGTATACCTAGCCACGTTATTCAATTGCTCTCCAATATTGGTACCACCGTAAATTACAAAGTCACGCCGGAACACCTGCCAAGTCGGGCCTTGCCATTCTCGTGGGAGGCAACAGTTAGGTGGTGAGAAGTGATGCTCGGGCCCCCGGGCCTTTTAACTAAACGGCTATGAGGTTATGCCATGAGAGCGAGAAATGTGCGCGGTAATCAAGCAGTGCAAATCTATCATTAAATCCCACCCTCTTCATCAACGTCCCGAGTCTCTCGAGACCAAACAACTATGAGGATTATGTCACAAAATATACGTATTGCCCATGAATCGCTAATCATCTATCCCTACGTAGCCCCGATTAAAATCCCAACTCGAGTATGATACCCCTGACGACGAGTGGCCACAGGACCTCTCTCAGTGGGTTCGCGATATCGACTACGCGGTAGCCACGACCCCCCGTCAATGGTGATGGGCATGGAGAGGGTCGTCGCTCTGCGCCAGAGTCTTTTGGCACTTGGCAAGGATGGCGGCCTGCCTCGAGACCTCCGCCAGCTTCCCGATGACTACCTTATTCCCGTCCACGAAGCCGTAAAGCGCATACGGGATGCCCACCTCGTCGCAGAACTCCTGGACCAGCTTCTGGGTCCTCCGGAGGTTGTGTCTCGGGATGCGCGGGTAGAGATGATGGATGGCCTGGAACTGCAGGCCGCCGTGGAAGAAATCCAGCCACTGGGGGCAGTCGACGTCCATGGTCGTGCGGAGCATCTTCTGCGGGAACGACTCGGCCGGGCCAAGGTCGGCCGTGCTCATGGCGAAGTGGGACAGGGTGATCTGGCAGTGCAGCGGCATGGTCACCATGTGGCTGACCATGATAAACACGAACCGGTCCCACCCGGTCGGTATGGTCTTGTAGACGATGCCGTACCCGAACCATATCCAGAAGAAGACCTGTCCGGTGAGTTCAAGCCACCGGTGCCACCATGCAGGACCCTTCTTCGGGCCTTGACCAAGGATCAAGAATTCCAAAGAGAGCCGATAGAGGTTGAACCGTCCGAAGAGGAGGATGACGTAGTATAGATAGGCCTGGAATTTGATGAAGAACTTGGCCACGGCATCGACGTGCATCACCCTGTCGTAGTATGTCGAACGCAGCGAGAGGAGGAAGCGGTGCGAGATGGCGAAAAATGGTATGTGCTCGATGTCGGGGTCGTGCTCTGGAGCATTGGTCACAATGTGGTGGACATTATGATTCCTCTTCCACCATCCAATAGAAAGGCCCCCAAGGAAGTCGGCGATGATAATACCGATGACGGTATCCACCTGGAAGTCGTGCGTGATGCCCATGTGTCCGGCGTCATGGGCAGTGAAGACCAACTGGTGCCAGAATACCCCCAGGAAGAACCCGCTGGCGGTATACCACCCCCAGCGCAGGAAGAGGAGCATGAGGCCGAAGAACATAGAGTAGCGGCAGACTTCGATCGCGTAGGCACTGTAGTTGCAGTCATACAGACCCTCAGCCTTAATCCTCGCGTTCAAGAGGCGATACTTTTGGACGATGACATCCTGGGTGGCGTCGTCGAGTGAAGGGTATCTGTCAAGGTCCAGGCGGATCTCCTTCCTGGTCTCCGAGTCCAGATAGCTCATGCCGTCGAAGGGCTTATCATCATCAACCGACGAAATAGACGACACGGATTCCGGGCGAAGCGTCGGCCCGCCGGGGCGGCGACTGTGCAGCCCTGAAGTGGCATCGGCTACATCGAACACGGGGGACGCCGAGCGCGAACTGCTGTGGCTTGACGAGGTTGTCTGGCTGGCTACGTCGGGCAGAGTCTCATCGATCACACCACCGCTGCCGGGTTCACTGGCGGGGCGGAACCTGCCGCCCTGGATCGGGGGTAGGAAGTTCTTCCATCTGCCCTCGATGCGCCCGATGCGATACCTGCCCATCATCTGCCGTGCCTCTGGCGAGTGGAGGCTACAAGCTCCTTGTTAGCTGCCATGATCAAGTTGACCTCCAATGGCCGTGGGTGCGGGTGCGGTCACACGAACGCAGTAACTTCATCGGTGGCATCTCGACCAACCATGTGTGCGATGGCTTTGTCGCCACCGGGGTGGTACTTCAGCCAGCCATCAACCTTCAAGACGTGCTGGTCCACAATCACTATCGATCGGCCCTCTGCAATCAATGCCTCGATCTCCCTCCGCGGAAGCAGCGGGTACGTCCTCCCCTTCCCGTCCTGCTCCCCCATAAAAACCGCCGAGGCCATAGAGACAGAAAGATGATTTGACCGCGGTTCGGATAAGTTCACGGTCGGTCGATTGAGACGAAATCACAATCGCAGATTCCCGTTCTACAAAGCATCGAGGGGGTGAGGATCGAAGCTTTTATATCCGTACACGACGGGAGTTGTGGGTTGTGGTAAGGGCCGTGCCAGAAATGGCCTGTTTGATACGGCGACAGGCACTGTACTCTCTGCCTGTAGGTATGCACGTACGTGCCTACAAGGGTTACTTACGTATGACGATGGGGCTTACGGTAGACGAGGACCAATTCAATGCTTGAACAACTGGTGCATAATAATTATGCATTTTCGGGGTTAGGGTTACCAATGCGATATATGAAGATGGTTGATAGAATATCTCTTGATCAAAACAAACACCTCTCACCCAGTGGCGATCATTATTTTGGCATCGTTAGGTAGCCCGACAAAGATTAGAAGCCCGGTGCTTTGGGGTTGGCCGACCGTTGCCCAGAGGGCTAGGTTGTTTGCGTAGCCATGTTTCGTCGCTGTTGTCACAGGCGGTCCCATGGTGACAGTCTTGTGGCATGGCATACATAGCATCGTCCCAACGGTTAGGTAGGCGGGCAAACAAGCCAGGTAATACTGGAAAGAGGAATCCGTATAAATGCAGCGTCTCTTGGCCACTTGGCTCTGCCCAACCCCTCCTTAACCTCCCCCTCTGAATTATTCTCTCGTAGTCTACCCTGTGCTACGCAACAAGATGTCTTACATTATTGGGATACGTATCGGCATCCCCATCAACACCCTCGGTCAGTCAGTCGCCACGGATCACTCACCACCCGCAACAGGCCCAGAGCAAGGTCGACCGCTAGCGTTCCCCCTGTAAGGGCCCACCTGGCCCTGCCATCCTTCCTCCCCGACCCATAAACCCTCCCTCACTCACCCGACATGCAGGTCACACAACGGCGCGCCGTCGAGGTGGTACCCCTGCCCGCAGCCATGGGATTGCGGCTCCCCTCCTGCGGGCGGGCCCTACCACCACGGCGCGGCTGGCCCCTTTACCCAGCCGGCCCCGACGACGACTTACCATGTATACCAGAACGCGCACCAGATCGTCAACCTGCAGCACGGAGGTCTCCCCGCGTTCGCCCATGGACCATGCCAACCCGAGCCGCAGTTAGGCTGCAGGATAGCCGACTGTCGGTCGTATCCTCCGGGGAACAGGGGAGCACGGTATTGGGGCGATGTATCCTTCAGCGTTGGGCCTCGGGATGGAGGATCGCGTTGGTGGCCAAGAGTGCCGGGCAGCGTCGAGTTTGTTGTGAACCTGTAGCAAGCACAGGATCTCATAATCTAGATGACGTGAGAATGTCTGAACTCATGAACGTAATATCAGGGGAATCCAGGGCGTTACGAATGAGAACACACACCCCTGCCCTGTGAATCGGCGCTTTCCCCGGCTTCAAAGGAGCCCGGTTTGGAGCACAGGAAATGGAAGATTCCCCCTCGTTCGGGTGTAGATGCAGCAGGTTGATGTCACCCAGATATGTCTATTTACCAGAACCACCTAGCCAGGAAACAAACCTACAGTACAATTACATAAGAGATGCGTGCTTCACTTAAAAGTGAATGGCCTTCCCGTACGTCGCCATCGCCGCCTCCTTGAACGCCTCCGCCAGTGTCGGGTGCGCGTGACACGTGCGGGCGATGTCCTCGCTCGAAGCACCATACTCCAGCGCCAGGGTTCCTTCCGCAATCATCTCGCCCGCGTTGGGTCCGATAATGTGGATACCCAGCAGCCGGTCGGTCTCGGGGTCGGCCAGCATCTTGACGAAGCCGTCCGTGTCGAGGTTCGTCTTTGCGCGCGAGTTGGCGCTGAACGGGAAGTTGCCGACCTTGTACGGAACGCCCGCCTTCTTCAGCTCCTGCTCAGACCGTCCAACCCAGGCGACCTCGGGATGTGTGTACATGACCGAGGGGATGCAGCCGTAGTTGACGTGGCCATAACCCTTCTTGATGAACTCGACAGCAGCCACCCCCTCCTCTTCAGCCTTGTGCGCAAGCATGGGTCCGAAAGTCGCATCACCGATGCACCGAATGTGAGGGATCTTGGTCCGGTACTCCGAGTCGATAATCACACGGCCACGGTCATCGAGTTCGAGGCCAATGTTCTCCATGCCGAGACCTTCGGTGTATGGCCGGCGGCCGATGGCAACGAGGACAACGTCGGCGTCGAGCTGTCAGACGATATTCGGTCAGCTTATATAGACTCCTTTATTCGTTTCTCCTCATAGGGGGAATGGAAACGACTTACCGATTCAGCCTTGCCACCCTTCGCTGATTCAACTTGAACTGTGACCTTCTCGCCGCTCGTGTCGCCTGTGAGAACCTTGGTGCCGACCTTGAAGTCGATACCCTGCTTCTTCAGGAGCTTCTGTGCTGCCTTGGCGACCTCGGTGTCCATTCCCGGGCCGCCGATCTGGTCCAGGTATTCGACAACCGTCACTTTCGAGCCCAGCCTGGACCACACCGAGGCCATCTCAAGACCGATGATACCACCGCCGATGACGGTCATCTTCTCGGGCACTGCCTCCAATGCGATAGCTCCAGTGCTGGAGATAACCCGCTTCTCGTCGATCTGGAGGCCGGGGAAGGGGGTTACATCACTGCCAGTGGCGATGATGATATTCTTGCCAACAATGCTCGTCTCGCCACCATCATTGAGCTGGACCTTGACCGTGTGCTCGTCCTGGAACGAGCCTGTCCCCTTTATGTACTCGACACCATTCTTCTTCAAGAGGAACTCGACGCCCTTGGTCAGGCCCGTGACGGACTGGTCCTTCGCCTTCATCAGTTGTTTGAGATTGAGCTTCACATCGCCGACCTCGATGCCTCGGTTCTTTGTGTCATGCAGAATCTGGTGGTAGAGATGGGAGTTGTTGAGGAGAGATTTCGAGGGAATGCACCCGACATTCAGACATGTTCCGCCGAGAGTGCCACGCTTTTCAATGCATGTAACCTATCCAGAGCGTTAATTGCTGCTACTGCTGCTGCTAGTACCAGGGGCACCTCTTTCTCTTGGGTAGAACCTACTTTCATTCCTTCCTGTCCCGCCTTGATGGCGGCGACGTATCCTCCGACACCTCCACCAATGATGACAAGATCCCTCTCGCCTGTTCCCGGGAGGTCAGCTTGTGCGGGCCGTAGAGGAAGATTGAGACTGACCAGATTCTGTCGCGTATGTCCGTCTCCATTGCGGTACGGAAGCAATTGACGGTAGGCTATGCCGCAATGAGCGATCGAGCGATTTCCACGATAATCCAAGCTAGCTCACCTTGACTGTTTCCTGAAAGCAGACCTGACGGCGGACCGTCCTATCAACCTACTTGACAGCATTGTCGGCGTGTAAGTGAGCGGAAAGAGACGAGGAAAGACAAAGAATGTCGGTCGTAGGCTACCAATGAAGGTGGTTCGTTGGGCCGATCGAGGGAATGAGGTCAACTCTTTCTAGCAGAAAAAAGTTATGGAGTACAGTTAAGCTCGGTGACAAGCCAGGAGCTGAGAGTTGCCTAATATATGAGGCTTCCGACAACGCCCCCAGCCAGGCCCTTAGCCGTAAATGGCCAAGTACAGGCCTGTTAGTTCCCGGTGGTAGCCGCAAACCCGATGATACCAGCCGTCACCTTCGGTTAACCGGAGCAACCTTCCCCGTTATCTTCCATCGTTAAACAGCCGGGCCAAGCTGCCGTATCAGATTTCATCGCGGAGTGGGTTTGCCTATTCGTCATCTACAACCTCTGCCCGCTGGATAGCCTCCAGTGCCCTGTCCGCCATTGTGCACGCACTCTTGAGCTTCTTCGCGTCCCCTTTACTTCCTGCCAAGTCCGACTTCCGTATGACCTTCTTGATAAACCACTGCAGCCCCCTGGATAGCTCGGGTGCGTCCTTGAGGCTGGCCACCATCCTCCCTATTGTTGCTTCGGTATCGTCCTGACCGGCCTTCTCGGCCTTGGAGCATTCCAGCAGTGCTGTAATGAGCAGAACCTCTACGAATGCCCGAGCCTTGGCCTGGAGGTAAGGTAGGCTTAGGCACTTGAGGATGCCAAGTCCGAGCGCGCCATCTTGAACTAGTATCCCGTACATCTTTGCGATGTTGACCAACCGCCGCATCTCCATCGTGTCATCGTCGTCCACCTCTTCGGCCTCCTCCCCGAAGATCGACTCGCCCAATCTCCTGAAGAGCCTCCACAGGCTGTCCTGGAAGGACCATCGGTTTTTGCGGTCGGAACACAGTCGCTTTGCGACGAGGGTATAGTAAGGGTTGTACTGCTGCTCTGCCCCTGCGCATTGTAGGATGACGTTTGCGATCTCCCGTTGCCGGTCCTTGTTGAGACGAAGCTTGCGCAGCCTGACATAGGCGTCCTCGTAGTCTGTAGCGGACAGGATGGCGACGAAAATCGACCGTCGCACGTCTGTGTTCATCATCTGCTCGCGCGCCAGCTCGGCGAGGTTGGGGGCACCCCCATCCCCTCCACCCATCACGATATCACTATCGCTATCACTGTCTCCGTCTTCGCCCTCCGTCTGGGCCTCAGAGTTGCTTGCCGCTTTCACTTGGTTGGACCTACCAGCCCAACTTGCACCGACAAGCCACCATTTGCCCTTTTTCTCTGCATCCTGTATGTCGCTTAAGCCCATCCGGAGCGGTTCGGTAGACTTAAGCTTCCTTGTATTCAGGGAGCCAAGAAGCTTCTTCATGCGAATGGTATGCTCAGATACTATCGCGGACGCGTTTAGGCCCGTCTTCATTCTGTTGTTTTTCAGGTCATTGATCGTCTCAATCATGAACTTTGTCCGGACAGATATATTATCCTCGCCGACCTTGGAAACCGCCGGCCGTATCAACGCCACGATATCCTTTAGCGATGAAGGGTCGTCTTGCCGAAGCGAATGGCCTGATAGGCGGATGATTCGGAGTAGTAGCTCGGCATCCAGTTCGGAAAGGTTGGTCAGAAGAAGGCGGATGTAATCGAAAATCAGATTACACCCTATCAGCTGGAAGTTGTACAGTTCGGCCAAGAATGTAATGATATTGGAGGTTTCCTTCGACGCCTCATCAGGGGCAGAAACAGCTCGCTTGTAATACTGGTCGAATCGGTCCGCGGCATCTTGAACAAGTTGGGCTCCGAAGTCCATTCCGATAATCTTGAAGAGGGCGGTTGTGAAGCCGGCCGATAATATTAGGAGAGTATCTGGGAGGCTGGTGGGATCGCAGACTTGGACGAGTACCAGGTCTACAAGAATGCTCGTGACGTGTTGCCGGGGTTGCTCGCGGTAGACCTTTTCGATGTCCCCAATAATGCTTAGAAGATTCGACTCCGTGATTCGGTTGACCAAGCCCTGGAGCTGCCTGCGCAGACGCTGCACCAGTTCGGCATCAGACCCTGGTCCTTGGCGGCGAGACGGCGGAACATATTTCGCAACAGTAACGCCAGTTGTGGGCGCCACATATGGATTTTCCCGTACCCTTGCTGGAGCCACGCTTGGTACCTCTTCGTCTGAATCGAAACCGGATAAGGACTCGTCCAAGTCCTCGGCCCCGTCCGAGTCTAACTCGTCCAACCCATCATCACTACCAGACTCGTCTAGGTCGTCATCGTCCTCCTCACCGAAGCCCTCGAAGTCGTCCACGCCATTGCCCTTTCCCTCGCCCTCACCCCCGTTGCCGTCAGCAGGCCCTCTAGAGGCTTTCCTGCGCTTCTCGGCCAACCACTCATCGGCCTTGGCTTTCCGTTTCTTTTTCTCAGTGGTGGCTCCGCCCACCCCGTCAATATCAGCTAATATATCGCCAAGACCGTCCTCGTCGAACGATTTGGGTAGTGTCTTCCGCCCTTTCAGACCGAGCTTCCTTTCGAGGTCCGCAATCTCGGCATCGTCCTGCGCAATCCTCTCGCGAACCGCTCGTGGCACAGCCGGCTGTCGAACCTGGGGTTCCTCGGCTTCCTCCCCTGAAGACTCTTCATCCTCATCGGTGTCTGTCAAGCCTTGTGTCTCCTCGTCCTCGTCCTCGTCCTCCAGATCCGACTCTTCTGGGGTTTTCCTCCTTGGCACAGGTCGGACATTCCGGTTCCCACTGCCGTTGGCAGGTCCCTTCCTCTCCCTAGCTGGTGGTCCCGCTGGCTTTGAGTGCCTCGCCGTATCGCTCCGATGGGGCTTCTTCTGCGACCTTTCTGTTTTGCGACGATCTTTCCGCGACTGAGTTTGGCTTCTGCCCCTCCCAGATGCCTGGTGCGGCGCTGCGCCTGATATAAGCATATGCGTGGGGCGGGATAGAACCACGGGTCTCACCTTGTATGCCGATTTCTTTGAGGAGACTGGAAGGTAGCGACAGCTTCTTCTCTCGTTGGGGCGGCATGGTCGCAGAGCTCCAGGGTCGAGCCTGAATTAATCTTATGAACAACTGGGTTTGGCAAACAAGCTGCACCAAAATTTCCTGTTGTCCGTTTTGATAACTTTTTGATGGGTAAAAAGTCAAGGGTGGGGCAGTTGGAGAAGGACCCCTTGAAAGCGCACTAAGAATTGCCCCTAGTCTGAATAAAAAATTGTTTCCATTGGCGGTCTCCACTCCCCACTACTCGGGCTGTTAACGTCAGTCGAACCGCGGGGCAGAGCAATTGCTGGCAAACCGCCAAACATCTTGGGCTTGCAGAACTTCAGTGACTCAGTCTGTTTGCCTTTCTCTCAAGCCCGGTCACCATGGGACTGCTCAGTCATGATGAGGTAAATCGTGTCCGGCCGCAATCCCGGTCATTTGCCCATGTGCTGACAACAGTCTTGCGCAAGTTCTTTGCCAAACTAGGCGAGCTCTTCAGTTCCAGGAAAAACACAGATCACGGCGTAGTCTACTTGACTCAAAAGCGGTGTATGAGCACTCATCTATCGCAATTTAGCAGGGCTAGTAGTCTAACATGCGACCAGACACCCACGACCAAGAAGCAGCCACTCCCTCGGAATCGGATCCCCTCGCAGACCTGCATCCCGAAACGCCACTACCTCTGGTCATCCGGGCAACAAATGGCAAGTCGAAGGAAAACCGAGCCAAGAAGATTAGTCTGTCGACTCTGGTTGAGCCCGATGCTCTGGACGCCTTCTACGCGCGGTACGCCGAGGTCTGCAAGGCGGGGATGATGGCTCTGAAGCCGCGGGACCGGACCAAGAGGAAAGCAAAGGCGAAGAGGAAGAAGGTGGGGGGAGCTGGGACAACTTCGATGGTGGCCATTCAATAATTGAGTGGTCTCCGACCTCTTTTCGTTCCAAATGTTTGGAAGATACCACTCTGGATATACTTGGGAAAAGCGGACTCGGCATCTCTAGGAGTGAAATGGGGCTGTTCGCCTCCTATACCGCCGGAGCGAAGAGGCCCTACACGGCTTTTCAGACCCTCCCACAAGCAAGGTCTCAGCAAGCCGAGGAATCTTCGGAGGGTTCCGGGTTGGAATTAGTGCTCGCCGGTAAAGACATGTCGAGATGCGATCTAGTCTGGAGGGATGGTTATGATGATATCGATGATACGATTTGTCAAACGAACCGTCTAGGCGTCTATATTTCACGATAACTCTCTCATAACCTAGACACGACATCACTCCAATGAGAGAAGTATCGGAAATCGAGACAACACGTTGTTGCTCTGGGAAAAGGGGGCCACGCCTCCTCAGCTGTGAATATCATCGACCAATGCTGCAATCTCGCTATTTGACTCTGTCCACGGGGTGCAATGTTATATTCATCTTGACCACCATCCTCAACCTACCAACCTCACTCCCTATTCCTCCATCCCAATAAGACCATATCCCGACCCCCTTTCCCTGCCTCCATCAGCTCGTCCCCCCCGTCGACTCCCCCTTGCCTTCTCCGTCGCCTCGATCATCGTCCATACTCTCGAGAGCCTCTCGCAGCTTCCTGCACAGCTCGCACTCCCCCTTCTGCGGCTTTCGGGGGCTCCCCACATACATGCAGAGACTCTCGGGACACCTAACCGCCGGCTCGGGGCTGTCGCAGCTCGACAGCTTCTTGTGCGCCGTCCACCGCGTCCCGCACGAGCACCGATAGAATCGCAGTTCGCACATGCTGACCGACTCTCAAGGGCTGGAACAGGAGCAGAAGCAACCCTTGTTCGGTTTCTGATGGGATGGATCGTCGTCGCAGCTATCGTGTCCCCTGGCCTCCGATGCCTCGTCGGTCCTGCCGAGAGAGACTGCGTGGTCGAGTTAACTGGGGCGAGCTGGAAGATGCCGGTTCCTTCGCTTCTGGGTCATATATCGTTGGCGGCTTTGGCCTTTCTTCGCACTCCTTAGCGGACCCTCGATTAGACGGTACTTTCTCTCTCGCTCGTTGTTTATCAGCTGTGAGTGACTGGCAGCACAGGAGCTTCCAAAGAGATTATCTCATGCATCAGTGATCCCCTGGTTGCTTATGGGAAAATGTTACAGATCAGCTTCGAAGAGGCAACTGCGTTAAGTATGGCTACCCAGCAAGGCTCTCATTCTACCCTATGACTGCGTGTGGATTCAGGAGCAATCATGGTCAGCAGTCTTCTGACTCTAATCCTGGCCTTAAGTTGGGTATGTGACTAGTTGACTGGTTAGTTTGCTGTTCAGACATATTCCACATGGTCTTGGGTGGGAAGCAATATGCGCTGGGTGATGGTTTGAGAGCTGGCATGGAACGTTATGTCGAAGGTGTTGCTGCGCACCAAACAAGCCCTCCCCCCTCCAACTGGGATATATATATATAAAACATCTAGGTACCTAGGCATTGCGACCATTACTACGGAGACCACCTCGTCCACCTCGGGTTCCCTCTACGTAACGGTCAAGGCAAACAGCAGCACGTTGGAACTAAAGTGAACAGCAACGGAGAGAGAATATGGGCCGAGCCAGTATGACGTTGTCCTCTATTTATACGGGACAACGCCAGGCTTATTAACCAACCTGGATGGCACCCGAGAAGGGACCGATCAAATGTACCTCCGCCATGCAAATGCCCGGCTGAAGGATGCTATTTCTTCCCCTGGTGATGATCCTCGATGCAGCTATCCGTGTCCGATTCTTGAATCCCTTGTGGCCCAACGCTTCTCTCGAGTTCCGGGAGGTCCACGGTCGGGGCAGCATGGAGGATCGGGGTTGTTCCATCCAGGAGGCCGTCCAACCCGACAGCCGAACCAGCTGGCCAACGCGTTGGGGGGTCGTCCAGCCCAGCCCAGCCCCTGAATAACAAATCATCACACGGCCACACCTAGTCCGGCGGCAGGGCCATAGCTCATGGTACCGAGACTTGCTCAGCCCACGCCGTTCGGGGCGGTGTGTGCCGTATAACCCTAACGCCCATAACGTCCATCACGCCAATCACGCCGTCACCGCCAAAACGTCCAGTCCTACGCTTCGGACAACTCACCCACCCCGCACTCACACTCGCGCGCAGCCCTACCAAGTCCGATGCCATCCATCGAACGCCACCATCGGCTGGAGAATCAGATGCTATTCGACTGTACATTCTAGATAAAGCCCTCCGATTTTCCATTTTCTCGAGTACCAATTTTAAGAAACGCGTCGGACGGAAATCAAAATCGAAACCTTCTTTTTTCTTGCTCCGTTTTCTGTCCTTCACCTTCGCGAGCATTGCCGACTGGTCGAGGAAAGAGTCGATGGCCAGTCGGTATCACCGACGGCCCGAGAACCCATCCGGCCAACCTAGATTATCCTCCGCGGTAATACCCCGAGGCATTACAAAGACGGCAGTAGGTATTATCCAGCCCAGCCATCGCCGAGTGGATGAGTGAACAAGCTCTTTGCTGTTCTGTCTTTGGGATCTCAGTTGAGTGCCAGGAAGGATATTGACCTCGGTGGAGGTTTTTGAGAAAGCACGGGGAAAAAAAAAAAAAAAAAAGGAAATAAGACACAGAGAAGCACGAGTAGTCGAAAAGCTTTTGGGCCCAAGGCCTCCGGGGAGGATGGGCCGGCTGGGCAGGTATTAATGTAGGGCGGGTGTTTGCCGCGATCGTTCGCGAGGTTCTCGGCCGTCTCAGTCGTCGAACCGGGTTGACCTTTACATGATTTGGTCTTGCGTCAGGCCACCGTGGGGATCGGTATCCATCATGTCACCCGCTACGCCAGGCGTGATATACTTGACGAAGCTGAGACCGAGGGGACGACCACCGTATTGGTACCCCTGGAATTTCGTGATTGCCGTTTCCGCTGTGTCGGCGCCGTCGAATCTAACAACGCCCGTGCCGCGGGATCGGCCGCTCGGCTCGTACTGGATCTCGGCCTGCTCAACCTTGCCGATGGTAGAGAAGAGCTCAACAAGGTCTTCGTTACTAGTGGACCAGGGGAGCTGTGCCACGGTTAGCAGCCGACAATGGCCCGACTTCGCGAATGACAAGACTTACATTTCGGACGTAGATGGTCTCGTTCTTCTCTGTACCAGACGTGGCGAAGTCTGTGAAGGGGTTGGGTGGTGCCGACGCGGCAGGCCCGGCTTCAAAGCCGCCAGGACCAGCGCCGGGACCAACACCAGGACCGACGCCGGGACCGGCACCGCCGTATCCTCCGCGGCCGTAGCCTCCACCAAATCCGCCACGGCCACCGCCAAAGCCACCGCGACCGTAGCCTCCACCAAAGCCACCGCCTCGTCCACCTCCAAAGCCTCCACGCCCGCCGTACCCTCCGCCCATAGCGGGGTTAGCGAACCGGTCCTCGCGGACCTCGAGCATGCGGCCCTGCCAGTCATAACCGTTGAACTGTTGGATCGCGTTGCGCGCGTCATCGGCGGCCTCGAAAACCACGATCCCAGAGCCCTTAGGTCGACCATCTGGTCCGACGTGGACATCGGCTCGGATGACCGAACCGGTACGGACTGCGAGAGTTGGCGTCAGCAAAGAAGTCGCAAGTATTTAAGCCCAGATTAGAGGACGGAATTTCTTACCAGCTTGTCTGAAGAGGTCCTTTAGGTCTTGCCAACCTACAGTATAAGGGAGCTGCGGCCATCGGGTTAATATTAAGGTCCTTCTCGCCCAGGGTCCAGGAATGGGGGACGGGTGGAACAAACGTTGGAGACGTAGATTTGCCGGCCACCTTGGCCTGCCATTCCGGCGTTGAATCCGCCGCCGCCGCCGCCATAGCCGCCTCCTGGGCCACCTCCTGGGCCGCCCATGAAGCCGCCGCGCCCGGCGCCGCCCGACGGTGGTCCAAATCGAGGTTCGGCCTCGCGATCCTAACGAAGAATAAGTAAATTGGTTTCAGAGCCTAGGTCGGTGAGAGCAACTTGCCTCCCTAACGTAGACAAGTCTGCCCATCAGGTTCTGGTTGCTGAGTGTCGCGACGGCGTTCTGGGCTTGGTCCCTCGTAGCATATTCCACAATTCTGAACGAGGGTTGGTCAGCCGTACGTCCACATCTCGGGGGAGTCATATGCACTTACCCGCATCCCTACAAGTTCCCGGACAGCGTCCCAATCCGTCAATCCAACGATTCCATCAAGGTGACCAAGGGAAGGAGAGCCAAAAAGAAGAAGAAAACAAAGGAACCAGCCAAAAGTCACTAGTAAACGCCCACCTTCGACATTCCATTTGGAAGTAGCAAAACGTCGGCATAGAGCACTTCTCCAGCTGCAGCGGTAGTCTCACGTCAGCTCCATGGCAAGCTCAGGCGTCCCGTACTTCGCAGACACATACCTTGTCTCATAAAGTCCTTGAGATGATGCCATTTGACGTCGTAGGAGAGGTTGCCGACGTAGACGCGGCGATCCTGCTGCGACGTCTCCCGAATGTTGCTCATGTTCTGTTCCCTGTGCGCACTGCGGTCGTCGTATGATCGATTCTGAGATCCGCCGTATGCTGAACCTGGTCCTCCTGCAGGGGCACCCTGTCCTGTCATGGGAGACCTACTCCTGCGCGGCCGATGGCGACTCCGAGACCTGTCCCGAGGAGAGTACGACCGGCGGGCGTTGGGGCTTCGCGAACGTGCTCGCCTGTTCGGAGAGCGAGACCTCTCACGCTGTGAGCTGTTAGTAGCTAGCCACGTCATGGGAAATGGTGTCGATATCGACTGAGATTGCAACTGGTATCTGAGCAACACAGTGACAGATTCGTGAAGAATTCTGCCTCGCGTTCAACAGCATGTGGAGTTGGGCAGAGAAGATAGAAAGTAAATGGAACTGGGAACGGGCTTGTGTTCGAAATCCTCGGTGGCGCCGGACGCCGAAGAACCTTGAAAGGTTCAACTCGCATCTAGCTTAGGAGTCTTTCGCTACCGCCCACCCGCCGACACCTAGGAAAGTTACAACGAAGGAATCTCCGCTGGCAACACCATGAGGAGGTGGGTTGAAGAGAACGTTGTGTTATGCCGAATGTCGGCGGGCAGGTGAGGCCATATCCAAAAGGAGAGGGCTGGTAAAGGGCCAGTATTGAGATAACTTACCGGGCGATATGTGTCTCCTGTGTCTGCTGAGAAGAGGGTAAAGTTAGACGGGGCTCCAAACAAGGGTAGAAAAGATTGAGGGGAGGACGGGGCCGCTGGTACTGATAATGGATGGGGTGGAGGTTGAGATCAATCAAGCAAGTGTGGTAATTATTTGGGGAAACAGCGATGGGGGGGTTGCGGCGGGGGTGGAGGGAAAGTGAGTGGATCAGAGGCAATGCAAAGGACAGGACAGAAGAGGGGGCGCCTAATGTATGTGGTATGTAGGAAGGAGATGCGGCAAGACGAGGCGAGACAGGACAAGGCAGCGACCGCGCAAGTACTAGTACCGGTGCAGGAGACAATATGCAATGCGGCAGGATGGGGCAAGGCGATGCGAGGGAAGAAGGGGCTTGAAGCACAAGAGATGGTGGAACGTATGGACGTAGTAGCTAAGGTAAGGAGATAGGTAGGCATGGAAGGAATATCGAGATGGGGGGGGAAACGTCTTGGGGGGTTACAAGAGGTGGTAACACGTCATCGAGGCATTTGGACAATGCTCGCGACACCGGAACAGGTAGATTGGATGTCGTGTGATTGGGGTCTTAGGCTTGAGAAGAAGTATGAAATACTGACTCGGATGAGTGTAGAGGGGAGGGAGAATGGCTCGCTGAGCTGATGAGAGGATGGAGAGGATGGAGGGACTTGACACAAGAGGTTGATGTTGGACTTACCCATGATATGGGAATCGGAAAAAAATTCCTACTTCTTCCCCCAAACTTAGCCGCCTGATAGAGGGGGGACGTTTTCGGGTGGGATGGATGGAGATTGGTGCTTGAAGCAGGCGTCTGTAACAGCAGCGATGGGGACGTAAGGTAGGTTGTCCTGGGGGACCTTGGGGAACAACAGGTGAGGTCAGCTACACGCGTTTCCGTAGGTCAACAGAACTGGATGGAGCAGGAAGAATCGGAAGCCGACGATTGCGCCTAGGCCGCTAGGAGGAGTGGGCTGCACCAACGACGGGCCCGTTTCCTTGGTTCGACAGGGAAGGCGCGAGGTACTGATGGCAAAGTACCTGTGGGGTTGGTGGTGTTAGGTTCCAGGTTCGTGTTAGGTACTCACAGGTTTGGTTGGGGTGAGTGGAAGCCAACAAGGTATCCGTGTAGGTGATCACTGATCAGCAAATCGCGGGGCGCGCGGGCTGGTGCTAGTGAAATGGGGGTTTTCGATTCAACGCGCCGCGAGATAAAAATCAAAACAGTAACCTGGAAATTCAGTCTCGGATGGAATGCGTGGTAGAATTTTTCGAGGGTGACGTTTGCTCGATTGATGGTTCTGGTTTGCAAGTTGCAAGGAGGGAGCGACGGATAAGCGCTAGCCTAGGGTACTCCATCCAGCCTTGACGCGGGACGTGACTGCAGGTACGGTATTATGCCAGGTGGAAGCAGCGTGGCTGCCAGCTGGCATCGGCCCTGGCCAGGAAAGATAGGAGACCGAGCAGACCGAGCAGTAACGTGCGTTACCTTAAGGGTACATACCATTGCTTCGCTTGCTAAGTATCCGATAGGTATCCGTGCGTCCAATTGGCTGGAGTGGACGGTGCCGGTTTTTACTTCTCAGGCAGTCCGCAATGAAGCGTAGGTACTGTACTTCGTACCTTGCGTTGAGGCACCTGGCTTGATGTGATGGACGTTCTAGAGGCTTCAGATACTTCCCAATTCCCCGTAGATCTCCCTTCTAGCTGGCCCTTCAAGAATGGCCCAGGATGGAAGCAGTGCAGCGTCTCGATCTTCCTGGCCTCGTCGCGAAAGGGGCATCGCAATGCCGAAGGACCAAGGCGGCCATCGCATGTATATGGGTGGTCCAGATATGCCCACCGTTATCACCCGCCGTTACCACCGTTGCTAGTGGACAATTGGCAGGCACGGAGTGCGGGTGGAGTTAGTACCTCGTGTGCGCAACTATGCATGTCTTGCCTTTCACCGAATTATTTTCACTTAGCAGCCTTGTTGCCTTGCAGTTGCAAGTCACACCTTGATGAACCACCCAGCCAGCTGCGCTGCACTAAACCTGGAGGTGGCTAGAGGTACCTACCTACCAAGGTACCTACTAAAATAATAACGCAACCATCCCTATCCGGACTAGCCCAAATCCAGCAAGTCACCACCTCTCGAGAGCGCTTAACTACCTAGGTTGCGTACCTCTTCGGCTGCGGCTCTTCCAGCCATTGATCATGGGAATTAATAGCGATTTCAACAAAGAGCGAGTTACTGAAGCCCTTTGACACGACGACCGGGCCTCGTTTTCTTTCCCCTCTTATCCTGTTTTCGGGCGGGAGGATGAGCTCAGATAACTCGGGGTCTTCTCCTTTCATCGTTGCTCGACTCCAGTCCTGCCAGTGTGATAGGGGTCCTGCAGATGCAGACGACAGGGTTCCCTCTCCCGCCCCTACAGTACATCCATCGGTCACTCCGCTCCTTTCTTGACAATACCCCTACCTCGGCCGCTTGATCCTCTCAGTTGGCGCCCCAGTCAAGACCGTTTGGATGGGGGAGGAGTTGTTGGTTGGTTTCTTGAGGCTATTACCATGGAAAATTGTCGAAATCTCAGAACTCATCTACATACCTATACATCCCCCACCACCCTCATTCGAGTCGCAACCAATGCGAACCAAGCCTTCAGGCCAAGTGGACACACTCCAATCCATGCAATCATCTTCCGGTTGGTCAAAGTAGCCCGAGGTGCCCATCTCGATATCCTGTAAGCGTCGGCCGTCAATATCCTAGAGTGAAGGTGCATCAAGTGAACAGCCATCTTCGATGACGGAGGTGGACCCTGGACATGCACTGCGAACCTGATTCGGAAGGCCCCTTGACCTTTGCATGGCCAGCTCCAAGTCGTGATGCCGGAGGGATTTTTAGATTTGCAAATGCGATCAAGGCTCTTGCCGGATCTACCACATTAATGATCCGCATACCCGTTCGGACGGATTGGATCTATCTTGACCAGGGGCTCCCCGACCAAGTTGATCGGCTCTACTGATGCATGATCAGATAGAGAGAATTAGTGCACTCAGGTGTCTGCGTCCTGGTCACTGAATATTGTTACTACTACGACATAGGTATGTGATTGTTTAACGAGGCCGAAGATATGAAGGTCGCTCATGGACTTATTTGCATTGCCCTCCCTGCGTGCCGTGCTGACACTGTTACTGTTGGCCTCGGAGGCTCGCAAGTTGGTGACACCGCAGCCGTAGCGCGAGCAGGTTGAGTGCCAAGCTGGCCAATCCCATCCAACCCCGAGGATAACGTACCTGTCTGTACTGTGCAAAGTCCATTCATACTTCGTAATCTGGAGTTATCGGGCTGGCGTAACGGAGCCACGACTGGACCAACAAGCCAGCACCCTAACCCGCCACATCCATTCACCGGTTTCATTTTGGGGGCCTGGTTGGACAGAGCGGGCCCGCGGGGATGAAATTGTTGACTCGTTGAAACATATTTATGCCCAGCAAGTGGCAGCTCTCATAGAAGCCTTGGGGGCTGCCAGAGCCTTGTCCGATACGGAGTCATGGGCCGGGGTTGATGGTGTGCGCGTACAGCAGGTTTGGAGGCGCATTTATCACAGGGATCTTCGTCCCCGGGCCTTCCATTCGTCGCCTGGTTGAACGACAACCGAGAAACAGGCCTCCGATCCAAACCAATTACACTTCCTAGGGGTCTGTCTACATAGTACAGGCTGAAGAAGGATGAAGCGGGACTTGATGATAACAACCAAGTCATGTCTGATCAAGCAAGGAAACCGTCTGCCTTCTTATTGGTTGCGGACTTTCATGATTATCCTGCCCTACTACCGTGATGGGTGTCACACCCAAACTTGAGTGATCCTCCCTTAGTCCTTGCATTAGCCAGCTTCCTTGCTGCATTACTAGCGATCCAGGCCGCAGCTCAAGCAACCTGCCCGCCATACTCCAGCCAGACCGGCGTCGCCATTGTAATGATTTTTCCTAGCTCCTCGACGGAAGAGGTCGATGGTGGTGGTTCAACTTTGGGGGTACCTAGGTACCTATTTACGGTAATCCCAGATGTCGGAACGGAACATCTTAGTCCCTACCTAAGCTGGTGACCTACGCCGGGCCGGGCCCGCATCGTGCAGTGATAGGTTCCATCTAGCTTCTAGGTCCCTCTGCTTCATGCCATTGACAGATGACATGACTCGGCGCCGGTATTAAGGGGATTTGCGCCTACAGCCCATCACCACCCAGGAGTTACTGCAGGTAGCCTTCACATACCGCACCAGGAGGCTAAATCCTCAATTGCGACTCCTTGCCAACCGGAACTCGAGCCGCGAACCCCATAACCTCCAATTTCCAGATCTCATACCACTCCCAACCATGCGTCCACCAACGACCTGCTGCACCGCAGCGAGCCGAGCCGCCGCGCTCCGTCTCGCCCCTCGCCCGGCCCTCCGACCGCGCGCCACCATGCCACCCCCTCCAGCGGCAGCGGCAGCGGCACCGACCCCGTCCCGCCGCCTATCCCATCTCCAACGACCGGCAACCATCCCCGCCCACCCGTCCCCGTCCCCGTCCCGCAGCCGCCGCCACAACCACCACCGCGCCTACCACTCCTACGACCACCCGCCGCTCCCGGGCCCCTTCGGCGCCGCCGAGGCGGCCATCCTGTCCGCCGCGTACGCGCACGTCCCCTCGCGCGGCTTCGGCGCCGAGGCCCTGGCCCTGGGCGCCCGCGACGCCGGCTACCTGGACGTCAGCTCCGCCATCGTCCCCGACGGCGCCTTCGGGCTCGTGCGCTGGCACCTCGTCTCGCGGAGGGACGCGCTCGCCGCGCGCGCCGCTGACATCTTCGCCCCCGCCGAGGCGCGCGCCCTGCTGTCCACGGCGGAGAGGGCCGAGGCGCTGGCTTGGGAGCGGCTGCTGGGAAATAGGGAGGTTGTTGGGAGGTTGCAGGAGGTATGTGTGGCCCTGGATACTCTTCCCCGAAAGACCTCCCCACCCCTTTCGCGTTAGGCTTAAGTGAGCAAGGCGCTGGCAGAGAGGGGGGGGAGGTTCGCTAGATGAGATGTTTTTCGGACTGTGACTAACGCAAATCGCAGGCCCTAGCGATCATGGCGCAGCCGAGCTACGTCCCCGCCTCGCTGAAGGAGCTTGCCATGCTGGCGGACGAGATCTGGTTCCTGGCCGGCGACGTCGCCGTGGACCCCTCGTGGTACACTAAGCGGGCATCGCTGTCCGCCATATACACTGCCTCCGAGCTGTTCATGACCAACGACCAGTCCCCCGACTTCCAGGACACGAGGGAGTTCCTGCGGCGGCGGTTTAGCGAGGCGAACGACCTTGGCGGCGCGGTAAAGTCCATCGGCCAGTGGTTGGGGTTCACCGCCAGCGCTGGCATTAATGTGTTGAGGAGCAAGGGCATGCCTGTATAGAACAGCTGGCTGGGTAGAGCAGAACCCGCGTTTTGCTGCAGTTAGATAGATAAGGGGACACGGGAATTCCCTGCCCCCACCCTGTATAAGTGTATACTACAGCATTCTGTATATTGAATAGAGCGACTATCTCCCAGCGGGTATAATTTTGTCGACAAGGACATCTATCGTCGTCACCGCGGCTTCGTAGCCATCCTTAATAAACAAGAAGCCCTCTCCTCTGCCTTAGAGGGGGGCTTCGGGAAGGAGATGTAGAGTCCCAAATAGACGAAGCCTCTCCTCTTCCAGATCAACCTAGCTCCAAACACCCAAGGCCTTTGAAGCTCTCTATTTAAACAATAGACGAACATGAAATATGGACAAGCTACAGCAAACAAGCTACAGCAAACAAACGGTACCGCCGGTATATCAGTGATCGACCAGCCTTCGTTGACGGGGGTCGGTCAGTCTAGAAGCAATCTGTTTAGCAGTTGTCTTAGGTTCGGAGAGAAGGAAGCATAGAAATTACATACCGAATGATTTTGACATCCCGGTCGAGCGTGGCGCGGCCTTCGATGGCATTAGGGGTGATTAGGAGATACTGTCGACCGACGGAACGGCGGGCAGCGGAAATCTGCAAAATGTCAGAAACGGCACCCGCGGTCAAGATACAAGGCAGGCGTAATCTGGGCGAGACTTACCAGCATATTAGTGCTGATCGCTCTGTTGACGTTGTCCATGAAGACGTCGAATTCGTCCAGGCAGCGGAGTGGCGATCCCATGGCCTCCCAGATCGAGAGAAGCAGGCATATGGATGAGAACGACTTCTCGCCGCCCGACAGTGTCTTGGTGTTGCGGCCCGCAGCCCTCTTCTCCGTCTTGTCCGGCTCCACCTGGATAGCGAGCCTCTTTTGCTTGTGGTCGAGCATGAGCTTGCCTCTGAATCCTCGCTCGCTCAGGAGGTAAATGAAGTTGGCGCGCGAGTGCGCCGAGATGTAGCGCTGGAATGTTCGCCACTTGTGTAGACGCTTCGTCAGCGTGTTTTTCAAGCTCTGGTTCACATCCTTGATCGTCTTCAGGTCGTGCCGCATCTGATCATGGGCAGCCTTGGTCTTGACGGCGTAATCGTAAACTTCAGCGTCGGTCATGCCTCTTTCCTTTTGCGCCGCCTCAAGCTGCACCTTCAGCGCCGCGTGTGCCTTCTCGACGCTCTGGTACGTCTCATTCTCGGCGATATGCACGCGTTGCGGTGAAACCTGTTCCGCCATCTGGATGAATTCGACGAGCCGAGCGGCTTGCCGGTTGCGTTTGTCTTCGGCACGTATCCTATCGTCTTTGAGCATGTCGAGTTCGGCATGAGCTTCGTTCTTCTCGGTGAGGGTGATGCCGCGCAGCTGAGTCAACCTGTTGACCTTCTTCATCGCCTTGTCAACTCGCGCTTCATAGTCTTTTTTCTGAGTCCGCTCCGCCCTCAGCTTTTCCTTGCTAGCCTCCACTTCCTTATTCTGATTCTGCTTCTTGACGACAAGATCACCGTACTGCCTTCCATGGTGTTCTTGATCCTTCTTGGCCTGCTCGAGCTGCTCTTGGAAGCCCTGCAATCGGCCATCAACGCCGTCGAAGCCGTCCAGCTCGACCTCGATAGTCTCGATCTCAACCTGGGCCTTTCTAAGGTTGTGCTCCAGAGTCTTCTTCTTCTGTCCATGCTGGGTGATATCTAATTGACACCGATGCGCATCTTGCTGCAATCGGCGCTTTTGCGTTTCAAGTTCCCGAAGTTCGTTCCCCAGTTGCTCCAACGTTTCCTTCAGGATCGAAAGCTGGGAGTCCGAGTCCGTCTTCATACGGGGCCGCAAATTGGGGTTTGGCGTCACGGTAGTCGTCCCGTAATTACTGCCGCCCTTGTTGGTGAGCCGGAGGCCTTCGCCACGCTTGCCATCATGAAGAGACAAGCACGCCATGACGTTTCTTGGTGCAGGCCCACTGAACATGACATCCTCAGCCTTGATCCTGTCGGCGATCAGAATGACTTGCTCGATGGCATTGTTGATGATCATCTGGTCCCGCACCAGCTGATTATCGAACTTCAAGACTCGGAGGATGGTGTCGAATGAAGGGTCTGGTTCCTTTCCATCGGTGTTGAGAGTGTGACGATTGCCAATGAGAATAGGGCAATTCCTGACGCCCGCACGATTCATCATGGCCTGCAGAATTTTGTGGTCGTGCCGGCTCGTTACGATGAAGGCGTTGAGGTTCGCCCCAATCGTCTGCTCCAGGATCGATGACCAGATGGGATTGAGTAGTTGAATGTGAGTGCCAAGTGGTCCAACGGGTTTGTTCTCGAAGCTGTTATCCGCAGCAATCATGGAGAGTAGATTGGGGACGCGGGGTTCGTACGCATCGTATTTCGACCCCTGGCCCTGCCGAAAACGATGGATCTTGCTTTCCACGTTCGATATCTCGTCTCGCTTGCGTTCCACGGATTGAGTTATCTCAGCCACGCTTCGCTTGGCTTCTTTGTGCTTTCCCTCCAGCGTCGGCAGCAACTGTCTGTTGTCCGCAATCTCCCGGTTGATCGCCTCCTCCCTTTCCTTCGCGTTCGCAAGGTCCTCTCTCTTGCGGGTAAGGGCATCGCCATTAGAATTCTCCAGGCGCTGCTGCTCTACCTCGATCTTCTGCTCCAGGTCCTGAACTTTGTTGGCGGCGGTCTTCAGCTCGGAGTGGGCACTTCGCTCATCGGTGTGTAACTGCTCAAGCATCTTCTTCGCCGCCTGGAACTCCTCGTCGGCCGCATCCACCTGTGACTGGTACAGGCCTTCGTCCTCCTGGGCTTCGACAGCAGCTGCCTGGGCGCGAGCAATCGTTTCGTCCTCTTGCGCCAAGAGTTGGGCCTTCCCTTCAATGGCCCTCTCGGTGTCGGCAACCTTGGCATCAATTTCCAGTATGTTCTGGTCGCGCTCCGCAAGGCGTTTCTCCTCGTCCGAGACCTGGGACCAGGCCAACTGGCTTGTCAGGAGACGGAAACGTCGGCGGGCATTTTGCTGGTTCTGGACCGTCTCTGAGAGGCGTTTGGCCTTCTCCCAGTCCTTCTTTGCCAGCTCGACTCTCTCTTCCTGAAGAGGGACCTTCTCCTCGCTCGACTCCAGATACTCAGAGACGAGGCGGTAGTCCCTGTCTAGTTGCTCGAGTTGCACGCCTTCGATGAAGAACTTGTACTTCTGGGATGCAGACGCAGCGTTGAGGAACTGCCTGGCATTATCCTGGGAGAGAACGTTCAGGGGGTTGTCCACCTGCAGGCAGTAGTACTCCGAGATTTCGTCAACCTCCTGCTTCTTGGTCGAGATGATCTGGCCTGTTGCGCTCTTGATCTTGAACCCGCTGCCGCTAGCCCGGGAGAAATAGCGTTCGACAATGATGGAATCGCCATAGACGTCCTGTTTGTATCCGTCCACTCCCTGGTTCTTAATCTTGACACTCAAGATGGCGCGATCCCGCCCTTCCTTGACGAAACTCTTTAGGCTGCCACCACGGTTGGTCGAGCTTGCCTTCCCGCCGAGGCAGAGAGTGATGGCCGTGAGGATGGCACTCTTGCCGCTACCGTTCTCTCCGACGATAAAGTTCAGCAGGGGCCCGAGCTCGCAGTGCAGGCGCTCATGGCACATGAAGTTGATGCAGGTGATGCTCTCGATGATGCCGTTATCTGACACGGCGTTGTCCCCGAGCCTGTTTGGCCGGAAGCGAATCTTCTGAGTGGCACGCTGATCGTCGGCTGCTTCGTGCTCGAGATGCTTGAAGTCGTTGTCTCTGAGCTCGTCGTATTGTGTCTTGGATGGCGAACCCCCATGTTCGGGTATTTCGTCGTCTTCCATCGGGATATCATCGTCGCTCTCCGATGAGGAAACTGGTGTCGTTTCTCGCAGGGCTTCTTCGAGGTCTTTACTGGAGGCAGCCGTGGACGTGCGCGCCCGTTTACGCTGGCGAAGCACATTAGCAAAACAATGCTGGCACGAGAGAAGAACGAGAAATGAGAGCTACATACGGCATCGTGACGCAAGCCAGAGCTCGCCTGTTGCACATGGACGATCTCCTCGTCGACTCCTTCCCCATCAGCATCAGTAACGCGACGAGGCCTCTTCCTTGACGGCCCTGCTCCAAGATTGCTGACTGTTCGGCCAGGCATCTTGGTTACCTATCTGGCGCTTAGTAGGGCGATTTGGTCGGGAATCCGCGTTCCTGGTTGCGGTGTTGTGGTCTGTTTGGTGGGCTGGTGGTCTGGTGTAAGTCGCAGAACAAACGAAACGCGCAAAACATCCAACGCGATTTGGGAGGCGCGATGGTGGAGAAACACGCTACTGAAAGTGTCATTTGGCACCTTAAGGACCACTATATGCTCAAAGCTTCCAGTTGGACTTGCCGTTTACGTCAGGGAGAGTGGGGCGTGCCACACTAGGCAGTTACGACAAAGAAACCCCGATAGAACGATCTCAGCCTCACTGCTTGATAATTACCTAGATTTCTATATGGATATGGATGTATCAAAATATTCCACGTAGATATTGAGTTAGCGGATCAGGCTTGCCACTCCCATCAGTTCCATGCCCTGACGAAGTCGTCTTGAAGAAATTGAAAGCTAAAAGGGCACGAGACGGGTCTAGAGTGCGGCAGTGGCAACTTCGATCAACATTTCGGTAATGGATGAAGACAAGGAAGAGCTCAGGCCCGGGGACGATGGCTTTGACGGCTTTCAGAGGCAGCTGCCGGAGAACTGTGTCGATTATATGCTCTTCATACTCGGAAGTATCCCTAAGACGGACGAGACGGACGCTCGGAAAACACTTTTCAGACTCGAGGCCGTACGGAAGGAAGCTGTGCGCTTGTCGGATGAGCTTACAAGAGACTACATCTGGCAGCGAGAGGCGTTTTCTTTGCAAACCAAAACCGACAAAGGTAGCCTCGAACTCAAAGCAACAGACAGGTTATTAGGATATTAGGATATTTGCTAACCAAAGGTTCAGGTTTGTTGTACTTGCATGGAACGACTGACTACGGCGACTGCGTCGAGGACGAGTGGCTGATTGTCCACTTACTCCGAGAGCTCTCCAGATCCTTTAACGATCTATGGATTCGCGTCTCTGATAATGACGGGGAATTTCTCCTGGTTGAGGCTGCCAATGTCTTGCCCAAATGGCTTAATCCCGAGATCGACAGCAACCGGGTTTGGATCCACGATGGCAAGCTGCGCATCATCCCTGTCGGGGACGACGCGGGGTCCAGCAGCAAGTCGTTGTCGTTACCAGAAGCGATCAGGACTATAGAATCGAAGCCCGACTGCCCAATACACTCAACCTTCATTGAAGCCGAAGCTTTCTACCGCCTGGAGAAGTATCCTCGCCAAATTGCGGGCTCGCTTCACCATTCGCGGGTGACGATTCCCAGGAAGTTGGCGTACATCTTACATGATCGCCCGAAGTCCATTGCGCCAGCTACCGAAGCCTTTTACCTTCGCGACCCCCTGGCACTGAAGCCCCTTGTTTCGGGCTCCCCGTCTCTCGTGTTCCCGCCAGCCGACTTCGTCACAGTAAGCGTCCGCTTCACTAAAGTGCTCTTTGCGCAGTTAAGGTCTCAACGGTTCGAGCCGCCGCCCGTGTGGACGTCGCTGATACGGTCGGCCGAGACCGATGCGGCCGATGGCTCCGAGGAGGCTCGGAAGAGGTTGTCCCAGCTGGAGATGGGCATGAAGGTGACATGCGGCTTCGAAATGCTCGCAAGAATCGCGCACAAGAGTAACAATCGCGTTGCGCGGGAGGTGGCACTTGTCCTTGAAGATCTCGAGGACGACGGCGACTCGGTGCTGCCGACTGACGCGGACATGCATGCCTGGAAAGACGTCGATCGAGAGGACGACGACTCCTGGCTAGACATCAACTTCGAGGATTTCGAGCGGGAACTGGAGGGCAAACGTGGCGGGGAACTGCAACCGGATGCCCAGCCCAGCTTTGGTGATGCTGGCACTGAGGCTGACCTGAGGAAGATAGTTTCGAGATTCGAGGCTTTTCTTAACGACGAGCAGGCTGGCGTTGAAGGGGCCGAAATTGACGAGATGGACCAAGATGATGATGAAGACGACGATGACGATGACGAGGAAGAGGAAGATAGCGAGGACGAAGACAAGGAGGTCAGCTTTGACGAGGAGCAGTTCGCCAACATGATGCGGGAGATGATGGGGCTTCCCCCGGACGGCGAGAGGTCACAGAAGGGTAAAGAGAAAGCTACCGAGACCAAACCCCCAGAAGCCGGTCGCGAAGTCGATGACGAGGATGAAGAGATTAGGCAACTCATGGCGCAGATGGAGTCCGAGCTAAACCAACATGGTGCTTTGGACTTGGATCCGAAGCCGAAGAAGCCTGCCGCCCTCAATGACCAGCCCTCCCGAGCGCAGCCGCAAACCGGCGTGGCCGAGGAAGAAGACGAGGCAAGCGGGGATGAAGCAGTCGACCTGGACTACAATTTGGCCAAGAATCTGCTGGAGAGCTTCAAGGGCCAGGCCGGGATGGCCGGTCCCGCGGGAAACCTCCTGAGCATGATGGGAATGCGACTTCCACGTGATGAAGCAGATGAGGAGGACGACGACGACCCCAAAAAAAGTTAGGAGTTAGGCGCTCGTCGTTCCGTGTCATCAAAAAGTAATGGTATCTATCCGCGGGGTTTCTACTGGTAAACCCCATTCATGATTCCCTAAACATACATACATGAGTCGTCAAAACTAGCCATGAAGCCAACCACCCATGTACGCCCCCGTGTCAACCAACACCCCCTAAGGGCCAACATCTGGACTCTGCCTGACCTTTTTGGCCGGCGACATCTCCCCGCTGGGCCGTCGGTGTCTTCTTTTCGGTTCGTCGTCCACCCCGTCTAGCTGGGCCAAGGTCTCGGTTAACTTCTTCCTCGCGGCAAGCTCCATCCTGCTCCTCTCGGTTCTCTGGCCGTAGAACTCCCTGACAATGGACACAATAGCGTGGTACGCCTGGTACAGCAGCAACCGAATGTGGGAATTGGGCTCGTCTCCAATAGGAACGTCGTCGTCCTCGCACCGGTTGGGTGACTCGACGGCAGGCTGGTCCGAGCCGTAAAAGCCTCGAAGGAAGGCATCGGAGGGGTCATCGCTGAACGCCGTCGCAAACAGGGGATCTCCGAAAACACAGTTGCTCCAGTCGCGAAGGCCGGTAACCCGGATAGTTTGTTTCTTAGTAGTCCCCATGCCTTTATAATCACCTTCTCCGTATTTCTCATCATCTGCCTTCTCTTCATCGCCGTCGTCCTGCTTTTTCCCATCTCCCCTTTTGCCGTCGTCGACGTCCTCGTCACTCAGCTTCCGCGTGGTGGAGGAACCACCTCCGCCAGTGAAGTCTCGTTCCGGATTAGTGTCCTCAGTCTTGCGGCGCTGTTTCCCGCTTCGGGTATCGTCGCTCCTCCCCTCCGTCCATGTGACCAGCACGTTGGAATGGTCTGCTCCGTCAATGATAACCAGTCGCGGTACCATAACCGAGTCAAGCAGGTAGCGCAGCCGCTTGAAGTGCCTTCGAATCGCGGAGTACGAGATCGTTACCGCCATGTCCTCTCCGTCACGAAGAATGCCCTCGAGCATGGAGTGGAAGGCAGCCGACCATGTTCGAGTACCTCCCGGGCCGGGTGGGCTCTGGCTTCCATCAGACCGTCTGGGCGAAGGACCCTCGGAGAGCACGCTGGCGGCGAGACCGAACCGGCCGGACGGAGACCTCATGTCTGAGAGCCTACGGGTCAGCCTTCCCCTTTGGAAGTCGACGTGGCTGCGTTCCTTCTCGGTAAGGCCTCCGGGGAGAGCAGAAATGGCGGTGCCGCGGTTGCGTTGGAAGATGCTGTAAGGGATGCCGAACTCCTTGGGAGCCGCACAATGATGGACCAGCTTCGGAAGGAGGTCGGGCAACTCGGGTTCCTCGGAGACAGGGGAAGCATCATCGTAACTTATCACGCTACTCGGCGAAGTGACGGCCGCCTCCTTCGTGGACGGTCTCTGGCCGCGGGAAGTCTCGTGAGAAACGAGCTCGCGAATCCACCGCACCACGGCAGCCTCGGAGTTGATCAGGGACTGCTCTGACCTGAGGAGTCTCGCCATGGAGGAGGGTGGCAGAACCAACTCCAGGGCCCTGCCATCAGGGACTCTGACTTGATATCTCCGCTGGTGCCGGGGAGAAGGCACGGGTTCGAGCTCGTCGGTGGTAACATGGAGCTCGGCTGCCTTCAGAATAGCCATAACAGACGGCTCGAGGGTTGGCTGGCACATGGGGCGAGGGAGCAGATGTCGTCAAGCGGGCAGGCACGCCAGAGTTGGACAAGACACTGAGTACAAGAACACACACCCTGCTTAATCGAGGTGGGACGAGGCAAGTTTGCACGACCTTGGTGTCCAAGGAACGGCGTGTTTGGATACGGGAGAAGGTGGTCGCCCCAGGGGCAGACGATGAGGGCCTGAGTCTGGCAAAGCGAAGAAACAAGCCAGCGAACGACCAACTGCACCAGCCATAATTGGGTCGTAGTTTCTTGATGGGGGACAGCACTCGCCTACAAGACGGCGAATTGGCAAGCTTGATTTCCGGTGGAAGATATGGGACAGGGCGTGGCGCGAAGGACGGGGGAGGAGGGTGTATCCAACGAAAGGCTTGGCCTGCATCAACTCGGGGGAAGGGCCGCGCGAGATCAAGGGGACCGGGTGGCTCGGCGGGGGATCTGATGAGCCGCAGAGGGTCTTCCCAGTCACGTAGGTAGGGTTAGTTGTATATCTGCAGCACCGTGTGGCTTCGAGAAAGGCTTGAGAACGAGGTAATAACGGCTAGGGCGCGGACCTGGTAAGCTGGGCCAACTAGTGTATTGGACGCCCGTCATGCAGGTAGGAAGAAGCAGCAGACGAAGTAGCGAACAGCATCGGATAGCTAGCCGAGAGTAGCAGATACGATGAGACAGTACGGAATACACTACTATGCTAATCATGGTATTCGGTCGGGCCCGGCTTGGACGACGAATGAGGCGTGACAAGAAGCGAGGAGCAAGGATGAGCGTGGTCACCTCCATATGTATAAGCGAAGAGTCATAAAGAGACGAACCACGGGGTCCACAACTAGGTACGCTGTACGTAGTATGCTACACTGGAAGGCTTACATGCGTTTAGGTAACCCATGCGCTCATTACGCAACACGACACGCTATGGACGATATACGTTAGAGAAGCTTCATCCACCTAACTTGTGACTCTTTTCACGGCGGCGCGTGTGCGCGAGTCTCAAAAGTTTAGAAGGCACCCATGGTACACAATACAGGATATAGCTTCTAATTCCTCAGCAGCCCAACTCCACAACGCAAAGAGCACTTCAAAATAGAGAATGACCAACCCAGAGAGACTGTCCCATGGCATGTTTCAATCGTTGCCGTTTCTTTCTTCAAAAGTTCCGGTCTCCGGCTCTCGACAGGGACCCATGCATGCTCTTATGAACTAGAGTACGTCGTACACTAACAAACGAACAGACAAAGTACGGATACTGTCCCGTTACACTGTACCATCGTGGACGAAATGCCGGCCCGGGTATCTTAAGTTTGAGGTTTAGGTCACGCTAGTGTGAGGCTGTGAGCATTGCCAAAAGGGTTCCGGAAGGGAGTGCGTAGGGGTGGTCAAGGGAATATCGGGTCTGGACTCCTGCTTATCACCTGCCTACCTGGGCCAAGGGGAGAAAAGCAGGAGTTCATCCGAGTGCAAGGGCAAGCGAGGTGGAACCCCGCTGATTGGCCAGCCTTAGCGAAGAACCCACCGGAACGGGACTGACATCATGGGCAAGCTTCCCCCAGTTCAGTCGCACCAATTGACGAGGGGCATAAGGTAACGAACGTTACCGAGAGAACGACTGCTTCGGTCGGAGCACGGTCAGGTCCTACAACGTAAAGCAGATTGGGGCTGACCGCATGGCGTTGCAGTACATAGTATTGCAGTATTGCAGGACGGGATAAATACGTGCCCACCGTAGCCTAATAATGCCTTGGACTTTCCATGGTAACAATCGACTTTCTGCATCTCCAGTTGGACTCTGTGAACTCCCTGCTAATTGCCGCCTTCCAAGGCCCATTCAACTGTGCCGGTCGGTCGACAATGACCCGCAGGATTCGGCTTCAAACCCCGAGGACCGTTCCGTGCAAAATTACCATTTTCAGAGGCTTACGCATTATTCGTCCAGGGCCACTCTTGGAAGAAAAAGGCTCGTCAAAATTGTCGCAATAGGGCTTAGCGCTTCATGCTTGACAAGAAGTTAAAATCAGCTTCGATATGCTACTTTCGTACACGTGCGTGTGTATGTAAGTAAGTGTAAGGGCAACGTAGGTAGTGTTGGTAGGCGTAGATGTAGTAAGTAGGTGTGTGCAGTGGATGGGCACAAAACCATACTGGCCTTCAGCCCTTTGTCCTCGCGTTTGCGTTATTAGGACGGACTGGTTCCAAAATAGGTTCCTCCCTCCCAGCCTACTACCTCCCTCGGTCCGCAGCGTCGCTTGTGGGCTTCGGCTGCTGCTAGCGATGCTGCAGGGACAGTCCTCTCCAAAAGCACCATCACAGGCAAGGGACTCTCGCATAGCCAAATACCAATCGCTAGGCCGGATATATACCTAGCCCTGAACATGATTGCTGCCTGACTCCTGCTGAAGCGTCGGCTCTCGTTATCTGGAATGGCAAAGAACCCGACTCTGTAACCGTAGTCATGTCTCTGGCTCCCTTCGGCGAGAACATTCCACCTCCCTGGCTCAACACCTGGAAGAAATGGTGGATTCTGTGCATCAGTCCATGGGCCCACGAGTATCAGCCCGACGAGGGTACATGGTCTCTGAGTTTCCTTACTTGCTACCGAGGGTGTAGAGCTCGCTCAGGTTGTACCTTTTCAAATCCTCCCAGTCCCCGTCGACAACACTCATACCACAGACATTCTGCGTCTCTGTCAGTGATCCAACTCTCAGGAGCGAATACGGGCCTGGTTCGAGCTTTTGCAACGTTACCTGATAGACATCGACCAGTATCACCTTATCAGGCGCCTTCAAGTTTACCTTGTGCCGCTCGTTGTTTATCAAGGCGGCAATTTGGTTAATAACAATATCCCGCTTTAGCGCGCTGTTGCTTCGGACGCTTGGGCGGATGGCAAACTGTTTCTGTAGTGAGCAACTAAACGGGACCCGAAGCTTCAGGGCCCTTACCGAGTATGACTGGGCCACTTCGACACCACCAACGTCTTGGACTGGGTCTCCGGCGGACTTGTCCCCTGGGCCTTCGCCATCTTTCGACGCCTCGTCAGACCCTTCTGCCGGCTGCTCCGCAGCTGATTTGCTTTCCTCATCCGACTTATGGGGCTCAGCGGTTGTTGGCTCCGATCCTGCCTTCTTCCCGCTCAAATCGAACCACGGGGATAGCACCTTGCGGGCAACACCCAGCAGCCCCTGCTCGGTCGCCTTTCCGGACTCGGCCACGGGCGTCAATCTATTGACGTAGCGACTCTTCATATTTTTTGAGCCACTTGCATCCTCGCATATTCGCTTGACGAAGGCCACCGGCTCAACGGGTGGCTTTGTCTTGATGAACAGCAGGCAGTCGACGTTCAACTTGACTGGCGTAAACAAGCGAGTGGCGCTGTCTCCGCGTTCAGCCTTGATTGAATCGAGCTCTCTCTGCACCGCGGCCTCGATGTCCTCCTCTCCGCTCTGCTCCACCTCGTCCGCGTCTTGCTTCACGCCATACATTATCTCGGCATACTGTCCTCTTCCTGTCAGCGAACCTATCACGATCGTATCCCACCGGATTGGCGTCCACAGGGGGGCTGCCTGATTACCTCTCCGAACAGATCTGTCACTTCTCGGGCAGCCTTCCATTCCTGATTCCTGGCGCAGGTCACCCAGACCCCGACGTCTCCTGGTGCGACGACGCCGTTGCTTTGGGGCGTGGAGCCCTTGGTCTGTTGGTGTGGAGTCTTCCACTTGCCCTCATTCCCATGCTTCGGTAACGTGTTAGCGAACTCGTACAACTGGTGACCCCCTTCGCTCCCTTTTGGGATCAATATGGTGGCGACTTGCTCACTCATGATTTGTTTTGGTTTTGCCAGCAGACTGGCAGCGGAAAACAGGGGGTTCCTCATGCCGAGACAACCTCGATCATATGAGAGTTATCCACGAGGGTCCTCATACCTTTTTCTTTTTGCCTTGGCGGTCAGTGCCCCCCGTAGGTGCATCCTTTCTCTTGTTTTGCCCACCCATTATGTTTACACTCCTGTATTTTCGCCAGGAAAAGAAGTGAGCTGTTGGGTCGGAAGTCGCCAACAAATGTTTGACTCGAGGCTGGTGTCCCTTTCCCCCTTCGTTTACTACGCAAGTTGACCACAACCTCAATCTGCCCCGAGCTTTGCAAGCCAGTGCCAGGTCACGTGTTATTCGCCATTGGCCGAGGTTCCGAATCATAGGCGGCACCTTCAAAGTTTACCCAGAGACAACATGGGAAGTCGATTAAATACCAGGTGATCATCAGTCTAAGCGGACTCTTTTCCTATATCTCTACCAATAGCCGGAAAATAACAACTGCACGCCATTAAAGTTATTCCTATCCGCCACCAGCATGCCAGCCCTTCCTCTTACTCCTTCGCATTAGCCTTTGCGCTGGCCCCTGCCGTCAGTACCAGTGCTCTAGGCGCGTCATGCTTGCGCATGTGCAGCTCAACGAACTGCAACTGGTTCGCGGCATTGAACTCCTTATCCGTGAGCAGCTTCTCCAGCTCGTCTTTCGTGTTGACCTTGTATCTCTTAGCCTGCTTGTCACTCGCCCCAAAGACGGTCGGGATCTCCGTCCATTTCCATTCCACGATGTCGTTATATGCGGCATTCTCGCCGTGGATACAGCGCTCGATGGTAAAGCCTTCATTGCAGATCAAGAAGCTGTGACGGGTGTGAGTTAGCTGATCCAAAGGGCAATCGCGGCCGGCAAAAAAGGGTAGGGACTGGGCTGGGTCGGGCTGCCTTACATGGTAATTTTCAGGCCATGCCTTATCATGGTGCTGACCTCTTGGACGGTCAATTGGAAGGATCCGTCGCCGACGAAGAGGATCGTCCGCCGGTCACCACCTGCGTCTCTTGCCCCAAGTGCTGCCCCTTGACAGGCTCCCACGGACCAGCCAATGCTTCCCCAGAGGACCTGGCTCAGGGCCGTTGTTCCTGGCGGGAATTTCGTGCCCCATATGCCAAAGTTGGATGTCCCTGTTTCGGTCACGACGATGTCGTTCTCGCGGAGATACTCCCCTATACGTGGCCAGAACCAAGCCTGGGTAATGGTTGGAGAGGCATCTTTGTTGCTTGCAACGTCGTTGGCGACCACCGGCCCGGGTTTGGCTGAGAGCTTCTTCACGTCGACACGGTCAACAACTTTACGGAGTACTCCTTTCATGGTTACACCGGGATACTCGGAGTACCGAGCGACGCAGTGCGTGCTGTGGAAGTCGATGGTGTTCAACTGCCGTGTCCGGTATGAGAAGCCGGCCGTATTGAAGTCGCTCTTCAGCGCGCCGATGGACAGGATAAGGTCGGCCGACTCGACTGCCTCCGTCACCTCGGGGAGGGAGGCAGTCCCGGCATACACGCCGCCGTAGCTTGGGTGGTGCTCGTTGACGGCCCCCTTGCCCATGGGCGCGACAAATACTGGCAGTTTTGTCTTCTCTATGAGGTCATGAACCTCGTCGAGTACCCTGTGGCGGATGGCACAGCCATCGACGAGGATGATGGGCTTCTTGGCGGCGTGCAAATACTTGAGGACCACGTCGACAACGTAGTTTTCCCGATCTTCTTCGTTCTTCGGCTCCGAGAGATCAATCGGTTTCTTGAGCCGCTCGCCCTCGATCTTCTTCTGGACCATGTCCGTTGGGAGCAAGATATAGACCGGCCTGCTTCGGATATAGCACTGACGTAGGGTGTGGTCGATCTGGTCGGCGATCTCGCTGGGGTTGTTGAGTTTCGCCATCTCGCACGAAATCTCGGCGTGCATGTTGGCGAACACCTTGAAATCCCCGTTGCCCAGTGTATGGTGCAACAGCATACCGTCACGCTGTGAGATGGTTGATGGGCAGCCGACGATATTGACGACGGGGATGTGCTCCGAAAAAGCACCCGCAATGCCATTGATGGCAGACAGTTCCCCAACGCCGAATGTGGTGATCAGAGCCGAGATCCCCTTGACTCGGGCATATCCATCAGCCGCGTACGCTGCGTGGTCCCCGTTAGAGAGAGCAAGAGAGATTCAATCATTATGGGGTTAGGGCAGACTTGCCAGAATTGAGCTCATTGACACTGCCAACCCACTTGAGGTTGGCTTTAGGGAGATAATCGAGAGCAACCAAGTTGTAGTCCCCCGGAACACCGTGGACCGATCGAACACCGACCTGATGCAGCCTGGTGAAGAGGTACTCGGCCACATCCACCGGTTGCTTGAGCCTCTCCGTTCGGATATCTGAAGCCATAATGCGATATGGTAACACTTGTAATAGCTATAGAGGGGTATAAGAAAGGTAACGAGAGCTCTGTGGAACAGTCGGGTGGCAGGATCCCAACAGACACGACGTAAATATATATAACAGAGAGCTAGAGAGCTTCCACTATTACGAGCTGTGATGTCATGAATAGCCCAGTCTACAATACGACCGGACGGTCCAGCCTTTTTTACTTTCAAGTCCCTCATATGGACTGATACGCATAGTTACCTGATGTGGACGGAGTGCCCCACATTTTATCATGATCATACTATGTAGTAGTGTAGGTAGGTATGCGCGGGTGGTATGATCCATGATGATGGTATCACGCTCTTACTCAGCTCTCAACCCCCCCGGACTGGTGCAGATTTCCGAGCCAACTCCGAGAAGTTGGCTCCCAAATCTCTCTATTTGAACACGAGATCGTACAAGCGACACGGAGTACCTAACCAAGAATACAAGAGTAGAGATGCCGCTGGATCGCTGCGCCCAACCATGTCTAAACGTGCTCGACAAAAGAAAAGGGAAAACGCTGGACCAATGCTTTTCGCTCTGGCAGCAGCGGCAGCAGTGCGCCCGCACTCGAATGTCCTACCAGGCTGTACTGTACAGTACATAAACCGTATTATACAGTCAAAAAGGTCAAGGCGATATAGGAGCGGAGAGTAAAAAGTTTCCGGCTCGGACACGGCGTGCATTAGTCGCAACGGCCGTCCTTCCAACCCGTCCTCCACCGCTCCTCCCATTTGGCACAATCGAAGATGGGCTTCCCGAGCTTCTTGTTGACCTCGTTGTGCGCCCCGCAAAGCCAGAGGCCAAAGTCTTGCCTGCTGGCCGCGCGAATCTCGTCCTTCTTGATGTACTGCTGGAAGTCCTCGGCGCACACCCAGCAAGGGTACAGCTTCGAGAAGAGCTTCATGAAGTTCGTCAGGTCCGACTGCTCTGACACAGTCGGAGTCGTGGGATAGGTGGCAGCGATAGTGTGGAGGAGGGTCCAGGTGCTTCGCCCGAGGGTCTCGACGTCGGCAGGGCAGTCGTTCAGAGGTGCCGGCTTCCGCGCCATGCGGGGCGATTTCATCTGGGAAGTGAATGCATCGATCGACGAGCAGGAGCGGCAGCTGCGGGTCTCGTGATGATTAGGACAATAGTCGGGAACAGGGCGCACGCGCAGAGAGGGTTCCAGCAGGGGTGTAGCTATACTTACGGCTTCCCATCTTTCCCTAGAACCATGCCTTTGGGGAGCTTCTTCGGAGGCTCCGTCGCACCCGCGTTGCCGGCCGCAGAATCCGCAGGAACAGGGTCGTTCGGCTTGGATTCCCTCGTGTCTTCGGCCATGACCGTTTCTCGGGCCGGATTTTAGCCTTCTCTCTAAGAAACAGATTTTCTTGATCTGGAATTTGCCTGGGCGATGCGAGGCCCGACAGACGAGAATGGTGTGAGGACTCAATGGGCTGCTTTAAAAGCACTCGGCGACCTCGGCCGCAGTGTCTTATCGATAAAGATTGAGCGCGAGTGGCATGGCGGGGCCGCCAAGCAACCCGCGATTCTTGGGTCTAGTCTTCCACTACTTGTAGGGAAGTGTTTAGAGAGTCCATACTTCGTATAGCATATTCTCAATCCAAGCAGGCTGTGACATCTAGTCTCGTCAACATCGCGATCCATGTCTTCTTCCGAGGCTCAACCCCCCTCAGGGGGGACTCCCATATTCCTCCTGAAAACAAGATCGACACCTACCGACGCCTACGAGCAGCTCTTTTCGACGCCACAAGATGGGCTCACCTTTGAGCCTAGGTTTGTGCCTGTTCTTAAGCACCATTTTGAATCAGAAGCCATTGCCCGTGTTAGAAGCCTGCTACGAGACAGAAGGATAGGGACGGGCATCGGAAGCTCCTACGGCGGCCTCATATTCACGTCTCAGCGAGCTGTCGAGGCATTTGCCAAGCTCGTCGAGGACGGCAGAGGTCCGCCCCCTCTCAGTGGAACGCCCCCCCTAGGTTAATACTCAATTTGCTAATTTGCCCCTCGAGATAACCAGACGATCAAGGCTGGCCACACCTGCAAGATGTCCCGGTCTACAGCGTCGGTCCTGCGACCTCCAGAGCACTCGGGGCCATCTCTCAGGACCATCCGCTGCAAACCTTCGGTGGGCACACAGGAACCGGTGAGGAATTGGGCCAATACATACTGGAACATTACAGTGAATGGTACCGGGACCGGCCAGAAAAGCCGTCCTTGTTGTTCCTAGTCGGGGAGCAAAGGAGCAACAGCATCCCGAGGATTCTGATGGACGATAGGCTGCCGCAGAACCTGAGGATCCAGGTGGACGAGCTCGTAGTCTACAAAACAGGGGTGATGGAGTCGTTCATGGACGACTTCGCCGCTGTTCTCGATGCGACCGAGGACCGCGATGCGAGGTGGGTGGTGGTCTTCTCGCCCACTGGCTGCGCGGCCATGATGGCAGCACTGGGTTTGCTGGACGAGGGAACCGGCATGGCGAAGGCCAAGACCTCGCCTCGAAGGACCTTCATCGCAACCATTGGACCGACGACAAGTAAATACTTGAAGAGCACATTCCGGTTCGAGCCTGACGTCTGCGCGAGCAAGCCAAGCCCGGAGGGAGTCTGGAACGGCATCGCCGAGTATCTTAGGCGTTGACTTGTTAATTTTTGGTCACTATTTGCCCCGTTTGCGACGCTTGGAAGGCACCAAGGAAGGCGCCTGTCAGGCTGGCAACGACGCTGGAATGGCTATTGGCGGCGATACAAGGGTACTAAGCCACACACGGACCACCGCATGACGTCCATGCCTAACCGGACGCACGCCACGGAGGGGCCATGCACTGCATTTTGGGATGCTAGCGAACACCAAAGCGCCAAGCTTCGCCGAGCCCAATAGACATCACGTCGCCATCAGGGCTTGTTGCTTTGCCTGGGCCGTACGTTTTGTTGATTCCTCCACGGCACCTGTTGCCTCTTTCCTGTCTTTTCCGCCCTCGTCGGATCACACACATGTCTTTAGAACCAAGTTAGCGAGGTTTTATAATTACCCCTACAACCTAAGGGCATAAAGCTGCAAGTTGTAGCCCACACTGTCGTCATTCCTCGTCCATCAAAATTCAACACTACTTTTCCTTAGCTCAGCCAACATCAACACCACATCCTGCCGTCTAAGATGAGCTGCTACAATTCACAACCATCTCAATCTTCTCGTAGCACCGGGTCCGCCTCTCCCGCCCTTTCTTCCGGTGTCGTAACCCCCACTGGCACCTCCGCGAGCTCGTCGGCCTTTCTCTCCTCCTCGGTCTCCAACCTCTGGGGAGGATTGGTTCGACGCTTCTCGTCCGAGATGGCAACGGGCTCGTCACCAGAACCCACCTCGCCTCACCTCGAATCCTCCTTCCACCATTCCCACACATACCCCATGGGCGCGAATGACGGCATTGACGGGGTTTACACCCCGCCCCAGTCTCACCGGACCGCCTCCCCGATGCGCCTGCCTCCCCTCGAGCCGCTCTCGCTGCACGGCTTCAGGGACGACACGCCTCCCGGTGCGAGGTTGCTCACCACGGCCATCGCAGAGGAGATCAGAATCATGGTGCCCGCCAGGCTGACCATCGTCGACGAGTGGAACCTGGTGTATAGCCTTGATCAAGACGGCGCCAGCCTATCAACCCTGTACGAGAAGTGTAGGAAGTACGAAGGAAAGAGAGTAGGCTTCGTATTAGTTGCGAAGGACTGTGAAGGAGGGGTAAGCGATCTTCCCGCGCACAACAACGGAAACCTCATATCAGTGTACGGATCAAGCTAACACGGGACTTTCCTCCTCTTGACTTAGATCTTCGGCGCCTACCTCTCCGACTTCCCACACCCGGCGCCCAGTTATTTCGGCACAGGCGAATGCTTCCTCTGGCGGGCCTCCATCGCCACCTCTCTCCCTCCGCCCCCATCAGCAGACACAACCAACCTCACGCGCACAACCACGATAGCGTCCCCCACCGCCCAAACGCACAACCAACCGTCATCAATAGCACCGTCTTCATCCTCCTCCTCCTCCTCCTCACAACACCTCTCTAAGCCGCCCACCTCCAACGGCCACCTACAACTCCTTGACCCGCCGCACCCGCACCCGCCACCGTCCCCCTCCATCCGCTTCAAGGCCTTCCCCTACAGCGGCGTCAACGACTACTACATGTTCTGCGAGGCGCACTTCCTCAGCGTCGGCGGCGGCGACGGCCGCTACGGCCTCTGGCTGGACGGCTCCCTCGAGAAGGGCCTCAGCTCCACGAGCCTGACCTTTGGCAACGAGCCACTGAGCGACGAGGGCGACAAGTTCGGCCTCCTCGGCGTCGAGGTCTGGGTCCTGGGCGCCGGGCCGCCCTGACCTAAGGGGTTCTCTTTTTTTCTTTTTTCTCTCTTTCTTTTTGGGGAGGGGGGGAGACCTGTTAATGAGTGCCGGGGCAGGAGGGATGGGGGGACAAATGGGAAAACTGAAGAAAAAAAAAGGGGTTGCTACAGGAAGCTGGCTGAGCATGAGCGGAAGCCGCCCGTTTTTGCCGCCGCTGTATTAGCCTTGTAATAGCGGTGTACAGGTGTACAGTTCTGTCCTTGGGGGCCCCCTTTTTTCTTTTTTTTTTTTTTGGATCGCTGGTAGGGAGGCTTATGGAAGAGGTCATACTTAAAGCCGGGGAAAATCTCAACAGGGAAAAGGGGGAGGCGATCGCAGTGCGGTTTAGACAACCGCACAAGCCGGAAAACCAGAGGGAGGCCTTGGAAGACACCGGCGGCGTTGTTATTTTGGCAGGGAATGCGCCTACACGTGTCCATGCTTTTCGTTTTGTCTTTGCGAAGACGGGGCAATAGGAGGAATCTGTTTTGAGTATCGAGGCGTATCAATGGGATAGGCAGGCAGTCTTGGTAGACCACTCCAGTGGCAAGCAGCATAAGGAATTGCTGCTTTGGATACCCATAATTATTTATAAATGTGATACAATCCAACTCTCATCTCAACAAGTGACGGGGCGGGACGGAAGGCAGGTCTCTAAATTGGGTATATTTGCCAGTAGGTTTCGCATGCGCCTCGGCGGGCGTTCACAACACTTCATGTTTTGAAGAAACCTTGACAATATGAGATTGCTGCCCGGCTACCTAGGTATCTATCTACGTGAGTGACTCTTGCTCAAGCTCCTTAACAACACTATTTATCATATCGGGGCGGAGTCCGTTGCCACCTTCGCTTCGCCAACCCCTATTTTTGCTGTCGTCCGCCCCTATTCGATCCTGTGCGCCGGTCCGCACAGCATCCTCTCCCTACACCACACAAGCTCTTCTCATGTCCTGGCCGTCGGCTCGAGAACCTTCACAAGGGTCTCACTCGAACCACAACCAGTAAGAAGTAGGGTAAAAATAACTCGTGAAGAGAGATGATATGGAAACCAGTTTCCATCCTTTCCAGGTTGCCTGGTGTCTTCTTATGCAACTCCGCGCAATATACACGAACGCCCCCAAAAAAAGCCACAGGGAGAGCAGCATGCGGAGAATCCCACGAGCCAGATCACCGCATGATCTCCTGGTAAATCAGCTGCTTCAGCTGATCTTTGCTGAGGTTGTCCTTGTGCTTGTCAAAGTCGAAGAACTCCTCGGGAATGGGCGGGGCTGTCGGCTCATCATCGGGGTCGTGGTATGGCTCGAGGTAGGGATGCTTTAGGGCCTCTTCGACTGTGATGCGCTTGACTGGGTTAAAGGCAAGGAGCTTCTCGAGCAAGTCGAGGGCGAGGTCCGAGGTCTTGGGGAACAGGGTCCGGAAAGGCACCTTCTTCTTGAAGGGTAGTGATCGGATGTACTCCCGAGCTCGCCGTGACTTGATCCCATAGTAGTCCTCCATGGTTGGGGTTCCGAGGACATCCAAGATCAGGGTAAGCTGGTGGTGATCTGCAGGGCATGTTAGCTTGGCACATGCACGGGTTGACCCGAGAAGGCACACGTACAATCCTTGCCAGGGAACAGGGGCTTTCCGCTAAGCATCTCTGCGAGAATGCAGCCAACCGACCACACATCGATGGCCTTGGTGTACTCCTTGAAGGTCAACATGATCTCGGGCGCCCGGTACCACCGAGTCGCGACATATTCGGTCATGAATCCCGAGTTGTCCTCCTGAGAGGCTGCAGAACGGGCAAGGCCAAAGTCGCATACTTTCAGGTCGCAATTAGCATTCAGGAGTAGGTTGGAAGGCTTCAGATCTCGGTGCAGGACGTTGGCGGAGTGCATGGCCTTCAGGGCACGGAGAGTCTGGTAGATGAAGTACTGGCAGTGGTCGTCAGAGAGGTCCTGGGTCCGGATAACGCGGTGCATATCCGTCTCCATGAGTTCCTAAGAGACCCAGGGCATTCATTAGCCGTCGAAACTCGCTTGCCAGCAACAAGGCTGTCATTTCCATACCTGAATTAGATAGACCTCGTTAAAGCTCTCGTAGCTCCGAGGTTTCTGTATATCAAGAATGGAGATGATGTTCTCATGGTTGAAATACCGCAGAAGCTTCATCTCTCGGAGGGTTCTTAGGCAGAACATGGAGTGGTCGAAAGGAGTGATCTTCTTGATGGCGACCTTCTGTCCGGACGGCTTATGAATGGCCGAGCTGAAACACATCGATTAGGATCCTACAGGAGCGTCCACCAGCAGGTTTGACTTACCATACAACACCATAAGCACCCTCCCCAACTACATCCTGGATATCATACTGCTCACTGACGTTGAACGATATCTTCCTCGAACCCTGTGGGTTCGGCGGGTTGGTCCGCGACATGGCTGGTTGGGCAAACTGGGGTTTAGATAGATAGATGGTGGGCACGGGCAGGAAAAGGGAATGATTCGGTATTGATGATTGTCGCAACCAGTGGATTAAAACCCAACACGGACAAACCACCAAAGGGGTTCACAGGCAGTGTTGAGATATGGCCGGGAGAAGAGCACTATGGCACGTTCCTACTTGCAACGTAGTAGGGTGGTTCCGCGGTGGTCGGGTATCTGAAGAAGGAAGAGCGACCGCGGGTAGGAATGAGCGAGCTCCTCAGGGTAGATATATGGAGGGTGAGGTGGATTTGTTACGAATGCTAAGGTCGTGGCGATGTAGGCTGCAAGGCTGGTAACTGTCGTCAGGAGTGAGGGTTGTCTGAGTCCCGCTCGGGCCTAAATCTGAACAAGCTGTTAGAACCTGAGGGCGGAAAGGTGCAATGGCGATCTCCTACTTGAATAATCTCTATCGGGGTAACGTCGCGGCTCAAACCAGGAGGGCGAAGTGGATTGAGCTAGGCGCTTGGTTGGCAACTATCTTCTTTGTCGTTTGGTAACGGGGTTTGGCGCCCAGTCAGGGAGGGGGGGATTCACCTGGTACGAAGACGGAATCGTGTTAGCTACACAGTGCTTCACACAAAGAACCAACGTGTTGGGGGACAAACGAAGCAAGGTAGGTGATTAGGCTCGCTGGGGCGGTGCTTGGGCGGCAAAGCTCAGCAGTCGTTTGGAGGCACTCTTGGCATGCCACACATACAAACAACAGAAGTCGAATTGTTCGAGAACAGTTGATGGCCGCCTAAAGTCGCGAAGCAGAGCTTCCAGAAGGTGTTCAAGCCCAGGATAAGGGGTGAAGTAGGGGGATGAGCACAGGGCGATCAGACACTTCGTCTGGTCTTTGCCCACCGCCCGGACGGGAAGGGAAGAAGCACGGAAGAAGTACGGGGGAAGCACAGTATGGCTATCGAAGATGAAAGCCGGCTGGATCGGGTGGCTGTATGATCTACCTACTATGGGGCCGGGGTAATGGCAGGAGGGAAGAGAAGGAGAAATACGACCAACCTGGACAGTGAGCTGGGGTTGAAGCTGTGGGAAGCTGTCCTCAGGAGGGGCCAGGAGGGGCCGAGAGGGAGGGGGAGGGAATTGTTGGTCTGGGCTCTGGGGAGTGCTTGCGACGAGACGTGACCGATTTGCCCCGCTTTCCAGTTTGGAACGGGACCTGTTCCGCAAAACTGGAGCTGGCCTTGCTTAGGACAAACAAATCAGGAATAGTCGCAATCTTCAACTTGAAATATTGACAAACTGGCGCAAAAGTGAAATATGAGGACCAGCGGGGCAATATAATGTGGTGAGAGAGAGAGAGAGAAAATGTGTGTGTGAGAGAGAGCCGACGTGTGAGTGAAGTGAGGGGGAACAGGTGATACATTGGAGGGGATCGACGAGTGGAAGAGGGGTCTTCCGGGAATGTCAGGCAAGCTACAAGGGGTCGTACAAAAAAGGCTGGGCCTTGTCAGGGCGGCAAGCAGCGGGGCTACCCGTCTTTAAGCTTAAGATTGGGCATCTTGGTGAGAGAAAGGGGAAGTGCTAATTTGTGGTATGTAATACTGAACGATAAGCTCAGGCACCTTGGTGTCAAGTATCTACTAAGAATTATCCGTGGAGAGAAGAACATGAGTTGAAGATCACAACATCGGGACCTTCCATAAGACTCAACTGTCGAGGAGTTACCTATCTCAACATATCCGTGTCGACTGTATAGATGGAGGGGTACATGTGCTACAGTTGATTCCTGCCCTGGCCAATAAAATTGCTCTGGGGCAGCTGTCACAGCCAACTAACGAATCCCTGCACGGGCACTCAAGCTTGTCGGCACCATGGTTTCAACGACCACGGTCCATCCACCCAACCCTTTCCAGCAAACCACAGCACACTGTCCAACCATAAGCGCCAGCCAGAAAAGGGGCGCGTGTTTCGAGTTCATCAACCATCTTCACTCTCACACTTTTTCGTCAGGTATTGGCCTTCTCATTCTATTCCTAGTGTCTATATATATTCGAGATAAATAGCTAAAAATAGAGCTACCTGGTCTCCAATCATGTCACAAAACAGTAGGGGAAAATTATAGATGAGACGTCCCATTTGGTACTATTTTGTTTCTTAGTCTGATTTTCTTTCCCCTTTCTGTCCTTCTCACCACCGTTGGGCCTAACAAATGGCCCTAACCTCTGTTCCGTTCGGCCTGACGGTCGATGTGCAATGATCGGAGATCCGAGATCCCGGTTTAATAAGGCGCTAAATCGGGAGCACTCCGTGTGGCTCTGGCTCAACGGGATCTGCTTCGGGGGGGGGGGGGGCCGACTAGGCAGGCCACTTCGTACGCATAGACGGTCCTTGTTCACTGTGTCCTGATCCGCCGGATGGCAGCTAGAGAAGGACTTCCGATGTCGCGATACGGCTCGTGAGATGGAGCTAGCTTGGTAACTCTCCGGACTCACGGCAGGCCAAAACGTGTCAAAATGCCTGGCACTCTCCTTTCACATCACTTCATTAACGCTTCCAATCTGAGTCACACTATCGGACTCTATACAATCGTCTGTGCCTTCCATCTACCCGCCCCCTTTTATCACAGTCGCCATGCCACCCAAGTCCGACTTTACTGAACAACCTAGTCACTGGGTATCAGCTTCATGTCCGTTCGTTATCGATACATGCATTCACAAACTCACCTTTTCTCTCAACGAGCCCATCCACTGCTGGAAGCTCATGCCTTGGTCTACCCGGTCCTCCACCAGCAACGTCTGGGCCCATAGCTTGAGGCTGGGCTCGCCATCTTCGCGCACAATGTAGAGGTGGGGTAGGATAATGCTGCCCACCCCCCGAGACTTGTAGTCCCTGCTCTTCTGCACCACCGCCCGAACGCGCTCGTTGAAGTCGTTCTCGAGCTCTGGCAGAGTTGCCTTGCCAACGTGCAGTTGTGTCCGATCTCCCACGCCGAACACGTCGACCAACAGCTGTGGCACGGCGTCACGCCCGATCCACAGGAACTGGGTCTGCCCGTCGTCGATGAGGTAGAGACCGTAGGGAACAAACCTTTCGGAAGAGAGGTTGAGCGGGGGAGGAAGGGTGATGTGGCCAGTCTGCGGGTCAGGGACGCCTGCGTTGTCCGGCATATCGTGAAGTGAGTATAGATGTGGGTAGATGTACTGCATGAGTAACGGCAGAGGAAGCGTAGACAACTGGCACAGAGCGGCCGACCTGAGGTCCGAAGGAATCTGGGCAGACTTCCTCAGCCCCACGTTCTTGATCAGACCGAGAAAGAGGACTGGCAGGCCACGGAGATTGGACGGGAATTGAAGCCCTCCACCCATGCTTCCGCCAGCAAGTTCCTTTCGGAAAGTCTGCAGCAGCTCTGTGACCTTGTTTTGAAGCAAATCCCTCGCCGCGTCCAAGCCGCCACTTAATGCCCGCTCGACAGACTTGTGGCTGAAGTAGGTCGTGATGGCACATTGGTCGGCTGAGGCATACACGTCAGCCAGATTCGTCGTGGTCGGGAGTGCTAGCGTCATGACTCGGATTCGGCGTTCTCCGTTGCATGTCGTGTGCAACACGGCCGTCTGCAGGCACACAACGTTCTTGGTCAGGTTCTCGTCGATTGCGACCTCTACAACATAACATTGGTCTCGGGGGAAGGCCGGGAAGGCACACAAGTCCGAACTCCGGTTGAAGAAGTTGCCGTAGAATGTGCTCATGCGAAGACCAGTTGTTGCGCGCACACGAAGGACAGCCTCGAGACCGATCTCGGACGACAAGTAGTCGCTGAATTCCGAGGCAAACTTGATGGCGTCTTCAGGCCGGCCCGCATTCCAGCCCGGATAGAACCAGGTCTGGCCGCCGGTATATCTGGGAAGGTTGCTGAGAGAAGCAACATCCTGGTATTGCGACGAGAAGAGGAACATGTCGATGGAGACTTGGTTCTTGGAGCATTCCACGGCAAAGCTTTTGTAGAAGCTGTTGGCGGTCTGTAAGAGACCACTCTCCTTGGAGGTTCCCAGAAGTTTCTTGTCCTCTCTCATATCCAGCTTGCCATACCCGACATTTGGTAGCGACGCGCTCAGGACGACGATCTTGCCTCCCAACGGTGATATGAGTTTATGGCCTGCTCTCAGCGCCGAGCCCATGCACGAGCCGTTGCTCTGGCTGTTGATAAACATGTCAGGGAGCTTAGTGAGGAAACTCTCGATGCTTTGTCGACACTCGGTGAGGGGCACCAGAAGCTCGTGGGGAACGGGAAGGAAAGGCTCGTCCAAATCGCTCACAACCAGCATGCTGGTCTCGCCGTTCTCATCACTGTCCTTGGGCACTGAGAAGTAGTGCAAGCTAGAATCAACCGCGATAAATCCCAGGCGAGTGCGCCGATCAGCGTTTGGTATCCTGTTGAGACTGTCGAGAATAGTCCGGGCACTCGTCGCCAACAAGCCTGTGGAGACGGAGGCGTAACTGACGTCGAAGAGGAAGAGGTACACGAGAGGTTGAGGAGGGCGGACCATGTATTCCTGGGGAGCGACGAACTCGACCACCGAGTTATTCAACTCGTGACGCTGCCACCTGTCCACGCTCTTCTGAGCTGCGGCATCCCAGTCGAAAGCTTGGGGGACGTCATTGGTGAGATTGCACATGTTACAACGCCACCGGTGTCCTTGATCCATGAAGGTGACGTAAGGGTTGATATAAGACCGACATCTCCTGCACCTAGAGATGACTTGATCCTGGACAACGGGCACTGGATCGTCCAAATCGTGAAGAGCGCCATATGGCTGGATGACCAGGGCAAAAGGTAGTTTGGACTTCTTGAGCAGGGAGTGTGTGGTAGGAACAGCATTGATGGTGGAGCGAACGTATTTGGGCGGGCAGTTCGCATCTGGAGAGGGCGTGACACTCGACTGTACGGCAGGTTTAGCAGATGCTGCACAGTGAGTCGGGGAGAGGACGGGCGAAGCAGACTCACATTAGGTGGTAGAATGATTGGCGGAGGTGGAAGATCCAGCTCCGAGACATTGAATGGCTGATTGATAAGATCTGTCGGGTAGAGCTGGTTTAGAGCAACCGGCCGGGCCGCAACAGGAGCTGGCTGAACACCCTGCGCCCCTGCGCCCAATTGCATAGCCGAGAGGCCAGAAGTCAGACCGGCAACGGCGCCGGGCCCGGGAGCAACAACCGGAGGGGCACCGGCAGATGGGTAGTACGGCTCCGGGGCCTGGTATCCTACGGGACCGCCGACGGGGGCACCTGGCTGTTGCATCCCGTAGCCTGGAGATGGAGCGCCGTATGCGGCCGCCTGGGGGTCCTGCTGCGGGTAGCCTGCGTAGCCTGGAGCTACAGGCTGAGGAGCCCCGAACTGCCCAGCGCCCTGCAACTGTCCCCCGGCCGCGGCGTTTCCCCCGGCGCCCACGTCGAACGCTCCGGCGGCATAAGCCCTCTTCTTCTTGCGCCCAGCGTCTGCAGCATGTTGGGAGGTCGCCTGTGGCGGAGGCGATGGCTGGCTATCCTCGTAACCTTGGGGTTGGTCTGGATACGGAGATGGCTGGCCGTATTGCTGTGCCGGCGCGGGATATTGGCCGTAGCCTTCGGGTGGAGGAGCCGACATAATGGGCTCGTTGGTCCTGCGTGGTTTGACTTGGCGTATCCTTGCTGATCTATGACGCCAGGATTCGAATCGAGCTCCAAACAAGCACCACGCTGCCTACACGATGCGGAGATGGGATAAGTGTCGGAGGTAAACTATGTAGGCCGGCTGGCGAGGACGGAGAGCTTCGAGCTGAAAGCTTGGGGTTTGGATGGAGCTGCCGAGCTTGACGAGTGGTTGGATGGAGGTCGGTAGCTCTGACCGTTTCCGCCTCTGGACACAAGGGAAGAACGATGGAAGAGGGTTGGTGGAGAACGAGACAGGCTGGCCTCAACGATTTTTAAAGAATTGGGATCGAGGTGATAACACTTTCAGAATGGGTGAGGCGCCATGTCGCGAGGCTGGAACCGGGGGGGGGAATTCAGCAATGTGGTCCAGAGAGCTGTCCACAATCCCACAATCCGAAGTTGTCCGAAAAGGCCACCAAGCAGTTCCCCCTCATGACCTTGCACGTGCCTCTGGTTCATAGAGCGGTGTAATTACGTAACCGGTACAGAGTTGAGGACCCCTCCAGAGAGTCCCACTGCTGCGCCCTGTAACCTCCTATTTTTCGCAGCCTGTCGCCGCCTTCTTTGTGATCGCGACTCGCCAATTTGCATTGTCCATTTTCACCTCCATTCTTTTCGTCCCTCGTTTCTCTGGCATTATCGTCCGCTACGCCTTGCCTGGATGCGCTTTGCACAGCTGGACGACTACTTTACCGTCTTCCATATCTACCGGATCGTTGCCAAGACAGGCCATCTATTCAATACCACCATACCTATTGGGGCGTAGCAGACCAACCTGCTTGTACAGCAAGAATGGCCTGGGGCAGATCGAAGCCGGAACAGCCACCGTCCACATTGAGGTGAGGAGATACTATCCCGATGCCCCTATCCCTCCAAACATGCGGCTAATCCCGCAATCCCCTCGCTGCCAGACAGCTCCTGCCGCTGATCATCACCCTGATCTTCGTCGGCATCGCAGCGTGGATCGGGTACCAGATCTACGTTTCCGTAAACAAGATCCGAGCGAAGGCCAGCGAGCGGATGAGCAACAATAACGTCGTCTTCACGAAGGACGGCATGCGCGTGAAGGTCAAGCAGATCAAGAACGAGAGCTACGTCGACGCGACCCAGAGCTGGGTGGTCAAGGCCTGGAACCTGGGCAGCGAGAAGGCGCCCAACAAGAAGTATGCACACCCCCATGACACAGCAGCAGCGCCGATGGCGCGTGGGTTTTGCTAACGCAGGCTGGATTGGAACAGACAATAAGAACTGAAACCTGCGCTGGCCCCTGTACGCCGGGCTTAACGAAAACGGTTTGCGACGTGGAATAATGATGTAATTTCAATATACCCTGGCTGGATGAAGCCTTCCTCGCAGAGGCAGGATCGGGCCCAAGGCTCCATGGAGTTCATGACTTATCTTTTGTCCCTGTTATGCACGCATCTCAGCCGTGACATCATCCCGAGGTGACGCTGATATGAGATGGTGAGGGAATAGAGACGGCGCAGTTATTGCCGTCCCGGTGTATCATAGCTACGTGCAAATTGTTTTGACGTCCAAAAGAGTAGCTTTCGATTGTTGATATATGCTATAAATAGGCCGGACAAGTCTCTGGTTGTCCTTGTAGCTACTATCCCCTTCCCCTGCCACTTGGTAGGCCCATCTTCAAGTTCTTCGGACATACAAGTTGGAGCGGCCATAGCCAAAACCAAGCTCCCCGTTGTGATCCATTTATATGGGGTGTTGAGCCGCACCGACTGACGAGAATTATCAGTCACGATTCGAAAGCGTATCGTGCAGAGCAAGGCGGTCAGAACACAGGCCGATTGCCCTTCCTCTTCCAGTAACTCCATGACGCCTACCAGCTTCCGCGATAAATGAGACGGCCCAGCGTAGAAATGAGATAGTCCCGAAGCCCCGGCACGAAACCCGGTATAGAATTCACAAACCCACCCAAAACAACAACGTCGCATGACACTATCGTATATGGATGGCGGACATTCCGGCGGGGGATTCATCCCCTCGGGGTAGTTCGAGGGGGAAATAGGAACCACCATAGCGACGAGCTATTTCCCGTCGACATGCGACGGCCGGCCCTCCCCCGTCTTGACCCCCGTAGCGGCCTAACTCGGAGAGACCGTTCAGCGACTTTCACACAAAATCCACTGCGGTCCGCGCTCATTCTTGCCCGGGATGCTCTTCCTTCATCCGCTGCGCCTGCTGCTGCCATCGTTGCGCCATCTCGTACATGCCGATCGGTAGGTTGAGCTTCAAGGATGATGGCAATGATGGCGATGATGGCGATGATGATGACGGCTTTTCCGCGTCGTCGCCGCCTAGCTTGAGATAGGGTTGTTGTTGTTGGTGTTGCTGTTGTTGTTGCTTCTGTTGTTGCTGCTGTTGTGCCGCGAACGCGTCGAGGCGGATCAGCATTGAGGGGATTCGGAGTTCGAGCTGGGGGGCGGGTGATTTTGTCAATACGGGTTAATTCGGGGTGTGGGTGCCCCACGATTGGGAACTGGCAATAGGGGTTGCAGAACGCACCTTTGTGAGGATGTGGGCGTATCTGAGACCGAGCTCGTCTCCGATATATCGGAGCCTGCCGGCCACCCACTGGCGCTGGGCATCTGTGATATAGTCTTGGCTCACGACGCACGCGAGTGGCCACGACAAGAAGTAACCGGGAAGGGCCTTGGTTGAGTCCTCCTCGCCGCACGCAAATCCTGAGAGCTCCATGCTCCTGAAAAGATGCTTCCTCTTGGTGTGCCAGCCTAGATGGTATGGCACGGAGGCGATGATGTCGGTGATCATATCCACACAGGTCTGCGAGGCCGTCGCATACTCGGGCGTCGTCCGGTAGTCGACGGGCGAGCAGACCCACGCCGCACAGCGGACCGTGAGGGATGCAAGGACGAGCCTCGTTGCGCGGGTCAGGTTCCAGACAGAGGCGATCCAGAAGTCATTGTAGACGTCGACGCGGCCGGGGAAAACCTCGGCCTTGCTATAGTCCCCGTTGGGGACGTGATCCTCCCAGCAGAGCGTCTTGTAATGCCACGGCTCCGGCACGGACCTCATCCAACCGACCGCTTCTTGATCGAGCAACTGTGCCCGGCGGATCATGGCTAGCACTAGATCCGTGTTCTCTGGTGTCCGCGCCAGGGTCGTCATAATCCGAGTAACCTCGGCACGCAATTCGCCCGTCTTGAGGTTGATGCGCTGGCAAGCGGTGGCCGATTCGTCCTTGACGGCATCGTTGAGCCACCAGTCAGCTCCCATACTGGGAGCCTTGGCAGCGCTGAGCGCGAGGACGGTCTAGAACAGAGTTAGCGACAGAAAGGGCGGCGCTACGGGGCAAAGAGTTCAAGGAGCATACCAGTTGGGTGCGGACGGCAACAAACAAGAGCAAGCCAGTCTTGGTCCGCAGCTGTTTTCGGCCCCGGGCCTTGGTTATCAGGATGGCACCTTCGATATGTGAGCCCCATGCGAAGTCGGCAGGCCGGCTAGCCGTAATGTTCTTCTCGAGAGATTAGCTCTCCTTCCTACCACCCAGATGAGTTGGCGCCGACCAGGGGGGGTTGACTAACCTCGAACATTCCCATCAAAAGGACGGCCGCTAGAGTCGCGTCGGACTTGGAAGCCTCTGGGTCTCTAAGAGCGATGTTCGTTGCGCTTATCGCCTTAATATATTCGTCATGTGCCCGCCCCGAGAAGTCGATCCTGGGCGAGCTGACTCGATTTCCTAACGACGCCAGGGCGCAGGCATTGAAGGCGTGTTGAATTTGACTGTCGGCCCGCTCAGTCTTCAGGAGCGGGACAAGGTAGTCCAAAAATCCCCGAGTACTGCCTTGGCGGGGAACGAGGACGAAGTTCGACACGAAGTGACACGAGGCGTGTGTCTCGGCAGGGATCTCGAGGGCCGGGATGATAGACAGGTCCAATGGGGACTTGACAGCGCCTTGGAATGTTGGTGAAAGACGACTGCTTGTGGGCGATCCAGACGGGGCGGACATCTGGTCCAGCCCGACCCCTTTTTCGGTGGCGATCTTCTTCCCTGCCTTTTTTGCTCTCCGCTCTGTAGCCTTGGTTTCGTTGCGTAGCAGCAGGTCGAACTCGTCCTTATAACCAGGACACTGGCGTCGTGACTTGGCACATTGGTTGCATGTAGGCTTCGTTTCGTCGCACTGCAATGACACCGACATCAGCAACGTTGCTCCTGCCAGCAGCAAGAGGAATGGGGGCTACCCGCCTTTATTCGCCGAGTCCTGCACATTTGGCAGCCCCTCGAGGGCTTTCCACAGTAGACCATGATGATGCTGAAGGATCCAGAGAGGGGACGTCGGCGGTCACTTGGTCGTTCACGATTTATCTACAGAGCCGATGCCGCGCTGAGTACTGTGAGGTAGGTAGGCATCTGCGCAAAGGTGGTAGAGATTCGATCGACTGTGACGGGAGTTTGGTCTTTCTCCATGAAGTGTAGTTTAGAATAGGCGTTTGGCACAGACACTTGACACGGTTAGTCCCGTCGATGGGGAAGCTCAGCCTGTGATCTGCTGGGATGTTTCTGGGGCCGCGGTGGCCCGTCACTCAGAAGTCCCCTGTGTTCAAGACTGGATTGGTTGATTGCACATCCTAGCATCTCTGGTTCCTGGGGGAGTGGAGCGCTGGTGGAGCTAGTGGCGACGCCAAACATATGAAGCGTCAGGCCCAGACCAGGCCAGAGCGATCGAAAGGGCGAGAGGACGAAAGGGGCGCCTGCCTTCCCCAATGCCAATGTTTCCATGCAACTTTACAAGAACATGTCGCTCTGCTGGTGCATGAGATGATGAGCGCCAAAAGTAGGTTAGCACCATTCTCACATCTGCAGGTCCGGTTGTTGGAGAGGGACCGTGTACGGATTACCAGGGTGGTGTGCCATTCGTGACATCCTGTGGATGCAGCACTCATAGGTTAAGGTACAATACCAATTACCTACTCCGCTGGGAAATCTGTAATTACTTGTCGTTCAGAAAGGGGCAGCCAAGGGGAAGTATTGGGAATTCACGTGCTCTGAGCCACGAACACTCAACCACACTCGACGCTGGCCTGTACAATGCAGGCAGGTATATAAGAATGAGGTGTAAGACGCGGGGCCCAGGACCGAGGCTCAGCTAAAAGGCTGTAAGGCTGGAGGTGATGTTTAGTTGATTAAAACAAAACATGTTGGATACAACGGTGATTCGTGGAACCGGATTTTTATAAACACTAAATCCATATGCCGTGGCGGGTCGGGTCCATATGAACGAGACGGGGAATATCCATCAAATTGGGTGCCACCATCGCCTAATCACATGACAGCACCAACACCACCTCCCTGGACAGAGCTAGAGGGAGGTTTCCGGCTGGCCATTGACGGAAGGAGACGGCCGATGCTCGTGTTGTGCCTGGCATTAGACCGGTGGTCTTCATGACAAACTAGTCACAACAGCCAGAGACCCAGAGGGTACAGTCTCGGGAATAACATTCACAATTCCATGCTACGCGGTCGATATCGTTAACTATGGTTGCTCGATTCAGGTGAGGCAAGCTCCCTCGGGGACGAAGTAAGCTACCTCTAGCATACAAGTACTGTACATACATGGCTAGGTAGAAGAATAGACGGAGAATAGACGGGCTCCGGCGACGCGGCCCCGAGTCTGCGGCTGCAAATAGAGGCCGTCACTTGGTCTCCCGCTTTGGCTCCGAGCGAGAAGGTGAAATGGAACCATCACCCCCACTCAGCCGCCTTCGTCGAACATGCCCGCCACGCCCTCCAAGTCGGGGCTCTTTCTATTAGCGTCACCACCACCACCACCGCTACCCGCGCCGCCGCCCGTCGCCGGCGGCGGCGCCGTCATGAACTCCTGGGCCATCTTGCTGCGGGGGATCCGCTTCGACCGCGCATCCGCACCGCCGGCGGCGCCCATGCCCTTGTTGAGCTTGCCCATCTCGGAGATGCTGACGCCCTTCAAGTCCTTCAGCAGGTCCAGCACCACGGCACGCTGTTGACGCGACTGGTGCTGACTCAGCTGCGACACGTAGCCAATGGTCTGATCCACGTCCTGCGGCTTTATGTCGGGCAGCGAGAGGAGAACGTCTCTCGGGGTGGGTGTGAGTGGGCAGTAGTGAACGAGGATGGCTGCAATGAGAGACCCGAGCTCCTTCTGCGACTCGACGAAGTAAGGGTCGTGCAAGGAAGTGATGCAGCCCTTGAGGACATCCGACGAGATGAATTCACGGATTGCACGCGAGGTCTCCTGCGGTATGGGGAAATTCCCCTGATCCGCATGGCCTTTGGCATGATCCCCGGTGTTGGAAAGCCCAGCCTCGAACTCCGGCACGATGGAGCGGAAGACCCGCAACACTACGCCGCAGCATCTGCCGTCATGCATGCGAATAGCATGCATGCAGAAGAGCAAAAGAGGCTCTACGATGGAGCTAAACATTAGGCAGAACCTTCGAAGAGTAGGATAGCTGGCATCCGAGCCCGAGCTCTGCTGTCCATTCGTTATCCCAGTGGGAGGAGGGTCTGGGGCATTTGGTCAGCTAAGAACACGGGGAACAACAACACGACACGCCCCCTTCCTTCCGACTTACTGGTGCGCGCTGGATCGAGGAAGTCGGCAACCATCACGACTGCTGTGTAGGTGAGCTGTCTGAGGATGCTCTCGGCCTTCATCTCCTCGGTTAACTCATCACCGGCGGCCTTGACACCCTCTTGTCGGCCGAGGTTATCCCATTCCGACGTGATCTTTGCATCCATCTGCTGGAAACATGCGGCGAGTATGGGCGGGAGGAAATGCTCCCGGAGCTCGACAGGGCAGTGGTCTACCAAGTACCGGACTAGGTTGAGGAGGTTGATGATCTGGTGCGAGGACAGGCAGAATGAGTCCGAGAACAAGGCGTGGGCCAGTGGGCCGGGCAGCTCGGCAAATCCGTAGAACTGAACATCCAGTCTGCTCATGCAGTAGATGATAGCATAGCACGTCTCCCTCACAAAGCGGACTGTTCCACGGATTGTCGACGCCAAGCCCTCGAGCGTGTTCTTCTTGTCAAGCACCCTGGCATAGAACTCGTCTTTGCTGCCCTCAGATATGCCAGCCTGCCAGAAACGATCTGTCAGGACCCTTCCAACTATGGACCGCATCTCAGCTGGGAGCAGATTCCAGTTGGCAGGATTGTGAGTCGCATGCGCGTGACTGCCCATTGAGAAGGATCGGTCAATGATTGTCCTGCATCACCGGAGAGTATTGGAACTACTTACCTCAAGAACTTGAGAAGCTCTGGCAATATCAAGGGGAACCCATCCTGCCAAAGGGCGCATGAAGCTTGATACGGAAGAGAGCTCTTCTCCAGCTTCTCCACAGAGTAGGTCAGGAAGGATTTGGTAGAGCGCAGGGGTAAGAGCTAGGCAACGTTAGACCTGTTATATAAATAAAATAAAACAGCGGAGCGTGTACGAACCGTTTGTCGCTCTTCAAGCTCCCTTTGCAATGCTAGACCCTCGGAATCAAGCTCCACGGAGCCCCAGTCGGGCTCCTGGACACGACAGCGCGCCAGGTAGTTCTGGGCCTTGTCCAACCCTATCAATTCGCAGAAGCCGCCGTAGGAGGTTAAAGCTTGCTTTAGGTTCTCGTTCTTCCACTGCGCCTTCACCGGTTCGACGAAAGCCTCGAGACGCTGGATGCGGGTGGCTTGGTCGATTCGTGTAGCTCGATGACTTGGAAATGCGTTAGAAAATCTGGACATGAGTCGGCACAGGAGGTGTCCGCCTTACATGATGATGAACAGAAAGCTCTGGTAGGCTATTTGTCGCTTCTCGTCTAGTGTCCCGGATGCAATCATCTCCTTGATCTTCGCTTCCAGTTGATCGTAGACGTCCTTCAATCACCTTGTCAGTTCCCTGTTCCTTATAATACCTAATCGAGAATGCAATTTGTTTACCAGAAGATGATCGGGCATCTTGGATGCCAGTCTTTGTAACTCGACCATGCTCTCTGACTGCAGGTCTTTGACGGCATCATTAAATAGCTTGTGCTCGGGCTGGGGAGCTGGCCAGGTCATTAGGATGTGTTCGAGAACCTTCAGCATGAAGCCGGCGTTCTTGTCCAGGGCAGACGTAGAGAAGGCTACGAGCAACTGGAGAATCCGTTTCCTAATCAGGGGGTCCTAAAGGACACACATTAGCGTCTATCGCGGGTAGCAGATAGCGACCTCTCCCATCTTCCTTACCTCAACCTTCATGTCCAATAACCGGTTGCACCACCCTTCGAAATCCGCCTCCAAAGCTGCGCCTTTCTGCTCCTATTCCCAGCGTTCAGATCGAGAATCATTGACCCAGGCGGGAAGCGTTGATCTTACCTCCTCGGGTGATTGGCGTCGAGCTGACCTCCATTTAACGTAACCCTTCAGCGCCGACTCCACGACGGTGAAGTGGGCATCAACTTTCAGCACAGACATGGAGTTCTTGGAGTATTTGGTCACTTGAGGATGGATTAGCTTGGGGGCATTTACTAGGCGGGCGTGGGCAGCATGCTTACCATCCAGCGGCGGTTGGCCGTCGTACAGGGTGCCGAGGACGTTCTCGGCCTGGGTGAGGATATGGTAGAATGCATCGGCCAGCTTTAGTTGCACGATGCTCTCGATAACTTGGGAGCTGTATCGGCGATAGTTGCCTAAGAAAGCATGACGTTCAGGGACCGTGTCTGTATCCTCCATTAGGAGAAGGTAGGTTGGGTCCTCAGTGTCTTCCGGGAGGCTCTCGTAACGTATCAGCCTCGAGCTACAGACTTCTAAGAGATTCCCGATAAGATGGGGATTGTCCACCAAGCCGCTGATAAGGTTATTGCGAAGAATTCGGGTCCAAGTCACCAGGACAGGAATGGAGACAACGAGGCTCTGGCTTTGGACTACCAACAGCAGAAGCTGCAAGAAATCCTGAACGTTTGCGCCCTCAGGCAGCGCGTGGAACTTTCTGTCGAGGTAGTTGCCGAGGCAGGATATCATCTTCAGCGCAACAACAATCAGTAGTGCACCCTTTTTCTAAGTACCATTCAGGGGGACTTACCTCTGAGAATTTCTTGGCAAACTGGTATTTGTCGTCGTCGATATCCTGGGCATCCACCGTCGACCACTCGAAAAGCCTCCCGCAGAGATTGACAGACTTAGGGTCGTACATGGGCAGAACAAGGTCGAGGAATTCTTGGTCGGTGAAGTTGGTTCGTGAAAATAGGGCATGGAGTGCTTCCAGGGCAGCCTTGCTTCTGTTAATAGGGGGTTTGGGGTTGGGAGCCTCCAGAGCTGAGATAGTCATGGCAACTCACCTTCTGAACGGACACTTGAGGCGCCGCCAGTGCATTGCACATGTGGTGAACACACTGCGTAGCACTCAGGGCCTTGGGTATCGCCCACGGCATGAGAGAGTAGAAGACTGCCAGTGCCCTCACGGCACAGGCGCGGATGTCGTCGTTATTCTGTATGTCCTCCTTCAGGCAGTCCTCGAGGAGCTGGGCCACCCGGTGAAGCCAGCCCTCGTCCCCGGACCGGACCGCAGGACCGACTTGGCGGCTTGGGAAGGCTTCGACAAGGACAGCGGCGGGGGTGAAGATCTCAACACAGGCCTTGCTAAGGGCGCTCTCCCGCATTGCAACGACGGCGTCGTCGCCATTGAATACCTCGTCAGACAGGGTCTCGAGAATCTGTAGAACAAGCTCTTTATGGACGGGGGAATCAGGCACCTGCCACAACTGGACAAGCAGATCATCCATGTCCATCCACTCGGCAGCCCAACATCTCGCGGCCACCTCGACCCACAACTGGGAAACCTTGCTCCTCACGTACAGCGGGTCTTCCCTAGAAACGGCCCGGGAAAGCTGCAGTATCCAGCCCCGGAGGTATTCTGCTTGTTCTTGGCTGTACTCGGGCCATTTGTGCCTGACCGCATGCTCAAGGAGGGACAGGCCGTAGTGTCGCAGGATGGGCGAGTGTGATTTTTCGGAGGCGAGGGTGAAGCCATGCGATGGTGCTTCGGGGAGAGCTTTCACGTCTTCGAGGAATGCCTGGGCCTCCTGTCGGGACTGGTTTGTGGAGTAGGGGCTGTGTACGACGTTGAGAGCATCGTGGATCTTGCTGAGGATGGCGTCACCGCTAGTAGCCACTTGGGCGAGACCGCCGGCCGTACCAGCTCCGTTGAGGGAAGACATGGTGAGAAAGAGAGTGTTTCGAAATCTGCGTCACAGGACGAGCGATGAGGTTGGAAGAGTTATCCCCGCCACCCCGTATCTCAAAGATGATTCATATGCTAACGACGGACTAAGGATTCGGTATGACTGCTATCTCGGCTTTGTTGTTAGCAAAGAGAAGAGTGGTGGGCGACGTCAAAGACGAAAAATCTTTCTAACCTTCTTTGGGAAGCAAGTAGGCACAGGAAAAGGCCCGAAGATCCAGTCATATCCTAAGATATCTTGTTATGCGACACAATCCCACTGCCAGCGTTCTTCTCTTGGATCGTGAGCATGGTTCGTTCAATAAATTCGGTTCTTGAATATTTTGGGCGCGCTCAGGCGCGCTCGAGTTTAAGGCTTCGGGTAATCAGGTACTGTATGCATATAACGTTGCTTATTCAATTAAGCTGGTAGTCTGGTGGGTTAAGGTACCGGGCAGGCTGTGAGGCGGGGGTGGGGTCAGTGGGGTAGCCTCGATGCCCCCCTGAAACAGAGTGACGCAGCGATAGGAGTCCAGGACTCGAGTCCGTTCCTCAACATCAGAAACACACTACAGTGCATTCCCCTCTCTCTGGGCTACCTCACTTCGATTCGCAGCACGACAGACCTGGGTAGCTGAGCAATCTGCTAAGATGCAGCACTAATCGAGGTAGGTGGGTGCTGTGCTACCACCTAAGATGACTATTGTATGTACATACATAGGTACCTATTTACCTATCTCGGGAACTCGATCTGCCAAAGACATAGGAGCTTGTCGTAGAAGCTAGTCGACACGCAGACCAGCTCGCCGTGCGAGTCACCAGGCCGGAAATCACTTGCGTAGTTCATGCTCTTATGCTCCTCAAACCGTCCGAGGACTTCCACCTCGCAGGCCACGTTGCTCGATCCCCGGAGCTCGACGATTCTTGCCCCGGCATGCATGCAAGAAGCCAGGAGCCAGGCTCGCCATGTTGCCCCCGAATCCCCCTCTTGTACCCCGATTAGCCGCAGCCTCCACACTCCTCCGCCGAGGTTTGCTTCTGCCAGCAGCCTTGCCTTGCGGAGACCTCCTGCCTGATGGAGAGGAACGATTGAATACACCCTAACATGGTCATCGTAGCTTCCAGTGACTACCAGATCTGAGTCCTGCTCCCCAGCCGTAAGAGGCAGCGGAAGAATCGCAGTGACGCCTGCCTCGTGCCCTCGCACCGTCACTGGGGCAAACATAGTGAACACTTCGAGGGGATCGTTGTCGTCGTCGTCGGCACCACCTCTTATCTCGCAGGTGAGATACTGCAATGCTGAATCATCTCCTCCCGTAAACAGGGCAAATGGTGGAGAGTTGTTCAACTCCTGGCCATGGCTTGTCGAAACACTAGGATAAATAGCTACGCACCATGCCTCGAGGCTGTGGCTGATTATCGGCTCACCTGTGCTTTGGAAAGCCTTGCAATCCGAGCCAAGCCTGATAATGTGCGCGTTCCCTTGAGAGGTCGTGACAGCAATGACATCCTCGATAGACGGGTGCCACGCAAATGAGAGGAAGAGCACATCTTCCCCTATTCCCGGGAGTCTTATTGTGTTCAGAGCGAGAAGCCCGTTCGATGCAGTTGGCGGTCCCGAGAATCTGAAGACATCCAATGTTCCCGTGCTGGAGACGGCGCCACAGATGTCTTGCCTGCCCGGGAGATGCTGAAAGTGTAGATCTAGAACGGCGGACGGCTGCGGCTCTGTGTGTACGTGGACACTGGCATGTGAGATGTGTCGTCAAAGGAACGAAGAAGGTCTCGGCCATGATACATACATGATTTTGTCTTCCACTTTATATACGACGATGCTTCCGTTTCGCTTCTGAGCCTCCTTGGATGGGCCTTGGCTGCTCTCCTCTGCCTCTGTTGTATTGGCCTGGACCGACGTCTCGTCCTTTTGGAGATTGTATGTCCCGACGAGGAAATAGTCGGGAAATATTGGGCAAAACTCGAGACAGCTCGGAGGGAGGTCAAGCTTCAGGGAGAATAGGGGCGCAATGGGCTCACTTGAGCCAGCCATCCTACAGGCTACACGACTGGACCGCGGATTGAGTCGTGCTTGTGAGATGAATCGGCCTAGGCTCAGACTCAGCAAATGGTAACCATATATGCAATAGCTGGAGGGTTCTGGTTGTTCGGAATTTGTGCCGGGAGAGATCTCGTCATGTTGCAGGATTTTGTCTTGGTATATGTGAGAAAAAGAAGCAATCGTAAGAAGTGGTGTGGTTACCTAATCATCGTTGCCAGTCATGGAACATTTGACCTCAACACACATGCCCTGACAAGGTGCCGACCGGCATAGAAACTGCCTGACACTGGACCTGGCATCCATATCATGTCATAGGTACCTGAGATCTTGACTATCCCCAAATGCGGTGTGACGGAAAGCCATGCACTTATGTGGGGTTGAGACACTTCAGTTTTCAGCAATATCTTTTGAGGTGAGAGATGAGAGATTAGAGATGAATAGAGCCATCATTTTGCTTTGTACAAAGGCGTCCCCCGTCTGAGTTGGAAACTACGAATACTCTCTTAAAATGCTCTCTACTTGACATCTGTCAGCTTCATCGTCCGCACGCTACCTGGGAGAGTCTTTTTTTTTATTGCCTGGTCACGCACTTAATCTTCATCCTTACCGTCCCAGGAAGAATGAGTGCTGGGGATTCGGATTCTGACTTTTACGGTCTCTCCTGCCTCCCCAAGATGTTTATGATGAGCCAGGATTGACAGTATCTAGGCGATGCCGAGACGGTCTCGGCTCTACAGTCCCGAGTCGACTCGTTCGACGTGGAGGGTTGGTCGCGAGATCGGGCAGATCTGAGCATACCCATTCCCCAGCAGCAGGTCAAAACAGAACCTGGCACGGCACAGTTGCACAACCCATACGCTGGACTTCATTATGCCAGGCAACTGGGCGAGACGGTGGACGAGTTCCTGACCCGTCTGCCTCCAGCCACAACCGATGCAACCCCTGACCTGGAGTGGATCTACATCTACAATCCCCATATCCCACGCAAGGACAATCAGTCCCCCGAGAGCCAACTGGTTCGTGGATGCGAGAACGAAGGCCCGCTTGGCCCTCAGACACGACTGGGCACCTTCATGGAGGGAGGCACCGCGCGGCTACACCTTCTTCGCGACTTCATCGAGAAGAGCAACGCAAGTGGCAGGGCCAAGACGGTGATCGGCCGGGAGATTGACCGGGCTCGGGGCGAGGCCGTCAGGGACATCCTGGCCTTGGCGCACATGAGCCATGTCCGATGTGGCAAGTGGATGCTCTTCCCAGAACCCGCGGACGTCACCGAAGTCTGGAGAGCTGTCGCTCGCGCCACAGCTGACGGTGAGCTGGGCATCGCAGCCAAGGTGGCCCCGCGAGCCAAGGAGGGTCCTGACAAGGCGAGGCTTATCTGCATCTATACCAAGGACTTCATAGATAAGGACGACCTCCTCCGGGTTCTCATCCGGATGAAGGACCTTGGCCTCGTGAAGCCAGCCGGCCGGCCCATCTACTACAAGTGTGGTAAGTGTTCCATCCAGACCAGGACCGTCTCATGCCTAGGTAGCTAGCTGATGACAAAGACGCCTATACGTATCTCGGTATTGGTTCGGGGAACGTCTGGACCATCAAAGCATCCTTGGTAAGGCGACTCCTCCTCTGGGTCGAGAAGTCGACTAACGCAGGCTAGTATTCCTCCACAGACATTATCGCACACGGCAAAGGTGTTGACAAAGGCTGATGATGACGAGGTCCCCCCTTAGAGACCAAGTTCAGAGATTGGTGTGCTAGTTACGTTTTGATATATGCCCCGTGCCAGTCTCGGAGGCTTTGGCTCGCCGAGCGCCCCCTGTGGCCTTGAGCATTTAGACGACGTTTGCAGCGGGAGAGGGAATGGGGAAGGAAACTAGAGATGATGAACTCTCTCTCAATTGTGGGGTTTCTCCCGTCATGGGTGGTTGGATTCTGGGGATATCGAGGAAGGGCCGGCTACCGCTGCTTTCTCTCCTTCCCCTGAAGCCCCCAGGCGTAATGACGAGCTGTCTATTCACCGCCCATGTAACCATCTACCTAAAACGCCGAATATGCAGCCCAATTCTATGCTCCGACCCTACAATAATCCACTTCGTGCCAGGTAATACAGCCAACCCACTAATGCCCGATCGTCTCTGGCGTCCTTCACTGCTCTGTGTGTTATGATGAACCATTGGTGTAACAGTAATTCTAACGAGGTCTCGTGTAGCGGCCCAATCGCCACTCACGGTGAAGGGGATCGTTGTCGTAAAGCACGGTGTAATAGCATATACTCGTTGGGAGATAGAGGCCGGATTGGTTGGTATCACTCGTGAGAAGATCAGGCTGCCCTTGGGGAGTCTGTGATCGGTACGGGCGAGCCTTTGCCAGACTGTGACTGAGTAAGCGACTGGCCTGGCAATCTGTCGGCATGGTCGAGTGCAAAATCCGTGGCTGCATCTGCGTCAAGAGACTTGAGCAACAACACAAGCCGATAGGCGCTGTTGCCATTCAGGTAATAGCGGTGCAACTTCTTAGACCGCAAAAACCCCAGCCTCTCATACAGCCGCATGGCTGGGATGTTGGTCTCCTCCGTCTCCAGGACGATCTCGTCGGCGCTGCGCTGAGCCATGGCTTCGATGGCCTGCTTGACGAGTGCGGTTGCGATGCCGTGGCCGCGGTACTGAGACGAGACGGCAAGCATGGCAATGTATCCACGCAGCGTCTGGGGCGAGTGGGACGCGTGTGTCTCCAGCTTGCAGATGATGACGCCCACGAGGGAGGAATCGACGGGGTTCAGAGCCTGCGGTAGGGCGGCAGCGTCAGTATGGCCGAGCTTGGTGCCGTGCCCGTAGGAAGAAGATGGGAAGAGTCGGGAGGGTCAAGGTACCATAAAACATAGGTGGCCCCATTGGTATAAGAAGTACCGGTAGACGTATATGCTGTACGGCTCGCTGAGATCCTTGGAGATCAGGGCCCGAATGGCGGGGAGATACTGCTCCTCCAGCTTGTGCTCATACTGGATGTATCTCAGCTCGCCAGGGAGCTCCGTCAGACGAGGAGCCTCCATTTCGTTAAGCTCGGAATCCGTCGGTATCAGCTTGGCCGATTCATCCCGTGGGGGGGCGCATCAGAGCAGAGCGTCTTGGGATGGAAACGAAGAGTCGCCCCGCACGAGAGAACGGACGAGGGGGAAAACCTTGAAAACCCCAAAGAGTTCACGAGAGGTTACGTGGGTATCTAATGTAGGCAATGGCGGCGGGTGTTGGAGAGACACCTGAGTCAGGAAAAAAAGAAACAAGCCACACTTTTAAGTTCGCCTTAAAATAGGTAAGACGGAACGTGATCTGGGACGGATGTGGGATGACGAGTTGACTTTCACATGCAAGGAACGACGTCAATCAATGAGGGGAATAATTATGCCTCGTAATTCGATTAACAGCTTTAGTGACAGGCTTCGGAACCCCTGGTCCCTCGGAAATATATACAAAGTTTAGCACCGCCATTTCGTCTATGTACCTACCTATCTATGTAAGGTACTGTATCACTCTATTTCATTACCACGAGCATTCGTTTCGTTTCACGGGATCTCATATACACCTAGGGAGGTAATTTGGTTGTCGAACCGGATCATTCCAGGCTAGGAATCGCAAACTTGTACCTCCCTAAGTAAATATATTCCCCAAGCTTGAGCCAAGCAACCGCCAATCCTTATAACAGCATCACGGGTCAAGTTGGCGACAATTTTGTCGCACTGGCAGGCCGAGCGATGTCGTCGCCCGGCGTTGGTGCAGGAGCAGCAGCCGGCCTCCCAGGCATGGCCACAACGCTCCGTCGTCGCGTGATTGGAACTGACACGCCGTCCGAGACTCCAACCCCGACTCCGACTCCGACACCACGCGAGACAAGTCCAGGGAAGACGGACAAGAAGAAGATCGAGGTCGCCCACCGCAGGCACAAGTCGCGTAAGAGGAGGAATACTGCAATTTTCCTGTTGGGGAGTCTGTTCGGCATCATCGCGGCCGGATTCTTTGCCAAAAGCAATGATCTGATCGACTTCCCCGGGATTGGGGAGCTGAGCATGGACAGCTTGTTCGACGTGCTTCCCGCCGGCCTCGTCAAGGACATAGGCGATCTGATGGCGAGTGGCTCCCGTGACAGCCCGTTTGCGTTCTCTCCCTCTCTCCCTCTCTTTGCTGACTCCTCTTCTCTGCCTCTAGAAGGGAGAGCGCGACTTCATCGAAAGCTACGACGCCTTCTCGGTCGGGCTCAAGGCCAAGTCCGAAGGCCTGTCGGCCGATCATCCCATCGTCATGATCCCGGGGGTCATATCGACGGGTCTCGAGTCGTGGGGTACGTCTAACGCCTCCCTCCCATACTTCCGGAAGCGGCTATGGGGCAGCTGGAGCATGATGAGGGCCCTCGTGATGGAGAAGGAGGTCTGGAAACAGCATATCATGCTCGACAAGCAGACCGGGCTGGATCCGCCGGGCATCAAGCTGAGAGCTGCCCAGGGCTTCGATGCCACCGACTTCTTCATCACTGGCTACTGGATCTGGAACAAGATCATCGAGAACTTGGCCTCGCTTGGCTACGATCCGACAAGCTCATTCACAGCAGCATACGACTGGCGGCTGTCGTATCCCAATCTGGAAGTGCGTGACCAGTACTTTACAAGGCTCATGTCGCACATCGAGATGGCTGTTGCCCTTTCCAACAGGAAGGTTGTCATCGTCTCGCACAGCATGGGCAGTCAGGTCCTGTTTTACTTTTTCCACTGGGTTGCGTCAGAAAAGGGGGGCCGCGGAGGAGACGATTGGGTCGAGCGCCACGTCGATTCCTGGATCAATGTCAGCGGGTGCATGCTCGGCGCCGTGAAAGACATCACGGCCATGCTCTCTGGAGAGATGCGAGACACCGCCCAGCTGAACGCCTTCGCCGTCTACGGCCTCGAGAAGTTCCTGAGCAAGGAGGAGAGGGGCGAGATCTTCCGCGCCATGCCTGGCATGTCGTCCATGCTACCGATCGGTGGCAATGCCGTTTGGGGTAATCTGACCTGGGCACCCGATGATCAGCCTGGCCAGGAGGAGTCATTCGGCTCCCTCCTCAATTTCCGCACAGGTGCCAACTGGACTACTCCGGATAGGAACTTCACCGTGGACGACGCGATGGAATACTTGTTCAACACGACTGAGGATTGGTATCAGAAACAGGTGAAGGGCAGCTACTCCCAGGGTGTCGCCCATACGAGCGCCGAGGTCAACGCGAACGAGAACGACTCGCGTAAATGGGTCAACCCGCTAGAGACACGTCTGCCGCTGGCGCCGAGTCTGAAGGTCTACTGCTTCTACGGCGTGGGCAAACCGACCGAGAGGGCGTACTATTACCGAGCGCCAGACATACCACAAGCAACCAACCTCAACATCACGATCGACACGGGCCTGACCCAGGGACGTATCGACCACGGCGTCATCCTAGGCGAGGGGGACGGAACGGTCAACCTGATCAGCACCGGCTACATGTGCAACAAAGGCTGGAAGATGAAGAGGTACAACCCCGCCGGCGTGAAGGTGACGGTCGTCGAGATGCCGCACGAGCCCGAGAGGTTCAACCCGAGGGGCGGACCCAAAACGGCCGACCACGTCGACATTCTTGGGAGGCAGAACCTGAACGAGCTCATCCTCAGGATTGCTGCCGGCAAGGGCGACGATATTGACGACTACGTTGTAAGCCGAATCCGAGAGTATTCGGAGAGAGTCGAGATATACGAAGAAGACGGCGATTGAAGGCAGAGTCACGTGGGTATGTAAATTGTTTTCTTAATAGCAGGTCCTGGGTCGGCAGCTTCTTTTTAGGTTGTTTTTCGGTGAGCACGGTGTTCAGGTCGATGATCATTGTTTGTAGACTACAACTGCCTCAGGTAAGGTACCTTCCATCTTGTGGCGTATGTCGGGGATGCATAAATCAGGTCATGGAAGATACCTAGGTACCTCAATGATGTCAGTCAACCAGTATATACCTGTACCATTAAGATAAGAGGTAAGCGTAGGCAGATTCCATGATAAGTGCTTGGAATTAAATGCTAGTGGGTCCACGCTGGAGATGATCAAAGTGGCCAGTGTCTCAGCTTTGCCGGCCCGCCAAGAAGGGCGCATCACATCAAAGGCTACCTAGATAGGTAGACATTCGCATCCTGCAACTGACTCTGGATATTGACAAAACAGTTGTTGCAGTATTAGTCGTCAGCTACGGATCTTATCTCCCTTCTTCTTTATCCATACCAATCGCAACCACAGGTGTCTCCAACCTCATGCCAGACCTTTGTGGACGAGCCGAGCCTTGCGATGCCAATTCCCCCACCAAAGTCGGGCTTGTCCGTTTGAAAAATGGCGGACCAGGATATCACTTCGGCTGTCGAGACCGAACAGCAATTCTGGGATGGTCAGTCTGGCTTGCTATCAACCCACTAGCGCTATCGCTAACACGTGTGTATGTTCAGAGCTGGACGAGACCGTCTCAACGCCATGCAGCACCCACGAGCTGATCGACGATGCGCTCCGCGCCTGGCTGCAGCTGGTCGCGGGCTGCAGAGACCAGTACCTCCACTGCGAAGACGACATTGCGGGCTGTTCTCAAAGACTGCTGGACAGCCGTATATTTCTCCAGAACACCGAGTACGTTCGCACGCAGATCATCTACAGCCTGCTGCAGGAGGACGAGTACGCCCCCCTCCATATCATTGCCAACTTCCTCCTCCTCGACGGCCGCTCCGATGAGGCCATATTCCGCCGCATGATAGACGCCGGCTGTTTCCCCCGGTTGCTGGATCTTGTCAAGGACTGTCGAGATGAAGACCGTCGCCTCCATCGCCTGTTGCTCGAGCTGATGTACGAAATGTCTCGAATCGAGCATTTGCGCCCCGAGGACTTGATACAGGTCGACGACAACTTTGTCATCTATCTATTCCAGCTTATCGAGTCCTTGTCCGACGATGTGAACGACCCATATCACTACCCCGTCATCCGAGTTTTGGTAGGTCTCCCACCGTCCTAAGTATAAAGTATTGGCCAGGAGGCTAATGTTTCTTGCATAGCTAGTGTTGAATGAGCAGTATATGGTCGCCTCGACTACGGCAGCCGTAGATCCCGGTTCGCCGATGGCACCCCTGACGAACCGTATCATCAAGATGCTAGGCCTTCATGGGCCAATATTTAGGACTTTTGGGGAGAACATCATCCTTCTCCTGAATCGAGAGGTGGAGACGTCCCTGCAACTGCTAATCCTCAAGCTCCTTTACCTGCTGTTCACTACGAAGTCGACGTATGAGTATTTCTACACCAACGACTTGCGAGTCCTCCTCGACGTGATAATCCGCAACCTCCTCGATCTGCCCAACGAGCTGAGCTCGCTCAGGCACACGTATCTACGGGTCATGTCGCCCCTCCTGTCCCATACGCAGCTGAGCCAACCGCCACACTACAAGCGGGAGGAAATCTTGAAAGTCCTCGGAATCCTCGGCGGGTCTGGAAGCGCACATTTCGCGCCAGCCGATGAGACGACACTACGCCTGGTTGATCGGGTCACCAAGGTCCCGTGGCTTGCCGAGAACGCCGGCTCCGGGGAGGACGAGATCGCGAACAAGTTCCTAGGGATCAGCCTCTCGCATGCACAGGCCGCCAGCAACGTCAGTGTCGTGGATGTGGCCGCCGTGACCGAGAAGCCCGGAGTGAAGACTCCCAGCCGAAGAATCGAGTTCCCGCGGGAAGTCAAGGAGCTTGTGAGCACTGCCCATGAGACGGCGAATAGGGCCGAGAAACAGGCGAGACCCAAGAAGGCCCTGCCTGCGGTACCAAAGCACCGCCATGGCGCCCCAATGGTTCAGCAGACGGCGACGATACACGTCAACAGCAATGGGCCGAAGAAGCTGCCACCCAAGGCACCACCCCCGCGGCGGAGAGCGAAGGTCAAGGCGGTGGCATCGAGCACGGAGAGCGTGGCGGTGCCCGAGGCGCTGCATCCGGTTTCATAGGTTGAAATCAGCCAACACCTACTGGGAAGGGGTCGGCCCAGGATCTGAATTGCTGGGTCAGTGAATGCCCCTTGTTTCCTACAGGTGCATGCACCTCGGTGACGGGGATTGCAATATCTTTTTATATGTCTTTTCACACAAGGAAGCTGGAGTTGGGACGGGCCACCACGCGCATAGCACGGCGTTGAAGGTTTCACTGTATTGTTGGCGAATCCGGCGTCGGTCTATTTTGAAGCGCGCTTGCACTTTGCTTTGTCTGTGTGGCGCCTGATTCTTCAAACGTGGGGGACGGTAATGTGCATATGTAGGTACAGAGAATGATGATCTCGCTTTCGCTTCGCATCCAATCTTTCCACTGCAGTTTGTAGCTTGTTAGAGGGGTGGTCATGTCATCAGCCTAGTCGAGCTTTCGCTCAAGACGACGGGTCGGCAGAGGCATCTACGTCAATGTGCCGCGAAACTTGATGTGGGATTTAAGATGGAGTCGTAGCGTATACTTATTGACTGGGTCTAAGGGGCCTAAAATGTAGTTGGATTTGCTAGCTGGGTCACTGCCTAGTCATTACCTCCACACGGAGCTTACAGCGATCAAACGATCCTTACTACATAGTACTGTCGGTATACCCGGATTACTGTACGGATACATATTGTGATTGGGTCTGGGTGAGTCCGCGACGGGATCTAGGAATCTGGAGAGGTGGGCGCAGAACGACGTCATAGCGTCGCTACTTGACTAGGTACGCGGTAGGTATCTTCCTACCCACATAAAGCAGCATGATGATTGAGCAGAGCTGAATTGCTGGAAGAGAATGGGATTAATACTACAGGCTCGACGCTCGCCAAGAGAGATTGAAATGCCAAGTTTATAGGAGGAACTAAGCAAATTACGTTCATCCAGGTCTCCTCCAGATGCGCATAAATAGGTACCTACCTACCTGAACCGAAGTAGCCGAGAGTAGGTGCGCCCCTTTTTCAATCGACGCGCCTCGTTTACATTCCCAGTTCACACCTGCTCTCCTCTCAACACCCCATCTAACCGGAACTGTCGAGAAACCAGTCCAGTACCTAGCTACTGACCCGACTGAGCGACTAAACCATCGATTGTGTGCGCAGTGATCTCGCTCTTGAAGGGTACCTCATTTAGTAAAACCTGAGGAAGCCCAAGTGGGGCCCACTCAGAACCGAACATCGCTTGGCTGATGCCATTGCGTCAGCGTCTCGACACCCGATCATGACGACCCCAATCGATGCCCCCGTGTCCAGAACACCTAGTCAATCGGGGAGGAGCTATATCCACCAGCAGCCACCCACGCATGTATCACCTTTACCATCGCCATCGCACTCCAACCGCCACTCCCAGAACCCGTCTTACCCAACTGCCACCCCCGCAGACGAGACGCTCTCAAATACTCTAGCGAACTCAGCCGCTCATCCCGCATCACACCGAGACCCGTACGCTACTCCGCTCGCCGCTCCCGTCGCGACTCGCCCGGCGAAGTTCACCGAAGAGTGGGACGCCAGTCGGCGAGGAAGCTCGATCGTGGATGGACACCTAAATTCTGTCCCCCCAAGCACCACCATGCAGCGCTCTAGCTCTGTCTCCGGGTCGATTGGCCCGGCCGACGGGAGTCACATAGCCACGGCCCTCTCGCGCGGGAACACGCTGAAGAAGAAGCCATCCCTCAGGAGAGGTGGGAGCCTGAAGCGCAGCAGCAGCCGAAGGAGCATGAAGGCCGGAAGCGTCCGGAGTCTGGCACTGCAGTCCAGCACCGATGAGCAAGAGCTGCATAGTGCATTCTATTGCCCCGTCCCTACCGCAGGGAATCCCACGGAAGCTCTCGCGGCCAGATTTCAGGGTGAGTCGTCGCCGTCATCTCCCTCACTTGCCTCTCCCTCTCCCAATCTCCCCAAATTCCTGGCCTCTTAAAAAAAAGAATGTCGTTGCTGACTGAAACAATTATTCTCAGCGTGGCGCAAGATTCTCAAGGACCTCATCTCCTACTTTAGGGAGGTGCAGTCGCATTACGAGCACCGGGTCAAGTCGCTCCAGAAATTGGGCAACGTGCTGAATAGCACGGCGATGCCGCCGGGGTTCCTGGGGTCCGGAGGTCTTGACGATGCCCTGCAGATACTTATGAGCAACAACAAACAAGCAGTCGTCGAGTCGATCAAGGCGAAGGAGATCGAGGAGGACGTTATATTGGCGCTTACAGGCCTACGGAGTGATCTTCGCCAAAAGATCAAGGAGATCAAGAATCTCTCCGGCGACTTCAAGAACTCTGTGGATAGAGAGATGGACGCTACGCGCAAAGCCGTCAACCAACTCCAGGAAGCACTTGGGCAGTCCGATATGGACCCCGCCCTGGTGACTGGCAAGCAGGACCCGTATCTCCTAAGACTGAGCGTGGATCGGCAGCTGGAGAAGCAGATTGACGAGGAGAACTATCTACATCAGGTATAGCCATCTCTCCATTGAGATTTCGCCCATGCACGATATATCGAGAAACCATCTGACAGGGGCGCTAGGCATATTTAAATCTCGAGAACTCGGGACGGGAGCTCGAGTCTATCGTTGTGGGCGAGATACAAAAGTCGTACAACGCCTACGCAGGTATCATGAAGCGTGAAGCCGATGTAGCCTACAATACGGTCGAAGAACTCCGGGTCGGACCCATTGCCATGCCCAAGGACCACGAGTGGGCAGCATTCGTTCAAGGCGAGGGCCAGCTGGTAGATCCCGAAGTTCCCATCCGGTCGACCGAGATAATCCACTATCCCGGACGCGACCACTTGGCCTGTCAGGAGGTCAGGGCAGGGCTGCTGGAGCGCAAGAGCAAATATCTGAAGAGCTACACTGCTGGATGGTGAGTGCCGACCCCATCATGCTCCCCCTGTTAAATCCGGCGGCGATTGCTGACTGCTCGATTCCTAGGTACGTTCTTTCACCGACTCACCTGCACGAGTTCAAGTCCGCGGACAAGACGCAAGCGCCAGTCATGTCACTTTACCTTCCCGAGCAGAAACTAGGATCGCACTCGGCCGAAGGCGGCGCCACGAACAAGTTCGTCCTAAAGGGCCGGCAGACGGGCGCCCTGCACCGCGGCCACACGTGGGTCTTCCGCGCCGAGAGCCATGACACGATGATGGCTTGGTACGAAGACATTAAGGCCCTCACCGAGAAGTCTCCCGAGGAACGCAGCAACTTCGTGCGGGTGCACTCGCGGAGCTTCAGCCGGTCGTCCCAACGGTCCTTCAGCAGCGACGGAGTCGTGGATGAGGATGATGACGAACCGTTCTCCGCCACCAATTTGGTCAACCAGGAGCCGAACAACGACGCGCAGCCAAGGCGTCCCGAACCAGGTGGGCGATTCCCATCTGATCTCCAGGTGAACGCGGAACGAGGCTTACAGGCTCCTCTATCACCGTCTAGTCTAAGCTCCGGATTCAACGAACACCAGGACCACGACACGGTTGCGGCGGCGGCTGCCTTGCCCGGGAGCGATATCGGGAACTCGGGTGCTCCTCCCGCGGATTCCCGATACGGATATGGGAGCACGGCCCGAACACCAATGGACCAGGCACCATCTCATGCAGCCATTGTTAGTCACCAAGCTCAAGAGGACGGCGTGAACCCTTACACCAGCGAGCCCGTTCAGCGTCGAGGCCCGACTAATTATACAATTGCTGCCGTTGGCCCACCATCCGACGGGGCTGGTGTTGGGGATGCTCGGGAGCTGAGCAATGGGAACCCGGGCTGGATCGAGAACACGCCATCTGAACCCCGAGATCATCTAGTTGCAGCTTCGTACGCCCCCCAGTCGAATGGTGGTCAGATTGCTCCACCAGAGGCGGCGGAGACTAGGACGGCCAACTACATAGTACCCCTTTCGGCTGGCCAGCATCAGGCCACGCCTCCGGGGGTGGAGTTGGAGGACAACCCGTACGCAGCTCGGGGGCGCAGCCCGGCAAACGTGGGCTTTGCAGCCGTCCCAGTTGTGGACAAGATGGATTTGGACAAGTCGGGATACGGGCAGCAGTCCAGCCAGACGCACCCGGCCAACTCGGGAGAGCAGCCCCTGTTCAGGCCAGAGCAGGCAGGTCAGCCAGAGGGGACAGCAGTCCGCAGCGACAGACCCCACATGCATATCCCTGGCGAGTATCCAAAGTCTGGGCCACCTGCCGGATAAGGACTGCTTCTCAGCCAAGTCTCTTGGTCTGCTTACGGTCGCAAGTTCCATCTGTCCGTTCTCCGATGCCAAAGTTACGTCGAAACTTATTTCCTTATCTCTTTTTGGGCCCGTCCCTTTCCGTACACGCGTGGGACATAGAGAGTTGGGGCGGTTTGGGGCGAGTTAGGGACCCCTGGTAGCCAACGGGAAACTCTAGGTTGGGCAAAGAATGAGCACATGTACGAATACTAGGGGTTTTCTTGAATGTATGCAATCTTTTTTTATTTATGAGCCGTCACCGCTTGTCAGGCCGTGCATGTACAATTTTGTTGAGCTTGCCTCTTGAATCTTCTAATGCTAGGAAGGTAGGAGCGTGATGTTGTGCCTCTCATTGGAAAGTCATTCTGCCAAGCACGTGCTTCTCCCCCTTCGGACCTTCACTGCATCCTTCGGCCAGGCCGGGTCATATTCGGGGATGAAGCCACGCCAACGGTGCCTTGCAGCTCGTCCGCACACGTTCTAATTCGGGAAGAGCTAATGTTGCGAAATGGTTCACCCCCTAACCCCATCCATCCCTTTTCAGGATCATCATCACCTTACCTACCTCTTTCCTTTCCAATGCTCAACCCTTCTCAACACACCACGCCATAGCTAAAGCACACAGCGCTGAAAACAAACAAATTCCAGGTCATTCAACTCTTAGCACTTTCCATGCGCTAATTCCTCCTCGGTACCTGGATGTGCTACTCGGTTGCCAACATACGGTTGCCACCAGCCCCGACTCGTGTTACCATCAAGGCATTGAGGGCTGCGAGAAACACGAAGTTCCGAAGACTCGTCGAAAATATGCACGCAGTCAAGTGGCTGTGAGAGTGAGCTGGGTGGGGTAGTCCGCCGAGGCGCTGCTGGTACGGACACGTAACGAAAAGTGGCATCACATTGAGGTGCGCCTCATTGGTATCTTGCTAGGGGGGGATCCAGCGAACCCCTGGTCTGTCCTTCCGCGCCCATCACCGATCCCTGCAGATACTCTCAACAATTGCCATCCGGCCGCTTGACTTTTTTGTAGGTATCCGGATAGCTTAAACAAGCTTATTATACAGCGTACGGGTTTTCAGCCGCACCTGTCCTCCCTGAGGGTCCCGGGCTTAGGAGAAGAGAGCCCCAAGGTCCGTCCGGTGGTTGAGCCGACGGCTGCGCTGATTATCACCAGGCTCCCGTCCACTCAGAGCAATGGTCTAGGCTGGACCCAAGACTGCGGTGATCAGGGCTGATGTATTGTGTTCTCCGCGGCGGGACGAATGGATCGCCGCTATTCCATCGGCCTTGCCCGAGTTCACAGCAGGCCGCAGGAGGGACGCCTACAACCCGACTACAGTCGTACCTTTCGATTCCTTCCATATGCTTCCAGGCCCTCCTTATCCTCTCTGTGATTCGACATCCCTTGGCAATTGTGCCACATGCTCCTACTTCTCACTCAGCCAGGCACTCTTGATTGTGGATCGCCCCCTTAATATCTATCTTTAACAATGCAGGACACCCGAGCCATCTTATGATATGGGGCCGGTCGTCATGTTCCCGCTCCAGTGGAACCTGTCAGCTCACTGCTTTTCTTCTTCTGTTCCCCATCACTCTCTACTCGTTTTTGTTTTAGTCCTGGTATTCTCGGCCCGGGATCTCCCAATGTTTTAAGCCATGCATCTCACTCGAGTGATCGGGTCACCTTGTCCCGAGGTAGTCTACTTCTGCTGCTGCTCCTCGATCTTGGTCCCCTTTCACCAACCTCGGCTGTAGTTCTCGACGGAACCACGGAGGCCAGCATCACTCACTGCGTCGGCCCGCTTGTCAGGTAGAGGTTGAGAGACGGCTCTTACCAGCGTCACTCGCAGGAACCCAAATAGCCAGCCTGTCAAGCAGCAGCCAAACATCAACAATGGAGAAACAACGTCCAGCTTCGGTCCTGCCTAGCAGCCCGGGCATGGTGTCCGACTTGCGAGTGGCAACCGAAGCGATGCAAAGGGCGGCGGACGCCATGGTCGCGGCCACGGAGTCGTTTCGGAGGGAAACCCAGACCCAAAATACCGTGATTCCGATAACAGTCGTCCACGGTGTTCCCACCCCAAGTGACAAGGCTCCCATGGCACAGCATTCTGAAGAATCATTGAGGGAATCCGGCAGAGACAGCCTGAGCCTGATGCCGTTCGCAACACCGGCAGGGAGCAGTGTCAGTATCGGTACGTCGGTGGACCGTCGGTCACTGAGCAGGCCGCGCACCGCAGGCTCCGGCAATCCAGGCCAGTCCTCCTCTTCCTCAAACCGTCCCCTGATCCCTGAACTCAGTTCGCCACCTCCACTGCCAGACTTCTTCCCCAGGCGACAAACCTACGAGCCGGTTCACACAGACGACAGCTATTTTGGAGCCCCCGTAAATCACAGCCCTCCGGCAGCCGAACCAGTGCAACACCTCTCCAGCATCCACACGCTGGACTGGCCGGTAACCACGGGCTCGACGCCGACTCTTACCCCCGCACCCGTTGTGCAGCCCGGCCCGGGGCACCAATGGCCGATACAGCCTTACCGGAATTGGACATCGCATGTCGATTTGGTCGAGGCAGCCGAGCGATACAAATCACACTCCAGCCCGCAGTCCGGGCTGGAAGGGAACCGGGATGAGTATGGAAACGAGAATTCGGTGCCCCTCAAGCTGCGACGAGCGCCCTTGCCCGGACGGGCCACGCCCGACTCTTCCCGCACCTCGTCTATTACTAGCAGAACCAACGGGGCCAACGGAATCCGTCCGCCGTTGGCGGGCGCGTCGGCGGCACCGGAAGGCTTCTCTCTGAGCCACGAGGTGTCCTTTGTGCTGGTCATCTGCCTGGCCCAAGTCCTCATGCTGGCGGGCATCGGCCAGGCCCTCGCCCCCGCCTCCATCATTGGGCAGACCTTCCCCGACACGACGCCCGGCTCGCTGGCGTGGTACTCGGCGGCGTACGGCCTGACGGCGGGCACCTTCGTCCTCCCGGCGGGGAGGTTCGGCGACCTCTTCGGGCACAAGAAGATCTTCATCCTCGGCTTCCTGTGGTTCGCGCTCTGGAGCGTCGTCGCCGGTTTCGCCGAGATGATCGAATTCGTGGGCGGCCACGGGACGGTCTTCTTCTGCTTCAGCAGAGCCATGCAGGGCATCGGCCCCGCCCTGCTCGTGCCGAACGGCCAGGCCATGCTCGGTAGGGCGTACCAGCCGGGCCCGCGCAAGAACCTGGTCATGTCGCTGTTCGGCGCCGCGGCGCCCCTCGGCTTCGTGGTCGGCGCCGTCATGTCCACCCTGTTCGCCATCAAGGCGTCGTGGCCCTGGGCCTTCTGGTCCCAGGGCGCCGTCTGCGTCGGGCTCGCAGCCGTGAGCGTGCTGGTGCTCCCGCCGACGCGGCAGACTAGGAAGAACGACAGGGAGAGCCTCTGGGTCCAGCTAGACGGCTACGGCATGGTCTTTGGCGTCTGCGGCCTCGTCCTGTTCAACTTCTCCTTCAACCAGGCTCCCATCGTGTCGTGGGCCTCCTCTTACACCTACTTCATCCTGATCATCAGCGTCATGCTGATCGCCGCCTTCGTGTACACCGAACTGGTGGCGCCGTATCCCCTCGTCCCCATCGCCGCCATGCACGCGCAAACCAACTTCGTGCTGGGCTGCACCGGTGCCGGGTGGGCCTGCTTCAGCATCTGGGTCTACTACAGCTTCTCGTTCCTCGAGAACCTAAGGGGATGGTCCCCATTGCTGGCCAGCGCTGCCTACTCACCGGGTCCGATCAGCGGTCTCATCGCGAGCCTGCTGACTGGGTATCTCATGAGCCGGATCAAGCCGCACTGGATCATGTTCGTATCGATGTGCGCCTTCTTCACCGGCAGCATCCTCATGGTGACGGCGCCGGTGGACCAGAACTACTGGTACAACACCTTCTTGAGCATATTGATCATGCCGTTCGGCATGGACATGTCCAACCCGGCGGCAACGATCCTACTGAGCAACATCGTGTCTAAGGAGCATCAGGGCATCGCCGCCAGCCTCGTGGTGACGGTGGTGAACTACTCCATCTCCATCGCGCTGGGCATCGCCGGCACCGTCGAGACCCACGTCAACGACGGCGGGCAAAACATCCACGCGGGTTATAGGGGCGCCCAGTACTTCGGCCTTGGACTGGGGGGCCTGGGCATCGTGTTGGCCGCCACTTTCCTGGTCCAGAGTTACATGAGGGCCTCATCATCCCTCAAGGCGTAATGAAGAAATGCATTATAAGTAATAACAGGCTGCGATTACGCATAAGCTCAGGGGTCAAGTGCATGGATGGCGTTTCGAGGTAATTGCACCGGCAGGGAAACACACAAGTTTCCTGTAATGTATCTTTTAGCATCTTTTGCATTTAAGAACAGCTACATGGCAAGCTAGCCCGGGAATTTGAGACAACCAGAAATATGAGTTCACTTAATGTCCAGAACGCCGTCATGTAGCCAGGCCATACCAACAGCCACCGTGAAATGGGGAAACACAAGAGAGAAAGAGGGAGAAGGGGGATGAAGACGGCGAGAGCATTAGCTCCCCCGGCTGAAGCCTCCCCGACCCCTCCCTCTTCCTCCGCCCCGATCGCCGCCCCGTGAGAAACCCCCAGAGCCACCCCGACCGCCGAAGCCTCCTCGGTCGCCGCCAAAGCCTCCTCCTCTCCCACCGCCAAAGCCGCCTCGGCCGCGCGGGGCGCCTCCCCTGCCGCCTCGCGGTGCGCCACGGCCACCCCTCGAAAACCCTCCGCCTCTGCCGCCAAAGGAGGGTCCGCCTCGGCCGGGCTTCTTCACCTTACTGACTGTGCCAGGGGGCGGTTTCGGCTTCGGCAGGAACCTTTGAAGGGGCAGGAGCTTCTCGCCCGAGATGTAGAATTTGTCGCCGAACTTGAACGACGTTGCCTGGATACCCTCGGAAGGCTTGATGGTGAAGTAGAGTTGGTTGATGGGTCCAAGAACTTCATCAATTTTGCCGATAGAAGTCTTCAGTGCGCCGTTAGTACAGTCCATTGCCCGACAGGGTCGAAAAAGGAGAAGGGGGGACGTAGAAGGCCGCCTACCTTGTTCTCCAGGTACATCGGCGCGTTGAAGTGAGGAACCGAAGGGTTTATGCTCTCGCACACCATCTCGCCTTCGCATGCATGTATGAATTTGCCCATCTCCAATACCGTTGCCGGCGGGCCCATGTCTCGCTGTTGATACCCTCCGCGGCCTGTCAAGTGGAGTTCGTCAGCCAAATGAATGCCTCAAAAAGAAGCAATTGAGACCACTTACCACCTCCCCGGCCGCCGAAGCCGCCTCCGCCAAAGCCACGGCCACGTGGCGCTCCCCGGAATGACATTTTGTGCTGTTCACTGCGAATTGTGGTGCGGCAGTGAAGGTTTGGACGTGGACACGAGCTTCTTGGCGGATTGAAAGCGTTGCCTCGAGATCGATTTTTTCGACTTCTTTTTTTTCCCTTCGTTCAATTCTGCCTCTGGAACGGAGATAGGATTATCCGCCAGCCCAAGCGCGGCCCCGCAGGTACCTAGGTACCTAGGTGACCTTAGAGTTCGACCTCCGCCGGCTATCAAGGCCAATTGGCCATATTGGCCATATCGATTGGCCATTGGTATGTATGTCATTTAGGTGAGGCTGAATTTCCGAAAGGACAGCTTTTCAATCTCGATGCCACCTTTCGCCTACATTCCTCCCCCAATACTCCCACGACAATCCTTCTTTCCAAGGTCGTTTTTGATCTGTTTGTTTTACCACTTACCTTCCTTTCCCTGGTATCTGTCGTTACAAGCCTACCTATCCCGACCAGCTCGTTCGTATCGGGCGTCTTTTCATCATGGTCCGGCTATCGACACTGGCATTCGCCGCCACCCTTCTCTCGGGGCAGTCCTTCGTGGCTGGCCTTGCCGAATCGGACATCCCATCTGATGCGCCTGTGTCTACACTTCTCGCCTCCGCGCAGGCCCATCTCTCGAGGGGCCAGACCAGCGATGCATTGCTTTACTACAATGCAGCCATCGCGCGAGACCCCAGCAACTACCTCACCTTCTTCAAGCGTGCCTCCACCTTCCTGTCCTTGGGCCGCACTTCGCAGGCGACCGACGACTTCAACAAGGTTCTGTCGCTGAAGCCCGGCTTCGAGGCCGCCCACGCCCAGCTGGGCAACCTCAAGGCACGGAGCGCCGACTGGGATGCGGCGAGGGAGCAGTACCTCCTGGCCAAGAAGACGCCGTCGGAGTACAAGGAGTTTGCGGAGCTCGAAGCAGCTGAAGGCGCTGCCAGTCTGGCTGAGTCGGCGGAGAAGAGCGAGGACTGGGAAGGGTGCGTCAGCAATGCCGATGCGGCGATCCAGGTCGCGAACCGCGCCCTCCGATTGAGGGAGATGCGCTCGCGGTGCCGCTTCGAGGCCGGCCAGATACAAGGGGGCGTCAGCGATTTGCTCCACGTCCTGCAGATGAACCCGGGTGACACATCTCCGCACGTCAAGATCGCGGCAATCTATTTCTACGCCATGGCGGACAGAGCAGAGGGCCTCGCGCAGATCCGCAAGTGCATGCATTCGGATCCCGAGTCCAAGGTCTGCAAGAAGGTGCTGAAGGAAATGAAGGCCACCGAAAAGACAATAAACAAGGCCGAGAAGGAACTTCGGGAACAACAGCCCCTCACCGCTTCCAGGAAATTGGTGCCACATAAAGACGAGAAAGGCTTGATCGTGGAGGTGAGGGCCCGGGTGCAGGCGTTCCTGGATGACGGGACAATTCCGAAGTCGGCCGGTAACGCCCTTGTCACCAAGCTCGTGGGAATGGCCTGTGAAGCATTTTACAACGTAAGTGACTGGACTGGGTTCATGCAAGAACCTCACATGGACGATGAATCTAACTAACGGTTTTACAGATGGACAGTAAAAAGGCCAAGGAGTATTGTGCCGAGTCGCTCGAACTGGATGAGAACTCGTTCTACGGCCTGTTGTATCAGGCCAAGTCGCAGCTCGAGGCAGAGGAATACGAAGCGAGCATCAACACGCTCAACAAGGCCGCTGAAGGCGCCGACCAGGAGAGGCAGCAGATCGTCAGGCCCCTATTACAAAAGGCCGAGTTGGAGCTGAAGCGCAGCAGGACGAAGGACTATTACAAAGTCCTGGGGGTTGCGCGGGACGCGGACGAGAGGCAGATCAAGTCGGCATATCGGAAACTGTCGAAGCAACATCATCCAGACAAGACTGGGAGGGCTGGTCCGACTGGGCCGACGAAGGAGGAGGCCGAAAAGAAAATGGCTGCCATTAACGAGGCGTACGAGGTCCTCAGCAACCCGGAATTACGAGAGCGCTTCGACCGTGGCGACGATCCTAATTCACAGGAGCAGCGGAATCCGTTCCAGGGCAGCCCATTCGGCGGCGGCCGACCGTTTATGTTCCAGCAAGGCAGCCCGCAGTTTCAGTACCAGTTTGGTGGCGGCTTCCATTTTTGAAGGCCATGGACCCAAGCCCCCTTCTACGTTTTTCCCTCCCTTTATTTCTTTATGGCATGTTAGGCGCACAAGAAGGAGTTACGGTGTTGAAGAGGAGCCTCCACTTCGGAGCTTACTCCGAGTGATGACAACCGGAGAAAGGCCGATAGCCGCGGGGCCTAATAAGATGAGGGTCGGCATTCGCTTTCATGTGCCTAGTTGTTTGCGCTCGCATTTCGCGCAGTGCTGGCGCGCAATATGCCGTCCAGTTTGCGGTGCATCAATCGACTTTAGGATACTAGAACCCTTGGGGTTGATATCATATGTGAGCATGACGACGGACTTTGACCACTGGTCGAGTTTGGGGCCGTGATGATTGCTTGCATGCTGCTAATTGCGATGGGGGCCAAACGAGCCATTCAGCTGTAAACGGCAAATCCCTTGCTGAACGCCGTGTAGCTTGGCGTAGTGATTGCCCCGTATTCGACCACATCATGCCGCTGTGAGGATACGCCACTACCAGGGTCCTTCTCTATCCAACACACATTCTACTGATCCTAACTGGATCAGGTGCCCATTCATCCCGTAAGACAGGACACAGCCCACCCAAGCTCCCTGGTCACTTCGATGTTTGCCTCGGATGGAAACGTGCAGATCGACACGGATAACTTGGTCTCCCTTCCCTCGTCTAAAGTTTCTTCTTCTGGTTGTATGCAGTTGGACAGACCTAGCATCGGGCGTATCAACACGCCCTTTCGCAGTACTCCCATCCTTTTTTTTTTTTTTTTTTTTTTACTAGGTCGAGCCTATCATTTCCAATGACCTGCACCCCGGTTGAACGGCGGCGTCCGGGATAAAGATCCAGTGCTTTACTCCTGCGAGTGCTGGCCCCTGTGGCTCGTCTAGTCTTCCTGTCAGAGGTCACATCGGACGCATCATGCCTGGTATATGTACCATGAGGGCACCAACGAAGGCGGTCAATCACCATGGCCAACCGAGCAAAGTTTCTTTTCATGTCAATAGAAGCCCGTTTACTTTTGGAAGGGGCAGTATTATTTTATATACACGGGCCTCGAGTTCGTCCATCGGGGGGTCCCTGGTAAAAAAAAAAAACGCAGTTTTCGTTTGACTCCGGAGCCGCAAATGAGATGCCAGGACGCCTCCGGCAGCATCTAACAGGAAAATGGCGCCGAGATGGTATGCGCAGCGTCTGACAGGATCAATCAGACATTCAGATAGTGGAGTTTCTTCTTTTGGTTCGACTTCGACTTGCTTATTAGCTAGCCACTCTGTCGATGGGGAGAGTATAGTACAAGCGGGAAAGGCCCAAGCAGTGAGCAGCTTGGGTGGGTGTCAATTGGTAACGAGCCGACATACCCTGTTGGAAGTGTGGGAAACGGTTGGATTCGTCATCGTCCGTCCGATGTGTCATTCTGACGGATGAAGTATGCCCTGTGCCAAGTTAGCCAAGGATATTTATAAGATTTATTACAAATTTCAAAAGTTTTTTTTTTTCTTCAAGCAAAAAGAGTGTGACAGTATGAAAGAGACAAGAGACTGGGGGATACGCACTTTGAGGCCTCGTAAGCCGACCAGCAGATTGCGGTGCTTGGCATCGTGGTCACAACCCTAGGTCGGACGCCCTTGAAGAAGCCGCGGAAGCCTTCTCGTTGGTACAGCAGTCGACAACCGGCAGTGAAGCCGTTGACGGTCCTCAGCTCAGGGTCGTGAGCATTGCCCCTCGTCTGGAGCATAGTCTTGATGACATCCATGGGCGTCGTCAGGGCGGCTGCAAAACCACCAGCGACGGCGCCAGCCATGCAATGGGTGACGGGGTCGTATGTCTTGGTGGGGTTCATCGTCGTCGATATTGACTCGTAGGCCAGGAATTGTAGCGCGGTAAAGGGTACCGTCATGGAGAGCGTGGTCGGGTAGGAGACGTAGAAGGCCGCGAGGCCCTCATTCTTGTAAACGTACTTGGCGCAATCCGTCATGGACCGGTATATCTTGCTCGAGTTCTGGATCTGCATTCTTTGCTTGATGACTGTGGATTGGTCAGGTTGGAATTCTCGCATGCACACCCGGAAGGGGTTGGGTTGTATGTTTTATCGACATACCGTCGAAGGGATTCATGAGCGCATCGCTGGCAATGGTTGCGCATGCTCCGCTTGTTGCCGCCGCCAAAGGATGATGTACGCCAGCCCGGTTGCCCCCCATGAGATGCTTGACGGCCTCGTATGTGGCAAAATAGACGGCATGTGCAGGTCCTTCCAGAGGTCAGTAGCTATCGACAGCAGCAAGGGAAGCAGACATAAAGCCGCTGGGGAGCCAGGCATACCCGCACCGACGACGACGCTGGACATGCCGCGCCATAAACTCATGATGCCCTCCCCTGTCGCTATCCTGTATGTTCCCTGAATCATCCCATTGTAGACTGCGGAGGGAGTAGGGTTGACTATCTGCATCCGGGTCTGTGATCATTGGCGGGTCAGCGTCATTTGATGGTCAATAGGGGGGCCGCCGGGGACACGTACTTTGATGGCGTCGATGGGATACATGACAGTGTGCTCCTACAACCTCAATCAGTTTCCCCCATGTTCCGGCAAGCATTGGGAGGCGGGGACGAACAGCTATTCCAGCAAAAGCGCCTGCTATCATGTTCTGCACCAAGGAGAAGTTTGGGGGGAGGGATTCATAGCTACGGGAGAGGTCAGCTTAGCACGCGCCACGGGGCGTCCACGGGGGAGCAGCGAGGAGAGACGCACTCATAGTCCTCGACGGGCTCGGCATTTGGCTGGGCCATCTGGGCCACAGCTTCCGATGCTTCGCCGAAGGCCTTGGGCTGGAGATCCAGGTTGACGATGTTTCTAAGCTTGCCGGCCTGGCAGTGCAAGAGCTTCCGCAAGACCCTTGCAGTGACGCAATGGAAAGGGGGCTCGTTCGTCCTCGAATAGCGCCGGGTGCTGCGGAAAGGATGCGAAATAGAGCTGTCGGCAAAGATGCGCAAATGTTAATTGAGACGGTGCTCGCCCGGGAGCCAGGTGGCCGCGAAATGTGGTCGTTGGAGCTTGCAAGGCTGTGTGTTCTCGGCTTTGTGCTGGAACCTCGAATTTTTCTGCGACCGTTCTCGGACAGGGCCAGATAAGGGACATCAGAAAAGAGAATGGGCTGGAGCCCGTCGGGCAGTCAGAGGGCGGTACGCGCTAGACAGGGGTGGCGGTTATCTCCGCCCCACCTTGATCGATTTGTATTCTCCATTATCGGGGCTTCACCAGGGACGCAAGCTGGAACCTCGGAAGCAAGCCTGAATACACAGTACATAAATTATACCTCGCTAAATTACGACGCCAGCAACCTCTACCCAGTCGTAGACCCCCTGTGAAGGGCATGAGGAGGAGGTACCAAAGGTTTGTCTCGGTAGTACCTGCTATCTACTGAGTAGGATGTGATTAAATAGGTAATCCCCTGTGGCTCGTAGTTACGCACCGAGCGGGCCGAAGCCGATCACCGCCGAGGTCCACTCTGTTGTTCACTTGAGCATCGCTCGACTTGGCGGTGCCTTGGGTAATCTACCATGTGCAAATATTTCCTGTCGATGGACGTCCCTTGCGGCTCAAATGTGAGAGCAGGAAACCCGGGGCGACTTGCTGTGTATCGTCATAATCGTACGATAACCATGCCGCTTGCTGTTTGTCGTTCCAAATCCCTGTCTTCACCGATTGCATATCAAGTACTATGATATTACTGGCATGCCGGTGCCGACCACCCCTGTCTTAGCCGCGCTGAAATTCCAGATGAGAGTTATTGGAGTTGGCGTGGAGAGGGACTACGATGCCCTCCGGCTAGCTCTTCCGTACCTATGCAGCTGGAACTTATAATAGAAGCGGATGCATGCGGGAGCAATGATGGGTCAGGACGGCGACAGGGTATGCGCATTGGAGCAACACCCGCCGTAGCCCGCGGTTGTCCGAGTGCTCCCGCCCATTGATCTGACAGTGTCCGTCGGGTCACCTAACGCCGCCCGGTCGTCGATTCAGCTGGGCCTGGTTGAACTGGTAGATCATGCCCACCACCCCAGCAACTGGTTCGTCAGCGTTGGTCCCACTGTTCTCCCTGCTCAACGCCTTTGTGGGTGAAGTCTGCCACGTCGATTCGTCCAATGCACCCCCACTCTCGTACGCATCTTCGTCTTCGTCGTCTTTTGATTCTCCCCTTTCTTCCAGTCCATCCTCGACCGACTCCTCGATGATGTTGCTCGCCGCATACGCCCCTCTTCCCCCGGCTTGCCGGGTTCGGTGAGCGCTCTTGCTTCCAAAGTTACTGGGAGGAGGTTGATGATGGGGATCTAGCAGGATTGATGCCATCGGCGACGGCTGGGGAACGATAGGTCCGAAGCGGGGGGTCCTGGCGGGCGCGCGGCTTCTTGGTCGCTCGCTTCGCCCGATCCGGGATCCTTGCAAATCCGCCGCTAGCGTCGGCGAGTTCATGCTTGGCCAAGCGGGAGGGGGATGGAACTGTTGCCGCACGCTCGGAGGTAGATGACTGGGACCTCCGGCCTTTTGGTTGAACATGTAATTGCCGTAGTTCCCAATAAAGCCGTAATACGACGCCTCCATCTTGCCATGCTTCGTCGCGTAGTAGTCGTCTCGCACGTCGACTCCGTCCGCCCGCTTCTTTGCGTTCTCAAGACCCTTCTTGAAATCAAACTCTGCAAAGGAGCAGACATAGCCGAGTCCGTCGACGTGGATTGTAAACTCGCGGAAGAAGTCGATGATCTGGTTGCTTGATTTGGGGAGGCTAAAGAATAGCAGCAGAGGTGTGACCAGGATGCTGAGGACTTCCTCGAAGAAAATGACGATCTTGATCTTGTACAGTTCCGAGAACTCCTTCTTAACGTCATAGCTGTGAAGTCGCTCATTCCAGTGATCCGGCTCGTAGTGGGTGTACTCGATCACGTTTCGGAGGGCGAACTCCGGGTCGAAGACGGTATTTTCCTCCGAGATGCTCCCGTGGGCATACACCCACACAGCGGTAAGAATTCCCACGTAGAATAGGACAGTCCGATCATGGGTGATCTCAAAATTCAGGAACAGCTCCGGATCGATCAAGGTAGTAATGGCTAAGACCGTCACGAGAGCGCCGGCTATGAACGCCACTGTTCTAAAGAGCATCTCGGTCTTCACTCTCGGGAACTGGTCTATATAGTGAGCCGCATAGGGATGGGACATGTTGAGCCGCTTCCGGAAGAGATGGGGCAGTTCGTTGAACTCTCTAAATTTCCACTCCGCAAGGGGCGTGTAAGTACGCGCACCTATGGCGGATGGATTCTTCTGGTATTCCTAAACGGGGGTGTCAGCAGTCTTCCTATCGAAGATGATGCGGGTTTCACAGGGCCGTACATACCTGGTAGTAGGTCAGGAAGTATACGATTAGGAGGTATCCAGTGAGGAACGGTGCGAGGATGAGGTTCATAAACCCGGCGAAGATGAACCGCCCCCTGAGCTTCGCGCTGAGCTCACCACGGCGATCAGACTTCAAAAATTCCTGGTTTACCTGGCCCTGTTCATCGAAAACGAAATCTAGAACGCTGAACATGAGGGTCCACTCGAGAGTGCGGGAGAAGAGCTCATTCGAGCGAAGAAACGGAATCGGGAGCTTGAGGTCCAAGACATCCTTGTTGAAAAGAGCAATTAGGTAGTTCTCCCGCCTCATTAGACGGTTGGCGATGTCGGAGGCATCAAGCCTTTCCTTGGATTGGCTTCCAATGTATCGCCGCTGGGCCGGCGTTAAGTGCATCGCCGTCTTGGGGTTGTGGTCCCTTAGCGCCATAATCCGAGCTACAATGTCCTGCCATGTGACCGTCTGCATGTCCTCATCAGGAATGTTGAGCAAGTAGACATAGAAGTCGCGCACGTTGAACAGACGCCGGAGGTCCAAGAGATACTGGATCGACTTCCAGATGAAGTAGAATGTAAAGACCCAGAGGCCAAGGTTCCAGAGTCCAGACATGTTCTTCGTGCAGCGGGGGACCAGAATCTCCGACATGGTCTTGCTATCTCTGACCTTGCGGTAGTCTATGCATTGGGTGAGAAAGGTTAGGAATACGGCGACAAATACGACGTTTCTAAGTGCGCATTAGCGATGAGAATGGGATGAAGTCGGAAGGTTCCAGAGGAGAACTCACAGTAAATGGAGGAACCTCTCCAATAGAATGCACCAGATACCATAGCCATGGTAGTAGTCGTATACGTCCCTGATGAAGTTGTCGAGGTTCGAGACGTTAGCCCACCTCCACTCGGCCTTCTTTCTCGCATTACCCGGAGCGACGCCAGCCAGGAATGCCCTGGGGCCGCCCAGGTTGCGAGGCGGGACAAAATCATCGTCTTGATGTAGCCTCTGTTGGGCTTGCGCCGTCTCCCACTGAGCACGAGCTTTTCTTGTGGAGGGCCCCGGGGCAACACCGGGCTTAGAGGGCTCAGACTTCTCCCTCCGCTGCCCCGTGCCAGTGTGAGGTTCAACTAATAAGGATGCGGGCACATCATTATCCCCATCCTCATCGGGTGTAAACCACCTCGGGTGGGCATCTTTGTGGGAACCGTGGCCTCCGTGATCGCGTCCTCCCATCTGCCTAGTCGCGCGCTCGAGAGAGAGCCTACTATCGTCGACGCCGATTCCTTCTGCATGTTCCAAATCATACTCGTGAAACTGATGGTTGAGGTTCTCTTCATCCAAAAGCCCAGCACGGTCTTCAACATCAGAGTTGCCGTCTCTGGCTCTCAGGTCGTCATAGAAAGAACGAGCGGGTCTGGATTGTAGCAGCTTGGAGAACATGTTGGAGGTCATGGTGGGCAAGCCGAGTCGGACCGCGGTTGGGACGAGGCTTGGTCCGGGGGGACCATTGTCCAAGGTCCAGACGTATGTGTCGCTGAGCTCTATGAGGTTGTCAACAAGATGAAGGACGTCTGTAGGCTACTGGTCGAGGGTGCGAGCAGGTCTGCTGTTTGGGAGAAGTAGGGTCAAGACAAGATTTGAAAGTTTACACACAAAGTTCAGGGAACAGAGACGGTCGTGACTGCTCTTAGATAAGTGTATGAATGGTTGGTCATGGGCTGGATGATTCAAGGCTGTCAGATGGTTCGCTGTGGCTGCCTGCACAAGCCAGCTGATTGACCCCGGAACTTAGGTAACTTGAACTATGACGAGGGCGGTCAAGCAATTCTGCCGAACTTTGGCCGATACCGCTTTCAAGTCTCCACTCCACGCGCCATTCTCCACATTCCAGATGCATGCAACTATCCGTATTCCGTTAAACCTGGCATACGATAAGATGCACAGATATACAGGATACTGCGAAATACTGTCCAGAACAAGGAAGACCAGAAGCTGCAAAAGATTGCCCCTGCCGACAGACAGACTCTACCCCTGACCCGGGTTGCCTACTCTACCTTGGGCGATTGTTGGAGAGTCTCAAATAACTCGAGTCTTGAGATTTGGCCATTGGGGTTCTTCTGTGACAGCTATCATGAATTCTCCATCGTAGATCACAAATATCCTGGGGAACAATGACATCTGATCCACCGCCCCCGTTGCAATCGTTAGCAACTCCTTCGAGGGACGACGCACCGGTACCACAAACCCCGTCGTCTCTGCGGGCCTCGAACCCTCTGTCTTCCAAAGTCACAAGCCTCCTCTCAACCTCGTATGCCGACTCTGATTTCCGTGACGCTCTTTCGCTCCTGGACGAGCGTGGCGTGCACAACACCCCCGAGACCCGCCGGCAGTTGCGCCTAGATTTGCAGAGGGAGCTGATTGACAGCAATGGCGAGATTATCACTGAGTTCGGAAAGGTGGCTGAGGTGAGTATCCCTTAGATGGCTGGTAGGGAGACAGTCTTCGAAACTAACTACTAGGGCCCCAGCAACTGCGGAGAATAGGTAACTCGATTGAGAAACTGAATGCCAGCTATAGCGACATGAAAAGCCAGGTCACGGCGGCCCACACTGCTACTTCGGGAGTCCTCGATGAGGCGTCGTCGCTCATGACGCAAAGGCGTCAAGTGGAGACAAAGCAGCATTTACTGAAGGCCTTTACCCAACACTTTGTTCTTTCAGAGGATGAAGTAGCCGCCTTGACCCTGACCTCGGAGCCCGTGGATGACAGATTCTTCACCGTCCTCGCCAAGGCCAAGAAGATCAGCAAAGACTGCGAGCTTCTCCTCGGCTTTGAAAGCCAGACCCTTGGGCTTGAGGTGATGGAGCAGACGTCGAAGAATCTCAACCTTGCCTTCCAGAAGTTGTACCGATGGATCCAGCGTGAGTTCAAGAATCTGAACCTCGAGAACCCGCAGATCGGCTCTCCAATTCGGCACGCGCTTCGTGTGCTTGCCGAAAGACCCTCGCTCTTCCAAAACTGTCTCGACTTCTTTGCCGAGGCTCGAGAACATACTCTCTCAGAATCCTTTTATACTGCCTTGACTGGAAATTCAGCACCTGGTGGTGAGGACCCGTCCGTAAAGCCGATTGAGCTGGCGGCACATGACCCTTTGAGATATGTTGGGGACATGCTGGCCTGGACACATTCGGCGGCCGTGGGCGAAAGGGAGGCACTCGAGGTCCTATTCGTGTCGGAAGGAGACGAGATCGCCAAGGGTATCCAAGCCGGGCGGGAAAACGAAATATGGCGCCTCGTTGCCGACGAAGCCGACGTGGCTGCTGATTTCAACGCTGTGACAGCACTGAACGAGTTGGTCGACCGGGACATGTCTGGCGCGGCACGCCTTCTCCGCCAACGGGTCGAGCAGGTTGTGCAGACCAACGAGGAGACCATCTTGGCATACAAGTTGGCCAACCTCTTGAACTTCTACCGAGCCACATTCGCCAAGCTTCTAAGCAGCGACTCGGTTCTTGTCGGGGTGCTGAACAGCCTGGAGTCAGAAGCTCTGCGGCAGTTCCGTGCTTTGATGCGAGATCATATTGCTGCCCTTCAAGCAGATTTCCAACACGCGCCAGCCGACTTTGGCGTTCCGGAATTCCTCGCGGATGCTCTTGAACAACTGACGGCCATTATGAAGACCTACGAGACGTCGTTGACCTCGTCAACCGACCGTGAGGCGGACTTTCAGCCCATCCTCGCCGAGGCGTTTGATCCCTTCATGGATGGTTGCGAGCATCTAGGGAGAAATATGGAGTCCCCAGTCAGCCCCATATTCCTAGCCAACTGTATAGGAGCCGCGAGGGACGCTTTGTCACCCTTCGACTTCACCCGTGGCAAGATAAAGGAGCTAGACAAACGGTTAGAGGCCGAGTCTCGCAGGCTCGTGGAGAGTCAGTACGCTTTTTTCCGAACAGAATCCGGACTGGAAAACTTGATGGATGCACTACACCCTCTCACACAAAAGAAGGAGGATATTCGAAAGATCAGGTCTCTTGGACCAGTTCAAGCATCACAACTGGGAGAGGCAAGCCAGACACTAGATGACTTCCTGCCCTCGGCACTGATGGACGCGATGGAAAACCTGAAGCATCTCCACGACTCAAAATTGGCGCGGGATATTACCGAAGAAGCAGCAGAAACGTTCTGTGCTGATTTCGAGCATGCCGAAGAAATGCTCATTCTAGCCGACGAACTGGCCGAAGACGAGGGAGACGGCGAGGACTTGCAGAACCTCCGTTCCCTCTTCCCCAGGACAACAGGGGAGATCCGGGTATTGTTGTCTTAGGCATGACACGGGGCTTCATATTTAGAGTACCTAGGTAGTCAGACACCTTGCTTTGGCTGGCCGCCATAGAACCATTGTTTCTCGTCAATTACTTGGAGGTTGGCTAGACCCCGCGACATGGCTCTGGCGAGATAAGTATCAAAGAGACCTGAATTACCTTCAGACGCATATCCAAAGTCCAAAGGACCGACCGGACCAATGACATATGTGGAGGTACCCAGGTACCTCTAGAGACGGGAGTGATCCATCTTTCATGTGTTTAAAGGCCCGTGCGCGATGGGCATGTAGAGTCACTGCACAGTGTGCCTCGGTTATTTTGTACAAGGACTGCTTAATACGCAGGATTCATACCTTCCTGATAAGAGAACCCCCACCACTGTACAGAAAATGCCCCCCACCATGGGACTTGGGGATTTCCAGAGGGTCAAGGAACGACGTCACTCAACTGAAGCGGGAGCTGTCAGTTCATTCTCAGAACAGCGAAAACAAAATCAGCAACTGGCAAGCAGCCAGCACCTCAAGGCAGGGACGCATTACTGGACATTGCTTTTTCTGACTACTTCACCATGCCCCATTGACAACTCGCCAAAAGCCCGACCAGCCGCAGCTTATCATCCACATAGGCTCCGCGACGTGATGCGCTTTCCTCTTGTTCCACCAAGATGATCCGCAGCAGGACCCCGCAGTCCATCCTACAAAAGACTTACGATGAAAGTTACCTCACATGTTCAACGGCGGTCTACTATGAGAGTCAGGTATGAGAGCACATCCAGAGTTGAGGCAGACTGCGCAGTACGGCTTCTAACGGAACATGTGCACTCTAGGGCAATGAGGCAGAGGCGATGAGGTGCTGGAAGTCGGCCCTTGAGCAGATCTATGACCACAATGCGAACAAACTCCCGTCAAACTACACTGCCCGGTCCGAGACTGAGAGGGCGTTGGTGGAGAGTTTGCGCCAGCTGGAGCTCCAATGTAAGGAACGCATTGACCTGCTCGAGGCCCTACGTCTATCCCGCCAGGAAGACTCGACCCTGCAAGAATCATCCTCCGCCGGCAGTGGTCTCCAACCTCTTGAACCATCCGACTCGGAGCCACGTGGAAGAGGCTGGATTGGTTGTGGAACAATACCCGCCATAACCTATCCCGAATTATCTAGGCCGGCTGTCCCCCCCAAGCCTCTATCTTTATCGCCCATGAGAACAACTTCACAGCAAGGAGCCACCCCAGGGAGCAGCAGGAGAGAAGAACGGGGTGTGGATACAGTGTCTTCTCATTCATCGTCTGCAAAACCCCAGTCCCCAGTCACCATACCGGCTCCAGGGCACAAGGTCTCGAGATCTCCAAGTCCAGAGAGATATTCCATGAGAACCACACTTCGATCAAGCAAACAAGGAGAAAAAGTGACCAAGCCCTCGGTGAAGCGATCGACACCTAAACCTGCCAGTGGCCCTGGAGCCAACAAGGCAGCGACATTGGCCTGGTCTGCTCTGGGCCTTGGGGAGAAGGCTGGTAAAGCAGCCATGAGCACAGCAGTGTCAACCCCAGTACCCAGTACACGAAATTCCTCTGAGCCACCCCAGAGACCTTCTGCCCATCCACGTGCGCAGTGGGATAGCAATTCAAGACGGCTGGTGACTCCCCGGAACGGGAACGTCCATGGCTCTCTGGAGTCAAGATCCAGTATTGACTCGCCACCCATGCGACACTTGGATGAATACCCTTTCCCCCAGCCACCGTCCCTCTCTGTCAGCGCAGCTTCGAGTGCGCTAAGCTCGCTAGCCTTGAAAGGACCGGCGGAGCGTTCATCACTGGACTCGGAACGCCCGTCTCGCCAACAGAGGACTGCTTCTTCAGCAGACCCCCTGGATAGAATGGATAGATTCGCAGCTACGGGCAGTGGTCAATATGATGCTACCCGGGAGTCCAACCATACCTTCTCTCAGAGCCGCAAGTTCTCGTCAGATCCACCAATCAGGCGTGACTCTCCTGGGCAATCGCTTCCAGTTGTCAACAGAGGAGGGACTCCTTCAAGAGCAGCCAACTCAACCACCATGGCTCAGCCAGCTATACGGCGAAAAGCTGTGCAGAAAAAAAGGGGGCAGCAGTCATCATCATCAAGCACCGACGAAGGGGGACCACCGACTCGCGACGGGTCGCCACGGCGAAGTGGCAAAGAAAAACGACGAGCGGGCTCATCCCTTGCTGGGTTTCAGGCGTCTTCAGACGGCTCATCAGACGACGAGAACGCCAGAGCTGCCAAGGCGTGGAAGAAGCGCAAGGCTCAGATACTGAAGAACCTTCCTCAGGGCGTCGACGAGCATGCTGCAAAACAGATTCTCAACGAGATTATCGTCCGAGGGGATGAGGTCCACTGGAGCGATGTGGCAGGCCTCGAAATAGCCAAGAATGCGCTGAGAGAGGCGGTGGTGTACCCCTTCCTCCGCCCAGACCTGTTCCAGGGCTTGCGTGAACCGGCGAGAGGGATGCTCCTCTTCGGTCCGCCCGGAACAGGGAAGACGATGCTGGCCCGCGCTGTTGCGACCGAGTCCAAGTCAACCTTCTTCTCCATATCTGCCAGCAGCTTGACAAGCAAGTACCTCGGAGAGTCGGAGAAGCTCGTGCGAGCACTTTTTTCGCTTGCAAAGGCATTAGCCCCGAGCATTATTTTTGTTGATGAAATAGATTCCCTGCTTTCCCAGCGATCTGGTTCCGGCGAGAACGAGGCGACGAGGAGGATCAAGACCGAGTTCCTGATCCAATGGAGCGATCTCCAGCGGGCTGCTGCCGGGAGGGAGTCCAGCGACAAGAGCCAGGAACAGGGCGATGTCAATCGGGTGCTGGTACTGGCCGCGACTAACTTACCATGGGCCATCGATGAGGCAGCAAGGAGACGGTTCGTGAGACGCCAGTACATACCGTTGCCGGAATCTCAGACCAGAGAAACACAACTCAGGACTCTCCTCGGCCAGCAAAAGCACAACCTCACCGACGCTAGCATTAAGCAGCTGGTGAGCTTGACCGACGGTAAGCTGCTGAACCCGGGAGATCCAACAGTGGAGGGGCGGGGGGGTAATAAGATGATAAGAGTTGGTACTGACACCTGCACAGGGTTTTCTGGCTCTGATATAACCGCGCTGGCCAAGGACGCTGCGATGGGACCTCTCCGATCTCTGGGCGACGCCCTTTTGCACATGACCATGGATCAGATACGACCAATCGAGTATGCCGACTTTGTGGCAAGCCTTGCAACCATCAGACCGAGTGTCAGCAAAGCTGGTCTGGAGGCGTATGAGAATTGGGCCAAGGAGTTTGGAGAAAGGGGCGGTTAGGTTGGGCCCGTGGTTGTGCCTATGGGATTCATCTGTGTATGGGCTTATGAAGTCGAAGGAAGGGGACGGCTGACAAGACACGTCTTGTCATGCCCTGCAATAGCTTCATCTGTTTATCTATCCCTTTTATGTGTATATAATAGAGGGCCTGAAAAAAAGTAAGATAAATAGGAAGAAGAGTGGCTGCCGCTTTTGGTCTTTGCGACGAAACCCTCAGCCCAGGACGGGACACACAGCAACACTCTTTAAGGTCGAATACCTCCCCAGCCTCGGAAGAGAGCAGCACTTTGAATGGCTGGGTATCCATCTTTGCAGTTGCAATGCCAATTATGTATACAAATGATAAGTACAGGGTTGTGGCCCTTCTCCTTTCCTCTTACACAGGGCCAGACAGGGATCGGACGGGCACATCGACTGGCCCGTCTCGGAATCTTTTGATCGTGCGAAATGTTGTAAACGTTCCCGGTAGGAACAGCCAGCATTCCGGGGTCCCCTGAGGTATGGCTTGCAAGTTCAAACACAGCAAACAGCCCTCCCAGATTCCTCCTGCCTCCGAAAAGCAAGCGCACGATCCGCGGTGAGCGACCACGGCCGCAAGGGGATTTTTTTATCCCCCCCCCCCCCCGCGTGCGCGCTCAATCAACGTCGCTGATGCTGGTGGCGGCGGGTTCTGCGGACCCGGCCGACGACGTTCTCTTCGCCCTCCGCGGCGACGCCGACCTCTGCTGCGCCAGCTCGGCCTCTCTCCTCGCGGCCCTCCTCCCGTCCTTTGCCTGCTTCTTGGCGACCTTTGCGTCCCACCTCTCGTCCTCGGTCGGGACCGGCGGCCGCTCCTCGACTGGGGTCCCGCTGGGGGCTATGATGTGCTTGACGACGTGGCGCTTCTGCTTGGACGACCTCCAGCCGGGCGTGATGGCGACGACGTCGCCGGCCCGGAGGGAGTCGTTGGGGTCGTGCACGAGGTAGGTCTTTGGGTCGTCGAAGAACTGGGGGGGTTGGGCAACGCGTGTCAGTCAGGCCTGTCTGTCAGTCTGGCCGGCCCACCGGCCGATAGGAAATAATCTATCGGGTGATGGCGTACTTTCTGGACCTTGCCGTTCCACTTCTGCCCTCCTACGCGGACCTTTACTGTCCTTTGCATGAGACCCGCCGTCACGACAACTCCGTGAAGCTCGCGGAAGGTCTTCCGCGCGGCGGCACCTGCCAGGCTTGCCATGGCGGTTCGAATGAGGGTCTAGATCGGGTTCCTATAGTCGGCGAGTGTTGTCTGCGTCTGCTCGGTGGCACGGTCCGTGAAGGGGCGTTCAATTTGTTGTCCGGCCCCCGGATTCCATCACGCCCCGAGAGCTTTCCAAGCTTGGGAAAATTTGGGGGTCCCGGGCGCGGGTTAAAATTTGGGTGGCCAAACATTGTTCCGTGGTGTTGGGTCAGGTCCATCGGGTAGGTCGGGTCCCGCCCGTCCCGCCAGGCTGCACGGTCCACCCTGGAATCAGTAACAACCGTAGGTACTGTACCTATGTACCCCGCACCCTCTACGGATAGGTTGGCCTGACGAGCAGGTAGGTAGGCACGGAATTCGTCTCCCTCAGGAGGGGCCTCGCAAAGAGCCTCAATCGGGACAAGAAAGCCGCGATCCAAGCATCTCGAACTAGTCGTGCATGTGCTGCTTAGAAATATCTCTCCTAGCGTTCATTGATTGAGCCACTGCACTCTCCACAACGGTTCATACCCGGCCGGAGCTTGATGGTCAGTGTTGGTTGAGTAGCAGGATTTGTTATCCAGCATGGACCGTCGGGGTACCGGTCTCGCTTGATAAAGCATTGATATGGAGGGAGCTCGGCTACCTCATGCCCTGGCAGTGCCCAGGCCGCTGCCCTCCACTCCCGCCCCTGAAAGCCATCACGTTTCGGAACTGAAGATCACACGCTTCAAAATTGTCGACCCGACATGATTTGCTTTTCGTCAACATGCGTCCTAGACTGGATTGGATGTATTACATTCTTTTAAGAAATTGCTCATGTATCCGCGTTTAGGTAAGCGCATCTTGGAGGCCTCAAATCGTTTGCATCATTGCAGACTCGTTGAAACCTATTGACAACAGCAAACCACCTGTCCACCCTGTCCGGCCTCCGGCGCTTGGCCGGCTCGGCTGCTCCTCCCTCTCACCTGGGGATCTTCTTGGTACTGCCATGTGGGATCTGGAAAAAATCAAAGTTAAAACCAAAAAGAAAAGAAAAAGCCAAAAGCCTGCTTTAGCACCGATTCTGGATTCCAGTCCGTACCAACTCTATGTACAATTAGTTCGCCACGCTGCTCGTCTGTCTGTCTTATACAAACACCGAACAAGGGGGGGAGAACCATGGGTTGAACAAGCAGACCCCGGGCTGCGAGAGAAAAGGGGACGCAACTCCGCACGCGCGTTCAGAGGCGGCAATATCCAAGGCCGTCTCGCAGAACCAGACTCCGGGAGGGGGTCAGCGCTTAGGAGATGAATTCTCGGCGGGCCAGGCGCGCGAGACGTTGGTTCTGCTGCTGCTGCTGCTTCCGTTGCTGCTCCTGCTGCTGCTGCTGTTGCTGCTGTTGCTGCTGCTGCTGCTTCCTCTGCTGCTCCTGCTGCTGCTGCTGTTGCTGCTGTTGCTGCTGACGCTGCTGCTCCTGCTGCTTTCTCTGCTGCTCCTGCTGCTGTTGCTGCTGCTGCTGCTGCTGCTGCTGCTGCTGCTGCTGCTGTTGCTGCTGCTGTTGCTGCTGAGTCTGCTGCTGGTTCTGCTGGCCCTGGTTGTTACCCTGGTTGTTACCCTGGTTGTTACCCTGGTTGTTGCCCTGGTTGTTGTTGCCCTGGTTGTTGCCCTGGTTGTTGCCCTGGTTGTTGTTGCCTTGGTTGTTGTTGCCCTGGTTGTTGTTACCTTGGTTACCGGCGTCGGCATTACCAGCGTCAGCATTACCAGCGTCGGCAGCATTAGCAGCGTTGGGGTCAATGGCACCGGCACCGATATTAACGGCCTGTTGAGCCTGGTCGGCAGCATCCTTGCCCTTGGCACCATTGTTCGCAGCCTCGTTGACACCACCGCCGTTGCCCTTCACCGTGAACCTGACGCAATCATCCTGAGCTCCACGCTGAGCGACGGGCATGACGACGGGCTGATGGTTGGAGCCAGAAGACAGCGTGCAAACCCGGAAGTTGCCAGCCGGAAGGCCACCGTTGACAGTAGCGGCGAGGAGACCCTGCCCATTGCCCGCATCGTTAATACCCTTGAAGAATGCAAATTGGGTCGCGTCAAGGGGCTGCTTGGGGTTGAGGCTGCCGCCAAGATCCTGGACGGTGACGTGGGTGTGGCCGACGACGATGCCGTTGGACAGGAACTGGGGGGCCGCGTAGTATGTGGCGACGGCATTGGTAAAAGACCCAGCCGCCAGATTCGCAACCTGCACTTGGATGTCGAAGTCCTTGCCAGCCTCGATCTCTTGGCCGTTCTGGGGGTTCACGATGACAGTCGAGATCATCTTATCCTTCGCCGGGATATCTCCCATGGCTATGATGGGTACGGTTAGACACATTGCCATGAGGAAACCGCCAAGGTCTTGATTGAAAACTTACTAATGCCGTTGCAAGAACCAGTAGTGATCTGGAGGCCATTGGTGAGGGTCTTGCCGGCACAGAAATTGATGAAGTTGCCCTGATCTATCGTGGACTTGGCCTGGACGGCGGGATCAGCGCCCAAAGCCGCCTGTCCGTCGAAGAAGGAACCAGTCTGGATGGCGTTTGGAAGCAGGATCGTGGGATTGGCGCCCTGGTTCTGGGCACCGTTGTTGCCGTTGTTGTTCCCGTTGTTGTTCCCGTTGTTGCCACCATTGTTCCCATTGTTGTTGCCATTGTTGCCATTGTTGCCTTGGCCGTTGTTGTTGTTGTTGTTGTTATTGTTGTTTTTGTTGTCTTGTGCAGCAGCCACGGCGAGCAGCGCTGCCGGGACGAGAAGTCTTGCAAATCTGACCATCCTGCCTAACTACCCCGGGGCGAGAGAGAAAGAAAGAAAAAAACGAGCGAGGTCAAATTCGGCGCAAGAAGGACTGAACGAGTGGTAGTCAAGTATTAAAGACTTATCGGAAAGCAGATGCACGGTCAACGTGATCTCTAGAAAGGAGAGAATGGCAAGAGAAGGAAGAAAAGAAGGAGCAAGTCAAGAGCCAGTGCTGGTACCCGAGGTGCAAAGATTATATGGGAGGACTGACAGAGCGGGAGAGAGGAAGTCGGCCATTGTAGACTACTTATCCTTCTTGGCAAGAACGGCATAACTTGGGAAGGGTGTGGGAGATCCCTTCCAGCAGCTCAAGGCATAGGAAATGGCGATCCCGTAGCAGCATGGGGGGTGGTTGAAACTGGGGGGGGTGAGAACCTGCCTGTTGCATGGGTATTCGTAAGAAGACGTCGCCGTTTTGACTGTGAGTGATATGAGCAAAGCGAGCTGGCGGCCAAAGTGCCAGCCGAAAAATACGGCAGTTTGGCGCCGCTAATCTTGAACAGCGCTGGTTCAGACGAAGGGGGATTGGAGGTCCGAGCCTGCTCGAGGGACCCGTCTTCTGCAGGACAGGACAGGGCGGGTCAGAACAAGCTCATCTCTCCGCATCTCCCCCCTCGGAAATGCCAAAAAAGTGTAGTGCCCAAGCGTGTATGGTTGGTTGTATTGCTGTGTTGCTGTGTTGCTGTGTAGTACATCCTGACATGGCCGAGTTTGGACGAATGTGCCCGTGGGGAGTCGAAACAAGACGTGTCAGAGGTGTGGAACAGACGTCAATCGTGGAAGAGCCTCCAAATTATCCAGACGGCCTGGCCTCAGCCGTCCACGGGTTCCAGATTGAGTAAGAAAGAAGCGCCAAGCATTGAAGAACGTTGGGGGTCTCAAGCAGCATCCATGTCAATCAAAAGTGGATCGACGATGCCAAGGTCAATCTTGTGCTGGAATCATCAGAATTACCTATTTAGGTTGGCAAGTTGGTACGTTTATTGAACTTGGACTCAACCGCCGGTTGCATGTTCGAAGCAGTACCAACCCTACCTACATCTAGCGCTGACCTCCTTAAGCTTAATTATTGCCTACCTGAGCCTCCTCAGGTACCACTCATTCACAACAGGCCCCGCCCCATACACAGGACACTGCTCCAGAATACGTCAAGCACCTATAGAACCTTGGTAGTTGTTTACCTTGCCCTGCAACAGCTAGTCCAGAGATGCATGCCCAGCATTCCACTCGAGATCGTTTGATCGTTCTTGGCGAAACGGGGGGAAGAACCCAGCAAGAAACGCAGCTAGACGCGCGTCTGTCATTCTCTCGCCTTGGCCAAGCAACTTTGAAGGCGGCTTTAAGCACCGTTCGCAAATCTCTTGGTAAATCACAGCAGGCGTCAGAGTTGCTGGCAACACTAGGTATGTAGCACCCAATGGGGGGAGGATCGACAAAGAATGGCACTTCCTCGGGTACTCGGCCAGAGCAGAGCAGACAGGTTCTTGGAATAGAAGCAAGCTGTGTCACGAAGGCTGGAAACAGGAGGTATAGCCGCCAACAGTGTCAAGGAAGAGTGGTCTGACTTCGCAGGCTGAGACGTCGATCAGATCGGATATTTCTGGGACCGCCAAGACTAGCACATGGGGGGCACTTGACATTGCACAGGGGGTGTGTATGCAGACACACAAACCAGTCGGCGGTCAAAACTCGACGGGAAAAGATCTGAGGGAAGGAGGGAAGCTCTATGAGCTTATTGGGCCGGTGTCTGTATCGGCCTTGGCACGGACTTTGGCTTCTTGTTTCATTCGTCCACCCTATCAACCCGCAATGGAATTGCCAGGTGTCAAGGGTGGCCCGGTTCCATCGGTTCGGCGGCCGGCCGGCCACACCGGAATACGCTGCCCTCGCTGTCAACTGATTCCCGTCCGGACATGAATCCAAGGTGGTGCAGTCTATCGCAGTAGTGTGAGGTAATTTCAGCTCCTAGTACGGGACTACGGATACACACACAAGCCCCGTGGGCCCTCCCCATACAATGGTGGCATATGCTTCGACGCTACCTAGGTAGGTAACAGTAATTAGACATCACACCGCCTTTAGCCGAGCAAATTTTCTGATTGCGGGAGGATTTCGGCCACTTTTGCACATTCGTTCTCAGTGTCTCACCCATCACTTGGTCGTCGTGGCAAGATTCAATCGCCCGAATTGGTTTTACTTCAACGTTGCCTACTCCTTGATTTGAGAAGGAACTGCCTCTCTGCCAAATTCTTTTACCCACTCACAACTTTGCAACTTGGCCGACGGCAGCGTTTGGAGCCTGCAGCTGCAATATGTCTTCTCCCGAACATCGAGCAGGCAAGCGACCGCGTAAGTTGCTATGCTTTCTGCCTGGCGGGCGTTGGCCATTTCCTGTTCTTTCCTGTTGGGAGCCGACTCCAGCCTGATCTGGCCTCCAGCGAGTCAAACAACAAGTTGTGTGGGCCTTGGAGTGGATGGAAGCATTGAACCTCTGAATTTTGACACTCTTAATACCCCACCATCCCCTGGTGTTTTCAGGCTTGGGCCGGCATCCGTCCTTCCTGCGTATATGCTCCGCGACTCTGCCTTCTCGATTTTAACATCGCTTTTCAATGGCAGGAACCCAGTCGCTCCCACCACCGGCCTTGCCGCAGCTGGTCGCAGAGCAACATGTTGCCATCGTCCCGACCGACAAAGATACCAAACGGCTGGTTGTGGTGCTCTCCAATGCCAGCCTCGAGACCTACAAGGCGTCTCACGGAGGAAGCGGGCGTCCGGGCGCGGTGAGGGACGACAAATACTCGTTGCTTAACTCGGACGAGCACATCGGTGTCATGCGGAAGATGAACCGAGACATCAGCGATGCCCGACCAGACATCACCCACCAGGTTGGGCACCGTCCCGCGGACCCGCGCCGAATCCTGCATTCAGCATGCTGATTTTTTTTACGCTCTATAGTGCCTGCTCACTCTCCTGGATTCGCCCGTAAACAAGGCGGGGAAGCTCCAGATCTACATCCAGACTGCCAAGGGCGTCCTAATCGAGGTATCGCCGTCGGTTCGCATCCCCCGCACTTTCAAGCGATTCGCCGGCCTGATGGTACAACTCCTCCACCGCCTCTCCATCAAGTCGGTCAACTCGCAGGAGAAATTGCTCAAGGTCATCGCCAACCCGATCACGGATCACCTGCCACCCAACTGCCGAAAGATCACCCTGAGCTTCGACGCCCCCCTCGTGCATGTCCGCGAATATATCGACACCCTCGGCGCCTCAGAGTCTATCTGTGTTTTCGTTGGCGCCATGGCCAAGGGTTCGGACAATTTTGCTGACAACTACGTGGACGAAAAGGTCTCGATAAGCAACTACAGCTTATCGGCTAGCGTCGCGTGTAGCAAGTTCTGCCATGCTGCAGAGGATGCGTGGGGAATCCTTTAGCGCCTCGAAGCACTCTGGATGATGGATAATCGAGAGCTTGCGCGTTGGAGAGAGGTCTTCGGGGTGAGAGTTGCTCAACGGCTCTCTAGGGCTTTCGATGTGAAAGTCGGGGCTTCATTGGTCGTATCCGCGATACAACATCGCGGATGGTGGCTGATGGCCTCGAGAGCTTGGGTCGTCTGTGCTTGCGCTGTCGTTGTTTTTACAACCAAAACATGGGGCGTTCAACAACGGATCCAAGACGCTTTCGTCGTCTTCGGGAACCACTTCAACCTGGTTCCTTTTCCCTTTGTTCCCGTTTATCTTGACCCCCCTTCCCGTACTTACCGCTTAGTGTGTGCAGGGAAGTGGAGGATTACAACTTGGCTAGCAGACAGATCTGCCACTGGAAATACACCGCCGCCGGGGAGCCAGTGCTTCCGCTTACACCGGACCGGGTTAATGATGGGGGTCTTGGCGAACTAAGGTCTGCCGGGCCTTGGCCGGGGTGGTCATACGCGTCTCACGCCCATGAGCTGAAGGACGGCGAGTGCTAGTGCTAGGTTAGCAGCGGGTTAGATAGCAGCCCTGGATCTCTACGCCAACGGAGTCGAGGGCGTGGAAGGAATGGAAGATGGAATGCCAGAATTGTCACAAAAACGATTTAGTTTAAGGCTGCGCGCCCCGTGGTGGAGCATCCTGATCCAAACGTGCATGACAGGGAGGTCGTTCTTTGCGAACAAAAAGCCCAGATGGCAGGCGTTTGGCTGCTGGAATCTCGCTCCGCCGCTTTTTTGCGCCCGGAGCCCAAAATAGCCTCAAAGACCCCGCAGCTGAGCGGTCAGGCTGAGGGGCTGGCGGTGTATCCGTACTGCGTAGGTACCTGGACGAAGGTGGTGCTTCTGTTTAGGTTGGGCCTCGCCTGAGATGTGGAATGAGATTTTGCGAGCATGGTTCGTCTACTTCTTGTCAACAGCCGCGCCGGCTCCAGAGGGCAACCCACCCGGCATAGAGAAACACCGATTTTGAGGAATCCCCTGGCTCAGAAACTCCTGCTTGTCTGCGGCCGCCGGGCGCGCCTGCCGGCTTATTAGACCCTACACGAGGCAAGCTGCATTCCTTGGCTCGCCTCTTTCAATACTTCAAGATTGTCCGCCCTCCCTTCGAGCACTGGCGGCGAGTGACGCGCCCTGCAAAACGATCGGCAGGCCCTGCGGGGATGAAGACGGGATCCCCCCTCCTACAGGACGCATAACTCCACTACTACCTTGGAGGTTCCATGACTTTGTTATCACAGCCAATCAGCGGCTAGAAAGGGGGGTGCTATGCTGCAGCTTCAGGGGTCCCACTTAAATATCGCCCACCTTCTTCCCACCCGAGGCTTTGTGACGGTTGAGCTGGACCAGGGCTGTTCTCTAGCGTAATATCGAGGAGCTTGAGGTGATTTGCTGGCGGTGGCTCAGGCGCCAGCCAGGGCAAATATTCCGCAGGTCGTAGCGCGGTACGGATACGTGGTTAGAGAGGGACTCGGTTTGACGTGGCCGTCCCACTTCTTGTCTTGTCTGGACTCTAGAGATCGGAGACCCGCCTCTTCGCCCTGCTCACTGGCTCACGATGGCCCCCTCGAATGGGAACCCAGCGCTGGCCGCTGTGCCTGCGGCCGGTTGCGGGAGGCGGGGAATTGGGCATCTACGGGATGCTGTTTTTCTGCAGGCTGGGCTGGTATTATGGGATCTGCCGAGCCTAGTAATCGGGAAGCCGCCTGGCTGAAAAGGGCCACTGGTCCCCCCTTTGAATCCGGGCACGAAATCCCATATCGATGTCACACGGCAACACTCCCTATCCATATTTCCCAAGGTGTACCTGTACAAAGGGTACAAAACATCATCAGCCAGCTGGCGGTGCTCCCCATCTGCGCTCTTTCGTTGGCCAGAATTCTTTCCCATACCCCTGTCGTACCTCACCCTCCCTCCCCCACATTCCCCTGGCACCTGGTCCTCGTGGTTTGACGGAAGAGGGAATTATACTACAACTATGTTGCCCTTCCTCGAGGTCACGCATCTCCCCTCATCGTCCTCCTTCTACTCGGCTATCCTTCAACCCCTCGGCCTGCGATATCTATCGGCAGAGCCAAGCTCAGAGTCACAGTCGGTGGTCCCGATCGTCACCTACGGCACCCCATCCCCTCCGACCCCCGTCTTTCAGCTCCGCCAGGTCGCAGCCCACAGCATCAGGTTGTCTCGCATCGTCCTCACCGCGCCCTCTACTGCCGCCGTAGCCGAGTTCCACTCCTTCGCTCTTCGCGCCAATCCCGATCTTGAAAAGCCGACCAGCGCTGGCGCCCGCGAGGCCGCGTCCACAACCGAAAGCCGGGCGAGGATTCTCGATTTTGACGGCAACACGATGGAGGTTGCCTATCTCCCCCCACCTGACTACCCCACCCGCTACGGCGGTTCCACGGTCCGCAAGACCCAGTCGACCCCTACCGAGGCGGCCCGCGTCCTAGACTGGAATTACGGCGTCGCCACCTCGGCCCCGCCCCGTGCTTCCACCTCCGCCTGCGGTGGGCCCCGTCTCACTGCCGCGAGGCGGCCATCCAACCGTTTTGCCGAGAACGATCCGTACTCGAGGAGGAGGAGTGTCCCTACGACCGTCTCTTCGGTCTACGAACCCACGGCCTCACCCCGCCAGAACTCCAGCGGCCTCAGCACCGGCGCCGTCGTCGGCACTCTCCTGGGCGTTGCTGCCGGCGCTGCCTTCACCTACAGCATGGTCAAGAATGACCAACCACACCGCGCCGCCCGTCAGGAGTTCGACCCGCCCGCCTTCGCGCGGCGCTCGACATTCCCAGAGCCCTTCCCGGACCAACAGGGGCGCTACGTCCACGTCGAACGGAACGTCGAGAAGGTTCGCCATCCGAGCGAGTACCCACCCGTCGTCGATCGGCGCCCGCCACCCGAGTACATTGCACGGTACAGCCAGGTGGGCGCGTCCAAGAGCAGGGAAGCCGACGACGTCTACGACGACTCTCGGAGCCGCCATTCATCCCGGTACCGGCCCAGCGCGGCGGGGAGCGTGCGCACTCGAAGCGAAGCTTCAACGAGCCGAAAGCCTCTTCTCATCACCGACTCGGAGCACCGAAGCTTCGTGGGCTCCAAGCACAGCAACTCTCCTCCCATCACAAGGTCCGTAGTGCATCGCAGCAACACCTACGACATCGGAGACCGGGAAAGCTATACCTCGGCCCGGAGCCAGCGGTCGGCCAGCACAATCCGTGGCGCGCCAGTCCCTCCGCCGGGCGCCCCTTCCTCGTCTCAGCTGCTCGCGCGCTCGAGGGCGGGCAGCCGCGTCACGACGACGACCATCAAGGTAGGGGGTGGCAACTCGCCAAGCCCGCACGCCCTCAGCCGGGCCGGCAGCTACGTGTCGGCTCGCAACGTCCCCCTCCCGCCGAGCGCCGCCGGGAACGGCTGGCACGACTGGGACGACGACGCCGGCAGCATCGCACCAAGCGACAGTATCAGCTGCGTGGGCAGCCGGAGGAGCGGGAGGTCATATCACTAATGTGCTCATGGGTTTTTGGAGCTAGATGGCCATGTACGCCCTTCGGTCTCCTGAAGCTACCTGGCCCTTCTTGCGAGGACGGGAACAGGGAGGTATAAACCATTTATAACGGCAGATCACACCAGCTGCAAGGCTCTGTGCTGGGCATTTTTCAGGAGGTCCGGGGTATCGTTCTTGGGTTCGTGTCATGAGCACCATGACGGGCGGTCCTGATCTCTATTTTTGGGTCATGCTATCCGGGGGATGGCAGTCGGGAATCATCTGGCGCTGGAGAGTTTTAGTTGACTAACTGTGTGGGCGGATATTAACGATATATATGTCTTTCCTTACAGTATCTATTATTTTGGATGCCTCAGCGGCCGTCTCACGAAAGGAGTTTGTAGTGTCGGATCTCTCTATATAAGACGGGCATCACTGGCTCTCAGGGGCCGAGCAATCATTTTTGAGGTCCAGAGGACCGAACCCAACGCAGATGTCCATGTTCAGTCCCCCGTGTGCGAAGCAGGACCTAGCCGTCCGGACTGGCGAGCCAGGCGGCGGGGCGAGTTCAGCATCGGGATGTGAGTTCACTAGTGAGTTATTGCGGGGCGGCCTCCTGATCCCGTAAGTGATGAAGCCGCAGAGGATGACGCCTGGGCCGGTATTACCCAAGCGCGAAGACACTCTTGTATTAGTTCTTGTGCGTTTCCGTTAATTGGCACATTTTGGGGGGCTGGCTGCCTCCATATAATTAAGGAGTCACTTCCAATGGCTGTTATTAGCCACCGCGCTTAGCACGGGAGATCTGCATACTAGAGATGGGCTCTGGGAAGACTTTGCCTCTGGCTCCGATTATCGGCACAACCCGGTGGATAGCCCGCATCACGACTGGGTACCGCGGCGTGCGAGCCACGGCCTTGTCCCACTCATGCCTGTTGGGTCTTCTCCAAGCCAGCCTAAGAGTTCCGTCGCCTGCTGAACAAGCACATCTAACCCCCCCTTAAAGATCACAGCGTCATTCCCCTCTCATACCAGGATGCTTCTCAACCTCGGCGAGTCCATCCCGCCGGACACAGCTCACGTATGTCATCGTTTTATCCGCCTTGTCAAACCACACTACTGACTCATATCTGCTAAAAGGCTGTCAGCGTGTCCTTGCCGACATGGCGCTCCAACGTTGGCTATGAGGAAGGCGAGGACTGGGTCACCAGCAAGATGGCGACCGGGTATCCCAGGTGCGTTGCAGGATCTCGCAACCAGGACCTCACTGCGGGCTTCTCGCTGACCGCCCCGTAAGGTTTTTCATTCACAAGTTTATCGACTCCTTTGCCACCGATCTAGTTGCAAAGTATGCTAGGCCTGGCCAAAAGGCGATGCTCTTTCCGAGCCGGCAGATTGCTTCACGATGTGCAAGCTTCATTAGGGAGTGTGCCCCGCACGCCGTTATTGGTGGCCTAGACGTCATTCACCTCGTGTTGGATGAGGCAAATCCCTCATCCGCGGCCTTACGGTCGCTATCCCCTACCATCTCAGCCGTCATCTGTTCCGCCGAGGCCTTCCCCTATGCCAAACAGTACTGGCAGCACAGTGGCGACGGTGTGTCCAGCCGCAGGGCCGAGTTCTGCCATACCCTCTTCCAGGACGGCCTGCTTGTGCTAGACGAGCGTCCCAAGAGCCCGGTGGCCCCTCTCGGCCAAAAGACATGCAGGGGTCCCAAACGCTACCAGCGCCCGCTCTCCTTGGACAAGGCCGTCTCCCCGTCCCCGAGGTGCGTGAGCCCGCGCCACGAGGCGGTTCCCGCCCGGGAGGCCCAGGAGAGCTCGCGGTTCCTGGAGGAGCGGTTCGGCAGGAACCTGGACATCTCATTCGTCGAGCCCGCCAAGTCCGCCATCAAGAGGCGCATCGCCGGCGCACTCAAGGGCGATCTCGACCTCACGACGTCTCCGTTACCTGAAATGGGCCCCAACACAAGGGGTATCGTGAACCTGAAGGAAGACGACATTTATCTATTCCCCTGCGGGATGAATGCCATCTTCAACGGCCACCGGTTACTCCTGAGTGCGCGAGGCCAGATGAAGAGTATCAACTTTGGGTTCCCGTATGTCGACACGCTAAAGATCCTGCAGAAGTTTGGCCCTGGGTGCGTCTTTTACGGTCACGCCTCCGAGTCCGACCTGGATGATCTGGAGAAGCGGCTTGAGGGCGGGGAGAGATTCCTCGGCCTGTTTTGCGAGTTCCCCGGAAACCCGCTGCTGATCAGCCCCAACCTCGTGCGCATCCGCCGCCTCGCGGACAAGTACGACTTCGCTGTCGTGGTCGACGAGACGATCGGCACGTTTGCGAACGTCAACGTCCTCCCGTACGCCGACATCGTGGCGAGCAGCTTGACAAAGATCTTCTCGGGCGATTGTAACGTCATGGGGGGCAGCGCGATACTCAACCCCAACAGCCGGTACTATGCCAGCCTGAAAGCCGCGGCGGAGAAGGAGCTTGAGGACAATTACTGGTCCGAAGACGTCATGTTTATGGAGAGGAACAGTCGCGACTTTGGGTCGCGCATTGAACGGATCAACCTGAACGCGGAGGCCATTTGCGATGTCTTGTCTGCAAGCCCGCTGGTCAAAGATGTTTACTTCCCCAAGCTCAACCCGTCGAGACCCAACTACGAAGCTTGCAAGCTGCCGACCGGCGGCTACGGGGGGTTGCTATCCGTCACCTTTCATGATCGCCAGCAGGCAATCGTCTTCTACGACATGGTTGAGACGGCGAAAGGCCCGAGTCTGGGCACAAACTTCACTCTCACATCCCCCTATGTGCTCTTGGCGCACTACCAGGAGTTGGACTGGGCTGCGAGCTTTGGGGTCGATCCTGATCTCGTTCGGATAAGTGTTGGCCTGGAGGAGACAGACCACCTGAAGGCTGTCTTCCAAGATGCTCTGAGGGCGGCCGAGGAGAGAGGCTCGTAATGAACGGACTAGTTGGCCCATTTTCTTGGCCACTTTGAGTGAAGAAATTTTACTATTAAATTTATTACCCTGGGCATGCAAAGACAAAGAGAAGAAAACGATACTACACATCAGGAGCACGCCATCCAATATTCCAATCCGACGTGATATTCTCGAGAAAACACACAGCATATCATTTCCTGGCCTCTGTGGGTTAAGATGGGAGTTGAATATTAACAAACCCACTGTATCAACAGTGGGTTGAGGCAAGAACGCGACTCATGTCATGCGCATCTACATGATGCGGCAAGCTGAGTGCTCGTATGATTCACCGAAGAGCTCTTTTCCCCGCTCTATCTCGTTGGCCTTTTGCTTTTCTCTCGTTTCCTTTCGGAACCAGCGCTCCAGGAACTTGATCAGATCTTCGTCAAGATTTGCTTAAGAGGCATCAGCATGTAGTCACACCGTCAAGCAAGGGTCTGGGGGCTTACTTGTGTCGGCTTCCATGATGACGTCAGCCCGGCAGAGAGGACAGGTTCGCTTTTTCTCTCGTTGCATTTTTACTGTGCAGCGAATACAGAAGACATGGTGGCAGGTGAGTCGGACTGGAAGCCAGGCGATACTGAAGCAGATCGGGCAGAGGTAGTCATCTAGCCGTGGCACCTGGGAGACAACCTCTGTTGACACCTGAGCGCATATGTTCTTGGCAATTGCCTCCCCCATGGAGGAGACAGATTGGACAACTACTGGGAAGTCTCTTGACACGCCCAACGAGGTGCGCTTGTCAAATTCTAAATATCAAGTTAGCAAGCAGTAGCGAGAGAGGAAGGAGCAGGGCTGGGCTTATTGGTTGATCAAGGTCAGTAACTCACTCTTAAGTATCTTGGTGACCGCCCTCTTGTTGATCTCCTGAAACTTGAGATTCTGCAACAAGGTAGCATTCAACGCCAAGAAATTCTTGTATGCTCCCTGGCTGGAAGCCAACTTAAATCTGGATCGCAGCTCCCGCTTTTGAACTTCATTCTGGAACCAAACAAGTTGCTTTAATGCCACGTCGCTGGTCCGAGTACCGTGATCAAGCTCATTCGACGAGAAGAAGATTCGCGCGTCAAGATAGAGCTCAAATATTTCGCGCCAACGAGAGAGATCGCTCTTGGAGTATCTCGACGGCTTAGCCACTTCAGAAATTTCCCGCCCCAACTGGACAATGCTGGCATTCATTGACTCCTGCTCTTCTTTCTGGAGAATTTCAAGGCTGGCTACGTCTGTTTGAAGGACCTGGAAGAATTCCCCGTCGAACACCAAGGGGACTTCTATCCTCTGGAGCCTCTGATCCGGTTCCACGATTGGGGCAGCCGCATCCTCGGCCACGGGTGAGCTACAGTCACGGTTAGCCAAGCAACCACAGCTATTGTCAGATGATAAAACGATGGAATACACAGAACAGGGCATGACTCCCTGAAAGCAGGTACATGTAGGATAGTGTGCGCACAGAAGTAACATAAAATGGCACTCACATAGGAGTTGGATCCACATTCCCACGATCAGAGATCGGGGAGGAGCTCCGGATGGTAGCGCCATCTTCTAGCACCGGCATCGTAGACGCCAGCTTCTCCAAGAGTTTCCGAGACGCTGGCGAGAGAGACGCGTCAACGGCTACACCATCCTCAAGTTGCACGAAGACCGTCAGTCTAGGTCTCAGAAGGTTTGACTTGTTTGCTAAGTCGAGGTTAGTGAGGAGACAAATTGGAGAGGCAGCAGCGAGTGTTAAGGATACGGAGAGCGACATGGTGGATCAGCAGAAGACGAATCAGAAAAAGAGGAAGCAGAGAACGAGCAGTCAAGGTAACGCAACGCATCGCAAGCCTTAACCACCAAAAGGCTGAGGTGGAGGAATGAGTGTCACATACGATCAAGGTGATATTTTGCCATCGCAATAGATCCCCCTGCAGACGGCGTGGCTTCGGCCGATAAGAGCTGCCTCATCGTTTCTGGATCCAAACCAAAGTCATTGAGCTCCCGTTGAACCTTCTTCAGGACTTTCTTGAGCTGGCCGTAAGGGATGGCCGAGTCGAGCCAGTGCTGAGGGTAGCCTATTGTCCGTCAATATGCAAAGATCGCCCGCGAAGATCATGGTTACTCACCTTCCCTCTCCAGGGCTGCCTTGAACTCGTGGGCGAACTTCATCTTGGCCAAGACCCCCGGGAACAATGAGAGATTGAAGAGGCCCAAGGGTAGGGACTGGGATGCCAAACAGGAGTTATTTTCCTAGCAAGGCTGGTCACCGGCAACGCCTGGTAACACACAAAACTTGATTCTGTATTTCGTCGACCGGGAATTCTAACCCATGCGACGGAGTGTGACTCGACGAACGGGGGGTTCTTTGCCTTGAATGCATCAGAGAAGGTCCGGTCGAGAGTTCAAATACAAGGGTTGTTGTGAGGAAGTAGGTGTATTGTGTCCGAGTCGCGAGGCGCCGGCATTGCCAATCCAAGAAAGGCTCGGTTGCTGTCAAGGGTCAATGATCACGAGGCGGAAAGACGTTCCTGGATAGGTTCAGTCCAGATCGCTCGCAAGTGTGGGGTGGCGACCCGCCAAACTTAGGTAGTTGGGGCCTTGTGGGTGGGTGGGTACCTAGGTATTAGGTAGATAGCCCCAAGATGAGGTAATCTGGGGGAGGGGCAGGACGCAATTTTCTTATCACATCCATCCCGCTTGGGTCTGTTATCTTTCTTGTTGACAACCCCCCTTTAACGCTTGTTCCACAGCCCAAGAACAAGAGTGTGCTATGATTCCTATCGCACAATAATAACGTGCCCGGGACCGAGTCTCCGTTATATCATGGGTGCAGAGCAATCATCGCCTCGGAATGGCGGCCAAGTGCCTGCCGCCACGGCGACGAGGAAGACTTGCTACTACGAGCTCCTGGGCTTAGACCGTCAGGCCACAGATGAGGAGTAAGTCTGTCACTCCCGATTCCCTATCCCCTTCCCCCCATAGGCCCAACTGACCGCGTGTTCCTCCTGGCAGAATCAAGAAAGCATACAGGAAGAAAGCCCTGGAACTCCACCCGGATCGCAACCTACATGACACCGAGAATGCGACCAGGAATTTTGCTCAAGTCCAGACTGCCTACGAGATACTGTCGGACTCGCAAGAACGCGCATGGTACGATTCACACCGGGATGCCATTCTCGCCGGCCACGATGACTTGTCGCAAGCTCCTACAGAGCACTACAACACCCACTTGACCTCGGCCGATGATATTTTTAACCTGATGGGTCGATTCACCTCGTCGGTTCCCATGACCGATAGCCCCAGTGGCTTCTTTGGTATCCTCAATGCCTTCTTCGACCAATTAGCCATGGAGGAAGCTGCCGCCTGCGAATGGGATGGCCAGGCACCGACACAGTACCCGCCGTTTGGCTCCGCGAAAGACAACTACGATGGCGTGGCCAAATCCTTTTATAACGTCTGGTCGAGCTTCTCCACCAAGAAGGAGTTCAGCTGGAAGGACAAGTACCGCCTCAGTGATGCGCCCGATCGGCGCGTTCGGCGCCTAATGGAGAAGGAGAACAAAAAGTTCAGGGACGAGGGCATACGGGATTTCAACGACGCCGTGCGATCCCTTGTGGCTTTCGTCAAAAAGAGGGATTCTCGCTACGTTCCGAATACGCAATCTGAAGCTGAGCGGCAGAAAGTCCTTCGCGACTTGGCAGCTGCCCAGGCCGCCCGCTCCAGAGCTGCGAACCAGGAGAAACTGGCGGGTTATGTTGTGCCGGAATGGGCTCAGGCGCGAAACGATGAGGATTACAACGATGAGTTCTCCATGACCGAGGAGGAATCTGAGGTTGAGCATATCGAGTGCATCATCTGCAGTAAAATTTTCAAGAGCGAGAAGCAATTTGAAGCCCACGAGAAGAGCAAAAAGCACATCAAGGCTGTCCAGCAGATACGGCGACAAATGAAGAAGGAGAATGCCGATCTTGATCTGGACCAACCTCTGGCAAAGCCGACGACCACAACCACAGAAGGGGTGGCATCAGCCCGGGAGACAGACGGGGAGAGTGAAGGTCGACCCGAGCCAAGTGCTGGGGATGCCCAGAGCAATGGGGATGAAGAGGGGCTGACTGCAACTCCCGGTGCGCCAGGGGGCTCACAAGACCCTAGCATTGAATCTACGGATGACTCGCTCGGCGACGAGTACGCGCCGCGGTCCGAAGTAGAAGATCGCCTATTATCCGACAAGAATCCAGTTGAAGAAAGCGTGGAAGGGTTAGGAGATGGTGAGACAGATTCGCTGGCTTCAGGTGTCGATGGCTTGATGATCAGTGACTCAGGTGAGGCGAAGAAAATTGGTAAGGCCAGAGCAAAGAGGGAAAAGAGGGCTTCTCGCATGGCAGCCGGCGACACGCAGCCAAGTGTTGTAAGTCTTCGTTTGCAACAGACCACCCAATATCACGACTAACCTGTCACCACACAGCACGCGTGCGCCGTATGCAACGAAGTCTTCTCATCTCGGACCAAACTGTTCTCCCACATCAAGGATATCGGTCACGCTGCCCCCGTGCCACAGAAGGCAAAGGGGGGAAGGAAACAGAAGAGATGAGTGCTAAACCGAGTGTTTGTCACTCCCTATTCGGATTGTAGCTTGGCTCGCCAGAGGGCCTCACTGTGCTGTAAGCTGTGCTCTCTCTCGCGCTTCCAGCCACTGATGAGGGTTTTACAACATCGGATCCAACCAGGTGGAAGCTGTACAAGTTCCCGCACCACCCTTGATAACAACCTAAGTATTGAAGAGTCTTCGGGGTTGGGTCGACCCCTCGATAACGCGCCCCCCTTGGAATTAAAACGCCCAGGAATCCGCGATATGCAAATGCCTAGCGCCTCAAACGCCCTACCCGTAACCCGGTACATTGTAGTGGCAAATATCAAATCAAATCCCCAAGACAGTATCCGCATCGTCGCTTAATGTCTCTACCTCATCTATTGCCTCTGCCCGCCCAGATGGCAACCCCATGGCCGGATCATGAGCAGACACGTTAACGATGGCCTTGCCTTGGACATGGTTAACCGAACTCTTCCACATATCCCAGTCGTCCTCGTCACGAATCAGGAAACCGATCAGCATGCTGGGATCCATGTCCCCAACATGGAGATGGCGAAGCCGCCTGGTATGACAAGAGTCTATGTCGGCCTTTGTGTATGCTCCCGGATTTTCGTGGTACGGTAGCGCTGGCCGGGGATGATGAGGGTCGAGGTAAAAGAGCCACTGGCCCTGTGCGCCTACAAAGTAATGAGAAGATGATGGGCGACCACTAAATACGTCAGAATAGAGCTTAGAGATAGCTGGATACGGGGGAATAACATACCCGGCGATGCCAACCGACTGTGGCATCTGCAATGTAGCTATCAGTGCTTGCTCATAAACTTGGTTTATCTTGTCAATCCCCAAACGTGTACCAACTAAGATGAGTGTTGGTTGGAACGCCTCGCCGTCGGGGTTTGCCACTGCCATGAAGCTATCTTCGTAGACATCCGGGAGGTCGCCAGTGGAGTATACGCGAAGGGAAGTTTCGTTTGCGTTTGCTAGAGCCCTGGGTTGGCGTTAGCGTCCCATCCGACCGCACCCTTAATATTTAGAGTCTTCAACTTACTGTATACTCCGGGCAGTGGCCGATGGGCCGAACCACTCGCCTGGATACTTCCCACACGCGACAGCCCCGTGCTTAACAAAGTTGTGGAGTGAATAAGGAGCCCTGGGATCGTCTGCGAATAGGGGCAAGATAGGCCGCTCTGCATCGGGGTCCTTGCTACGCCTCCAGTCTTCCCTCAGAGTCAGCAGCGGAAGACACACGCGTCAAGGGGTATTTGTTGCAGGAGGAACATACCTCGGCCTAAACGGGTAATTGATATGGCATTCGCGAGTAGACTTTGGCCCGACCGTATCATGCAACCCCATCCCGTGTCCGACGAGAAACCATTCTGGTCACTGAACGAAGTCTTCAAGCGCATGGTGAAGGACAGGGCGGAGGCTGCTCGCGGATCGGCCGACTTGGGAATCGGCTCAAAGTCGGTACGGTACGTCATCCAGATGCGAGATTCGAAGTCGTCGACAAATTCGGGAGGCCAGCCGCCATCCTGGCCAGGTTCTTCATACGCCAATGAGGAGTCGAAACTGCTCGAGGCGGAATCAGGAGGGGTGTCGGGGTTGTTCGGGGGAGGTAGCGAAGGGGTCTCGACGGAGTCGGAAGGTGGAGTGTCGGTGGATACCAACGCCGGGCCGTAGTTCTTGACGTCAAGAATATATGAACGGCCTAGACACCAGGCAGGTTCGTTGGTAATTCGGTTATTGGTGGGCTCGGGATCCCATATCTTCAGCATGATGCGGCGACCGACGCGGCCAAACTCGGTAGCACCAGCCACGGCAGCTTCCATGGCAGCCGCCAGGGCAGGAGGAGTCCCAGTGGCAGGAGATTGCCGGCTTCCGCTGGCTCGAGATATCATGGAAGGAGGTGTGGTGTTCTGAGCTTGCTCCTGGTCATCTATGGTGGATATGATGCACAGTGAGTGAAGCGATCGGGTCGGGCCTACGGGAATCAGCAGCTCCTGTTCGTACTCGTGATGGCGGGGTAGAGCAAAGAGGCGACAGACGTGGCGGGGCGATAGGTGTAGATCTTGTGACAGGACGGGAATTAAGAGCAATAAAGTGTGACGCTCCCAGCCTTCCTCCCGAAATCGTTGGCGAAATGGATGGCAAGAGATGGCTGAAACGAAAGCTTGTGGAGGAACAACTGCATAGTATGGAGGCTGGTGGCCTACCTACCTACTGACCACATGATGCTGATAGAAAGCTCGCTTTCGCTCTTACGGGAACTACGTATGTATGTACAGTACACCCCATCCTTAGCTTGGGTTACATAAGAGTCATTCCACACTTGAAGGCGGCAATTTGTGCAGGGGGTTGATTAGGTACCTATCTGATTTCGATAGCGAGGCAAGTTCGAACATCATCAGCATGACTGGGGTTAGATCTGTCAATGAAATCCTTCTAAACTGATGCTCCCATCATCTGCCCTGACCTAAGAGGACTGAGATGGATAGCGATAATGGAAGCTACCTACCTACCTACCTAGGCAGGTGCATGTATGTACGGTACTTGTGGGTACGCCTAGAGGTACTAGGTACCTACTTAAGGTAGGTGGGTAAACCTTCCGTCTTGGGGGCGAAATTCAGGACGGGACTCTTATGTAAGCCAGACGAGTAGGTGCGACCAAGCCTCCATCCACTACATCCATCAAACAGGCTGGCCCTTGAAATCCTCATTTCTTAAGACAAGTCAACCAGGGAGGAATCACGCATACTCTCCTACAACTTCTCCTATCCAGAGTAGCTTGACTGTGCTCACAAAAGGCTTGATTTTAGCCTGGCCACTTTGGTACTCACACTCCATACTGTATGCTACGTAGCCATCTATGTACTGTCTAGAAGCAGACTAAGACACCTACCTACCCAAACATCTGAACTGACTCCTTGGGTAGGTAGCCAGCGACGATGCCACAGAAGAAGAAGAAGAATGGCAGGCCTTTGGCCGGTGCAAAAGCCGCGAGGATGAGATCTGCTGCTGCCCAACACAGCGATGGAGACTTCATGTCTGCCTTTCAGAAAAATATCGCCACAACACAAGGTTAGCTTGACAAACAATTACACCTGAAATTCTCTTTTGCCTTTTGGATCCTGACCATTATAGGGTTCACTATGCGGGACGAGGCTAGGAACACGGGCCAGCACCAATCAACGTGGGGTCGAGAGAAGCTGAGGGGGAAGCCCATCACTTTCGTCAGTGCCGGCCTGATAGAGCCTCTCAAGGATCTCGAGAGCAATGACGACCCTAAGCATGGTTTGACCTCGCCTGGATTAGAGCAACCGGCTGAAGTTACAGCCAAACCCTCTGTAACGGAAGAGCAAGCCGTAGAGAGGGCAAGTGCATCTACGCCTGTCCAACATCCGAATGGAGGCGATTCGGAAAACGGGTCTTCGCGACAGCCAGGCGCCGCCGAGACTGCAAATCACCCCGGGTTTTACTTTGATCTTGCCGGAGATGCAAATCTTAAGAAGCCATCCTTACCCCCAGCCACAATTCCCGTCGTCACATCACCTGCTGCAGAATCGGAAGAATCGGATTCCAGTGAAGTAATCGTGTTCAAGGGTCGATCTGGTCTCTCTCGGAATAACGGGGCAAAGCAATCCCGCATCACCCTTGACGAGATCAATCTCGAGATTAGGGCAGTAGAGAGAAGCTTTCCTGCCGAACCCAAGTCCGACAGTACCCCCACACATCACAATGCACTTCCAGGCCAGCGGTTTCCTGATGTCGACCATCTCGACACGAAGAGCGAGGAGGATGCCGCTATCCTCGCAGATTACATTGCCAATATGGCAGAGGATTCAGACCAGGATCGACCCTATAGTCGATTGTTCAATCACAGAGACCTAGGCGGTGATGAGCAATCTGGCCTGGACCAGTCCACAGATGAGACTGGGTCAGCCGACGAGGAAGGCGATACAGAAGAAGACGAAGCGGACAAGTCTCAGGATCCAAGCGAGAGCATAGGTCCAGATCCGATGATGGACGATGAAACCCTCGCCCGTCTCCTTTCCAAGCAAGAGGAGCTCGGCATGGGAGGCGAAGAACTCCTCCTCTCGGACATGTATCTGGATACCGATGACACTGGTCATGCTGCAGGCAGTTCTCGGCAGTCCAACAAACCATACAAGCCGCAAAGGACAACAAAGTACCAGATCCCAAGCGCTTCCGCTGTCGCCGATGCTTTTGACGACATCGACCTCATGGATTGGAATCGGCCGAGCCTGCAGAACTTCACCAAGGGCAGGCGCAGAAAGCCAATATTCGACGTCGCCGACCCGGTTTTGGAATTAAATATGCAGGCAGCATGGGAGACAGATCGGGAAAGGAAGAAGCAGCGCAAACTAGCCAGAGAGGAGCTCCGCGCACAGGGCCTGCTGGGGAAGCACGCGAACCCGGATGACCCGCGAGTTAAGTATCCCTCCGGTATGACCCTAGAAGATATCAAGGTGGAAGTGAGAGCCTTCCTTCTCAGCCCCGAAGAACAAATGTAAGTCTCTTCAGACCGACTCCCCCTGTCGACGCAGTTCTGACGTCTTCTCCTCAGACTCCAGCTCCCCCCTATGGACAAGTCGGCACGCAAAATCCTACACGAGCTTGCCAACAGATTCAACATCAAGTCTCATTCTACGGGAAGCGGGGATCAACGCCGTCCTACTCTTCACCGCACCAAACGCACGTTCACGTACGTCGAAGACCACTTTGAGGCGGCCATAGCTCGTGTGAGCCGCAAATACTTCCCTCGTCTGGATATGAAAGGCAAAGCGCCACAGAGGAGGGCCGGTGGTGGAGCTGGTCATTCAGCCGTTTCTTGCCGGGAGGGCGAAGTCGTTGGGGCCTCAGCGCCTGAGCTGGGCCAGGACAACAAGGGCCGCGCCATGCTCGAGAAGATGGGATGGAGCACGGGGACTGCGCTTGGCGCGATGGATAACAAGGGAATCCTCCAACCAGTTGCACACGTTGTCAAACGGACCAAAGCCGGTCTTGGTCAGGGTTAAATTAGGACCCTTGAGGCCGTCGATTCAATGCCGATTGGGATTCCATTCCATGCGTGCATGATTTGCGCCCAACGGGGATAAACCCAAGTTACGATGCACAAGCCTCGTTTTCCAGCTAGCAAACACGCGCGTCAAACCATACATCGATCGAAATATGCCAGTTTTTGTTCATGTGTGCGATTTCATTTCATCCGAAACCCTGTTCTTAAGGTGTATTGTACAGCCGCGAACCCCGTTGACCGTGATGTGAAGACATTGCCCCCAAAAAAGCAGACCATCCATAACGCATTAAGAGACTCCAAGGAATTGCTGGGCCCTGGCCAGTCTCGTCATGACACCCAAATGACGAGCAAACCCCCGTGCCCATAAAAACAAACGACAAACGCAGGAGTGAGCTTATTTCGTGCTCGACGAGTACTTGGTCACCGCCTTGGTGCCTTCTGAGACGGCGTGCTTGGCGAGTTCACCGGGGAGGATAAGTCGCACACTAGGAATGGTCAGCTGGCTGATATAGCCGAGAATGTGTTGGGATAACCCACGATGTCTGAATCTCCCGGGAAGAGATGGTGGACTTCTTGTTGTAGGCGGCAAGCTTGGATGCCTCAGTGGCGACCCGCTCGAAGATATCTAAATGTCGTTAGATACGCGTCCAAACGCGTGTTTGGGTTGGATATGGCTTACCGTTGACGAAGGAGTTCAGGATAGACATAGCGCGGTTGGAGATACCAGTGTCGGGGTGGACCTGCTTCAGGACTGTGGAATGGTCAGCAATGCAGCCCCGAAAGTCCAGGTTGCCAAGATGGGAAAATTGGGCGGTTGGGTCGATCAAATGCCGCGCTCGATCCCAACCCCGCCACGAGAAATGGTATCAAAATGAAATAAAAACTGGACGCGTCATGACTCACCCTTGTAGATGTAGGAAGAGTATGTCTCCTTTCGGGCCTTGGTGCGCTTCTTCTTGTCGCCAGTGGCTGCGGTCTTCTTGCCTGCGGCATCCTTCTTCTCCGGTGCCTTGGAGGCAGTGGCGGGAGCCTTAGTGGCGGGCTTCTTGTCAGCGGACTTGGGAGGCATTTTCGGGTGTGAAAGTGGTGCGATTAGGATGCAAAAATCGATGCGATGAGATGTCAGGCTTGATCTAACGATCACAAGGGTTGGCTGGAAGAATCTGTGGATGATGTTATGTGGGAGAGCAGTTGTTGATGGAAGAATTGAAGATGGAGGGGGGCAGTGGCCTTTTTGTAGGTGGACGCGACTGGCACTAGCGCTCTGCTGATTGACGCTGATTGATTTGGGAACTTCCCCCAGGATACGCATGGACCACTCATACAGGACGCGCCACCAAAAAAATACGGCACGCAAGGTACCTCTTCATCGTACCCCACCACCATGGATTTTTACTTCCAAGCCTGCATACCATTGGCCAGTTCCTCTCACTAGGACAACAACAAACCCAAAATGGAAGTCACGCTCTCCCGAGGCCAGCCTCAGCCAGCACCTCAGTTCCATTGTTTAACCACATTCTCTACCTGCCTACTGAGTAGGCTGGTATCCAGGATGTGGCTGGTCGCTCATTGGGCAAAAGTCCAGTGGTGCTCTCTGGGGTTCATCTTTGAACGTACGATTGCTAGCTGGCGCTGAAGATGGGCAACCCGTGCTCCACTGTCCTCGGTCCCTCGGGCCGTTGAATGTCCGTATCGGTGATGCACGTACATCACAATCTCTTGGTCACCGAATAAAACCGCGTTCCTAGCTCGTGAGAAATGCCGTACCATCGGCCGCCAAAGTGGATCCGTCTGCTCCGGATTCACGAGGCTCTCCGAAACCGGCCCCGGAATCTGCTCCAGGTGTGGTTTTGACAGTTCCAGAGGTCCCGCTTGAGGAACAGCATTTGTCTTGGCACTCCGAGTCCGAGTCATCCGGGTCCGGTTTCGATTGTCTACGGTGTACGTATTACACAGTACATACATGCACTGCATAGTAGCAGCGCCACAGACAGGTGCTTCTCAAAACCTAGTAGCCTATTTGGAGCAAAAAGCGGGACATAAACCGTATCCCTTCCTCCCCACACCATCATGACCTCATGGTTCGAATGGTAAAAGAGCTGCCAAACGAGTAATAGGAACTGCTCAGTGTCCTTCCTCTCAAGTTGGTTCACCAAGATGCATCGTCAGCACGACTGGAACAGCACCCCAAATGCAATTTTCCAACACGCCCGGCCCCAGCTCCTGAATTTCCGGGCCGCCATGTAACGGCTTTCCAAACCGTGACGAACGAAAAATCACCTCGTTTGGGACAATTCAGATCAACAGGGAACTGCCACTTGGCCGTGGTTGATCAAAAAGAAAGGAAACAATAATAATAAAACCAAAGAGAGTTGGGTAGAGAAAGACGACTGAAAGGGCAGCAGCTGTCGTCCAGATCAGCCAGGCAAGTCAGGTCGTTGATCAAGATTGATGAGGTTGATGACGGGAGGTTGATTATGGTGGTCGGTGCACGGTGGATGGAAGGGGACTGAGGCTAGAAACTGAAATATCAATCTCTGGGGGTTGGGGGCTGCCCAAATAACAATGGTCCTAAAGAGTGGGGTGTTTTTCGTGGTGATTTTCCTAGATGCGCGCCCATGATTGGTCAAAGCTTCCAAGGCGACGACAGGGAAGCCACGCACCCATAACAAAGCCTATTTTGGACTAGCGCATAATCTGCAAATCAGCGCCGCAAGGAGCATCTGTGATCCGTGATCGTGCCTGCCAACGCGAAAACTACTTAACGGCCAAACCCCCCCACCCGCTTTCGACCTCTTCCACCCTTCATCACAATTTTCGCCATCAAACTCTCTGCCCACGGTCTAACACATTGCCGGTTCATTTCCGCAACACATCAACACAACCCGTATTTCTCAACCCCCAAACAAATCTATCAAAATGACTGGAGGCGGCAAGTCCGGTGGCAAGGCGAGCGGTTCCAAGAACGCGCAATCGTAAGTTCAGATCCGATAGATTCCTCCCAAATGCCTGGCTCTACCGATCAGTCTGCCATGTCTTGTCGGTTTAAGAAGACAAGACGCGTCTTTTGGGGGTCCAGTTGCATCTGCCAGCCAACGCGGCTGTAACAACACGCGCTAATAATCCACTTCAGTCGTTCATCCAAGGCTGGTCTGGCATTCCCCGTCGGCCGTGTCCACCGTCTCCTCCGGAAGGGCAACTACGCTCAGCGTGTCGGTGCCGGTGCTCCCGTCTACCTGGCCGCCGTTCTCGAGTACCTCGCAGCCGAAATCCTCGAGCTGGCTGGTAACGCCGCGCGCGACAACAAGAAGACCCGTATCATCCCCCGCCATCTCCAGCTTGCCATCCGCAACGATGAGGAGCTGAATAAGCTTCTCGGGCACGTCACCATCGCCCAAGGCGGTGTCCTCCCCAATATTCACCAGAGTGAGTCCCGTTCCCCTTTTATCAGAGGCTCGCGTTCTAACGATATTCCACCAGATCTGCTTCCCAAGAAGTCAACGGGCAAGGGCGGGAAGACCCAGAGCCAAGAGTTGTAAACTGGTTGGTCAGTGTGATGGTCGGGTGTTTTGCTTTTTCTGGTTGGCACGTTGGGTTCATGAAATGGGGTCACGGTTCAGGGTCAACGGTTGCTTTTTTTACGCGTTAGGGTTGTACATTAATCCCATCATGGTCACGGTCACGAATGAGAAATACCTATTTGAAGATCACATCGCGCCTCTTCGCCTTTTGCCACTGTCTTTTCCTACCCAGTTTTTGGCTTTCCGCAGTTCTCCATGATTGCTGAATACCTTGTAGAATGAATGTTGCATAACAGCCTGACTCTGAGCGGCGCACGCGCGAGTCGAAATCAGGTAGAACGAGAGTAAGCTGTAATATTTGCACCTCTGGTCTACTAGAACAACTATGTACAGAGCATGATGCTGCGCAACTCCAGACTTCAAAATTTCAGTGGTGGGGGAGCTGATAGAGGTTAGAAAAAATCGATCGAGCATATGCGAATGGGGACTTACGATCCAATATCGGCGCTGGAAGATTTCTCTCGTACTTTGACCCTGTTTCGGCGTGTCAGAATGAATGCCTCAAGCTGTCGGCCTATGTCATGCATATGCAACGTACCTCCGGGAGCGGTTGGATGGGTATATGGATCTGGGTGCTTCCACTTCTCTAGCAGTTTTTCCGTCTCTTTCAACAATGCCTGCAAGCGATCGAAGATCAGTCAGTGGGGAGGCGCGTCGGCAAACTTCTCGGAGGGCGCGCATACACGTTGTTGTTTAGGATTGGTGATGTTTCGGTTCGCCTCGAACAGTGATCGGATGTACAGCGCCTGTCCCCGCCATAGGTGTCGATGGACCGCCCAATCGAGCGCCAGCTTCAACGAACGACGGTATAGTGACCTGTGGGATCATCAGCAGCTGTGCATCTCTAGCCGGGAGCAATTGAGCTCACAAGGCGGCCTGTCGAGCGGACATGCTGGGCAGGTCGGCCGTGGCCCAGGGCTGCCAATTGAGAAGCGTCGAAGGTCGTGCAGGCACGGCAGGTGGCTTTCTAGGAGGGCCGGGTATATGCCAATGCTTGTCGGGTAGCCGAATTTGCGGTAGACGCAGAGTCGATCGAAGTTGCAGAACTATTAGAATTGTGTCGTCAAACGCTTTGCAAATGACCGAGCTCAGCACCAAGCTTGAGGGGTTTCTGCCTTGGTGCCTCAGAAATGGAGTCGGTCTCGGATCAACATTCTTACCATATCGGGAATACCTCGGCTCGGTGCCAATGTCGACTTACACAGTATGACCTCCACCATCCATGCTCCATGACGAGGTTAGATGAAGCCATGCACTCCCAATATCGTGGCCAGGATATCGTACGTAGCTATTGCTTGCACAGCGAGTGAATGCGCATATCAATGCAATGGAGGCGGCATAGCCACAAGTATTTGTGTAGTTCGAGGCAAAGCATATCACACAGCAGCTCTCACTCACTTGAGATCGCAAGCCTTCGGTGATGCCAAATGAATGAAATTGTACTGAGCAATTGTTTTTCTTTTTTTCAGCTCTATTCATGCTCTTTGTAAGAGCAGATCAAGGCGTCCTAGTATAGATACATAGTGTAATAACTCAATATAGATGCCATCATGCATCTTTCGGTAAATAGAAACACAATAATATATTGATGTGCATTTCCCACCATAATCTAACCTTACTTGTACTGAGTAATGCCCGTCTTACTATCGGGTTTTCCTGATTGTCCTTCGTCCTCTCTCTTTCTGGTGGTGTCGTCCTATCCACTTTCGGGCATCATGCCAGTACTGGAGTATTTAGTCCGCATCGTATAAGTAATTATCGAACATATCTTGGTCACCAACTTCTGGGATGGAGGAGGCTGCTGAATCTCAACCCTTCTAGTCCAACGCCTTTACAGTATACCTCTCGCATGGGGATTTGATCAGCCTACCGGAACTACGTCACTTTCCTGTTCAGTAGCACCGGTGCATGTAGTTAATTAAGTAATAGCGGTAGTGAGTTGGTGCTCAACAACCTCGCAACCGGATTGAAGAGGACCAGAGGGGGTCGCGTTGATCCCCAGAGTATCCCTAGCGCATTTCGCAGTTTATAAACCATGTAAAGGTAGTTCGGCTTGTATTATCGCCAGAGTAGCTGGTTTGGGCCAGGAATAAAATATAGACACACTCGCATGGCCGAAAGTGACTCGATGGATTATAGATGGAGCATAACAACGAGACGTCTCTGGATTCCCACTTGTATTACATACTTACTCTTATCGTTGGGAAGCGGAATCCAGAAACACTGGTAGGTGGGCTGGGGAATGTTGGTTTGCGACACACTTACATGCCCAGTTTCCAACGCGCTTGCCAAGTCAGGCTGCCTTCGTTGAAGAGGCCCAATACTTTTTTTTTATCAAGTCAAGGAAGAATGATATTTGCGCCTGGTATGTTTGGGTTGGCTTCTTTTGTATGCCTTGGGGAGCCTTAGCCCCCCCTCGGTCTTCACGAATGGGGTTGTCTTTTTGCCATGTCAAGGCTCTCGGTGTACTTGGAACAGTCCCCAAAGTCTCACCTGGCCACGCGGATGGCTGAACACGACTAGACTCCGTCATCGGTAGTAATAACATCAATGTGTATAGCAGCCGAGTGTGAATATCTTATATATCGGCAGATCAAAGCCGAAGGTTTCTAAAAGACGAAAGAATCGGGGGTATTCAGGCGCCATCCATCATATTCTACCGTACCGCGAAGGGTTCGCCAGCAATCGGGTTCCAGGGTTTTCATACTATCAACGAGGAACAAAATAAAGTGCGGTCTTTTGACTAAGTTCAGTTTGATCCTCCTTGCCTTTGAAGGAGTTGGTAATTCTGTTGAGGTTTGCACGGCTTGAGCCAGCCCCACCACCCATATCCATGATGCACCCTCATATCCATGTCGCGGTGTATGCTGGAAGAGTTGGTTGTCTCAGACAAGGGAGGTTCGCCACTGCCAAAGGTACAGGTGCCGACAGCGTCATATCACAGCATCTTACGACCCCAGGGCCGCATGCCCGGAGCTCTCGCTCGTGGATGGACTAGAATTTGAAGTCGGCGTCTTCTGCGGCAAGTACGTCCCGGGCGACGTGCCGGTGGCGTATGCGAGTGTATGGCGGAGTTGAAGGGCAACTAAGGGTGCGAGGCATCACACGAGCCGCCCTGGTGAAATGTTCAGATTCGCGTGGTGAAACATATTTTACACTATACACGACACGATGGGATCTATAATAGACCGGGTCTCCCAGCCTCTCCACCGAGTAATTATTCCACATGGGGAGTCTACAGCAACATCCTCCTCGGGTCTTCGATGTAATCCTTCACCTTGACCAGGAACTGGACAGCCTCCCTGCCATCCAGGAGCCGGTGATCGTAGGTCAAGGCGAGGTACATCATAGGTCTAGCCTCGACCTTGCCATTGACGACGACAGCGCGCTCCTTCACAGCATGGAGCCCAAGGACGGCGGTCTGAGGGAGGTTGATAATGGGCGTACCCATCAGAGAGCCGAAAACGCCACCGTTGCTGATAGTGAAGGTCCCACCAGCCATGTCCTCAATAGTCAGCTTCCCATCCCGGGCCTAGTTCCAGCAATTAGCATGCCATTTCGTGATTGTTTGGTGATGGATATAGAGCACATGCCTTCTTGCCCATGTCAGCGATAGCCTTCTCGATGCCGATCATGTCCAGAGCCTCGACGTTGCGAACCACGGGGGTCACGAGGCCCTTCTCGGTGGCAACTGCAACACTAATGTCGACGTAGTCGCGATAGACGATCGTATCGCCGCCGTTGGGCCCTTCAATCGAGGCGTTAACCACGGGGAGATCGCGCATGGCCAGGACGCACGCGTGAGCAAACGCGCTCATGAATCCAAGCTTGACGCCCGTCTTCTTCAGCACATCTTCCTTATACAGTTTGCGGAACTCCATCAGCGCCGACATGTCGACTTCCTGGAACGTGGTAAGGGATGCAGCCGTGTTCTGGGATTGCTTCAAGCGCTCGGCAATGCGAAGACGCATGCGGTTCATTTTCACCTAAAGTTCGATCAGCGTGTGTCTCCATGTAATGGTCTGGTACCACGAGGACTTACTCGTCGCTCCTCCCTATTTCCAAACACGGACGCAGAGCTTGAGGCATCCTTCGGTGGCTGCGAGGGTTGTCCGGTCTGCTTTGGGGCCGCTGTCTCCTTTGTATCCGACGGGGAAGGCGAGGCCGGTTTGCTCGTCTCCTGCTTGGACTCGGGCTTTGTCTCTGCCTCAGCTTGCTTCTCGGGGGCCGGTTCTTGAGTCTTCTCCTTTGGAACAGTTTCTTGACTGTCTTTCGATTCAGGCGAAGCTGGCTTCTCGGAGTCACCTGAAGGGGCTCCTCCGAGTTCCAAGCGGACAAGGTCCTGTCCAACAGTGACGGTATCTTCTTCGTTGACGAGGAACTCCCTGATGATCCCGGCTTCCGGTGCATTAACAGCGACATCGATCTATCACAAGGCGATGGAATTAGCCGGTTGTGCGTGCATTGGGAGCGTGGAGCGAACCGTAGGAAGGCTGCCACTGTCCCGGAGTCCCTAGCTGTCTACTCTACCTTGTCAGTCTCGATTGTCGCAATCTCTTCATCCTGCTGCACGTGTTCGCCAATCTGCTTGCTCCACTGCTTTAATGTGCCTTCGCTGATGGACTCGGCCATCGCTGGGACCTTGACCGTCCTGTCGGCATAGCTGCGGACTTGCTGGAACTGGGTTGGTAGGGATCGTAGGGAGTATTGAGCTGGTGTCAGAGAAAACCTTGACGCGGCATGGGCCACGGTACGGAGGCCCCGGTAGAGCATGGTCAGGCAACTGCTTCGGCAGGTTCAGAGAGAGAAAATAACAACGGAAAGTACAGTAGACGGCCGAAAGGGATATTTTCGGAGGTGACGTCCAAGCTGTCGGGTGTCCATCCCGGCCCCTTTCGGAATAAATGGTTCCTTTACCGAGGACAGGAAACACAACGTCACGTGGATGATGACAAGGGTTTCAAATGCGAGCTTTGTGTTGGGCTAAATCAGGTACTCCACCTTCAATCCCTGTAACATACCTACACGACAAGCAGCAGATTGGCGATGCGAAAGATCAGGTCACGCCAGAAAACAACGGTATCATCATGAAGCTCAAATTCAAGGTGCAGACCACATCACTGGACAAACAAGCTTCCAATCGAAAGGACCAGGCTTTGGCGTCTAGACTTACCTTTGTCAATGTTGACTGCCCAATGCAGATCAAGAGTGAGACCATACAACGCAAGATTCGTCGTCATGTCATGAAGGACATTGGTCGTTCAAGAAGGAGGGACGCGGTTCACTCTCCAAGCACAGGTCAAAGCGCCATTACGGTGTCAAGGACTCTGCCGCATTCTATTCCGTCCTACTGGGGCGACGTCAAGGTCTGCATCAACTTCCAACGTCTCTTCTGGGCCATGGACATGGTTTCCGAAGGACTTCTGGCCTTGGCGATGGCCGATTCAGCTCATGAATTTTGCGAGAGGTTGGACATGAATCTCGATGATACATTACAACAAAAACCTCAGCCAGATCAAGCAGCATCTCTGGATGAGATGAAGCAGTACACAGAATCACTCAGTCTTGTTCGTAAATCCATTATTGCACCAGAAAGTCGGGTCAGTTGTCATGCCATCATTGGCACTATCATTTGCTTAGCGGTTTTTGATGTAAGAAGACTATATCCATGTGCTTGGCAATCTAGTCTTGTACTGACTAGGTAGAGCAGATGCGTGTCTGCAATCGCGAAAGATGGACGATGCATATGAAGGGGCTAGACAAGGTCGTTCAGCTTGGTGGCGGCGTGGAGGCACTCGACTCGTGTCCACCCATCCGCCAGTCATTATTCATGTGAGAATGAATCCACCTACACCTTACTCTTGTGTCATGGTCTTTTTTTCTGACTATGTGCTTTGATAGTGCTGATGTCCTCGGGTCACTGGTCGACGACGCCCCTCCACGATTCCAGCTACCACGACATTCCTGCGTGCTGCCCTGTGCCAAACAGTCCAATCTGCATTGTGTGCAAAGGCTTTTGGCATCCTCTCAAATATTCAAGTTGACCTCGTCGTTCGACAAGACAGCAATCGTTGTCATTGACAGCGCCCTGAACTCCGCCTCGCAGCTTGCAACCCTGCTCAATCACACGTGGAATACAAATAGGATAACCTTGGATCTGCTAATTCCAATATGCACGCTTGTGCACAACGTCTTGTCACTCCCGAGGATGACGAACTGCATTGGCCTAAATGAAAGGGCACAGGAAGCCATATTGCAAATGACGCCAGTCTGTGCAGCCGTGGAATTGGTCCGGATATCCGTCCTCGCTCTGCTATCCACTGTGATAACCACAACCTCTGGCGACAATCTGTATTGTGCCGCGCATCGCAGAAGCCACGTGCGGCAACTGCTGACGCAATGTGAAGCCAAAGTCTGGGCTGGGTGGGCAGAGCTGAAGTTGTGGGTGCTAATCATTCAAACATTGATGGAGGCAGGATCAGCCAGACTTTGGTTCATGGACGAGATCATGAATATCATGTCATGTCTATCGCTACACTCTTGGGATGACTTAATGTCTTGTCTGCGTCAAGTCGTCTGGGTTGAGAAAGCGGCCATACAAGAGATGGCACAGCTCAGGTGCGATATTGAGGCGCGTCTGACATGCAGAATTCACCCATGACAACGACATTGGGGGGGCCAGAGATTTGCTATGTGAGTCTGCTGACGATGGAAAACCTTGCATAGAATCATGTTCATTGTTGGCTCTAATTCAACCATTGTGATTGTTCTAGTGTGTAACTCCTCCATTGACACCAATGTACTGGCCCGTGATCCATCTGGATCTCTCGTTGACCAAGAGAAGTACGGCATCGCCAATATCAGCAGTGGTTCCGGCACGGTTGTCGGCCTTGGTCAGGGCTATCTCCGCGGCCATGAGCTCTTCCTCACGTCCCTTTGGGTATATGTCTGTCAATACCGGGCCAGGAGCTACAGAGTTGACGGTGAGGCCCTTGCTCCGGCCGAGCTATGAGAAAGGCAAATAAAGTTAGCGATATGCCAAACCCAAGCTCCGGCGCGCATCTTGACGGGTTGAAAAGGCATCTAAAAAGGAGAGGCAAGTAATTGTGGCAAAGAATGGCGGATGGAAACCTAGCTAACGTACCTCTTCGGCCCAAGTCCATGTCAGATTGTCCAAAGCTGCCTTGGACGCTGCATACGTTGAAATGTTCACGTTGCCCCTCTTGGAATTGGTAGAGCTGATGTTGATGATGCGGCCGCCGGGGGGCATGTGCGGAACAACGCTATTGACCATATAGAAGGGACCAAGAACGTTCAGCTGGAAGACCTTGGCTAATTGTTCGACATCCGGTTCGTCGGTGATTGGGCAGAAGAAGGCGGTGCCAGCGTTGTTGACTATCCAAGAAGGGCTCAGTTTGACTCGCGCGAAGAACGCTTAATACATTACTGCACCTCATACCTAAGATGTCAATGTGGTCCGTCTTAAAACCTTCAAGGGTCTTGTTGACAAGATCCCGGGCTCCCTCGACTGTATCTACGGCAGCTTGCACGGCGATAGCCTGCCCGCCGACTTTCCGTAAGTTTTCGCAGACGTTGGCGGCGCGATCCTTGCTAGAGTCGGAGACATAATTGACGGCGACGGAAGCACCATTACGGGCGAATGCGAGGGCTATACCTGCACCGATGCCATTTTCGCGGCCGGAGCCGGTGACGATGGCGACTTTTCCCTGGAGGCTAAGAGTGTCGGCCGTCATTTTCGTTGCGATGGGAGAATAAGAGAGTACCTTTGGCATATAAAAAGGAATATCAAGAGTGGAGAAACGATTGTTCCCATACGAAGAGAGTGGATTGAGGAGTCATTAGAGGTGGGAGTTTTCTAAATACTTATACCTCTTGGTGTATATAAGCAGGACCATGCCAAAGATACCGGACTGGGAACCTCCAACGCCGAGCACGGCATCCTTCCCGGAAAGCCCTGCAATGATAAATAAGGCCCGACTTTGAGTCGGTTCCCGAAACTTGAGCGCGAGGCCAAGACTGTAGAGCATCGTCTCAACATTTACTCCCGTTGGCCGAATCTGTTGGGAATGACTCTTGATGGAGATAGGAATTATTAGTGAAAATTGAAATTTCCTAATTAGGAAAACGGTGATGCGTCATTGGCGGTTACATATCGATGTCAATGTGGGCGGGGCACGGTTGTAAAGACCAAGTCAGGCCAAAATACGTCTTAGCAATTATTGAACTTGTAACCTCAGGTCCCGGGCTAGCGGACCGCAACAGGCGGTCAAGCAGACTCAGCATTAGTCGTGCGAACCGCAAGTGGCAGCCGATGTCTTGCCATGCCACATCTTTCGAGCATCCATCTCTTCCTGGAAGTAGGGTGCTCGACGGCATGAACAAAGTGTTCGTGGACAGACCACCTTCTCCGCACAAGTGGTCACCATCCATCGTCCACCGAGACCAAATCTGGTCCACAGCCGGCCTGCCGTGGGCTCTTGTGGAGCAGGTCGCTGCGTGCAGGACCCCACTAACGTCGACACGTCAAGGCGCATTGCGGCCTCGTCGCACCTGTGCGGTATCCCATCATCTTCGAGGACACAAGCGATCACCATGTGCACGAGTCTAGGACGGCGCTGAGGCGAGTGGCGTGTCTACACGCTGCCTATCCACTGCCGTTTCCGAGAGTTCGTCTTTTGCCGTTTCTCGCGGTGCAAATTTTATAAAGATTACTTGATAAGTCTAACTTCAAACCCATATATTAAGGTAACCACAATAGTGATGACTAAGCAGTTTGCTGATTAAACATCATAAGTGAATTATTTGTAAGGCTACAAAGTAGCTAAGTCACGAGATAAATCCTTACCTCATAATTGGCATTTGAAGTCTAAAGAATGTTTCTGCTAAAGGCAACCTTAACCCTAAGGACAGGGTAGCCTGGCAAGTCTAGGGTAACCTTACAAGTACAGGGTAGGTGCAGAAAATCAAACTACCTAAAACCTTCAAACCCTGCCAAACTAATTGATATGTATCACCACCTTGTAAGTGTGTGATTTACTATTTGTAACGGGTCGCAGGACCCAGGTTGGCAGCGGGACGGAGGCACGGGGGTGATCAGTCCGACTGACTTATACGAGGTGGCTAATTGGCACGGGTTCCGAGGGAGAAGGCGGTCGCGACAGTATTGCTAGTAAATCAGGTAGGAAACTGTCTCAAGCAGCTTCTCGGCCAGAACGTATATTGAAGCCTGCCCTCGTAAACCTTCGGGCAGGTCCATCGCAGTCTTTAACTCAGGGCTGCCCGGCGGTCCCTACGCGGGCCCCCCGCGGGGACCCCGTAGGACCGTCGACCGGGCCAGCTGGGCCTTCCTACCCCGCAGGGTAGGACCGTACTAATTACAGGGCCTTCCAATTGAAGGCCACGCTTGCGCTGATCACTCGAAGCTACTTTATGTGGCGGACCAAGCCACCTCGGCTACTGGGCTTTCCTGGGCCCTGCGCGTGGGGGCTGGGGCAATATTGACCCGGGCCTTCAGGGCGTAACAACTATCCTCCCTCCAAGAAGACGTCTGCGTCCCCAGCACCCTCCACGCCCTACCCGATTACTCGCCGGTAGGTAGGCGCCTTCTGCCTGACTAGCTGGCGCCAAATCCTTGTTAAAAAACCTTCCGCGACCTCTTTTTTGGTTGGGTAAGGAAAAAGAGTGACTGACTTGGCAAGAACCTTACTTCCGGACCCTTTTTGACTGTCTGATCTGCTTGCCTACTGTCGGGGCCTTGCGGGCTGGGGCCTGGGGGTCTGGTAGGGACCTTACAGGGTTCTTGCCACCACTGTTGTCGCTGTCGCCGTCATTCCCAGCCTTTGTAGGCGCAGGCCTCTTCTTTCCGCAAGCCTTTTCGTACGCGCAGACTGCCTTCAGGGCGTTTTCTAGATGCTCTAGCAATTCCCAGGTGTTATATTCTGACAGCTAATTTGCCTACTTGACAAGGTAGTGCTTCACGCTGTTAAATTCAGCGTTGTCGCAGATTTCTTCAACCTCCTATTCTTCCTTAGAGTCGTCAAAGTCTAGAGAAGGTAGTAGACCTTTGCTAAAGCAGGGGCGGTAGTCTTCTAATAGCTGGATTGGAAAGATGTTGTAGAGGCAGCTATATTTATCAGACAATGCAAGTTGGTACACTTAACTGCCTACCTATTCAATCACCTAGAAAAGCCTAATCTAATGCAGGCTAAGCTTTAAGGTTTTCAACTGTAGGTTCTTGGTTAATAGCTTGACCAAATTGTTAACCTTAAACTGCTTAAGCATATAAGTATAGTTGTAATACTTAGCTATATGCTTAGCAGCCTGCGCTAACTTAACCTATAGGTTGTCTTTAAGAGCTTTCAACTTTTGCAGTCAGGCTTAAACCCTAGGCATTGGCAGGTGTTTCCTTAGGCGCTTCTTGCCTAGTACTGCGCTAGCAGAGGCTAACAAAGGCGTGCTGTTAGTCTGATTAGTCAAGTATAGGCAATCTCTCCCTAAAGCTACGCTGTTTGCAGCATGAAACCTAACTTTGCAATTAAAGCTATATAACAAGTAATTTAGCGATTTTCCTATTACATAGCCTTAACTATTATTGTAAGCAAACTACGCTAGCAGGAAGAGGTTTACCTAATTTGCCTAGTTGTCTGCTATATAGGCTTTCAAGTAGTCTTCTACTACTTGATTAAAAGCCTCTAACTACCTATTAGTTTGCAGATGATAAGCTATAGAAAGTTGCCTTTTGATTAAAATCTGCATGCAAACTTCTTGCTAGAATTAAGCTATAATCTAGAAGTCTTAGTTGCTTACTATGCTTAAAGGCATGCTATATTGTAATTTGATATGCTTGAAAAACAGCTTTGCAAAGTCTACTACAGACATATTACTGCAGATTGGTATAAAGCAGACTAACTTTGTAAGGCAGTCTATAACAGTAAAGATACTGTTATATCACTTGCTAATACTCTTCTTTTAAGACTCTAGAAGCTCTATAATCTAATCTAACAATATATGCTAGAAGAGGCATGCATTGTCTTGCAAAGTCAATGCTTGCAGCTTTCTATAAAGGCAGTGCTAGTAAATTGCTTTGCTTTGGCAAGGCTAGCAGCTACTAACATACTCCTAGACTTTTGCCTTAAGGCTTTTCCAATTAAAGTGCCTCTAGATTAGCTTTTTGGTTTAGTCTATGCCTTAGTGACTTGCTATAGGGTAGTTATAGAAGTGCTAGAAAAGCTTTTGCTATAGCAATTCTTGCGCTAGGATGTAAATCTTACCCTAATAGTGTAATAGAAGGCTATTGTCTGCATAGTTAAGAGACTAAATAGAACTTTGCGCAGTTATGCCTTTTATATTAACCTTACTAAAGCAAGGACTTTTAGAAAGGCTTGCCTAAACCTTTTGGCAGTAAGAGTTGGCTTTCTAGGCTTTTGTAATAAGTCTGATTAGTAACAGAGTCTTAGCTTTCTTGTCAAGTGATTTAAAACCCTAGGTTGCCTTAGCAGCTTGCTATCTAGTAATAACTTGCATATAGAGTTTGCATGCAATTGCTTTGTTGCAATTTAGCAAAGGCAATGTCTTGCAAGCCTGCTTGTAGCTAGTAGCAAAGTTACTAGTATATAACAGTAATCCTTAACCTTGTAGACCTTAGTCTCTTTCCTTAGCCTTGCTAGCAGTCTAGGCTGTCTTGTCTTGCAAAAAGCAAACTCTAGCCTTTACTAGGTTAGGCTTAGAGAAGGTGTAGGTTAAAGCTAGCCTGCATTTATCTTAATTAGCAGCTGCCTAAAGGCCTAGCTGCGCTTTAGCTGCCTAAAGGCTTAGCTGTAGCTTAGCAGCTGCCTAGAAGCCTAGCTATGCTTTTACTATACTAGTAGGTTTTACTAGCTTTGCGTATAGTAAGAGTAATAGCTAGGTGACTAGCGTATTGTTAATAAGGCAGTTTTTGCTAATATAGTTAGGTCTGCATAAGGGCTTATCTGCTAGGTTTAACGCGCTTTTCTAGTAGAAAATCTAGAAATTGTATGGCACTAGCTAAATCAACTAGTAAGCTTGACGACTGTTAAGCTAAGTCTAATCTATAAACTGCTTAAGGTTTTTGTAGTCTAAGTAAACCTAGACTTTTGTAGCGCCTTTAAGGTAGTGCTTTTAGTGCTAGAAGCTTATAACTATTGCCATTAGCTTCTTGTTGTAGACTAGGTAGTTTACCTTAGCCTTGGAGAACTTTTAAGAGTAGTAGGCAATAAGGTGCTAGCTGTTGTCAAATTGCTAGGAAATTATCCTAGCTAATGCATAATTAGAAGCGTTAGTTTCTACATGCAGTAACTAGTTAGGGTTATAGTAATGCAGTACTGGCTCTATAGTAAAGGCGTTGATTAGGGCTTAAAAAGCCTGCTGCTAGGGCTTTTCCTAGTTGTTACCAATTTGACCTAGCTTTTAGCTATTCTTTATACTCTTTAGTAGGTTATGTAGTAGCTAGGCTATGCATGAGAAGGCAAAAATAAACCTCTAGTAGAAGTTGCAAAAGCTAAGAAAGACTTGAATATCTCTGTAAGTTCTTAGAAGGTGGTTTAACTACTTACATACTGCTTCTACGCAGCTAGGGTCTATTTAGAGACCCTTTATATTGACAATAAAGCTAAGGAATTTAACCTTAGTCTAGAAGAAAGAGCACTTCTTTGCATTGCCAAATAATTCAAATTAGCATAGCTGTTTATAGACCTAATCAAGGTGCTGCTAGTAGTTTTCTTCTAACTAGGAGAAAATGAGGATATTGTTGAGATAAACGATGCAGAAGCTATTGACATAGCCTTGCAAGGCCTTATTGATATAGGCTTAGAAGGTTGCAAGTGCATTGGTAAGCCTAAAAGGCATCATGTGGAATTTGAAGTAGCTATAGTGCATGCAAAAAGCAGTCTTTTACTTGTTGCCTT